GCATGGTGGGTAGTTGAGATGAAGAAGTTGACGTGTTGGGGCGCGATCGTGTTTTAGTGTCCAGCTCGCTTGTGTGTCCAGCTCGCATGTGGATTACGTTAGTCTTTATTGATATCTTAATAACTTTTATCTTAATATTTCTGTGCTAGTTTAATTATAATATATCGGTAGAAGTTCTATGATTATAGATTAATAATGGATTTTTTTAGCTTACTTATATTTTATAATTATCGCTTTAATGTTCTCTCTATCTACCTCTTCCTTACGATAAAATAGCCTAATATTAGGTAAAAAATTCTAGAAATTAACCTATTGTTGTTAGACAAGAAGATTTTACCCATAGTTACGCTTATAGAATTATCATATATATGTAGCCAAGTTTTAGCTTTGTTAATTATTAGAGAATAATATTACACGTCTGGTTTATATACTTTTTATTAGTTTGGTTGTAAAATATTATTAATACTGTTCTTTAAATATTTGAGGTACTATAGTTCTAAACCGAATTAGGAAGTAAAAAGTAAACCGTAGAGAAAATTCCTAGAAGATTATATTTAATTTAACTTTATCATAAAAGAGTTTATTTAGTAAGGCTGAATAATACTCTACTCTTTAAATCCTTTACACCCTTACTTCAATAGCTTCCCTTCAAGGTTTTCGCGCCTTAGGTTTCTAGGTCCTTACAGACGTGGAATTGTTAGTAAGGTCCAAACTTAGCTTATCTAAGTATGGCCTCTATTTAGTGTATATGTTCTATATATATTAACGAATAGGGATACATTAGTTATAATTTAGCACCTACTACATAGACTCGCCATCTATTTCTTCACCCAAGTCCTTAGCTTAGGCCTCTCGCATTGAGATGTTCGTTAGGCCTAAACCAGGGTTTATCGACATAAAAGTCCTTGATAGGTAACACAAACAGGAGCGATCTAGCAAAATACTCTGATAGTTCAATAGTTGAAGTGTTCGTTCTCCTAGCTAGATCCTATCTTCTTAAGGGGCTATTAGCTAGGTTACTCTTTCTACCCTAGTACATACTAACAATAAACTTAAAATGCTTAAAGTATATAAGCCGTAGGCCTACCAACTATTAAGCTTTAATTGACCTATAAAAACCGGAAAATTAGAGTGATCTATTACGGCTGTAAATTTGAATTAAGCTCTATTATACCAACTCTAATATTATAAGGCCTTAATGCGCTATAAAGAGATAAGTTTAAAACGTCAGATAAATTAGTTACTTTAAACACAGATAATATTAAATACTTATAGCCATAGAAGGTACAAAACGCTATCTTCTATTCGTTACCCTTGTAGATATAAATATTACTAGTACGTACCTTATATACTACGTTTACTGACATATTTTGCGCCTATGAAGGAATTTAATATTTTTTACTAATGGTTAGGTAGTTTATTTGGGGCTAATAGTCTCGTTTAGCGAAAAAACTCTATTAAATAAAGTTTTTATTAAGGGCTAAGAGGGGGCATTAACTGCCTGGATACGTCTCCTTAATTAACTAAACTAATGTCTTACCTCTTTCTTATAAGATTAAGAGCGCTATAGAAAGTATTTTGTTATAAGGTAGTTTCGAACACGTTAGCAAAAACTAGCTCATCGTTTTATAACATGACTCAATAAAACGCTTAAAACATAAACCTGAGAAAATTATACAAGCGAAGAGGGTAGACGCTAAGAGGTACTAATAATTATTGAGTAGTTTCATAGATTAGGTTGTAAAATAAAAACCCTTTAAAGTAGGCTAGGTAATATCGATATATAACGTCCATAGAACTAGACGAAAAATCCTCAAGTTATAACTGTATCTAGATAGGATAAAGCGTATTATAGTAGATAGATAATACCTCTAATAAATCTACTTGCTATTATAGTTTACCTTGAGAATTGGTATTAAAATTAATAGATTCACTAGATAACTACATTATTATATCGTTACTAATAGGGTAGAATAATAAGGTAAGCGCTTATCTATTTAGTTGATTATATAGGTCTACATATATTGATAATTATACTTAAGTATACAAAATTATTACTTATATATCGCATAAACTATCAATTATGATTTATTAGTAGCTATAAATCCGATATAAAGTATAATATTGTTAACTATTATTAATAAAATTAGATTCTTTACTATTTCCCTCTTCTAAACTTACCGTCTTTAGCCCTTCAATCTTAAAAAGTTATTCACTAAGACCGACTAAATAATTCACTATATCTAGAGAATATAAGCTTCTAGAGTATGAATTTTAATATAGTCGCCGGTATTAAAGTAGACTAGAAATCTGCGTTTCTGATTTTCCTCTGTTTTTCCTATATTTTTACATTCATGGTTGGTGCCCTGATTATTACAGAAAGCCCGCTAGGCTCTCTGTATACAGAGCGCCGGGGTGCTGCGCGCCATTCTCGTTGTCGGGCAGGCCCGATTGCACTCCCGCATAGCGGCTGTACATAAAGGCAAGCTAATCGGGCAAATGAATACTACTGCTACTACTATACGATATATCCCCTACAAGTTCTATGATTTAATTCACTTAACGATAGTTATAAAATTATAAAAAATAAAATCATCGTAAAGAGAGAGCTTTCTAGCCCTAAATGAAATAAAGTAAAGCGTTGAAGTAGATCTAGAAGGGAAGTCTTCTATAAGCCTACGTAGCGGTATAGGTGTCTACTAACCTTATTCGCTACTAGGAGAACTAGGAGTAAATTTATACTACAAAGAATAACCGCTAGTTATCTAAAGAGGTAGTGTACGAGTTGGCGAATTAAATACCTTCATAGGAAACTAGGATATTGGAGGCCGAATAGCAAAGGTAGAAGTATAAGCGTAAAGCTAGGAAATTAGGAGCTTAAATACTACACCGCGTAGAAATATGGGAGTATGAGAACTAACGAAGAGATAAAGGGCTTTAATAGGTTACTAGAGACGACGGCTGGGACTTTATACTATCGATAGATAGGGAAGTATTTGTAAATAGTATTGATTCCTAATAAGGGGGGAAGGGACGGGAGGGGAAATTATATTTTACTCACGTAAAGCAAGCTACATCGGGCAAATGAACATTGATTGATTGATGCATTTATTGATGGATTGATTGATTGATAGTGTTGATAGCCTCCTATTTCCTAAAATGTGGACTAAAGAGAGTACGTGGGCACCGTTAGATAATGTGAAGGCAGCGGTACTATAACGTACGCTACAATAGTCATGCATGCCTATTCCTGAAGGTTTGATCGCTACCTTATATAGCCGCGCATTGATCGTATGCATTAACGTAAAGCGGGCGGAAAGGCGCCCATATATAAATACCTCGCTAGCGCCTAAGCTTTAGGAGCTAGCGATTAATCTTATAAATATATAGAAAGGGGGTTGAGATAGTGGGATGCATAAACTATTATATATCAAACAAATGGAAAAAATATACTCAGATGTGTATAAAATATAGTCTATTGTCACGAGTAGGTCGTAGGCCTTGGGATATATGTAGTGGCTGTAGACTAGATAGGTAGTAGTAGGTTCATATGCAGCCATAAGGGTAGGCTCCCACGGGTTTGCCGCACTCTAGGCGGATCTAGTAGTTTGGGAACCCGATGCTTCAAAGAAGCTGCGCAATTAGCGAGCCGAGTGATTCAAGACCTTAATGACCATCAGGTCCTAGTCCCAGTACCTAGATATCTCAGGACCTAGGCAGTGAAATGCACTGGGAGTGCGGAGTTCAGAGGAAACGTAAGGACCAAATTAATATAAGACTAATGCCCCGGCCCGGACCCCGTATCATTCGCGGCTTTGCTGCTCCTGTTTCGCTTCCGTCATATACTATCCGCATCGGCTTCTAGTCCCTCACTTTCTCTCCAAGCTTCTTATACCTACTTTGTGGCATACTCAATTTGGACCCCGTTGGCATTAGCCCTTCACTGTGACTGAGTACCAGATCAAGAAAGAAAGCGAACAAAGAATTCAATTTATGTGCTGTGGTCGACGGGGGATCCAAATTGAGAAAAGGCAGGAGAGACACAGGAAGAGTCTCTAATTATCTACAACAGTCTATGTCCTGTATCACCTGTCAAACGCAGTCTCCAAACGCAGTGCTGCCAAACGCGGCGCTGCCAAACGGTCCCGTCATGCGCGGTCCTGTCCTGCCTGGTTACATTCACAACTAATCGCTAGACTCTAGAAGTCTGACTAGGCGGCACCGTTTATACCCCCTTCCGCCCATAGACCCCTACGAGCCTCAGGGCTTGCATTACAGTGGGTGGTCGAGCGTAATAAGTAATTTAGATGAATAGATGAATAAAGGGTAACATGCGGCATTCAGATACACGTAATGGGGAAATTGTACTGTAGTACCAGCGGTGACTTAGAAAAGCTAGAGAAGGGAGAGGGAATGGTATAGAGGATAGCGGGGACTATTGCAGTTGGCGTACTAGATTCCAACGGAGTTCAGTATAGTAATAGCGCGTGCATTTCTGTAATACGCGATAGAAGGAGCGGCTTTACTGATGAGGCGGAGATCTAACTTTTCCTTTCCTTACTATTTTCCCTCTATTATTTCGTTCTCTGTATTCTTGATTTTCTTTTTGTTTTATCTACATCAAATTCGTATTAGTAACCTACTTATTATAGAGAGCCCGCTGGGCTCTCCATGTATAGAGCACCTGGGTACTACGCACCATTATCGCTAATCGGGCAGGCCCGACTATACTCCCGTATAATACTAGTAGATATACTCAAGGCAAGCTTGGTTGGGCAAGTGAACAACACAAATACTACTACTCCATTGTAAAAATGCGGGTTGTACTATCTTCACCCCGGCTAAAACACAAGGGATTAAGCTTAACCCAAAGTGTATATATCCAATAGGCTACTTCGAACATATAAAGTGAGTCCCAACTAGGCACATAGAGGATATGTCTGAAGTCTTTTATTATTAAAAGGCATATCTATCACTGGGGCTGAAACACTGATCGAGAGTCACAGAAAACTCCCCTTAGTGAACCGAGAAGTGTAGCCACTGGCCTTATTCACCATCTCTCGCCGCTGGGCGGTGGATATCCGGGATGCGACAGCCATGTCCTTCTCCCGATCGAAGGCACGCATGCTGGGATCATCATCCTCCTTACGAGTATCTGCGGCGCTGCTGTCCAACCGCGAACCCTTGCCGGTCATGTCCTGGAAACAAGAGTTAATCCCTACACCGCCCACAGGAAGGGAGAGAGCTTACCTTGTACTTATTGATTTTCTCCTCCATCGACTGGGAGGCTTTGGACGGTGCGGATTGTCGGTCTGCTGGCACCGCAGCCACGCCCATCACCTCATTCTGGAGTCTCTTCATGCGTTCCTCCGGATTCTCCGTCCATGAGGCGTCGACGGCCTGCGGGCCACCGCTTCGAGCCGACCTCCCCGTTTGAAATTTGCGATTACGCAACTGGGTTGGATCGATCTTGGTCGCCCAATCGCTCTTCTCTGGCGGGTGCAGCATCCATTGGTCCCTCTGCTCAGTTTTCTTCTGGTCGGGCTCGACGGTCGACGGGTCTGGCTGATAGTGTTTCTCCACAGGAGCGAGGTCGCCCTCTGGCGGAGGCAGGCCTGGGCCGAAGTCATCGTCGCTGTCGCTGTCGCTGTCGCTTGCCGACCCGTTGCTTGAACGGGATGGAGGAGGCAAGGATGGGCCAAGAACCCTCCGCTTGGGGCTTGGAGACAGCTGGTCGTCAAGCCTGTGTTTTTGAGGCATGCTTGTCAAGAGGTTGACTAAAACAAGCCAGTTCCTTAGGTTAGTTATCAAGAATCTGACACTGATGTCATTCATCTACACCGCTTTGCCCACATCTTCCTTTCTTCCCTTCTTTCTTTCTTCTGTCTCGCTCGCTCACTCACTCACTCCTACTGTCCCACAACCATGATGACTATGATGATGATGATAACTCGGTTGACTGGTTGACTCCCTCATCCCCGATCTTCATTAAGCATGATCGTCGGCTCTGTCTGAACATGGGCCACCCCGACGAGTCCCGCCCGCCACCCCCAGAGATCCCTTCGGATGGGTCACTATCTCCCTGCAGGTGTCAACCAGATGCCTCTGGCGATCAACATTCTCCTTCGAACCTAACTACCGCCTGGCCGGGCCCCCACCGGCTGGAATGCGCAGCCCAACCCCCCGAGGCCCCGGCACGCCCCCGCCGGTTTGTCGCCCAGCCGATCGAAGTATCGTCACGAAGCTCCAAGGCCCAACAGACGGCCGTGTCCAATAAAACAGACCAGGCCAGACAGACTGGACCTTGTCCACCCCGGAAATTCTTGCCAAACCCAATCGAAACAACTAAGTCAAGCAACCGACGAGTCAAGTCGCAGCAAGACAAAGAACCGGCATCGACCACGCCTGCCCAGAGTGGTCCGCGGAGGTTTAAACCCGAGGTCATTGAGACAGACACTCGCTCCGTGAGAAGGAGCAAGTCTCTCCCACAAGCTCGTCGCCGGGACTACGACCTACCCGAATCCAAATTTTCCTATGCAAATCTTCTAAACCGCCAGGAGGCTTCCCGCCATTCATTCCGTGTTCCAGATCTTCCCTCCATTCCTTCAAACAGCAGCGAAGACTCCGATGATTCGGAATCGCCATCATTAGCGACATCTTCATCTCGACTATCTCACAAAGACACTCGGAAACAGCAGAATGAAAAGCGCCACCGGGAAAGCTGTGACGATGCCTTTTCAGAGTACTTACTATCGCTGGCTGCCATCACCGCAGAGGAGCAACTCAGAGATCAGGCGCTAGCGGCATTCCCTAACGAACAAGTCCATCAACCGGTCGATCACTTTGCAATTGATGAAGATGAGAGAGACCTCGAAGAAGAGGAACACACTTTCCGCCCAGAACAGATCAAATCACGGCGCCAGTCATCTGCCGACCTTTCCTGGGAACTGGAGTACATGCGCCAGCACAAGGAGGAGGCGGAAATGCGATTAAGAGCCATGGTTGCGTCTCGACATGCAGGTCCAAAGTCAAAAGCCCTCCCCACACATTCAGTAGGTCCTTTGGATGGTCGATCAGAACAGCAGAAGCAAATCGCAAGCCCCCCGATGCTGGGAGATGATGTCGTAATCCCCCAAAGCCTGTCTCCAGTGGGAAGTCTGTGCGAAAACACTAACGGGGAGAAGAACACGTCGGTGTCACCGCAGGACCCGTGTGCACATTGTGGCGGATTGTGGTGCGCCGCACCGCTCGCAGAGAATGGAGGTACCACCGGCTTGTGGATGGGCACCTGCCGTCGCGGGAGCCGTGATGTGAGTGATATGCACGAGATCGGGCGTGGTGTAATGACACCCGCTGCTCCGAGCCATAGCCCACAGGGTAATGAGGATTGGCTTGGTTCGAATTCACCAGACCCTTGCGGTCTCCAGGAGAGGGTCAGTCCCAGCCCTCGAAAAACCACCCTGGATGAATTCCATGACGGGTTTGTAACCCAAATCTACAACTATCTTTCTCTCGGGTATCCGTGCCTAGCTCGGTACTACGACCGCGAACTGAGCAGGATCTCGGGCATTTCGGTCGAGCGTCTGCGCCAGGATGATTTACAGACGGATGCGAAGGGCTATGTGGTCGCTTCGACGAGCACTAGCCAACTCTCCTGCATGCGATGGAAGGCTCTGCGCCTCTATATACACGAGTGGGCTCGGCAACAGCCCAGCATGGAAGACGACACCAATGTCGAGGCCTGGGGGATGCGGGAACGTCGGGGCAGTTGGGCTGTTTGAAGGATTCTTGTCTAACCAAATCTTTATAGCCTCTACTATCTATAATCTATGAATGAATGATGTCCTTGAAAATCATTTGGGGCCCGGGGGACATGCACAAGCAGTAGTGACTCCTCGAGTCCCAGCCAGAATTAATCCGATACTCGCCCAGCTTTAGCTTGAGCTAGAGAAACCAGGCAGTCAGATAGGAATTACTTGGTACCAGAAGCAGGGGATGGAGGGAGTCCCTGCCATGCAGGGTTTCAATAGGCCGGACGGAAAAGAGGAATTGGAAATGGCGAGCAGCCTCACGTCCCTATATGAGGGGTTCGATTAATGGCTGTGATCTTCCGAGGACTGAACTCGGATACTTCCTCTCCGCGCCCTCTCGTGGACAATCCCAGGGAAAATTTTCTGTTCCGGTGTGCCATCTGCCCCGGCAACAGAGGCTCCCATGACACCACTGTTGCTCACTGGCGACGAAAATTCGCCAGTCGCGACGTAAGGGGATCGGCCGTTTTGCGTCGATGCCGGAGCTGGGGGGAGGAGGACGACTTGCAAATCGAAGCTTGCGGCTCTATACCAAAAGAAGAGACTGAGCCCTGTGGAGCAGGCTCATGGGAAATGGACACTTGTCCCGGTTCTGAAGGTGCAAATGGAAGGTGAGCTCACAGCCGCAGCGAAAGACCGGACTGATCTATACATACCATGCGCCGTGGTCTGTTTGGCACTCTGCAATGAGCCAGGGATCATCCCGTTGCATTCATCCGTGAGATTGCCATCCGCATATCGCTCAATCCTGGGGACCGTCAGCCCTGATCACCTTGCCCTAAACACGTATGACTACTCACAAGCCTCGTTCTCCAACCAAAGTCTCCTGCCTGAATGCCTCGCGAATATCTGGCACGTTGCTCTTTGCCACGTTGTTGCCAGCGACCCCAGGCAGGGCGCAGCTCGAGCCCAGCCATCGCCGTTTCAAGGAAAGCTCGAATCCACTCTGGACCACGGAATGCTTGGCCAGCTCACACATATCCACGGCGCTGAACTTGTAGATCTGGGCCGCCACCGAATATTCCTCTATTAGAGGCTCTTTGGTAAACGCAAACTGCAGCGGATCGTCGGTGGACAGCGAGACGTTGAGCCCGCGCTTGAAGAAGCTGGCAAACGGATTTTTGTCATACGTGAGGAAGAGCGCATTGTTACTCAGTGGCGACATGGCGATACCAATCTGATCCAGATAATAGAGATATTGCAACAGAGGCACCTTGCGCAGCAGAATCCCATGACTGATACTGTGGCAGCAAAGGAAGGCCACAGCCAGGTGGTCCGGGTCACCTGCTTCACCACAATGCGGACGGAGGACAAATGTGTTGAATCCTCGGTGCTTGCGCCAGTTGTTGAGGGAGGCGATGTTGGCAAACATGAAGTAGATCCAGTAGCTGTACGGCGGATTTTGCTTCGTATCCCATTCACGAGGGATGGGATACTTCCGGTACAGCCGACGCTCCGCCTTGCTTTCATCATCCACACTGTCAAACCCTACCACGCGCTGCAGGAAGACATGGAGTTTGGGATGACTGGATGGATCTCGGGTCACTTCGAATAGCGGCTGGAACACATTGGTAATCACCTGCTCAAAGTTTTCCATCATGCCGCTTGATTTGTACACATCGTAGAGGCGCGGCACCTGAATAAGCCAGCGGACATTGGGCGAGAACAGCTTGTTGTCCACCACCCACGCCGCCAGTTTGTCCCATTCCTGAATCGATCGCCCGTAGATCGAAATGCGCCACTCGACCATCTGATACTTGCTGGACTCTAGATCCGAGATAACTTCCTTGGTAATTTCGGCGAGATAGCGGCCCTTGATGTAGTTGTCCGTTTTGAGAAAAATTTCACGCAGTCGAGATTCGCCCACGGGGTTATATTTGAGGTTGAACTTGTCGAACCGATGGAAGGAGTCGGTGTGCGCCTATCAGCCCCATTAGCCATCGAGGTATACGAGAAGGGGAAGATAAAAGCATACATGCATATCCAGCGTGTCGATACTTAGATCATAAGCTGTCAGATTGATACTCTCAAAGACCTCCCGCAAGGTCAAATGTTTCCCGTCTCGGAAGAGAACCACTTCATCAGGGGATTTTCGCATTTTGCTTTTAATAAAGCGCAGTAAGTGCTTCTGGTTCATGCATGCAGAGTGGTGGACGTGCGTGTCCACCTTGCGCACGTTGTAAAAGTCCCGATGAGGCACTTTCTTGCTGTCGGCAATTTCCTGATATTCATTCAACAGGGCATACAGCTGAAACTTGCCCTCTAGGTACGACAGGCGTTTGAAGGCAAAGCTCTTGACCGGTCCATCGGTCGAGACGTCGACCACAGAATCCAGATCCATATAGAAATCACGCAAGGATGGGATCTGGACGATCGGCTGGTGCTGATCCGCGGCTGACGAGGACTCGTAGACTTGATAGACGCTGTTACCATCCAGCCGGTAGACCCAAGGAGATTCGCCGGGGAGGGGCATCAGTTCAGCCATGTCAAAATCTTCCCCAATGTCTTGGCCCATCTTCCTCTTTTTCCCCGTCCAATCTGACGGGCCCCCGACATTGCCTGGCTGGTATTCCTTCCCAGCATCCCAAGCAGGTTCGGGAGGCGGAGGGTAGATCTCCCACTCGGCCTGATTCCGAGGATCATCCCCAGGTACCTGCAGCGAGAAATCCATGTATTTGGATCGTCGGTCCAAGAGACCCTTGATCTTGCGATAGATGGCCGCCAGCTCCGTTGTCACCGCATAGCCCGCGGAATCGGTGCCCGGGGAAATGCCCAGCCCTACATTGGCGCTCGGGAGGCCCTCGGTGGTCCCCAGGGACGGGGCCTCGGCCGGAGGGAGGCGGTTTGTCGCAATGGGGCTACCATCGACGTGGTGAAAGGGCCGGTCTCCACCCATAGGCCGCAGAGACAGCGAGTCAGCGTCGACTGTCATTGCCTTATCGGTCTGGGAGCTAGGATCGGTGGCGCTCGCGGGCAGTTCCTCGCCGTGAAAATCGCCCGAGCCGCCGGCGGGGACAGGGCTTGGAGGCACGGTGCTGTCGCGTGATGCCAGTTGGTGGTGCTGGTAGAAAAGCTTTGCCTCGGCGTGGCTCAGCGATTTCTCGTAGGCGTAGTCGTAGGTGGCCGTCTTCTGCTGCTGGTCTCTGGGCAGCAGCGGCGGCGGCGGCGGCGGGGGTGTCATCTTCATGATTGCTGGTGACATTGGGATACGGGTCAACGGCATCAGACCCCATGACCGAGTGAATGGGGAGGGAGGGAGTTGTGCAAGGGAAACTAGGTAAATGGTTGATGGGTGGGCTAGTGGGAGGAAAAGAGCAAAAGAGAGATCTCCGGGTGGGTCCGTCAGTGATGCTCAGCTCAGCTCAGCCAGCTCCTTCCGCCACTTGTTGTTGGCTCCTCCTCTTCCTTGCCCTCCTTGCCCTTCCCGTATCACCACGACCACCATCATATCCCTGCAACCAATCCCAGGCTGTACCTAACAGCTCCATCCCCTCGCTCGCACTTCACGGACGGTGCATGCGTCGTGAGATACTGCCATTTCCCCCCCAACACGTGGATCAACTCGTTTGCCGCCATCGATTGCTGCATCCCCTCCCTCCCCTTCCACCCCGGAAGCCATGGCATCTCTCAACCTCTCGGCCAACGGGCCCTCCATATCCAAAAGCTACCAGACTGTGGTGAACGGCCAACCCTCTGCCGGCAGTGCGGCCTCCCCGACCTATGCCCAATGGGCGGTCTTCTCGGTCTCGACCCCGCTAGTCAATACGTTCCAGCAAGATGCGGGAAACAAGGAGAGTGTCCTCAAGGTCCAGACGACCGGCGGTAAGTCATCGTGGGATCTCTATAAGGAGCGCCTAGGCTAATCAAACACCCCGCAGATGGTGAATTGGCCGATCTGATTGAGGAGTTCTCGGAGGGGCGAGTCCAATTCGCCTACGTGAAAGTGACCGACCCGAACACTGGCCTGCCGAAGAATGTGCTCATTGCCTGGTGTGGAGAAGGTGTACCGGAACGCACCAAGGGATATTTCACCAGCCACCTGGCTGCCGTGTCCAAATTCCTACACGTGAGGGATCCCCTTTTCCTGATGAGGATTCGATGCTAACACAAATTCGGGTTCAGGGTTATCACGTGCAAATCACCGCCCGCGCAGACGCTGACTTGTCTCCGGAGAGCATCGTTCAAAGGGTGGCAGACTCCTCTGGCTCCAAGTACTCTGGGGCGGAGCCGCCTGCCCCCGCCCCGGGACCCCGCCCTCCGGTTGCGAGCAAACCCGTATTCACCCCGACCAGGACGGGCGGGCTCGCACCTCCGCCTGTATCGGCTGCTCCCCAGCATTCCACCGCTCGGAGAGGAGTGGATGATGATGGCTGGGGTCCGGATGCGCCTCCGGTGACTCGTACCCAGCTCGAAAAGGTCCAACCAGCATACAAGCCAACGAAAGTGAATCTTCAAGAGCTCAAAGCGGAAAACACCTCTCCGGCCTACCGACAACCCCCAACTGCGGCTGCTGAAGAACATGGCAATGTTGTCAGGGGCGGATATCAGCCCGTGGGCAAGGTGGACATTGCCGCAATCCGAAAGCAAGCCGTCCAATCGGGCGACATGAAAGATGATCGCCCCGCGCCCGTCAAAGGTGCATATGAACCTGTGGGCAAGGTCGACATCGCGGCTATTCGAGCCCGAGCACAGAAACCAGAAGATGCGGGCGTTGCGAGCGGAACACCGAGCGCCGGAATGCGTGATCAGCCCCAAACCACCACTACCACTACCACCACCACCTTGCCTGAACGTCCTGCGGTTTCCGTCCCTGCCGAGCGTCTGACGAGCCTGCCGAAGCCCAAAGTGGCGAACAAGTTCGGCGGGGGCCCAGCCTTTGCAGGAACCAAACCGCCTCTCCCGAGCGCGACAGGCCCGAAACCGTCGAATGTGCAGATCGGGAGTGCCAGCCGAACGTTCGCCGATGAGGGAGGAAAGACGCCTGCTCAATTGTGGGCGGAGCGGAAGGCTCGTGAACGCGGTGAAACCCCGTCGCCGACTGTCGCGGAGCCTGCCTCGATCCAAAGCCAGACCAGTGGCTCGGGTGCTGGCTGGAAGAGCTCCTACACCGGGAAAACATGGGCTCCGGTGCAGATTGCGCCTGCGACACCCGTGGGCCAGGCAGATGTTGTGTCCAATGAGCCTTCCTCAGCAGAAGCCTCAGCAGCCAGTGTCCGTGATATTCAAAGCCAATTTGCCCACGACGAGGTGGAGCAACCTGAACCGAGTCGTGCAATCCCCATTCCCGGACTTCCCGCTGGTCCGACTGAGCCTGAGGTTGGACATTATGCTCAGCAACCCGTCCCAAGCCCGCCACCACAGCCACGTTCTCCCACACCCCCGACTCCACCTGTCCGAGAGGGTTCGCCCATTCGTGTCGCCATGCCTGTTGGCCGCGGCGACGTCACGGATGCTCATGACGAACAGCTTTCTCCGCCTCCCGCCATGCCCATTGAAAGTCTTCAAGAGGCCGTCCCAGACGAGAGAGACCTTGAGGAGAACCCCCACGACCTTGGCCGCGCGGCCGCGGAGACCACCGCTGCCGAGATACAGCCACAGGGCGGAATCCAGGCGAAGGTGCAGTACGACTATGAGAAATCGGAGGACAACGAGATTGACCTCCGGGAAGGAGAGTATGTAACGGATATTGAAATGGTGGACAAGGATTGGTGGCTGGGCGTCAATGAGCGTGGTGAGCGTGGACTCTTCCCCGGAAACTACGTTGAAGTGGAAGACCATGTCGACACGGCCGGCCATGAAGCCGCGCCTGAGCCTGAGCCTGAGCCTGAGCCGGAACCGGAGGTTGCTGCTGCTCCCCCGGCAGTCGGCTCCCAGGGCCCTACCGCTACGGCGCTGTATGACTACGAGGCCGCCGAGGACAACGAGATTAGCTTCCCCGAAGGAGCAAAGATTGAGAATGTGGTAAGTGTTTTCCCTCTGCTTGGAGTGTCTGCCTGCTAAGTCGGTGCGTTAGGAATTCCCGGACGATGACTGGTGGCTTGGGGTGTATCATGGAGCGCAGGGGCTGTTCCCGGCCAACTACGTGCAGCTGGATCAGTGATGGAGGTGTACTGTACATGCCATTTTTTGAATGCTACCTCGTACTATCATATCAACACGATAGATCTATACATAGTTGGTTGCAGGGAACTAGCGACGTCACTTGCCGATTAGGTCAGCAGTATCACGTGCTCCGTCAACGGGCGGCGATCCAGATCCTGCCGAGTAACTTGCACGCGCCCCTTCGCGTCTTGCTCGACTGTGCCCCCTTAGACCTCATTGACTCCCATCATGGCTTCACTGGGCGAGGACTTGCTGGTGACCGTCAACAAGTTGCAGGACTTGGTCTTCAACACCATCGGCAATGACTCCCTCGACCTGCCCCAGATCGTGCGTGTGTCCCCTGGCCATCCCTCTCCATCTCCTAACTCGGCTCGCAGGTTGTTGTGGGTTCCCAGTCGTCCGGCAAGTCGTCGGTGCTGGAGAACATCGTCGGCCGCGATTTCTTACCCCGAGGCAGCGGCATCGTCACCCGGCGGCCGTTGATCCTGCAGCTCATCAACATCCCTAGTGAACGCCACGATAAACCCGAGCAGGATGAGATTCATATCCCACATACGGCTGCCAGTGTCGCCGGTCAACACGAGTGGGCGGAGTTCCACCACCTCCCAGGCCGCAAGTTCGATGATTTCGGCCTTGTGAAGCAAGAAATTGAAGCAGAGACCGCGAGAATTGCTGGGAGCAACAAGGGCATCAACCGACAGCCGATCAACTTGAAGATCTTCTCGCCCCATGTGCTCAACCTGACTTTGGTGGATTTGCCCGGCTTGACGAAAGTGCCAATTGGCGACCAACCGTCCGATATTGAGAAACAGACCCGCACCTTGATCCTGGAGTACATTGCGAAACCGAACAGCATCATTCTGGCGGTCTCTCCGGCTAATGTCGACCTGGTCAACTCGGAAGCGCTGAAGCTCGCCCGCCAGGTGGATCCCATGGGCCGGAGAACAATTGGCGTCTTGTCAAAGCTGGATCTAATGGACCATGGGACCAATGCCATGGACATCCTTTCTGGGCGAGTGTATCCCCTGAAGTTAGGGTTCATTGGTGTTGTAAACCGTTCGCAGCAGGACATTCAGTCGGGCAAGTCTCTCTCTGAGGCGCTTCGAGCCGAGGCCGACTTTTTCCGTCACCACCCAGCGTATCGAAACATGGCCAATCGATGCGGAACACAATTTTTGGCCAAAACATTGAACACCACTCTCATGTCGCACATTCGGGATCGGCTACCGGACATAAAAGCTCGCCTCAATACCCTGATGGGTCAAACGCAACAGGAGCTGGCCAGCTATGGAAACAAGCAATTTAGCGGCAAGGAACACCGAGGATCCTTGATCCTTCAATTGATGACCCGATTCGCATCCTCTTTCATCTCGTCGATCGATGGAACGTCGTCGGAAATTTCAACAAAGGAGCTCTGTGGCGGGGCCCGGATCTACTACATCTTCAACTCAGTCTTTGGAAACTCACTGGAAATGATTGATCCCACCCACAACTTGACTGTGTCGGACATCAGGACGGCAATCCGCAACTCGACTGGTCCTCGTCCTAGTCTGTTTGTCCCGGAATTGGCATTTGATCTGTTGGTCAAGCCGCAGATCAAGCTGTTGGAGGCTCCCAGTCAACGATGTGTGGAACTGGTCTACGAGGAGCTCATCAAGATCTGCCACACATGTGGTTCACAAGAGCTGATGCGGTTCCCTCGCCTTCAGGGGAAACTTATCGAGGTGGTTTCCGATCTTCTCCGTGAACGCTTGGGGCCATGCTCGGGTTACGTAGAATCTGTAATCTCGATCCAAAGAGCCTACATCAACACCAACCATCCTAATTTCTTGGGTGCTGCGGCTGCCATGTCTTCCATCATCCAGACTCGGCAAGAAGAGGAGAGAAAGGCTGTCATGGCAGAAGAGAAGAGAAAGCGGGAAAAGCGACGGCTCAAGGAACTCGGGGCCACCAACGGGACAGCCTCCGGAGGGCCTGATGAGGAGTCGCAAAACATGCCTATTCGGAGCCAGTCCACGAAAGCCCGAAGCATGTCGCCCAATGTGGGCCGTGGGGAGAATGGCATTGCGGCAACCTTGAATGGTGCGCAAAATACCGCTGCCCTTGGTAGTTCGAACACCGCACGAGATTCTTTCTTGAATTACTTCTTCGGCAAGGAAGGCCAATCGTCTCAGATCTTGGCCTCGCCGCCACAAGCCGGCACACATTCAAGGCGGCAAGCCGGCCATGCGAGCGAGTCTAGCATTGGCCAGAGCATCCGTCAGGCTGAAATGCGGTCTCCGGCTATGCCATCTGAGGAATACGCTGCTCCAACCGAGTATGGTGGCGGGGAAGTGTCTATGTTTGTAAGTGCTCTTTGCACTAGTTTTCATTTCCCGTGCTCTCGCTGACTTTTCATACCTACAGCCCCATGACAATGCCGAGCCTGCCCTTACCGATAGGGAGGTGCTTGAAACCGAGTTGATTCGCCGTCTGATTTCATCGTATTTCGGCATTGTACGGGAGACCATTGCTGACCAGGTTCCCAAAGCGATTATGCATCTCCTGGTCAACTATTGCAAAGACGTCGTGCAGAATAGACTTGTGAGCGAACTCTATAAAGAGGATCTTTTCGGCGATCTGCTTTACGAAGACGATGGCATCAAGGCCGAGCGCGAGAAGTGTGAGCGGCTTCTCGAAACCTACAAAGAGGCCGCGAAGATCGTGGGCGAAGTGCTATAGATGCTACCATCCATAGTGTTCCTTTTTGGGTATGTATGATTTGAAGTGTGCGATCATCATGATTGCCCTTCATGTTCTCTCGGATTGGATGTTTCTTTTCGCAGATGTGTCTTTGTAAATTATGGACAGTGCCTATCGATATATCTATCTTCTTCCAGGCTTTTCCGACCTGGATCGCTTCTCTTCTCACTTGTTCTCTCCGCGCCATTAGCTGAGCTTCTGCTGCCGGTTTGTTCTTGTTTACTCGAATCCATTTCTATGCTTTTTTTATTGCAATTCTCAGTTAGTATATTTAACAAGCACTTGGATCTATAAACAAACCCCCAAGACAGACCCAATGCAACCAAAATGATCCGTCACCGAGCTTTCCGCGTCGAAGCCTTTCGTAGGCGGGCGCCCTCAAAGCCATACAGTCCACCTCCGACAAAGACCAGGGCCGCCCCAACAAGAACACCTGATGCAAGGTGATTGCCAAAAAGATAGATGGACAGTAGAAGCGAGACGAGTTTCCGGATATTCAAGACAATGGTAACCGTCAATGATGAGGACTTGGCGGACAATAGGTGAACTCCGCGGATGCACAGGTATTGTGTCAGTGCGTTCATCAGAAGATATGCCACTTGGACTGGAAGTTGTGCAAGCACCGACTGGATGGACTGGTGCTCTTGCGCCCGCGCCAAGAACGAAAGAGCCGTGGAGGTGGACCCGAGTCCCGAGTTCGGGTTGGGGCGCGTGGCGGGGATTTGGGACAAGAGAGATGGCGTCGAAGACACCACTCGCCATTGGGATGACAGCTGCGGGTAGCTAGTTAAGAAAAGAGGCAAGGACAGCGTATGCGAATAGAAGAGAGCCTCTTTCCAATGATCTCGCCCATAGGTTGCGTACAGCTGGTCCGCGTAGATTCCCTGGAAGGCCGATAAAACCATGGCCAAGGCGAGAATCGTGAAGCCCGTTGCAGTGGTCATCAGTGGTGTCTCACCGCCGGGGGACCCGATTTCAATTGCATGGCCCTTGGCATGAGCATCCGCCAATGCCGCTGCCACCACACCCGCCGTCAACATGGCTACGGAGAGGATCTGGCCCCGAGAATAGCGCTTGTTGTTAAAGATATACCCGATGATCATCGAGGCCACCGGACCTGCAGACCGAAGAATGATGTGTAGCGGCACCGAGATCTTGTATGCGAAGGCCCAATTGTTCAAAAGATTGACCGTGACGAAAAAAGCCGTGTATGTCAGCCATGATCGCAAGGGGATAGCGCGTGGGCTGAGGAATAACGCTCGTGGACCTGCGGAGAAGGACAGGAAGTGTGGGAGAGTGAAGAGTGCACACAGGATGAATTGGGCGAACGTGATCAAGGGGCCTGTTCGTCAGGAACCGGGTCATGGTCTGGATCGTGGGGGCTTACCGGCAGTCGGCTGTTCTCTGAATTCAGGGCGTTAACAATGCCCTTTCTTTCTTTGGGGTATTAGGCGTGGTCCACTCACTTGATAATCGCTTCGAGGGCGAATACCTGTCCCAAAGAGTTCGTCAGTCAGTCCTGAGCCTCGGCGCTGTCCAGGGTCTATTTCTCACATTGGCACAGCAACCCCCGAAGATTAGCGAGGCCATCAACACCAGGGTGGCCCAACTGGGGACCGCTGCATGTGCGGCGGCAGCGACCAGCACTGAGGTGCTGCGTGGTTTATCTTTTTCCAGCGCATCGCGGCTGGATGAATCACCCTGGGCGCCCCCGGACTTGCACAGCGACGGGGTGATCAGTTCCTCGGACACGTCGAGGGCGGACAACTGGACGGAATTGAGCACGTAGGAATCCTCGTGTCTCCGTTTCGCAGGGCCGTCGCTGTCATTGAGCATTCTCTCTCGCCTGTGATGGCGGAAGGAAAGAGTCCTGGTCAGCATCTCGGGAGTGTTTGTGAGTTGGGAAGAGGCGGACCTTGCGCGTCGGCACGCTCTCCTCCCACAATGGCCCTCTATTGTACACCTGGATAATGTCCGGGATTCTTCCGGGTTTCAGGAATCGGGCGTAGGCAGTGTTGAGGTGGTCGAGTCCGGGGAAAGGAAAGGGAAGAAGGTGGTGGAAGAACGGAGGAGAGGCAGAGATAAGATAAACATCAGGTTCGCACGAACGGCGACTACAGAAACTAGGTCACCTCACCCAATCTGAACTCTCAGCTCACCCCTTGGTGGGGACTACTACAGGTCAGCGCACCCTACCTGAACTTTCAGCTCACCCCGGACGGCGCTCCACACAGGGTGCGCTGAGCTTAATCTTAATTTGTTACATCCCATTACAGCATCTTTCTGTTCTCTTCCATCAACGTCTTTTTTCTCCTCTCCCCCTTCCACAACTAAATGGAAACCAGTTCTCCACGCCTCCAGCATGGCGAAAGTATCTTGGCGCCCCACCAGGGGTGAGTGAGCTGAGAGTTCAGACGGGGTGGGCTGACCTACGTTCGGCGCTCTACGTTCTGCGTTCTGCATTCTGCTATAACATATATGTATTCATACAACAACAATAGCAACAATAATTCAGTCAACAATGTCATCGTCACTCAGAATCAGCTTCTCCTCCTCGTCCGTTGGAGCCATTGGAGCTTCAACCGAGCTACTACTGTGCTTTTCAGGCAATAATGACCGATCGTCCAGATCGTCCAGGGCACCGTCGTCCCAAGTGTTTTCGCGGTTGGTGGCACGAAACGTCGTGATTCTCTCCAGCTGCCGGCGCTCCGACTCCTGCCGCTGGATCTGCGCCATGTAGGGCAATTGATAAAGAAGCGCATCATGGCGGGATAGCATCGTCGTCACCGTCGCACGGTCTCCGCTGGCGGATCCCAAGTGCCGATTTTGGCCAACTCGGCTGCTCCACGACTTGACACCCGAAGAAGGGACATCCGAGGCTGGAGAGAGATGCGGCCCGCCAGATGGATGAAGAAATCGCATCATCCAGGAATCCACCAGGCCCTGGACCTCCTCGGCTTCACGCCATAAGCGCAGCGAGGCCGGGTAGAACATCTTGTGGGCATCGCCTGGTCGGGTCCGTCCATTCTCAGGCGCCAATTTTCGGTTCACAGGATACGGAAGAGCAAAAAGAAGGCCCCGGGCAGCCACCTGGAAACCGATTTCGTCCTGTCGCAGTAGATCGATGCCTCCGCTGATATAGGTGGCGCCCGTTCCAACCCCTGCTCGTGCACCCTGCACAGAGCGACGATCAATGCTGAGGAGATCACTGTCGGAAAGGGCTTCGATACAGTCGTTCATAGAATCGGTGAACGAATGACCCTCACACGACGGAGGGTAATTTTCATGGAGAGCACTGATAAAAGTCGAAATGTCAGTCCCGGTCTCATCAATCAGCTCATTGACCGACACCTGTGAGACCTTGTCGCGACGATAGTGACGTAGATGAGCGGGTGGTGGCGGCAGAGCGACTGTAGGATCTTGCAGGAGGCTCTTGTCCTCACGCTTATTGTATACAATCTTACCAACGGCGTGAAACATCCCGAGACTCGCCTCCCTCTGGCTGATCGTCTTCAACGACTCCTGTTCCATCGGAGTGAGGGCAACCTGCCCTCGGGTGGACTTTTTCATCTTGGTTGCCAGATTGCCTCCCCATTTCCCAGCCCCGTCGCCTTTCAGACAGAGGAATTCGAGAGATGAGATTGCACTACGAATATCACCAATCTCCGAGATCCGATCCAATACTGCCGGGCCCGGAATTTGGGCACGCTTGGAACTTCGAGCTTCCTTTTCGAGGATAGACTGCAACGCCTTTTGCATCAGAGTGGGTGCGATCTTGTTGAAATCTATAATCGTCGTGCCGGGGTGATGATATAGATTCGGTCCAAGCAGACGATGAACGGTCAGGTTCTCTGTCATCAACGATGTAGAGCTTAGCAATGTCTCAGACACAATGATGACAATTGGAGGATGCGCCAGTCCATCATTTTCTCGGGCATTATTAGATCGGGGTCGTGCTGAGGCGGCCAGGTAGCGCTGTAGTGAAGCCCTGAAAGCTGACAGGCTGGTGGACGACCGGTTCATTGCTGGAAACTCTTCTATTAAAAGAACCCGCCGGGGAGAAGCATTGCCTGTCCGGTCTTCTTCTAGAGCAGCGTTCGTTGCACCCTCCAAGTCAAGTCCGCCAAACTTGTCGCCTCGGGTGAGGAATTCTTCAAACTGCGCGCTCGCTGAGACATAGTCCCGGGCTGCATAATCAGAGGTCGGGGGATTCTTCCACTCGATGACATCAAAACCAAGCGACGCAGAAAGAAGCGAGACAGTAGTGGTCTTCCCACAGCCCGCAACACCGCGAAGAACCAGTAATCTCTGCTATTGTTAGCAACCTAGAATCTTCGACACCGTCCTTTTCTAGCATTGTACACACCTGGGGACGTCTCCCCGCAAATACATCTTCCAGCCACTTTTGCACATCAGAGACCTTGCGCTTGTGAACCGCCAGCTCGTCCAGATTCGAGGGAGCAAATCGCTGCGCCCATGGCCGTCCATCAAGTTCTATTGATAGACTCGTCGTGGAACTTTTAGTGGCGGGACTTTCTGGGAGGAGGAAGCGCTTGGTATGTCGCGTCGGGTTCCGTGATTTGATCGAGCGTTTTGGCTCCGACTGACGAGACTCATTTTGGCCCTGCCGAGCTGATTTGGCGGTACTCTCCAGATCCGCATTTACACCGGCGAGGTGCTGTGTGAAGATTTCATCATAGGAATCGTAATCGTCTTCAATGATATCGTCTTCGACGGTTTTCCCCTTCGAGGTCGGCTCGGGCCCCCGTATAACATCGAATTTCTGTGAGGACCATCGCTGGCCCTCTGTTGCCGGCTGGAAGAAGCTGTGCAATGATTGTGGCGGTTTTGATGGGGCCTTCTTTTGCGGGGACGGGGAGGTGGAAGGGCGATTCGATGGCGCCGCTTTGCTGGTTCGAGAGCGTGCATTCAGCTTGGAACGAGAGGGTCTGGTGGTGAGTGAGCTTGAGCCGGCCGTTGCGATGCCCTCTCGGCGATGGGGGGCAGCAGTCGCAGCCGTGGAGGTCGATGGCAGAGCTGGAGAGCGGGAGCGAGGCAGGGGGGCACGGGTTCACCGTCGTCGTCGTCGGAGCAAACGATTGTGCGCTGCCTTTTCGAGGGACGAGTGTCCATCATGGAGCCAGCGGACAATGCATCATCCTTTAGGCGCTGAGCCTGACCCCGAGGGAAACACGAAGAGGATGAGAGAGAGATCGGAAGACGCGATAGTATCGACGATAAGATAAGCCCACACTGACAACAAACGACTTACGCAGAACGTAGGTCACCTCACCCTACCTGAACTCTCAGCTCACCTCTTGGTGGGGCGCCAAGATGCATGGAACAATGAAGCTGGAAGTGTGGAATAATAATACAGCAGGGTAGAAGTGAGTACAAGGATACATCGATAAATAATAATCATCATACAATAGAATACAAGGGTGAAAAATTCAAATGCATACATAGCACGATGGGTATAAGAAGAATCATGCTCTCGTCAGTCAAGCGCCGCCAAACACATCATAGTAGTAATCCTCGTCCAGGTCCTGCCGCGAGGGCTCCCGCGGTGCTTCACCCGCAAATGCGGCGTCGTCAAATCGAACGTTGAGCAGCCGGATCTTCAGGCCGTAGTTGCTGACCAGGTCGATCAGCTTGGTCGTCTCGGCCGTGATGGGCTGCTGGTTGAGCAGCATCAGCAACCCGTCCAGCCATTCCGACGCTATGCTGTGCGACGAAGGCCGCAGGGTGAGGAGGACGGCCTCCTTCTGCGTTGTCTTGCTTCCCGACCGCGTATGGCCCTGGCCCTTGGAGTGGGCCGTGGAAGTCGAGGACTGCACATAGCCGTGAATAGTGATCTTGGTCGAGGGCTGGCGCGGCGCCGTCTTGACGGTGGACGAAGATGAGTGGTCCGGGGCAGTGGATACGTTGGACACCACCGAGGAAACAATTGAGAGATCAACTGGAAAACAAAAACAAAACATTAGAGCCAAATTAGTGTCTGGAGAGAAAGGGACTCACTCTTTTCAGGTAGAGAATCGAGCTCCGGAGCCTTGTCGGCCATGAAGTCGAACTCACCAAAATGGAGATATCGCCGATTATGCGATAATTGAACGTATTGATGCGCCGTGCGGGATTTCTGTGTCGCACCGGACTCGCTCTTGGATGCGTCGAGGGAAAACCATGCGCCTTGCAACAAGCATCGGATGCGCTGTTCCTTGACAAACTGGAGGGCTTCATGCTGGAGTTCCTCGCGCACCTGCCGTAGGTGCTGTCCCCAGGCATCTTCGTACGTCAGTTCCAGAAGTTCCATTTGCAGCTCTCGCAATCGCTGGTACTCAAAGTCGGCTAGCTCTTTCTCGACGTCCTGGACATCTTTGGTTCGGGCTGCGCCACCCACAACGGATTCGATGAGGATGCGGACCAACTCGATGATCTTGTCCAGATCCTCCGACTCGGCCGCCGTAGCTTTCCACAGGCGGAAAAAGCCCTGCAGTCCGGCCACATGCAGCCGCGTCCAATGAAGGAGCAGTGGCTTGAACAATTTGTCCATGCTGGTGCGCGATTCCATGATCAAATAACTCTTAGCATCCTCCATCTCGGACTTATCCACTTCGAAATGTTCGTACAGGATCGCCGTGACAGCCAGCGACGCGCGGGCAATCGGACATCGTTGGCGTGCGGGCTTGGTCGACTGTTCCAGGAGCATCTTCTGGAACTCATCTTGATGGCTGCGTACGTAGTCCGCCAAGTCCATCATGCCCAGATAGCCCACTTCATAGAATTCCGCGGTGGGACCCTCCGTCTCAAAGCCCAGTCGCCGCCACTTGTCGGGATGATGTCGACGGGAGCGTTTCGTCTCGTCTGCATTCTCCGGTTTCTCATCAGTGCTCCTATCCGGGTTGCTGGCGAGATAGACTCCCTTCAATGCCCGGCGATGCTCGGGCTTCTCCTGGTTCACGGGGATATCTCGCCACTTCCGCAGCAGCACTTTGGTGAGAGATTGAAACTCCAGTAACGGATGTGCAAGGTCCTGGAGCGCCGAATCCTGCATGAGGACATAGACGGCTCGAATCACACCCAGATCCTGCAGTTTCTGAATGAACTTGGGCCACTCCGCCTCCGAATCGTGGGTGATGGAGTCGCGCATGAGGGAATTGATCAGTTGGAGCGCATTGGCGCACAGGGCGTGGTCGGCAGAGGACAGGCGACTGACGAGCATCTCCAAGAACTGCGGGTAGATGGCAATGGCGGGTTTCAGGGCGCGGAAGCCGAACAGGCCCGCCTGCGACATGTGGCTGTCGGAGTACGGATGCGAGACGACCGAGACGAGGATGGACATGGCGCCGCGCAGGATGTTGACCAGCGGGTGGGTGACAATGAGTTCAACGATCTGGAGAGCAATCAGGTCAGTTCCGTTGTCTTCTTCGGTCCCCACGGGGCAGCGCTTACTCGCTCGACGAGCTCCTGATCGACAAACTCCCAGCCCTTGTCGACCTCGAGTAGGCGCGCAAAGCTGGTCAGACTGTAGGCCAGGGTGTTGCCGGTCGCATGGAGGGTCAGGTAGCGCAGGCGCGTCAAGCCACCCTCGGCGATGAAGACGTCGGCAAAGGAGGGATCGCCAATGTTGCCCTGCAGCTTGAAGACGGCCATTTTGCGGGCAGCGTCTTCATCGCTGCCCAGCCGTTCGACCAGCTCGGCGACGTTGACGTTCTCCATGGTTAGTGGAAAGAGAAAAAAAGAAAGAGAGGTCTGGGGGGAGGGAAGTTTTGCCGGGATGTTCAGGTCAGGGGCCACCGGTGGGTCCGATGGGGAGAGGAACTATGACAGAGATGAAGTATCAATTGCGTAAAAATAGAGAATCATAGATTATTTATAAAGAAGGTATCTGTCGGTATGTACATTTTCGTGGCTCGTTTGCTTTATGTTACTCATTACATGATTATATTGCCGTCCGACCTGCACCCTGCCGTGCGCAAAAGGTCTTTCATCTTGCCCAGCCCACGTTCCAGATGACAAAGGCTATGTCCCTCGCGCCGTTTATGGAGTCAACAACTCGATCCATCAAGCTCGCACTGGTCGCCTCGCCGTCCCCCTCGGGCATGAACCTGCTCGAGGACAGCGGCCGGTTCAAGTCGGTGTCTTCCTCGGGGGCAAACCACGGTCGATCTCGGTAGTAGTCGGCGGCCGACCCGTACTGGCCCGTGAAATCCAGACTGTCATCCTCCTCATCATCTAAGAGGAAATTGGCCGATGGCCGGGACGGCCGCAGGGTTTCCACGGACGGCGTGGGGGACAGAGATGGTGACGAGGACGGCTGGGCGGCCCACCGGTCGAAGATGGACTCGCGAGGTTCGGGGGGATCCTCTCGATACTTGAGGGTCGTGGATGGCAAAAGAGCAATGGTTTTGCCTTCACCGCTGAAGCTGTTGCGCGGGGTGCTGCGATTGCTGGTCGACGCCTTGCTCGGGGCCGATTGCCTCATCATGACCACGCCATCGTCCGAGGACGACTCGTCATCCACGGTTGCTGGCCAGTCAGCCCCGTCGTCGTCGCCTCCCTTGACCTCCACGGCAATGCACTGCACGACTTCATTATTAAAGTGGATATGGCGCCGCTCGCTGGGAGACGTCACGCCGGAGGAGGTCGCTGTGGTGCGCGTGTCACTCTGCGAATCCGTGGAACTGCCTGTCCGGAACTGTTCAATGTCGGTGTTAGATCGTCCAAACGGCGGCCGAGTACGGCTATGTTCGGCCTCCTGGGCCTTCAGAATGGCGCTAGCGTGTTTAAGAAGGGTATTTTGGGACAAAGATCTTTGAAGGATGGTCTCAGAAACGGTTTTTTTCTTTAGGATGGGCCTGGGCGTGTGGAGACTTGGAGGTGGAGAGAGGCCCGAGACGGTCGTGCTGCTGGTTGAGGTCTTCAACGGTCCGTAGAGCCAGGTGACGTCGCAGTCCTTGAGCCAGTTCAGCGTCTCGGGAGAGACGGTCCCGATTTTGTCTTTGGTCTTGGTCCAGGTTCGCCACGAAGCGTTCTCCAGCCGCACGCCATTGCTATATTTGTCTTTTCGAGAGGTGACATAGCGCCACGAGGCCCAGATGTCCTCTTCGGCCCAGTCGTGTGAGAGATAATCAACATGTCGGGATGGTGGTTCTTGCTCGATGGAGGTGTCATCGGCCGCTGGGCTGTGGACCGGCCACGGGGCTGGACTGGCCGAGGGAAGCTCGTCGAAGACAGGTTCTTTGGCGGTACGCCCTTCGTCATAGGAGGGCAGCAGCAGATCTTCGTCCTCTAGGGAGAGGCTGCTCAGAGTGGTATCCGGGGATGGTGGGATGGAGGAGAGGGTCGATGTGACCGGGCTGGGACACTCCCTAGGCGAGTCATGGTGTGGCATTGGAGGTTTGGGGGACAAGTCCTCGAGGAAGTATCGCTGCGCGGTCGGCAAGCGCAGCGGGTTGGAGGAAAAGCGCGAAGACTGGTCGTGCTGGGCGAGCATGGCAGTCATGGCGGTTGCGAGGAGTGGAGTCGGGACGAGCGCGGCAGCAGCAGCAGCAGCACGAAGGCTGAGGATCAGGATGCAGAACAGGCCATGGATGGAGGATTAGATACGAGGAGGAATAGGAAGAAGAAGAAGAAGAAGACGAGAATGTGGAGGGCAAATCCGGAGGGGAGTGAATAATAATAAAATAATGGGTGGCAAAGATAAATCTCTCGATCCGAGCGCAGCGATCGCTCGGACCAGCGCGGATTCTGGATCGGTGCATCGCACAGAGATCCCGGGGGGGAGCATAGCCCTCCCTCTCTCGCGTTTACGTCGGACATCATTATTTGATGGATGGTACAGATAAACTCCTCCTACGACGCCGACCTACCTCCCTGATTGGCGATCCGAACAAACCCCAGTGAGATCGAGGCTTCAGTGCACGACGCCCCCAAGGAGCTCGGGCCTCTGGGCTCTGTTCTGGACCATCCCCAGGCACAGATAACGCCATGCAACGACGCACTCCACTTTCCTAACGGCCATTGATGTTGCCTCCGACCAGGATGAATTGACTCTGTGCGCGGCTGGCTGTCCTCCGGTCTCTTATCATCTTCTGCAAGCCAACGGTTGCGCATGCAGGCAGGGTTTCACCGGACCGGAGGACCGTGGGATCAGAAACAGGAAGGGAGGGCGGAGGAAGCACGGCCAAGCGGGTGGGATTAGCTAAGTGATTATGTAACGGCGACCCGATCCCCTCGCTCGCCGCCCCTCGAGGAACGAATATGAGTGAACGACCCGACCTAAATATACATTATTCCCTCACCAACCATGACCGACGTGGCAGAGTCTGGCCCCCTCGAGCCCCAAGCCCGCCATGTTGTCTACTGTGGAGGTAAGAAAGTCATGACGCCATCCTGCACCCATCGTGCTGACCCGCTCAGTCTGCACTCTGCCGCCAGAGGTACGAATGGGAAAGATCCAAGCTCCAGGGTTGGGCCAATTAACCAACCATCCCCAATTATAGTTCTGCGAGTTTGGTGGCACCGCGAAGAAATGTGAGGAGTGGCTGAAGGAGAACCAATCCGATCTGTGGAATCGACTCTACTCCGAAGGTACGCGCTGCATCCGTCCACCTCTCCTCTCCCGGCGAGCTGACAACCCGGTCCAGAGGCCCTGAGTGCCAACCTGTCCACCCTCAAGGTCTCCGTCCAGGAACGGGCCGCCAAAGACGCCGCCAAGAAGGAAGCCAAGGCCGCGCAGAACGAGGCCCGCGATGCCGAGCGCAAGGCCGCCTCCAAGATCCAGATCAAGCGTGTCGAGCGGAACAAGCGCAAGTACGTCACCGTGGTCATCGGGTTGGAGGTGCACGGCCTGGAGAATAAAAAAGGTGGCCAAGGAACTGGGCAAGAAGTTCGCGACGGGGTCCTCCGTGACTAAGTCCCCGTCCGGCACCGAGGAAATCACGGTCCAAGGCGATGTGAGCGAAGACGTCAAGGACTGGCTGTTGGATGTCTACGGCAGCAAGATCCCCGAGGCCAACATCGAGCTGATCGAAGATAAGAAGAAGAAAAAGGCCGAGGCATAAAGAGGGAAAAAAGGGTATCATGACATGACCAACGTAGCATACACACAGGAATGAATCCACCACCGTTCACAGTTCTTCCAGCACGGTCAATGGATCGTGCTCCGTAGACGTAGCCGCGGCCCCGTGCGCCGCATCGAGGCTCGTGTGCGGTTGTTCTTGATGAAGGCTCTCGAGGCGATCGGCGAGACTCGATGGGTGCGGTATGGGAAAGCTTTCGGGTGCGTGGACGATACACTCCACGACCTCGGGGCTCGTCACGGGCAGCAGAGGCTGGGATGCCGGCCAATTCTGCAGGATGATGGCTAGTGCCAGAACCAATACCGCGCTGGTGACAATCATCCAGAAGATGCGCAGTCGCCGACTGACCCGCGTCTGCCATTCAACCTCCCTCCGCTCCCAGTTGTCAATTCCCTGCCGCACGGCTTCGAGCCGGTTCCCCAAATCCTCCACTCGCCGTCGGCCAGCCTTCATCCGTTCTGCGAGGGCGTCAGCTTTCTGCGCCTGCGGTTCAAACCCCTTCAGCTCATTGATCTGTTTTCGGATCTCCTGGTCCAACCCGGCCGTCTCGCGTTCAAAGTCATTGAGGAGGGTCGAGGCAGAGTCGGAGAGTTCCTGGAACGACCCAATGGTCGCACTGAGGGCCGTGAGCTTCTCCAATAGGTTGTAATAAGTGTAATCGAGTCGGCGCGTGACATCGGTGGCCTGGGTGCCTATCGAGGACAGGGCCGTCCGCAGATATCTTTGGCTGAAATCAGTCTATAGTTCCTCGGACCAAGCGACAACAAGCTTACTCTTCGCCCTGTTTCCGCCGCTTCTTAACCATATCGAGGTCATCCCGGTTCCGAATCTCCTGCTGCCGAATCGAACCGAGTTGATCTGGAAATTCGGGCACGTCCAAGGGACTGCCCTTCCGACTGCCCGTGCCCAGTCCAACCGTGGAGTCGGACTCCCAGCGAGAGGTCCGCGTCGTCTCGCGGGTGATTGGTCGCAGCAGCCCATCATCACTCTCCCGGTCCTTCTCTCTCCCAGACCAGGTTGGCAGCAGCCCGCGGGCGCTGGCCGCCGACGAGGCGAGGTGGCTCATGGGCCGGGGCAGGCGGAGCTCTCGCGACTTGCTGTGCTTGTGCCGGTGATGGGATGATTTCGCGCCGTCAAGGCCTAGCGGGTCGATCAGCAGCTGTCGTGGGGAGGGCCGGCGTCGCGAGTGGGGATCGGAAGTGTCGCCATGATCCGTGGGCCGATCCAGCTGGGTGCCTGCAAACGGCTGGTCCGAGGTCGGGAGCGCAGAGCCCGGGCTGGACCGGTGGCTCCGGGGCGTGGTTGCGCCATGGACGAGAGGGAAGGTGGCCGAGGCGCGGGTGGAGAGCGGCAGGGGATTTTTGAAGGAGAAGTCCATGTCAGGACATTCTGGTGAGGTTGGCGATGACGGGGGAGGAGGAAGCAAGGTGACGATGCTACGTGTACCTGAGGCAGCCAAGATCGGCACACAGCACCCATCACCAGCAAGTCCCGGGCACTAACTACAGGTAGCCTGGAGATACTAGGGGTATCCTGATCGATTTATTGGAGGAACTAGATGATTCAAATAGAGAACTAAAAGACCCGACCGAAGAAACGCCAACCAGCATGACTGTTGCTCATGAGTTGAGCAGTTTGTTGCGCTTCTCCCGTCGCTTCAACCGTTCGACACGCTTATGGTGCATCTTTTCGGCCATCTTCTCGTACCGCTGCTTCTCCTCCTTGGCCGCCCGGCGATCGCGGATGCGCTGAATCTGGGCCTGCAACCGTCAGCACCATCCATCGTGACTGTCAAACCGGTAATCATACCTGTCGCTCGGCCTCCTTCTCCTGTTTCATCTCACGCTCGCGCTCCTTGACAGCTTCCTGGGTCTTGCGGGTTTCTTGCCGCTTGGCGTAGGAGGTTAGGCCCGCGGTGGGACGGAAGGCCTTCTTGGGGGTGTGCCACTGCTTGCCTAATAGTTTGTGTCGTTAGTAACAGAGTCAGCCATGTAGGCAATGAATAGGTAAATCTAAATACCATTCTTGCGCAGGCCCGCAGGCCCCTCGGCTGGCGTGGACGACATGATGGATGGCAGACACGAAGTGGAGCGAGACGGACGAGTTTTTCATCATTATGGATTATTATCAGATCGGATCAGATAAGTGGTTTTTTTCTGCCTGAAAATTCCCTCTCGTTACACCGCTTGGCTCTCCTCTTCATCATTGAACCTGAATAATTCCCTCATCTCCTCTCACTCTTTCACATAAATACCTCACTCTTCCCACCCCGTGCCATATCATGTTCCAATAATTCTCTTCCACCCTCCCTCCTTCCCCTGGTGATCGCACTCCTTGATGGCCGCGGCGGAGCATGCAATCCCCATCATCGATGATGAAAGACCCATGGAGCGGCCGTCGCTGCCCCCCAACCAGGGCCTCGAGGCTGTGAAGGACATTGTCTTTGGATCGGTAGGACCACCTCCTGTCAGGTATCGGGCAAAGACTAACGGTCGGTGACTCAATAGACAGCCGGAATGGCAGGCAAACTCATCGAGTACCCCTTCGACACTGTCAAAGTCCGACTGCAATCTCAGCCCGCACACATTCCTCTCCGATATACCGGTCCCCTAGACTGCTTCCGCCAGTCCTTCCAGGCAGATGGCGTTCGAGGACTCTACCGAGGCATCAGTGCCCCGATGACCGGTGCCGCCGTCGAGACCAGCTGTCTCTTCTTCAGCTATCGCATTGCCCAGAACCTCCTGCGCTTATCCATTTACCCAGACACCGAGCAACTGCCATTCTCCGCCCTCGTGCTCTGCGGTGCGGCGTCTGGCTCGGTCACCTCATTGGCCCTCACCCCTATTGAGCTCATCAAATGCAAGATGCAAGTGCCCACGGAGTCGGCCGGTCTGAAAGCCCCAGGTCCGTTGGTCCTGATCACATCCGTGTTCCGCCATGAGGGACTGTTGGGCTTCTGGCGCGGACAGCTGGGCACCCTGATCCGGGAGACCGGAGGCAGCGCGGCCTGGTTTGGGGGTTACGAAGGCGTGTCCTCACTCTTCCGGAAATACTCTCACCAGTCCAGCGCCGAGAGCCTCCCCGTGTACCAGCAGATGATCGCGGGCGCCACCGCCGGAATTAGCTACAACTTCCTGTTTTACCCGGCCGACACGATCAAGTCGCGGTTACAGACTGAGGACCTCTCGCGGCTGCCGGTCAACAGCGAGCGGCAGACCTTCTGGAGCGTCGGCAAGACGCTGTGGAAGCAGCAGGGTATCAAGGGCATGTACCGCGGTTGTGGCATCACCTGTGCTCGCTCGGCGCCCAGCTCAGCCTTCATTTTTTCCGTCTACGAAGGATTACGACACTATTTTGGATGATGATGATGATGATGTTCTATTAGAACTGTCTGTGCGTTTGCATATAGACCCATATACCAATCTCGGGGCTGGATCTTCCCGACTGAACTCTCTATCTGTTCTATACCCAGCCATGTCTGATATGGAGGATAGACTACTACTCTCGACGACCCCTCTCTTTAGTTTGTTTCTCAACGAAATCTCTTCGGATTTGATAGAATTTTTTTTATTGGAATGAACAGGATAGAATTTCAGTCTTCCTTGGTTGTTGTACCTGTAATCGTTTAGACTGTCTCGGCCACTGCCACCATACTCACCCCGATATTACTGCGCTGTGTCTGTGCCGCATCGAGGAAGTCTTGGACGGTCATCGCCAGCCCTCGTTCTCCCAGCAAGTCTTCATCGGGCTGTAGCATCCCGCGGAACAATGGGCCTGGTAATCCCCCGTTTAACTCCCAGACCCTCCCATCGTCCATTTTCACAAATCCCACGAAATGGAAATGGTTGTCGTCCTGGGCCGAGGGAATGGACGAAGCACCCTGTTGCGCCGCATCCATATGCGCATCCTCCAGGAATTGCGACTCGTACAGTAACTGTGCTCGTTCCTGGGGCTCTAACCCAACCGCGCGCTTCATGAGCGTGTCCAGCTGCGATTGGGGTGTTACATATTTCCCATCCGCCAGATTGAAAACACAGTGGAGTAGAGCCATGAGGCCACAAGCATGGCCAATCGTCTGCTTCATCCACAGTACGGGCTCCTGGGGACCATGTCCATGGTATTCGGGGATAGTGGGCTCCACCGTGGTGCGAGCAGCATTATAGATAGGCTGGTCGCAGAGCAGAATCAGGGCGCGAATGGGCCGCGGAATGCCCGCGAGCAGATCGGACGAAGTAGATAGAATGTCATGAAAGGTAAGGGTTCGGGACACCCCGAGGTTGCGGCAGAGATGGCCCAGCACCTCCGGGTTGTTCTCGAGCGGGATGAATGTCTTGCGGCCGTTGACGATGGCGGCCATGGCTGTGGATGTATTATTGTGGAGAGTCGGAGAGGTGGGGACCGGTGTGTCCACATGGATTACATGAGCATCCGCTGCTGAGGACCTTGGCGACGGACCTTTGTTGGTTATAGTTCGGTATCAGGTCTATTGGCAGAGGTAGGATGTGATGACCACTACTTGGTTTTCCTTTTGATTTGGATTGTTATTTTCGGTTGAATGTGGCTAAGCTGGAGGAAAGCAGTGGCCACAACCCTGCCTTTCATCAGATCATTTAACTCCATTGTGAGAGATGCCTCCAAGGTCCTCGCACCCTCCCAGCAGTGGACCAGTGTCGCCCCAGGGACGAACGGATCCATTTGGCTTGTTTCACCGGAGCTTTTCTGCGGTCTCTGCGAAGTTATTGCTGTTAGCTGCCATGGCATGGCTGGGCAACCTTTCTCGATTCTGCTCAGCATCCAGCTACGGTTGCTGAACCATGAGATCTCGACCGACTTTGAGATGGGCTGTGGAAAGACACAATGCATCGGCTGGTCCATCTGTCTGATGGATCAAGCTTTTTCGTCCCACTACGGGTGCAGGGATAACAAAGACCTGCCCCAACTGGCTCTGGCTCAGCCCTATGGATCCAAATGCGAGCGTCTCATTGCTCGGTCCGCCCACGCGAAGTACCACCGTTTGAACTCCGTGACAGACACCTTGGAAGTTTCTGACCGGCGGCAATGGCCCTAGTCGCCCGGACCGCCCAAGGTCCTCTGGAACATGAGTTTAAAAACACTCGTTGATCCATGACTTTCACGCTCAACCTCCTCTTTTCTAGATTATCATAAAGGTTGACTTACCACCATGCCTATCTTCGATCCCTCCAATGTCAACCTGAACACGGCTAGCCAAGAAGACGTCATCTGCTATCTTACCGTCTCAGGCAACGACTACAATGGACAGCTTGGGGCACGTATCTCCTCCATCTTCGTGATCCTGGTCGTGTCCTCGGTCTTCACGTTCTTCCCGGTGATGTCCAAACGCATGCCAGGATGGAAGATCCCTCACGGCGTCTACCTCTTTGCTCGATACTTTGGAACCGGTGTCATCGTGGCCACCGCATTCATCCATCTGCTCGATCCAGCCTATGAGAACATCGGTCCGGGCAGCTGTGTGGGGGTCTCCGGAAACTGGGGCCAATATTCGTGGTGTGCTGCCATTGTTCTGACGTCTGTTGTCATCATCTTCCTACTGGACCTTGCGGCGGAGGTCTACGTCGAGCAGAAGTACGGCATTCACAAAGACGAAAACGCCACCAGCACCTTCATCAGCCATGAACATCATCTGGATGTGCAGCCGGCACCGGAGGCCACACAGCCCGCGCAGCATTTGAAACGAGCCGACAGTTGGAGATCCGAAGGGGATTCCATGATGGCTGAGCGATCCTTCCGACAGCAGATTGCCGCCTTTCTGCTCCTGGAATTCGGTGTCATCTTCCACTCTGTCATCATCGGTCTCAATCTGGGCGTCACTGGCTCCGAGTTTGCGACTCTGTACCCCGTTTTGGTCTTTCACCAGTCGTTCGAGGGTCTCGGTATTGGGGCCCGGATGTCTGCGATCCCGTTTGGGCGGCACACTTGGCTTCCCTGGATTCTGTGCTCCCTTTACGGTTTGACGACGCCGATTTCCATTGCTATCGGCCTTGGAGTGCGCACGACCTATAACCCGGATTCGAAAACTGCTGCAATAGTGCAGGGTGTGCTGAACGCCGTGTCGGCGGGCATTCTGATCTACAGCGGTCTGGTGGAGCTGTTGGCCCGGGACTTTTTGTTTGATCCGTGTCGTACCAAGCGGCGTTCTCAGTTGCTGTACATGGTATTTTGCACTTTGCTCGGAGCTGGAGTGATGGCACTGCTTGGTAAATGGGCTTAATCTGGGCGATTTTGTGCATACTTGACATGGACAGGTAAGAATGCACTTGGAGGGGTGATTACCTTGCGGCTTGCCCTCGGGAAAACCAATGTTTATTATAGATAGAAGGGCCATAGTCGCGGCCAACCTGTATAAGAAAACTTAATGGTATTATTCCTTGTAGTAGCTAAATTAAGCGATAAGGCTTTCATCCCATACGGTACATATCTGCACTCTCCGGCTAGTTCAGTTCTCTGGGTAAATGAAGTGTCACTGCGGCCTTACTCCGGGGAAATAGGGGCACAGGTAGAGTCCGTATCGCGTTGGGGGAGTGGATCGACTACGAGTACCTGGTGCTGGCCACCCAGTCGTCTGCTAAGCTGCCGTCTAGAGTTGGTCAACAGTAAGGAAATCAAAGTATACAGGTTATTCGAGATGAACAGAAGAGAATACAGCAAGCCAACGACATCGTTATCGTGGGTGGTGTTCCTGCCAGTATTGAGCTTTGTTAAAATCTCGGTGCCGATAACTATATATATATCTGGACCCCGTGGACGAATTAATTTATTTGCTAAATATTTTCAAGCCTGTAGCAAACCAACATGTTTTACTAGAACCCATCTGGTCAATACGACCGGAATTGGGATGGTAAGCCAGCGAGAGTAATAACATGTCCCGACATAGATCACACAAAACCGGGTGCCATCGGCTATCGGAGGGCGGTTGATATCACAAACCTCACCGTGTCACCTTCACGTTGAACGAACCTCTCCCACCCACCTCATCAGCAATGCCGCCCGTTCCCAACCCCGTCACAGCCCAGGAGCTGGAAATTCTCTCCACCAAGGCCATTGCGGCCAAAGAGCTCGCCTACTGTTTGTTTGCCACAACCCACCCAGCCTTCATCACAACCGCTAACTCTCTCTCCAAGGCGAATATTCCAAATTCCGTGTCGGAGCTTGTATCCTTACGACGTCGGGGGAATTCATCGTTGGCGCCAACGTTGAAAACGTCTCGTACCCCGTCGGGACGTGCGCAGAGCGTGTCGCCTTCGGTACGGCCATCGTCGCGGGCCACCGCGACTTCAAGGCCATCGCGGTCGCTACGGATATCAAGCCTGGAGCGTCGCCCTGTGGAATGTGCAGACAATTGTACGTTTCTCTCCTCTCTCTCTCTCTCTTTTTCTATCCCTCTCCCCGATTATTGGTCCTCATCTCATTCTGCCAGTATGCGCGAATTCACCACGCCTTCGTTCCCCGTCTACATGTATGACGGCGACGGCAAACACACCGTAATGACGATGGGCGAGGTATGTTCTTGATCTGGGTCCGTTTTGTCCAGATTTACTAACAGCTCCAGCTTCTGCCGAATTCATTTGGACCGAACGATTTGCCTCGGTGAGGAATGTTATCTAGAAGAAAAGCGATCTATTCGCGTCGTGAAGACTGCCGCGGTCTCTCGATATGCGTACAAAAATGCAAGAACCAAAGAAAAAAAAATTGACCTAAAAGAACATGGCCGGCTCGTAATGTCACATCAGCAGATCAAAATTCACCCAAGCAAAAACCCGTCCCCTGCAAAGCCATACTACATAGCCAGCAGGGAACACAGGTCTACGCCTCGTCCTCTTCTTCGTCCACGCCTAGCAATTCATCTTCGTCATCCACCACATGCGCATAGTCGCCCCGACGCGCAGCAAATGATCCACGCGTGGAGTACGGTCGCTGGTAGCCCCGGCTCCGGGCACGCATGTAGCCCGTGCCGCTCCGCCAGAGACTCATGACCAGCAGAGGTAGTGCCTGGGCGACTGCCACGACACCCGCAATAATCACGACCGGCACCTTGATCAACACCGAGTCTCGGGAGAACAGTCCCTGAGACGAAGATGCCGAATCACCCAACCGGATCTGGCCGAACTTGCCGTCCCACCGTGTGTAGACGTAGTATCCGGCTACCGCAGCGGCGGCGAACGGAATCACGATGGCGAAAAATAGTCCCACGCCGCTGATACCGTGCTTCTTCTGGTACTCTTCCTCCTTGTTGGGACAGGCATGCGAGACGGACTGATCATATTGCACACCGCCCTCGCAGGTCGTCAACGGGATTCGTCGATACCCTGTCGGTTCCCAGTACTCGACCAAGTCGGTATCTTCTTTGCATTGCTCCGAATGGTCAGGCTTAGGTAGACCCGGTACCAAGGCGCAGCTGCCATCTTTCTGCAGCTCGTAGTTGTAATCACTGCCATATCGTTAGTTTCAAGTCTTTCAGAAACAAAATCTTAAACTCACCATTCAAAGTCGGACCGGGTACAAGTGCAGTTCTTCCCAATGCTATGAACGTGTGGGTCGCGCCAGGTGTTCCAACAGTTGGCCTTGGGGTCCTTGCGATGATACTGCTCGACATGACCAAACAAGCAATTGCCCTCCTGGAGCGGATGCTTGGGCGTCCACAGGATATAATCACTCTTCCCGCCTTCCTCGTCCAGATCGCACGTCCGATCCCGCAGGCTATTAAAGTCGAGGCTGATGGTCTTGTATGTGCCCGACTTGGAGCTCTTGCCCCAAAGGAGGAAACGCCTCGAGACATCAGAGGGAACCGTGGTGATCTCATCGATTACCATGTCTTCATTCGAAAACGTAAATTCCTTCCACGAGTTGCCTTCATCCAGACTGTAATAGCCAATGGTCGCCGCCTTGCCGTCTGGAACGAGCACAATCACTGAGCCGGCAGCACCGTACTCCCATTGATATCGTCCCTTCTTAGCGCATTTCCAGGTGATTCCGCCATCTGTGGTAATGAACGTGTCCGCTTCGTCTTTGTCCGTCAAATGGTCACCAACGTTGCCGAGGCCAATCATCATCCCGATAGCGGATGGGGAGGAGAAAGTATCCCGAGGATCACTGCGCTCCGTAAAGCTATGGAGATGCAACGCGCAGTTTTCCGTGCCCTCACCCTCCGTCACACTGCACGCGAATTTCTTGCCATCCGCGTCTTTAGTGGGAGGTGCCAGTAGTGCCCACTCAGCACCATCGTTGTGAGTTATCATGGACCGGAGCTTCTTCGACGTCCCCTTCTTTTCCACGTCGTCAACGTTAGCCACGACGTTCACCACAGCAACACCCTCGAGACCTGCCATTCGCTCGAAATCAACATAACCGGCCAGGTCCCGGTTGACCGCACTGATGCTGAGAACAAAAGACGTCCCGTTGCTGTTGCTCTTGACCAAAGGGCCATATCCAGCGCCCTCATTGACCGTCACATGCAGGAAAATAGCATGGGTGGAGCTTGAGAGCACCGTGTACGCAGGTACATTGAGATTGAAGGGGAAGTGGGCGGCGGCGAAGATGTTGCCGTCCAAGCTCGAGCTGGCGTTCAAGTACTTGGGATTATTCGGGGAGAACGAGGCGACGACAATGAATTCCTCCATCAAGGCAAAGCCAGTGATATTGTTGAAAAGAACCGTTGGCTCCTTTTCGAAGTTGTCATCGCTGGACAGCAGTTGCTGGTTTTGTTTGAGCTTGTTCTCATTCTCGTACTGTCCACAAAGAATGCGTTCATCGTCCTCCTTGCCATTTTTGCGGCTCACAAATTCGCACCGGCCGACGGAGTCAAGAAGAAACGTCCATTCACCCTCACCGCGATGCTTGCTGATATAGGCCTTGGAGTAGTAGCTGTCCCTATCACGACCACCGGCATGCCCAGTCCACATAAGCCAATTCTTGTTGTGCTCGTGGAAACTTAGGGGGAACAACCCAGCCTCCCTTGTTGGCGGCAAAGGAGCCTCAAACTTCTTAATCTCGGATAGACCCCGGTCATAGGTGTAGTAGACCGTCTCGCTTTCTGTGAGGAAGAAGGCTGCCTCGTTGTGATGAGGGTGCCGGATGATCTGCGTGATCTGCTCCGACTTTTTCAAAGGGCGCTCCCAGGTCTGGCCGTGGTCGTGTGAGATGTGAAGTTCCCCTTGCTCGGTGAGCATGACAATTGTCTCATCCGACCCCGAATTACTCGCTTGGCGTTCGAGATAGAAGAATTGCTTCCACTTGGCCGGAAGCTCTTGTTCATACGATGCGACTTTCCCGTCCGGGACAGGTGTGTCCGTGAAATTGCCGCACGACCGCGAAACTTCGCCCTCCAGGTCCTCGCCACCTTTGCATCCGTTGCCGGGAATCAGGCGCCAGCCGGACGGCCCCTTGTAGTTGTCATTGGAATCTTTGCATTTACCAGCCGGGGGTTTCAAGGACATGGTAGGGATGCAGCTTTCTCCATCTTCACTGCGAACAAAGTTGTAATCGCATTCAAAGTCTTCCTTCGTACACTCGCACTGCGTGAACGTAGCATTTTGTTTCGAGAACGGTTCTTTCACAAAACAATCGGCATCGGATTTCCGGCGCCGGAAGGTCTGAACTTGGCCCATCACGCAATCCGGCTCGCCATTATCGTCGAGACGGGCCACCCAATCTTCGAAATCGTCATCTGGGTCACACTTGCGTTCGTGTAGACCGTCAAAATCAACGGAATAGACCATAGGTCGGGGATCGTCGTCAGTCGAAAGGGCGACAAGTACAAATATCAGACTCGTAGAATCCGGTGTTGTCCTTAGAGAGAGGGGCACAATATTGTGGTCTAATTTGATATGCTCCCAGTCCTTTCCGTGGTTGATAGAAAACATCACCTTGTTAGTCTTCTCATCGGGGATAGCAATGATCACTCCTCCCTGGTCACCAAACGCATAGAGGTGCGGGCCCTTGAGCGCTTGTAGCCAAGTGAGCCCCCCATCGTCCGAGACAAACGTATCGCCATCATCGTACTTCTCGAGTTGCTTGCCAGTGTTTCCCACGCCCATCACGAGGCCCGGTGCGGGACTGGAGAAGATCCGATTCACGGTTTTCCCTAGTTGTCGGTAACTCGTCATGGAATGGAGATGTAGCGGCTCCTTGCCGACCTTGAGTTCCTGGAATGTTCTTCCATCATCGAAACTGATGCTGCTGACGACATTCTTCTTCTTCGTTTCGGAGCCTTCGATGTCCTTCCAGTTTTTGACAGTATTGACAATGACTATGCCCTGGATATCGGCGACTTTCTCAAAATCCACCCATCCTTCGTATCGATTGGTGTGCTCGATGTTGCGTGTAAAATAGGTCCCGTTGGAGTTGGACGTAAACAGAACACCCATGCTACCATAACTGGTGGAGCCAAGGACGTCAACCTGCATACTGTATTCCGTACTCTCCAATAGCGTGAAGCCGTTCTCCTCCAGACGATGTCCGTCGAATTCCGCCCGATGCCACATGACCGAGTCGTCGCTTACGAACAGGGCCTTTTCATCGGTACCCCGAGACTGAACCAGGGCCACGAGATACTTCTTCACCGAGCCGATATCACCGACACCGCTGACCGTCTGACCCTCCTTCAGTTTCACCTCTGTGCCCTCACCGTTATGGAAGAAGTCGTCGGTGTAGACCAAGCGTTCACCGTTACCGCGCTTCAATGGCGGGACCAAGCAAAGGATTCGGGTTTTAATGGAGCTTGGGACGTCGACATTTCGTCCAAATTCGCGAGTGCTGGCCGCCCACGTGCACCGATCGGCCCTCTCCCTAAGCAGTTTTGGCTTCGTCTTGAAATTATCCGTGGTATATAAGGTGATCCCCTGGCAGAGGCCGGGAAACAGGCATTCCTCACCTCGGAAGATCACCATGTTGGAATCGTGGGAGTTGAAATTCAGAGGTTCGGGTCCAGGGAGTGCTGGAGCATCAAAGGACCTCCATGTCTTTGCCTGGTCGGTGGTGACCCAGTGTCGGCCATTTCTGCCGAGTGCGTAGGCACAATGGTCATCGAAAGGGTGTGGAAAGATGGTGTGGACTGCGCCAGTCATGCCTTTCTCCTCAGGCTTTTCCCAAGTCTTGCCGCCATCGAATGACGTGTGGAGATTATTATTCTTCATCTCCCAGAGTACGATTGTCTCGGTCCCCTCAAAGTAGAACAGGGCCCCGGGCGGGCCGTCGAATTCCTTGGGCGAGACATTGGGCTTGTAATCCTTTGCCGCTGCTGACTGGAACGTGTAGGCCAGCAGCAGGCTCAGCGTAAGCAGCAGCCACCGAGGCGTCATGGCTGCTGGGTCTCGGGCATCTGTTGGGGGGTAATCGCGTCGAGTGTAGCTATAGAGCTGCCTGCGGGTCGCGGATCAAGCCGGAAGACGGCGAGGGTGAATCGTTGAGGGGGTAGGAGAGAATCACAAGCCAATGGATGAAGGAAGGGAACCGAGTCCCGTAAAGAATTGCAGCGAGACAAAAGGCGTGAGATGAGGTAGAAGACTGCGTGAGGAAGATGTGAGAGCGGCGTCGTGGCCTAGAGCTCCGGCGGTCACGTGCAGACTCGTCATCGCCAAGCACGCAGTATACAGAACGTCTCAAAGTTGGTGTCACCACATACACTCTTCGATTCTTTCACAGCCACTAATGTCAAGACGCACTAGGTCATAGATCGAGTTTGTCCGGAACCCGCCCCTGTCAACAGTGTAATGTGTTTTGCAGAAGAAAATTACCAGGGCGGCAGCAGGTTGTAATCGCGCGTACCTTTAATACACCCGACATCCCAATTGCGGTTGCAGCTTTTCTACGACGTAAGCATTCATCGATTTACACTACTCCTACCCTTGCATACTTTCCATCCTGGACTTTAACAGTTCTATATATTCTAGCTGCTAATGAGCCAGTTTGCCGGATTTTGGACGCTGACCGTCACTGTGTGATTAAAATTGTAGCTGCAACGTATCGTCCAGAGGGCTCAAAGGCATGAGGTAAGGACTGGGCACAAAGATAATGCATAGGTTACAATACGAATTTGTCCATCCAAAACTATACTTGTAACAGTTCAGTGGGACTCGCTTGCAGAATGCCGCAATCAATCCAAGGGAGTAGGCGATAATGTTGGTGGGAAGTCCCAGAAGCTGAAAGAATCAAAATTAAATTCCGATGCCTGGAATTTGTCAACGAAGGAGATGTATATTAGAGGATTCAAGAACTGACCCAAAAACCCGGGCTTAAGCTCGACGCTATGGCACCCTCAGAACTCGAACGATTCATGTCTTCATCGGCCAGTGTCCCATCAGTACTAGCATTATTCATTTCATGAGCAATGAACTCCTGAAGAGAGGACCGGCAGGTCCGCATGCTCTTTAGAAGAGCTTGTCGAATCACAGCATTCTTTCCCGAGTCTCCATGGTGCGCGGCCTGGGCTTGGGCAAGTATTCCGCTTAAGAGACAGTACCGTTTCATGCTTGGTATTCCGGCTGATATACTTTGACAAAGAATGGATTGTATGCGTTCGAGTGCCAGTACCAGTGGCGCACGGGTATATTGCGCCATTTGGTCGATGGCACCGGGCGCTTCTTCATTTAAGCATGTAGGTTCCCGGGACAGTGTTTCTTCGGTTTGCAGCATGAGCTCTAGTCCGATAGTGACTATCACGTCTTCAGAAAAGGGCCCTTTGAATAGGCCCGCGCCAGAGAGACAGAGCCGGTGGAAATCTTGTGTTGCTTGCTGAGATATGGTGTCGGGGCTATTGGGGTTCTCAGCGTATGACGCGATCACTAAAGCAGAGTCAAGGCTGAGCTTGCGAGAGAGATAGAAAAGTGGGTCTTGGATGGCCTTCAGAGCGAATGGTCGGTAATGGTTTAGCAGAGTACGGTGGAGAAGAGTGTTGAGAAGCCGGTAGTGGAACAGAGTTGGACCAGAATCGGACCCGGCCGTCTGTGCAAAGTAGCCGTGGAAAAGCTCCGCGAGTTCATTGGAGGCTGTGCGCAACTCTGTGCCACAGTCCAGCGCTGCCTCATATGACTGGTCGTTATTGCAGTCATTGAGGACTTGGGATATATGCAAACGGGTTGAAAAGGAACGTAGAAGGGCGATCTGCAACGCCGAGCTTGTGTATCTGTCCTTGGGCTTTGGTGATGGAAGACTTTTGGAGCATTTAGCAAAGTCCTCATCATTCAAGTTGGATGGCGGCTTTGTGTCAAATCCGTGAAGCGTCAGAAGAGGAGGCATAGATACGTCACTTGAGAATTGCACGTTCAATTCAAGTATGGTGACCCATATACGCCGCCTCATTTCTCCTTCGAAAGGAGATATGGACGGAAAGTGCCCTGGATCTCGATGGAGACCTTGACCCATTGCAAGCCGCAACAGCGAGCCCGCTGAGTTCCATGTCGCCTGCTTATCTATTGCGTAAGCGTGGCGGCAGAGAAGCAGCAGGCAATGAACTTGCAAAGCCTCGAGATTCCTAGTTTCTTTGGAAGTCGGGCCGGTTAACCACCATTGTGCTGCATGGACCCAACGCCGGATGGGTAAACGGAGATCATTGGTTGGCCCCGGGTTGGAGTGAAATATAGATCCAATGGCAAGGACTAAAAGCAGCTTCAATAAGAATGCCTTGGACGCCGACTGGGTGTGTTTCCAGAATTTTGCATAATCTTCGTAGAAAGAAGGTATATGTAGAACTCTGAATGTAATTTCTAATGTCCGTAGATAGCACTTGACGAGCTGGTCGCATTCGTCTTTCGGCGGTAGATCCTCTAGCAAGCATGGGACCGGATCGATCAGCGGCGGTGCCTGCCAGCTTTTGATGATAGATCTCATCGAATGAGTTTCCCGAAGTAAGTTACCGACGTCGGTTTCGGCATGACTAGCTGTCCTACGAAAGTCGCGGAGGTAATGAAGCTAACAGCCGTTAATGAAGCGAAACCCCTCCACTCCGCTGACTCGATAATTACCTGTTGGAACATATGGGCCCAATGTGTGCTCCCGAAAAACTCAGTCTTATCACCCTGGAATTTCAAAAATGGGACCAGGGGGGGGATCAAGGTCCGTGATGAAGGCTGTCGATCCGGTCTGCTGTTCCGCTCCAGCTCGTTCACGCGATTATCAAGTTCATTCAGAAGGTGGGTTATTCCCGATATGTCATCTTTCGTATATCGACAATCGCGACTAGGATTTGCGGGAATCCCATGTTCCAAGTTTTCGACCCTATCCTGAAGCATACGCACACTGTGTTCGAACTGGGCTGGTCGGGCACCGTCGACATAGCCATTCCTAGCATCGAGAGATGCCCTCTGAGTACAAGGGACCCGCAATTCAGGTTCATCCTCGTCAATTGCAGACGACCCAAGCCGAGCATCCAGGACGGCCTTCCCTTCATGGACATATGAGCATGCTAAGGCTGGTCGGGTCTTCCTGCATGGTCCGCAAGGCATCTCCCGATCGCATCGGACCTTGCGCCGACGGCATTGCTCGCACGACAACGCGGGGCGCCGTCGCTTGCGGGAAAAGGACGGCGTATCGTGGTTGGTCATTGTAATCAGTGCGCAGTGACACCTTTTTCTCCAGGTAGGGGGTTTGGGGACTCGTGTTAGGGGTTGGACAAATTCGGCAAATCCACGTCGGTCTTCCGCTGAATTCCCGAAAATCCCGGGTCAGTGCGGTTCCCCGGTCGTGCCCTTTGCGGTTTTACTTATTTGAGCGAGTGAGATGCACCGCAATTGAAAAGTAATAGAGCTATCGAAAAAAAAAGAATCTCGGATAATTTACAGAAAGAGAAGTCCTTTTCTAGTTGAGTGCGTTCCACCTTCGCTTTCTGCAAACAAGATCTCTCCGTGGATCCAGCTGCTCTCTTCATAACCGTAATGTGATATAAAAGTTCGTATTGCCAGTTCCATCAACCGAAGATCGTCTGCAAGCGCAGTAATACGTGTATCGCTTACTTCTCTCAAACATGGAATGGAATCTTCATTCTTGTATGAAACAGTTGTGCTATTCCCGTCAACTCCAGCCTAATCCCTCAGGATCTCTTCATACTCCGGTAGGTCCCACCCCTTCACCGGTTGATCCAAAAGTAGTCCGCCCAGTAGATCCAGCCTCAAGTATGATGCCAGCCACATGAGCCAATACAAAATGGCGATGGTGAAAGGCGACCACTGTATCCTGTCGAAAACACTTGGATCACCAACACCCTTTTGTATTTGGCTCATGAAGGGCCGAAACTTGGTATCGTAAGCCTGGAATGCTTTTACATGACAGTCCTTCGTTTCTTCACTTTGATCATCAGGGCGTCCACAATGTCTCCCAATTTCTCCAGCTAAGATATAAGCACCAACCATAGCACTAGAAGTGCCCATGCCCGTACTTGCTGAAGGACAGGAAGCGGCATCTCCAAGGAGCACCACGCGGCTTTGATACCACGGATCCAACTTAACGAGACCCTGACACTCACAGTAGAAGTCCTCGGCTTCCATAAGCGACTCTAAGATCTTGTCTACCTGCCACCCCGCGCCTCGAAAAACCTCTGCAAAAGCCTTCTTTTCCTCGCCAATATCTCCTCTCTGAACACTTTTGAGTCGTTCGGTGACGCTCTTGCCGGTCAAATAAACTTGGATCTTTTGCGAATCATGCCTTCGAGTCAAAACGAACCGTCCCTCCGGCGCAATGTACGATGTGGCGATGTACTCCTCTCCTTCTCTCATTGGCTGAGGAATCGTAAAGTATGCGACGTACTCGTCGAACGGGTGAAAAGCGTCCACAACGCCGGAGCCAAGCATCATCTTGCGGGTGCGTGATCTTTGGCCGTCAGCACCGACGAGAATGTCGAACCAGTCTGTCTTCCCATTTGTGAATCGGACCTTAAGACTGCCACCTTTTTCTTCGAATTTCTCGATCGAGATACCAAAGACATATTTCACCCGGTCTTTCGCAACATTGTACATAATCCGGCAGAGATATCCCCTCATTATCTCGAAGTCACTGGTAAAGCTTTGCGACCCTTTTCCGGATTTGTTTGCAGGAAAGAAGGCCCGCCGTCTCCCTAAACTGTCGACCATCTGCATGCCCTGCTCCGGAACAGCATGGGAACGAAAGGCGCTCTCGAGACCCATGCGCTTTAAAACCTCAATTCCATGACCCCGTAGATCTAGCTGGAGGCCGCTGGTTCGGAGATTGGGGAATCGTTCGACAATGGTGATCTCATGGCCGAGCTTGGAGAGCCAGAAAGCGAGGGCATTGCCGGCGATCCCTGCACCGCTGATGAGGACTTTTAATCGCGCCATTTTCTGTTAGTTGTTATGGGCTCTTCAATCGTGATTAAGCTATCACCGAAGCCGCTCAGCTCCTGTCAAGATGACTGAGACAGGGATATCATCCAAGAAAGACTTCCGTGTACTGACGTCCAACCATCAATATCTTAGATTTGTGAGAGTTTAAAAAAAAAACTGCTAATAGGAACTCTTGAGAGGGGTCCCACAAGACGGCCCATTATTATAACAAGGCTACCAATTTGAATATAGCGAAGACCGAATAAGGCGAAGACCGAATAGTAAAGACCGAATATAGCGGAGACCGACGATAACGGAAGGCTCTAGGAGACGGTAAATGACTATTTGATCAAATATCGGGCGTTGCAGAGGCGAAATAACCTGTCGCGGCAGGAAGCAATATAGCGAGAGGCCAGATCATGCGTATCATGCGAATGCCTGTCTAGTTAACCTTTTTTTAAAGCTGGACATCTCCCGATGACACTCTATCAATACAGTGACCCAGATATAGACTAGCCCATCTTGGCATTAGTGGCTGAGAAGGAACCGGAGAGGGTAACTAAGTGGTGACAACGGTTTCGGGACGTACTACTGTGCGAGAAGCATGATGTATTCTTTATACGATGATTATTGTGGTAGCCAATAATATTTGAAATAGGTTCAATGCACCAAGGAGTAGATGTTCGAAGCAGCATATATACAGGGCGCCGCAGGCACAATACATAGTAACAAGGCCGGCCAGGAGAAGTAAACCCATCGCTGCCGATGACAACATCCTTCACAGATAAGAATAACAATAGACGCCATGGATGTGAAAAGAAACTCGCACGCTCAAATGACAGACGGCACTCAACAGTGTAGGGTATTTTTTAAGGAATGGAAAAAAAAAATAGAAAAAAAATCAGGGTATTCTTTTACGCAGCTTCTTCCACATCTTCTTCACAACGTGGTCATCCAGGTCCTCCCAGATTGACACACTGCGGTCCGCGGGTGGTAGCTCTGCCAGCCGCAGGGGATCTTCCGTGGAAGATGCTGACGGAGTGGGCGACTCGGTGCGCAGATCGGGTCGCGTCAGCGTCATTTTCAGGGTCATCTCACGGTTGCCAGGGAGTCGCTGCGGCCGCAGCGCTGGTTTTGATCCCGGAAGCCATGACTGGCATTTCTGTACGGATTGCGGCGGAGTGGGTGCCATCTGTTGCGGATGGGATGTGGGTGTTTCCTGCATCTGCTGCGGCGGCGCAGGTTCTTCTTCCACCGGCTCGCCGGGGCTCCCCACGACAGATCCATCGTCGTCTTCGAAGAACGTGCCATAGTCACGGGAGGGTCGAGCGACCTTCTCGACACTGGGCTCTGGGGCCACATTCTCTTTATTGTTGTTGGAGTCGTCCTTCTGGTCCACAGCGGGAAATCCAAACTCTATGGCTTCATCAAACTTTTGCGGAGATGCTAGATAAACGCGCAACTTCAGCCGAGCGTCCGGATCCTGATAATACTGCGCCGCGGGATCGATACTCGAGGTGGACGACTTGGGGATGTGCTGGACTGATCGATGGCGAGATGCTTGACGAGAGCCCGGCCGAGACATGGAGTGCCGGTTGTTCAGCATGGAGAGAGGTTGGGCAGAGTGACTGGAATCCGGCAGGGGGCGAGACATGGACAGCGCCGGTTTGCGCATAAAAGAGCTGGTGAAGGACATGGAGCGGCGGAAGGAAGGTCGCCGGCGACTGCCCGGCTTCACGGCCGAACTAGCGACATGGGAATGGTACTCATCCAAGGACAGATCGAGATCTCCATCCTCGTCCAGCCAGCGGCAGCTGTCGTAGAATGAGTTGTCCATATTTTCGGTCGACTCGTTGTCCGACTCGTCGTCCGACGAATCCCAGAAGACGGCAGAGTGATTCGAAACGGGCAATGTCGACTCCGAGGGGAGACTGTCAATGGACCGACGGCGGTGATTTTGGTCGCGACGGTAAAAGGCCTGGTCGGCGGCGTCAAGGATGACGCTCTCCCGGTAGGCACGACGCAGCCTCCGGCGCTCTTCAGGGGAGAACAATTGTTGTTGCAATTTAGCGGGCAGAGCGCGGAAGCATTGCGAGTCTGCCTGAGTGGCCAGGTGGGCCAATTGATGGGAACCCGGTTTTCGCAGCTTCCTGGGGTGACGGGAGAAGGAAGAAGATTGTTTCAGGGCTCGCCGGGCGGGCACTCGCGGATGGAGGGGGCCAGGCCCCCGAGAGTGGGCGAGGCGATAGGCGCGGCCATGAGGCTGGCAGCAGGCAGGGGAACCGTGATCGCTTTGGTCTAGCCGGATCCGCAAGCGCTCGACATTCGAGAAGAACTGTATGGAGCGTCAGCGGTGAACAGTGGAGCGGCCAGTGGATCCGAGCGGTGCGAGGACGCCAATGCCCGTGAGCAACGGCGTCCAACGGGGGCCGCCATGGATGATAGCGTGGGCGATAGTAGTTAGCCAGCTCCACCGCGAGTGTTCAGGGGCGCTGTCACAAAAGGACGGTTGCCTCTCCGGCCACTTCTGGGCAAATCCTCCGGGACTATTTGTTGACGGGAACTCCACCAACCAAGAGAAAGAGGAAGGAGCCTTACCTTGCGTCTGACGGCGGGTGGGAGAGACTCGAAGTCCTCGGTCATCATGGGGGAGGGCATAGTTAAGAATGATCGAGTGGTTGGTCGGTATAGAGAGGGGAACCGGGGGAAACTTAGGGCTGGGATGGGGTCGAGGTATAGAGTGAATCACCAGTTCTATCCAACACCCAGCGTGCTTATCACCCAAGGGCCCTCCAGATAATATATACCTGCGCTGATGCGGCGTTTACAAAGATGTCCAGAGCGATGCCCGACATGTAGCACTGACCCTGCCAAGATGTGATGTGATACGAGATCTATTCCTAGACCTGTCACTTCTGCGATCCCTTTGTGACCAGTCACGAACGGTTTGTTCTCGAGCTAGCATCGGTCATGAACCTAACTCCTAGTGCCGCCTAATGAGGTGTCACAGCGCAGGAACCCTCACTGCGGTGTTAGGACACAGCGTAACGCGGAGACTTTTCTTCGCGCAAGGGATGAACAGGGGGCGTCGGACAGACTGTCCATCGTTTGACCTCTATGCCAGGACAGCCCTACCGCGCGAAGTGAAACCGGCAATCCGAAACCGGTCGATTCGCAAGTCGCCAATCGCTGCCAGCCACATCTGGGAGGGGCAATTAAACGTCTAGCCTAGTTGTTCATCCGATGAGCGGTCAAAGATTATTGGTTGATTAAGGAGGTCATGGCGCCTCTCTAGGACATCGTAGAAATTTCCCCCAGGTTGGTCTATAGTAGTCAATGATCGATCCCTTTGCACTCACAGCGCATTGAGCACCTGCTGCATCGCCACCGTATTCGAATCCTCCCGCCGTGACACATACGCCCGCACTTCCTGGACACTGAGTTTGGCCTCCACCTGAGCCCGAGCTCCAGTCCCAGACCCGCCGGTGGCTCCGCTGGCAGCACCCCCGCGGATGCGCTCGCGCAGGGCTTCGGTGCCGATGACAAACAGACTGCCCACTTCCAGAAGTACGTCCAGCGCACCCCCGGGCCCCCGCGGCTCGTCATCAATGTCCCAGGATTTGAGCAGATCCGCATACTGGGTCATGTCCTTGGTCACCATCAACCCGCCGGGTCCGTTCACGGCGAACCGCTTGAAGTGCTCCAGCAACAATCCACGCGTCCCCAGCGCGATTTCGGTCAGCACTTGACGGATGTTGGCCCCGCTTGCTGGCAGCGAAGTCCGCGCGATGTTGTGCAGGCGACCCAAAAAGGTGCAGATCGAAGCGCAGGTCTAGAATTGGCCACATCCTTAGTGTTCCAATCCTCAAAACCGGGGAAAAAAAAGAGGCAGAACTTACCGGCGTCTGCAGCTGTTCCAACCACGCGGCGTTATCCCCTTCCCGGGGCCGGAAGTCGTTCTTTTTCTGCCCGGAGAGCAATCGACCGACCCAGGCCAGGGTTGCATCGATGGTTTTCTGCTCGATCGAGTTGATCTTCTCTTCAATGCCCGCCGTCCTCTGGCTGGTCCGCTTCTCCATATCCCGCCGGGTGGTAATGCTCGCCGTCGCCAGTGGAAGGAGCACAGCATGAACGCACATCACCATCAGGGTGGTGATGCTGATGGTTGTCCGCACCGACGGTAGATACGCAAAATCAGGCTCTGTCTTACCCGATTCTTGGGTGGTGGCCGCTTCCAGGGCGGCGTCAAGACACACCTCCACATACCCCTCGCCCATGTTAGTCAGGAGCAAATTCAACAAGGCAGACACATCTTTGTGCGTGTCACTGTTGACGCTTAGCTCCAGCCCGCGGCCTACAGCCTCCGCCAGCCACTTCAGCATGCGCTTAGCATCACTCAAATTCGGCAGGCCATCTTCCTCGTTCAGCTTAATCTCAGCCAGTCGCGCCGTGTCGGGGACCTCTCCTATCTTAGCCAGTTGTTGGAGCATCCGGCGCTGAAAGGGTGAGATGTCGGGTGACTCCAAGCGATTGATAAATCCATCACGGGAGCTTGACAGAAGTTCTGTTTCCTGCCGAGACAGTGACGCCATGAAGGTGGTTGCCGCCTTCTTGCGGCGGGCATGAAAGGTATGGAATCTGAACAGCAGGGCATTAAACAACTCCTCCAAGGTGCGCCTCTCGCGTTCAATGTAGGATGATCCAACAAAGTATGGAACGAACAGCTCCTCCAATTGCTGATCAAGTAGCAGCGCCGTCTGGGATGAGATCGTGTCCGGGTGCTCGGTCAGTCCGTGCGCCTTCAGGTCGTCAACCAAGGTACTGATATAGCCCCGAGAGCTCTGTAAACACCGTAAAAATGCCAATGACGAGACTCCACTGGCCTTTTCCAGGACCATTTCGAGTCGTTGCTGGATCGACTGCTGGAAGACTCGTTGCAAGAACTTGCCCAGGACTTGCTCATAGTACGGGAAGGCCCGCCGAATGATGGCTGACTCTTCCTGCACCACGACCTTTACCTCGTCGATCAACGACTGCAAGCTGGACTCGACTCCGGGAAGCTCGGCGTCTGGATCGGCCAGTTTCTCCCATGATTCCGGGTCGCCGCCTACTTCCTCTGTGACCAGCTGACTGCGGTCGATGAAGAACTGGTGTTGATTGACGAAGAGGGCGATGACGCTGGCGCCACCGTTGAAATCCTGCAGCACATTTGCGCAGTCTCTCATGCCCTCGAAGTTGGCCTTGCGGTAGAAGTCATCAAACTGCTTCAGCAGGTCTTTCTCAAGAGTTTCGGAGAACTTTTCAATGATCTCCCTCGTATTCCGCCGCGGTGTGCTACCTTCGGAGTTCAGTTCCTCCGATGATGAGTCGTTGGCCGCATATCCATTGGTCGTGCCTGCATTTTCGTGCCAGCTCTGCGGGTCCAACCGCTGGCTAATTCGTAGCAGCTGTCGTGCAATGTGTGCAGATCGCACTTTGGCCTCTCCTGTGCCAGACCTCCGTAGATTCTCCAGCAGTGAAATCTCGCCCCGATTGCAGACCCCCTCCCAGCACTCGAGCAGGAAGTGCGCATCCAGGGCGCGCCGTCGTTGCCGATCGAGCTCCTCTAGTCTCTTTCCGGTTTCCACGGCCATGTTCCCGGTGCCGCCTGAGCTCTCGAGCCCCCCTCCCGAGCCGTTCAACGACGTGTCGAGCTGCTGGAAGGACTCGATTGTTTGCCGAAGCTTCCGGCCAAGGGTGGTGAGGTTTTGCGAGTGTTGCGCCTCTGCGCGGCGTACAGCGGCAGACAATTCATTCTCGCGGATCTCCAGGTCGCCTGAGAGCTCGCCCAGGCGCCGTTGGGCATGTTCGAAGGTTCGGATGAGGGGCTTCGGATCGAACGGTTGGTTGGAGGCGGCGGTGCCAGTTGCCGAGCGACGACCGGAGATGGCGCTGTCCGAAAGCGCCTCGATGAACTCTTTCACGATGAAATCGCGGCTGGAGAAGTCCTCGAGGGTGAAGCTGGGGCCCTTCGGGAAGATGCTGCGGGCGGGGTTTGAGGACGCAATGGATGCATTGTCGGGCATCATGGCGAAGGAAGTGACTTCATGGGGGCACTGCGACAGGTGTGGGGGTGTGCAGCTTCCTGGGGTTGTGGGAGGGAGTGGCAGAGGCAGAGGGAGTTGAGTGTGGTGAAGGAGGAATCTGGGGAAGCTGGAATGGGAGGTTGGTTGGTTGAGTGAGTATTGCCACGGAGGATGCGACCACGCACTGAGAGATAATAGAGGTGCATCAGTATGACAATTATCATGATCATGATCATCCTCATCAGGGGAGGAGCTGTTCAATGGGGAGATGTCTATGATCTATAGATTGTACGCTTGTAAATCTACGTCGTTCGTTAGTCAATCCTGAGAGCTGCTGGCATTGTATATATATAAAGTGTAGGCCTAGAGAGATCTGGTAAGAGAGAATAATAATCAGATCATGTGTTTTTTTTTTTGATCGGACCGAGGAGCATCCCGACATTCACTAATATTCATTTTCAGGTTATATCATTTCCTCCTAATTATTATTATTATTACCGTGTTCTTTTCTAGCCTGGGTTCACTATTCAACTTCTTTTCGCGGCCACGTCCACTTTTCCACTTGACACACCACCACCACCAAACTACCACACCATGGTCTCCAACCGCCAGATCCTGCGCGATGAGATCCGGTCGCGAGGGGCCAAGCTGAGTGCCGCCGACCGCGAAAAGCTGATCCGACCATATCTACCCGATCCCTCCGAGCTCTCAGACTCCAAAGCCAGGCCGTCGACTTCCACTTCCTACGCCTCCCGGCGACAGAAGACGCCGCGCAAGAAGCCCATCCGCACATTCCTCAAGTCGCAGCTGTACCAGCTCTCCTATGCTCTCACGCACATCATCTTCGGCCTCGTCGTGCGAGTAATCCAAGCCTACCATGCCGTCGTGGACCGCGTCTTCGCCGTCGTCTACCACCACCACCGCACCCCCGAGCTCATTCGCAAGGATGTCCGCGGACTGAAACGTCTCCCACAGCACCTGAGTGTCATACTGACCCTGCGCACGGAGGAAGATGCGCTGGCTGTCTTGATGGATGAGGTGGCCGAGTTGGCGGCTTGGAGTGCCTGCGCGGGCATTCCCCAACTAAGTGTTTATGAGAAGACCGGCACGATCTCCTAAGAGCTGTCTACCGCAAACAGAGACTAATTAGCCTAATAGGAGCCCTCAAATCCTGTATACCCGCCTTACACCAGATCATGACCACCAAACTAGCCTCATACTACGGCTCGCCGTCACAGCAACCAAGCCTACAACTCTTCGCACCCCACCACCCGGTGCATGGCAGTGCACCAAGTCCCAAATCTGACAAAGCATCCCTCACGCTCCTCCTCCTCTCCTCCACCGACGGCCGCGAGACCTTTGTTGACCTGACCAAAACCCTGGCCGAGATGTCGCAGAACGGCAAGCTATCACCCCAGGACATCACGCCCGAACTGGTCGATGCGGAGATTAGCGAGATCACGACTCAGCCATTACAATCTGACTCGGCACAGAGCAGTGCCTTGTCCTTCAACCCCGAGCCGGATCTCCTCCTGGTGTTTGGGAATTTCCTGAAACTGGACGGGTACCCACCCTGGCAGATTCGGCTGACGGAGATGTATTGCACCGGTGATCGCAGTTATGGTACGACTGGTTATGGGGAGGCGGTGGAGTATCAAGGGTTCATGCGCGGATTATGGCATTTTGCCGGCGCGCAAATGCGATTTGGCCGGTGAGGGACCAGAACGGAACGGTGTGAGATTCGGCTTCGGCATGTCAACCCTTGTTCTTATTATGTTGTCTATCAAAGGTACACTTGCATTGGGGGTATTCCAATATCAGAGATTAAACGAAAAATGATCATTACACATACTGGGGCTTGTGCTGGTTCATATCACCATAAGAAAGAAACATGAGTGGTATCAATGCGATGCTCAAAACAACTGTAGATGATATGAAAACAGATATAAAGGCAATGCAAGCGAACGGACTCCGGAAAAGCTGCGCAAACATAAAAAATCAATTAGCTTCGTAGGGTCATTGTCGTCATGAATATAAATGGGGTTGTCCGTAAAGGGATTCGCAAGGCGTCTATCCACTCATGCTGGCATGCTGCACCCCATTCGGGTTCTGGGACCATGGAGTCTGCCCAACACACTCGAGACAGCGCACGGTCTCCACGCCAGTCTCAGTCAGGCCTTCAACGGCGCAGCTGGAACAGATTTTCCGCTGAATCGTGGAACCTCCTTCATCAAAACGAGGATCGTGCATTTCCTGACCTGCACAGACGGGCGAGTCGCATTGCCGGATACAGATATAGCAGGCTCTCCGACTGCACAGGTCGCAGTCCGCATACGCATCCAGGAGCCCCCGGGTTGTTGGTTTGCGGTAACAGATGTGGCACGGGCGCAGGGACGAGGCCGATGCAGAATGGTAGGAGAGTGGGACAATGGTCTTTGGGGAGACCGGCGGAGAGTATAGATCTGTAGGTGTGCTGTAGACGTTGGGGAAGAGCAGTTTCGGCGAGTGGGATGGATAAGAGAGATCATCGAGGTGCCCCTGTTGGAATGGCTGCTGGTATGGCGGAATGGAGAGCGGCTGCACATGTCGGCGTTTGCGTGGAAGACAGCGAGGGCGACATGATGAGAGGTCACCTACTTCTGCAGTCGAAGAGTAGGAGTGTTTTGACAGGGGCAATTGGCAGCCGTTGGGGTGGTCTGGAAGATCGACTCGGTAGGAGAATGGCACGAAGGAGGTGCTATGAGAGAAGCCATGTTAGAGAAGAAGAAGATGTGAACAGTAGCAAAACAAGTCACTTACGAACAAGTCAGCGTTACTCCGTCCTCATGGTCTCTCTTGCGTTTCCTCCAGCTAATGGGGTCCGTCTGCTCAGAGGAGAGGCCAGGCATGGGGGAGGAGGGAGGGCGGTATTCGAAGCAATGCATGAGCTGGGCAGAGAAGAGAGGAAAATATATCTCGGTATGCAAATAATCTTGACGAGACTGAAAAGGAGAAAAAGAGAGAAGGAATAATGAATCCTGGGAAAACAAAAGAACCAACAAGTCACGGGTAATTCTCGGCCCCACCGCCTTGCCGTATTGGGGCGATATACTTGAAAAAGTATAGGATGGTAGGATCGGAACTGTTCTTCGCCTTTATGTTATCAACGATTTGTGATACTTTGTAGAAGACAACTATCGGATTGGAACGTTCTTTGCCTTTAGATTAACTATATATGCCCAAGTCTATCATCACATAGAATAAACGCCATCCAGACGAGCCTCGATCGTCTTCTCGTCAAACCGAAACCCTCCCTCACCTTCATAATTTCGGAGTACTTCGCGGGTCATGAGCCTTCGGGGAGCTTTTCGTCCGGTCATTAGCTCAAACTGTGCGATACCCTGTTCAATAACATTCTCCAACCCGTCCGACAAGACCCAGGGTCGCCCGGTCTCACTGCGAAACCGGCGCATCTGTCGGAGCAGTGGCGTGTCCAGAGGCTTGTAGGATAGCTGTGAGAAACGTTAGCGAGGATGATCGAATCAACGTGTAGAAGCAACACTCACCTCGAGAACAACTCCCCCGTCGGACTTCCGAGCCACTGCATCGGCATCTCGAAGTTCGCGGGGGGTTCGTCGCGGTCAGGGTCGGCCGGCACGCAGGAGGCGATCAAGCTGGGCGGAAGAGCGTCGGGGGGCCAGTCGTCCTGAGTGGATCGAAGCACCCGCACGACCTCGGTCGAGTCCACCTGGGACGAAGCCCACGAGTTGAAGTGTCTCGCCACTTCCTCTCCCCGGGACTGCGTTCGATTGTAGATGAAGATCTTACGACAGCCTAACCTCAGCAGGGCGTATGTGGCGGCTCTGGCCATGCCGCCAGCACCAATCACCAGGCCCGTCGTCTTGGGCGCACTGATAGCGTTGCGCGGAGAAAGGTGGCGGGTGATGCAGGTCATGATGCCCACCCAGTCTGTATTCTCGCCAAAAAACCCTAAGGGGCGGCCTGCCTGACCGCGTCGACTCGCCTGTTCCTGCAAGGGAAACATGCTGCCATTTGGAGCCGCTCGCAAGGGCATGATCGTGTTGATCGCTCCGATCGCTTCGGCATGCCGACTTTTGGATGCCAGCTTCTGGTATACTTCCACACGCCACGGCTGAACGACGCTGGCGCCACCGAAGTTCGGGTCTCGGCCCAACCGGTCCACGACCGCGAGTGAGGGCGAGTCTGGGATGCTGTACTTGTGGCTCAAGCCACAGTATTGGATCGCCGCGTTATGCATCGCGGGTGATACGCTATAAGCTACGTCTTTGCCAAGGATGTAGAACTTGAGCGGGTCCAGCATGTAGCTCTGGCAGAGCGCACGCATGATATCGGCCGACGTGAGCTGCGGATCACACTGATTTTCTTTTTCTTCTAACCGAATGATGGCTGGGTGTTTGACGGCGGTCAATATGGGGTTGAATATCTGAGAGGTCCGTCCTAGAGGACCGATATTGTAGGCGATCAGCGGTGGATGCCTTCCTGGGAGTCTCCCAATCCTTCTGGTAAATTGGGCGACAGCTGCATTCTCCTCGCGTTGCACTGCTACCCGGAGGAGACGCACCAGCTGGCAGCCGAGCTTCTCGGCGTCCTGATAAAAGGCAACGCAGCCCTCGTCTTCCCATGTGATGGGTGCAGATGCTTCAAAGATGTGTTGGCCGATGATCTTCGTTTTTCCCCGACTGCGAACAATCTGGGCCAGCTGAGACTGGTCCTGACCCAGGTGCACAACCAAATATTCGACGCCTAAGCGGAGACCATGCTCCAGAATGTCAAAATAAGACCGAGAGGCCTGTGCAGGGGACTGATCACGGGCTTCAGCGGCCAAAGCGGCCGTGTCGATCGAAAGAATCACTGGCGTTCGGGCATTTCGGCGAAGCACTGATACCTGCTCGCTGACGGTGGCCACCATTTGTGGACTCCAGCGGTCGACGCAGAGCTCGATGGCATCTCCACCAGATCCAAGCTCGGGGAGATTGACCACGTCTGCTATCAGATCGGAAGATCGCACAAAGATGGCGTGAGTGAAGGAACGAAGCTCCGGTGGTGTCTCGAGCAGAACAAAGGGCGAGTCATAGCTGGAATGATTCACAATGGCACCGGTAATGAAGCTTACAAAGCGTGTGAAATCCTCTTTCACCTCTTGTAGTTTGAACGAGTAGTCGCCAGACCGACGATCCGGGCTGCCGTCGTCAGACACAACGACGGTCCGATCTTCACAATTGTAGAATTCATAATTCGAACAGGCCCGGTGTGATGCATCACCATCGCGCAGGAGCCGCACGGCTTCATCATCCAGCCCCAGCAATTGCTGGATGCGGTTGATGTCGCGGATTAGATGAACCACTGGGTTCTTTTTGCAGTATTGCCTGAGGTGATCCTGAACCGGCCGAGTAAGGCTCCCCAGTCCTAGCTCAATGATGCAATGTTTCTGGTTGTTGTCAAGCATCATCTTCAGCACTTCGATATCGCGCCGCTGGAACTTCTGGCTGCCATGGGACTTGAGATATTCCTTTCGTGTTACCCCGGTGGTTTCCTGGAAGTAGTAATCCGCCGTGATGAATTTTCGCTTCAAAGCGGTGGCCGCGACGAAGCCCAGCGAGCGTTTACCGCACCCTCGAATGCCGACCAGAACCAGCGAGGCGTCGGGTGGCATCTCCGGACGATGCATGGTGTGCGGAGTGGATTCGCGACTCGGAGCGGCACTGGCATTGGGGGAGGAGGAGTGGGAGCCGACCCCGTTGGACTGTAAAGGAGGTTTCCAATCGCGCATTGTGACGAACAAGAGGTGCTAGGTTATGTTGATTGCTCGAGCGCCATGATCAGATGCATTCGGAAGGCAAGGCAGGGAGGGAGAAAGCCAGTTGGGATTTGAAGGACGGAGACGATGAGTAGGCGCTCGCTTTCACATATCCTCGGGGAAAGCTTCACTGTGAGGCAAGAGTAGTAAGGTCGGCCTCGCGTGGAAGAAGCCCGTTGCGATGTCACGTCCCCGGACGGATGAAGGACGTGGGTCTGCGGCGGTGCTGTGATTCGCGCGGCAAAAGACTTAACCCGGAGTCGTGGACCGTAATGGATCATGTCATAGTGAATGATGATGCTGATGAGGATGATAATGATGGTTCAAGCGAGCGATGCATAGTTTGTCGTTGGAGTAGATACGTCCATTGGGTATAGGTACCAAGTCCATATGTATAGCGAAGACGAAGAAAGTAGTGGAGAGCCATCGGTGTCACGGTGGAGCCGTGGAGCTCTCGCATCTCCTCCGAGCCGACTTGACTCCCGATTTCCTTGCCCGTCCCCGTGGGAACTTACATATCGGCTCTGCGGCGCGGGAGCTCCATCTACAATCATTCTGGTCGCCCCTGTCCCCTCACCTCCCACATCTATCTGTCGCTCCATGCGATGCTCCTGGCCGTAGCCTTCCATCTTCATGGATGAGGACCCCGACAAAGTCCCTCGACGCAAGAGGGTATCAAGAGCATGCGACCGGTGTCGCAGTAAGAAGGTGAGCCGCGAGTCTCGGGGGCGCGTATCCAAAGCGCCGATCGCTGATAACGTTTGAAACGGTCGCAGGACAAATGTGATGGCGTTCGTCCCACCTGTTCCGCCTGCCAGGCATCGGGCCAGACCTGCTCATATGACCCCCATGCGAAGAAACGGGGATTGCCCGAGGGCTACGTTCGAGGCTTGGAAAAGCTGTGGGCGCTGGCACTGTGCAATATCGAGGGCTTCGAAGACACCATGCTGTCTATGCTGGGCACCACGCCGGATTCCGCCAATCGCCGAGGACAGCTGATGTCGGTGTGGACGGATGGCGGTGCCTCCGACAGCTTGCATGAATCGTGGAAGACCAGCGGCTTGTACGGGGAGCTGGAGAAGATGCTGTCCAGCTCAGAGGCACCTCGGGTGCCGCTCGCGGGGAAGCGATCGCGCAATCAACAGGACGACGACGGCAAATGGGGATTCCGCGTTGCGAGAGGTTCAACTCCGCTAGGCCCCGAAGCTCCGCGCGTGCTGGAGCCATCGAGCCGCATGTCTCCCGGTGCTAAGAGAGCCCGTCTGGGCTCAAATGGCCGGGGGGTCGCGCATTCAACAAGCAGCAGCCTTCACACGTTGCAACTGCCGCCTCAAACCTCACATCTCCTAGATATCTATTTCGCCACCACTCACTCATGGTTCCCTATTGTCGCCAAACATAACATCCTCCGCGCCTCCTACCTCTACGCCAACGCCCCCTTCTCTGTCGCGACATCCTCTCCCGGGTCCGGGGACCACGCTGCCTTGTGGGCCATTCTGAGCTACACCATTACCCAATCGCAAACCAACTCACAGATCAGTCCTACTGGAGTCCTCTCGCTCGTGAAGGAATACTATGCCGTTGCCCGAAACCTTATACCATCGGAGGGGGAACGCTACGAGCTAGGGCATATTCAGGCATTGTTGCTCCTGACTCTGGTAAATATGGGTCTCGAGGATTGGAACCCCGCTTGGCTTCTTTGTGGTCAAGCGCACCATATAGCCGTCGCTTTGGGGTTGGGTGCCTTTTCGGACACTCAGCGGTCTGACGAATGGAAACAGGGCAAGGCAGTCTTCTTGGGATGCTTTGTTGTCGATTCGTTGCTCTCTTTTCGCCTATCTCGGAGTCCCTGCATGCGTTCGAGAGACCTGGGAGCGGTTGGTCTCTTAGAAGAGGATGGATTGGAGGAATGGAATTCTTGGTCGGATCTCACCGGCCCTGCCCAGGGCAAGAACCCACCGCACCGAGGACCACTGCTGGCTCTAAGCTGCTTTAATCGCCTAGTCGAACTGGCTAGCGTTCTGAATGATGCCCGAAGCAGCGCTACTACTGGCCCGGAAGCGGCCGCGCTCGCGCAACAGCTGGTGGTGGATTTGAAGCAGTGGGATGACTGTTTGCCCCTGGGGTGCCGGCTGATTGGACCGGAGAGTATCTATCCAGAGCGGCACTCGGCTCTGCTTCCTCATCAGAGCTATCTCGGCCTCGCCTACCTGGCCACCCTCCTTTGGCTCTACTTGCGCATTGCCCAACAAGAACAGGGCCTGCATCGACCTCAGCGACCGGCTGTAGAAGGAGCGAAGAAACTCTTATATCGGGTGCTGCCCATATTGTCGCAACATTTGGAGAATTTCCCCATGTGTGGTCTTCCTCCGCTCTTCGAGTTCAGCCTGCACACGATTACTACGGAAGCGCTCACCTGTCACAATACGATCGAGTCAGACACTTTTCCCTTTACCCGATGGGCAGATGCACTGCATCAAAAGATGGCCGAGCTCAGTCCAATGTGGCCAGTCTACAACTCATTGGTTTCCACCATAGAACGGTGGCAGCAGTCCAACGAACTTCGCGAGCCCGTATCATCCGGATCTCAAGCAACCATCGGTCATATTCCTCGGGTCGCGCCTCCCAGCCAGCCACCGGCTACCGATGCCCCTATGCACCCTCCAAGTGCTGTTCGTGGTGGCCTCGGTTCGATGGGCAAGAGAGTATATGGCTCGTCAGTAATGGGCATCAGCATTCCGGTGGATAGACAGTACATGACCCCGAAGGACTCCATGATGGATATTTTGCCAGACAAGATACCACCGCGCAGTGGCCCAGACACGATGTTTCCACAAGGCAGCGCTCACCCGCAGCCGCCAACCCCGGACTCGACCTCGAACGCGATGATGGCTGGTAATATTCCACCTAGCGAGGGAATGGGTTTCAACCCATCCAGCACGGACTACAATGGTGACATGGATGCCATCTTCAAGGACCTGGCATATCTAGACACCACCGAGTGGGCTACCAGCCGCGAGGCGGGATTGAAAGACTTTGGATTCTTGGACGACAGCACCTTTCAGGCATTCTGTCATGATCCGGATCGTCTGGCTGGATCCCAACCTTTGGTCCATCCGCCATCTATTGCGGATATGTGGCCACCACCGCGCTTCTTCCCAGAGAGCTTCCAAGACGTTCCGGACGAGACAATGGGTGGCGGTTGAGTACTGCTATACTGGTCACGGTGCTCTTTGATTGAGCGCAGGCCTTTCGAAACATGTCTATCAATCATCGCCCACTGTTAAACTGGCTAGCATCTGTGCCTGTTTCTAGATAGCTAAGGCTTCGGGCGTTGGTCTAAGGGCCTTTCGTGGTGGTGATGTAACCAATCATTGGCCGCGGGTCGAGACAAAGCCAGCATTAAAAAACCGTCTGGCCCTCACAAAACGGAGTATAGGGCCTTGCCCTTGATGTCTCTATTCCAAGTGGCGACCTCACGGATCTGCTACCTTTAAGTTAAGCAGAACCGGGTTTATCTCATGAAATGACGAGGTGGTGCATGGTCTCCCAACCAGAAGATCGAAGAATCTAACTCAAGTGTTGCACTTTGATCTTCACACGTTTACGACGCAAATGCCTGAGGAGCGGGACCAAATTCGTTCGTGAATGGATCCATGCCTGTGCGAAACAAGTTTATTAGTAAAAATAAATAGCAAGATATATATATATATATATATTTTATTTAATAAGAAAAGTTGTTATCCAGAGAGTATCAGTAGCGCTCCAAGAAAACGAGGAAGGCAATATCAACCTTGAAAGTAAATCGGTGGTATACACAGCAAACAGGACAGAGAAAAAGAGACTCCCCAAAAACGCCGTTGTCCGATAAACCGTCCATCCTGAACAGGCAGACATACCCTCCTCACTTTGAGACCCAAAGAAAATTGTGGTATAGTATGTACAGGGGGCCCAACGCATGGGGGGTGTGCGAAGGAAACAAAATAAAGAAATTAAATAAGGGAAAGGCTCAGTTGAAGATGTATTCCACCTGTGGACAAGACGACTGAAAAAGGTCCAGTAGCTTTTGGACTCGGGTCTTCATCCACCCAGACTGCGTACCATTAGTAGGTACACCTAGCAGTGTCGTAGAGGCGTGCTTGCAGCCTTCGCTGGCTCTGAAAGACCATTGCAAACAGTCTGAATCGTGGCTGCAGGCCTCATGGCAGGCTTCTGTGGATGAGACGGAATCAATCTTCACGCTAGATAGGTTGTCCCAGTCGCTTCGCTCGGAGAGGCTCGCATTATGGATATGTTTTCGGAAGACGTCTGCGTGTAGGAGGAGTGCGTTTTTGCCCGAGGAAAACCATTCACGATCAAAGCGCCACATCTCCTCTATATCTGTCGGGCTCATGTGATGATATGATATAGCCGGGTAACACCATGGCTGACGGCCGTAGCCCTCAGAGAAATGGTCTAACTCAGAAGGTCTGAGTGTCAACATCATGGGCCACGCCCATGTCAAGGATACTCGGACTTGGCGGAGTGCCCGAGCCAGCGCGCAGTCGCCGGCCCACTCCTCTGCCATAATTTTGTCCATCTCCTCTCCTGCACGGGCACGATAGCTGCTTAGGCGCTGCATCGTGCGGGCAGAGAGGATGATGCCGCCCCCGCCATATGCAAAGAGCTCGTTTCCAATCTGCATAGGGCTCCCTATGTAGTATGGCTCGGTGTGATCAAGATGTGCCAGCCAGTTCACGAGGTTGGGCCACGTCAAATAGGTATCAGCCTCTGCGAAGACGTACCATTTGGCGTCGGGTTTGAGTTCCAGGGCAGAATCGATCATGGGTAAGAATTTCCACTTGTCTAGCTTCCATCCGGGGTTGTTGGTCTTGCCTAACGGGCCGTTCGTGTCGTCTCCCCACTCCTTGTCCGTCAAGCCGTCTCGGCCAACCTCCTGGAGACGCCGATATAGATCAAACTCGGGCTCTTTCCCCATAGTGGTCTTGCTGACGTTTTTCAAGATATCATGGACTTGGACACCGTTGATTGTCTCTTCGTAGTCGGAGAAGATGGCAAAATGTGGCACGCACTGGAGGGTTGTTCGCAAGTGCACGGGGATCCTTTGCTGGGACTCGGTGGCCCCCGTTTTCACGACGACAAAGACGTCATCCATGTCGCGTGGCTGGCGACCACACGGGTCTGTCGCCGTTAACGAATCCATATCGTCACTCTGTACTGTCAAGGTGTTCTGGTTACTGGACTTTTGTGTCCAGCTCCCCAAGCCTTTCCCGCTAACTGGTCGGGTTTCAGGGGATTGCGACAGGTAGTAGAGCAGGCATAGGGCCAGGAGTGGAGAGGCAATGAGGAGCCATCGCCGCGAAGTACTGAACATGGTCACCATGAGGCGTTTGATGTTGGATTTAGCGAGAGAAAGAGAGGAGGCTCTTTGAAGCCATGAAGGAGAGAATAAGAGAAAAAAAAAGAAGACAAGAGTGAATGGATTAGGGAAGAGCGTAAGGATGGACAAGAAAAAAAGGGTCAGGACGATCTGGTGTCGGAGTCAGTGGAGCGCGCTGCGAATGCGACACTCCGTACGTCAGGGAAGCGACCCATGGGATCAGAAGGACGGGGCAGGGACATATTCACAGAAGCAGAGCAGCCCCATGTTTGATAGGCGGTGCTGGCGTGTTCATTGGAGACCACGCGGGCGAACGGCCAACGAGATGTCACCATCGCCGCAAATGGCCCACATCGTAGCGTCATCGGCTACAGGTGTCGGCCCAGGGAGAGGAAAGGATCGCCGGAAGCCAGTGGGGTTCGGTTCGTCAGTTCTGCTTTAGTGAGTTAGGGGATCGCGATGGATCTCAGGGGTTGCTGGCTAGGCAGAAGCGGATGTTTTCTTCTAAGTGTTCGTGACGGAAAAGACTGGTGGTGGCATCATGATGATTCAGGAACCGGAAGAAGTGGAAAGACGAGGGTACAGTCACATACAAGCGAAGGCCGACCCATGGATGGGGGCGGGCCGAAATGGCGATTGATGCCTGAGAGGCAAGGCATACATAGGCACGTGATGTACTCTATCCCAATGTGGTAGATTTTAGTACAGAGAGTAGTATATATTGTCAAGACGCGTTAGGTGTATGTAGAGTCCCGCCCCGCATCACTTTGTTCATCCATCATGTCGGTGGGTGTCCAGCCCTCACACACTCCCACTCGGCTGCCGCGATCGCCTCCACAGCAGCACCGGCGTAATAGTCAAGACAATCGCCACACAGACCACTATGGCCTGGATGCCAAACACGAGTCCCAGGCCATTGCGTGCAATCCAGGCTGGCTGGAAGTATCCGACTGCGAACCCGCCACAGGTGCGCCACATATTCAGTATGGCCGACACGCAGGTCGCCTGGCCCGGGTATTTCTCCAGCGCATACGCCGAGATGGCCCTAATCACCAATGTCAGAAGGAAACAGAGTCCCAGCATGGTCGAGCTAGACTTACACAATAGAAGCCACCATGCCGATATTCACCATGATCCAACCAAAGGCGATCCCGATCCAGTGCTTGTGGAAATTCATGGTCAGACCGTACGTGAGCAGACCCGCTGCCATGCTGCCAATGGGGATCCAAACCCCGTGGAGCCGGTATTCGGTCCTCCAGTGTGTGCGGTGGTGGTTGTAGATCCACTTGTTGAAGAAGAATCCAAAGACCCAGCCTGAGACTGTTAGCGAGAGACATGACCCACAAATCAAAAGGACATACCACACAGGGCACCGATAACACCGGCAAAGCGCATGGACGATGCCTGGATAGTGTCGAAGAGGTAAGGGGGGCTGTGCAGGAAGGTGTCGATGGTGGTCGTGATACCGATTGGCCAAGTAAATGTGACCAGAATCGCGAGCCCTGCACATAGATGAGCCTCCATGATGCCTTATCATAGTAGATTGTGGCTTACCTGTCATGAGCAGCGGGAACTTGAAGACATAGATCACGACCATGCGGCACCAGTGCCACAGAGTCGCCCTCTTCGGGAGCTGAGTGTTGCCAATACCAAAGCACAGCGCAACTCGCGAAGGAGTCGGTCCTGGTCGGTGTGGCGTATAATACGTCTCACGGCCGAACAGGAGGACAGCAATCGTCGATGCACCATAGATGGCCGTCAAGACACCAAAGGAAATGCGCCAGTCCGTGCCAGCCCCGATATATCCGGCGATGGCAGGCCCAAGGAACGGACCGACCAGGAATGTAGTGCCCCTGGTTCTCCTGTTAGCAGCCATCCTATACTCGGTACAGCACCCAAGTCATACCAGATGTTGATCATACGCGGCCATTCTATACGCCAAGACAGTTAGCACCGAATTCTCAGGGTAGATAGAGAAAGAAACCCACCAGCTGGACTGTACATGTCATGAATGATAGGGAGACCGATCACCTGCGGCACAGTACCGAACAGACCCTGAAGAGAGCGAAAGACCGTGAAAGTTGAGTAGTTCGTAGAGAGAGTGGCGCCCAGGACCATGAACATCGTCAGCACCTGTGGCCACAACCACATAGGCAGGCTGGAATGACAATCAGTATATTGTGTTCAATAACGGCAGGTCTGTACTAACCGACCATAGGCTTCGATGAGCGGAACAACAAAGATTCCACCGAAACCCTGCAACAGAATACCATAGTTCATACTCGTTGCCGAATGCGTGATGGAGATATTCCAATCCATGGCCTGCTGGGAGATCAGGGTAGAACCCCAGACCATTGCGCTGCCGACATGAGTATCTTGACACTAGTTGGAAGGAGAGACAAGACATACCCGTCCGCCAACAGCGAGCTGGACATGAGCGACATAAAGAGTAGAGTCTTGCGCGCATTGCTCCAGTTCTTGGGGTTCTGGGGGTCATTGGACTCGGAGGACTTGAACTGCGACTCGACCGAGCGAGACTGGCTGGCCGTTTCGCCCATCTCCAGATTACCCATCGGTGAGGACTTCTCCATGCTGTACAAGCTGTGACACAAGAAATAAGGAAAGAAAGAGCGATGTCCAACTGTGTTGGAAACAGGTCGGACCAGGGGTTTTATGCACGAAGACCGTCAAACACATGGCAGGAAAATTCTCTCGCGTGGCTTGGGTCGTGCAAAAGCGAAAAAAGGACAGAGAGAATGGTTCTGGAACGGGGTTCGTGTTCTCGGGTGATGTATCACCCCCCTTTTTAGGGTTAAGTGTTCCACTGGAAACGAACTCATCCCATCTCAGATCCTCTCCCCGGGGCCCCACCGGGCGATGTGATGGCCCAATCCATGGTAGTTGACTCGGCGTTTAGCCCCGAACAGCTAGGGCCTGCGATAGCCCGCGGCACTAGTGCATCAGATGTGTATGCTCTATTTCTACATGCCCAGGAATTTGGCATTGCTCGCCAGGAATCTATGACTTAAAGAACCCCCTCTCTGGGCGCTGTGTAGATTCATTAACTTACACCAAGCCGTCTCTCCTCTTTTTTTTTTGGACTGATTCCCTGTGCCATGGCTTTCCTTCAGCGATTGGCCCAGCGGCTGGGTCTCTCCAGAGAGTCCAGCCCGGTCGTTCCCCCGGGCGCAGCCCTGGCGGCGACTGTCACCGTGGTTAGTCTCTTTTTTGTTTCAGACCAGCATGAACAGGTGATTGAGAGAAGACACAGCCAGCATCACTGGGTTTCGTACCAGTCGCGGTGCATTTTAACATGTTCCGCGAGCTGGTGCATCACAGCCCCGCGACCGCAGACGAAGTGGCCGCGGCCTGCAACCAGGCCCGATCCAAAAACGAGGCTCAGCTCGGTAGGTTGACTGGTCCCTCTGGAGTCTGGGCACAGACTGACCGGACGCATAGGTACCAGGTTAGCCGGTAGGTGGGCTTCTGTTTGCATGTTAGGTGTATATTCACTCGTTCTATAGCCGATACGCTCTACATCATGGCTGGGCTGGGCCTGGTGGATCGGGTGGATGAGGATTGTTTTGCTGCTAACGCCATCACAAAACACATGGATAATATGCCTTCTGCGGAGCATGGGGCCTTGCATTTGTGAGTGAGCCTGACCGTAAAAAAGGAGAAGTGCTGACGGCAACCCCTAGCACGACTGAGGGGTTGATGGCTGGGGCATTCCTGATGAAGAAGCTCGAAGATACTAACTTCGAGTATCCCTTTGCCGATGCCGATGGTCCCCTGCAATACGCCTACCGGCTGATGGGCAAAGATGATTTGGCCCAGGAACATACATACTCGATCATGGAGAAGATCGGCCGCATGGACAGCTTCAACGAATTCATGGTGGGTAAGTTCCTCAAGTTTGGTACCATGCCCCAGCGCGTCAAGTCGTTCGGGTATGATCTAGACGCCGCTCTGGCCGGGGACCCCGACGCAGTGGCCATGGTCGACATCGGGGGTGGGCGGGGGGAATTGTTACTCGAGGTCCAGGCGGCGTATCCCCACCTGAGATCGGAAAGTCTGGTGGTGCAGGAGTTCAACGCCGAAATCGACAATGTGCCGGGAGTGCGTCTGATGGAGTGGAACTACAAGGAACCGGGCGAGCAGCCTATCAAAGGTGCGCGGGTCTACTCTCTTCAGCATATTGTCCATAATCTGCCGGACCTGGATGCTGCAGCCCTGCTGCAGAAGATCTCGCGTGCCATGGGACCGGAATCACGGCTGCTGATACATGAGTACGCCAAGAACATGACCTACACGTCCCTGCATGCCAACATGATTGCCCTGTATGGGGGGCGTGAGCGCAGCGCCGCCGAATGGCGCCAGTTGGCCAGCGTGGCGGGACTCGAGGTCACCTTTGAGGCGTATGCGAAGGCCGGAGAATCACTAGTGGAGATGCGGCGTGCCGACCGAGACAAAGGACTACAATAAATCAGAATTCGAGACAGTTTTAGCCTTTTTATTTTATTTTTTATTTTTTTTATTTTCACGGAAAAGATGAGAGACTCCCGAGAATTGGCGCTAGAACAGGTAATTAATTACTCTGTTGGATCTGAGAGATCTTCAGGTGATCCGCCCATGGATCACCCTCTAGTGGCCGGCTAGTGGAATGGATTGCATAGACGACACCCCTTACCTCTGCGGGAGCTGAGCCGGATCCACTCCATGACAGGGTCGACAACCCCAGTCAGTTCCAGCGATTCCGAGTCCGGTTGACGCATCCGGCGTAATCACCCTGATCGCATTCTACATCCGGGGGAACCATCGTTTGTACACATTCTTTGCTTTTTGGTGACGAGCACTCGGGTGCTTTCATTGCATACCCGACTGGGTTACGTATCGCATGGCCGGCGTGGTGCCACATGGACCCTCTTATGTCTTATGTACATACAGATCATGGTAGCAATGGATGGGTAGGTATTATTCTCGAACGCGATGAGTATCTTCCCCGACAGGGATGGCTATGGCCCACGGTTCACCCATTCCAGGTCCTCGAATGATGGCTCGAAAATCATCGCTGGGTTTGCCTGGTATCCCTTGCGACCCGTCAGCTCTCGGGCCCATCACCTCTTTGGCTCGCCGGGATATGACCTGTAAAGTGTGCATCCAGAGTTTATCGTCCTTTAACTCAGTTTTCGGACGATCCGAACCTCTCTTCTTCATGCGACTATTTGAATTGCCTCTTCGCACTGCATCGGCCATCGCCCACACTCTCTCACCTTTGTATCATTGCTTTCTTCTCGGCCCTTGCATAACTCCCACACAATGAGCAGCAGCATTCCGCGGCCAAATGAAGGCGATATTGATATTGGTGGGTTCCCTGTGGTGCAGCGCCCTGACAGGATACAGGACTAACGTCGGGATAGGGACGGGCACATTTGCTGCCTGCTGGGTAAGATGAGCCTGAAAATCAATGAGTTGCGGAATTGACATGAGCCATAGGTTCTCACGGCCATTGTCGGCGTCGCGCTGCTGTTCCGCTATGCCGTCAAGATCTGGATTCGTTGGATGATGCCACAGGTCAGCGCGCCAGAGAGGGTCTGGGGATACGAAGATGTCCTCTTTCTCATCGCCTATGGCTGCGACGTCACTCATATGAGCATGATCCAAACGTCAGCATCTTGGGGTCTAGGACGCCATTATTTCTACCTCAACGAGGAACAGAGAACACACGCGATGAAATGGGACTTTATGTCCCAACCGATCGGTATGTCTGTGGGTTGTCTCGATCTAGTCCGGCACTGACCAAAGCTCGGCAGCGGTGGCATCGGCCATGATCTCCCGGACGGGCATGATGTGGTTTTTATCGACTTGCTTCGCGGCCAGTGACAGGAGGCTCCGCGTGTCCATCATTGTCTGCGCCATCGTGCAGATTGTGGTCAACATGATCACCATTGTCCAGATCATCGTCCAGTGTGGGCCGAACCCGTATCGCCCGACTAATCGGGTGCAATATTTCCACTATATGTGGACCGCACTGCCGGCCGACGGCTCGGTGAAGTGCCAATCTCCCACCGTCCAGACAACCGTTGGCTTTGTGCAAGGAGGATTCAACTCCTTTATTGATTTCTACCTCGGCGTGCTGGCTGCCGTGGAACTCTGGCAGTTCTTCCTGCGGACTCTGCACCGGGAACCCAATGTGTCTTTCTGGTATCAGTTCCGCAAGATCAATAACACCGTCCGATCCCGCCGCATCTGGCAGACCATCACTCTCAGCGGGCCTCTGATACTGTCGGGGGCCGCCTCGATTGTCAAGACCTATGTGAGTGATCTGTAAATATTGGATGTGCAGAGTTAACAATAGTGTAGAAACTCAAGTCTCTCGGTGATCGACTCGACTTCACTTATAACATCGTGTCCTTTGTGCTCTGGGTCAAGTGAATCTCCCTTTTCTCTCTATGTTGGATTAGTGACTAACCCCCATGCTTGCAGAATTGAGAATTATAGTATCCTGCTGGCGTCGTGCGCCCCCGTGGCGCGAATCTTCCTTCGAACAATCGTCGATCAGCGCCGCACAGGCCGACCTCATGGCTACTGGTCCCGATCTCGGTCTGCGACCAAGGAAAATAACACTGATGATACCGAGTTGAAATACCGGGGCAAGGACCCGCTAGATTCATCGATGGGCGCGCACTGGGAGCAAGATGAAGAGCAGACACCGTACCCGTGGGGCTTAAACAAACGGTGTGAGAGTCGCGTGTCCAAGGCACACAACGCACCACAGCCGGCCAACGATGGCCAAGTGACGGTCAAGACGGATATTATCGTGCATATGGATGATAACCACTCGACCTCGTCGGGCGATGCTCGATTGCTCCCGCACGGCGGAGAACCGCAGCCCACCGTCGAGATGTTTTAGTGAGCTGGTCCGGAGTATATAAGGAGTACAAGTAAATACATAGTTGTTAAATCGATCAGAATTTCAGATTGATCTTCAAGTGTTCTTAGTTAGCTATTAGTGAACTAAGGTTAGGTCAATGTAGTTAACTAGCTCTAGAGATGACTAAGCCTTCTTCATTCACGGTCGGTCGCGTCTTATCCCATTATGGTTTCTCTCTCGACACCACCGATAATGGTGACCAACAGCCCCAGAGTCCAGGCCAAACGCCGGGACTCAGCCGCGTCCGAGCAAGATTTTTTTGATATTCCCGATGAATCATGTCTGGCCGTGGTCAAACGCCAACTACGCCATATCCGAACCTGGATCCTCTTCGCCGTCCTTGTCCTTTTCTTTCTCTGGAGCCGGCATGAAGGAGCACAACCACCCCCGCAGACCATTCCGCACATCAATTATAACAAGGTCGACTGGTCGCGATTTGCTTACACCCAGTATGCCACCTCCTCGACCTATCTCTGCAACGCCCTCATGGTGTTCGAGGCCCTGCATAGATATGGCAGTCGAGCAGACCGTGTGCTGTTTTACCCGGAGGATTGGGATCTGGTGGTGTCGGATGATGAGGACCGGACGAGTCAGTTGTTGATGCTGGCCAAGGAGAAGTACAACGTGCGGGTGGTACCGGTTCCGATGGAAGGGATCAAGAAGCCCGACCAGGAAGGTGTGTTGTTAAATTGCGTTTAACAAAACCCAAAGCTGACGGATCTTGATTAGGATCCCAGGAGTCATGGGATAAGAGCATCTCGAAATTCTTCGCTTTCGCCGAGACCGCATACGATCGCATCATCCAACTCGATTCTGACGTGACCCTCCTGCAAAACCTGGACGAGTTGTTTTTCTTGCCATCTGCCCCGGTCGCGATGCCCCGAGCATACTGGCTCCTGCCCGAACGGCAGCTGTCCTCGCTGCTAATCGTCCTCGAACCTTCGTTTACCGAATATTATGCTCTGAAGGATGCGGCCCTGGCCGCTGCGCATGGCCAGCTCACGCTGAACACGAACTCGAACCGTTACGATATGGAGTTGTTGAACACTCGCTATGCGGACTCGGCTTTGATACTTCCTCACCGGCAGTACGGCCTAGTCACGAACGAGTTCCGCGCCAAGGACCACAAGCACTACCTGGGCAATGACCGCGAGGAGTGGGACCCCGAACAGGCTTCAACTGAGGCAGCATTCGTCCATTTCTCTAATGACTGGAAGCCGTGGGCGATGTGGACGATGGATGAATTGGCCGATTTCCAGCCCCGCTGTAAGTTTTTCTCCGGATCACCGCAGGAGAGCGGTTGCGAAAACCGTGCTGCGTGGAAGAACCTGTACGATGATTTCCGGAAACGACGCAAGGTGAGAGTGGCTCCATTTTGAGGTGGGATTGGTGCTAATACTGGCTTCCAGGACATATGCCAGCTCCTGAGCTTCCCTGCCCATAATTGATCCGACGGGGACTGTAGTTCTAGGTGGCTTGTGTATTTGGTGTTTCGGCGTGAGGCTTGGAAATGATCTGCTGGCGGATTTTTGACCTGTATATGTATAGCATTAGACAACCTTGAACGGCCTGATGGTTGTGAATTGGCGTACCTGTGATAGTAGAATAATATTAGAACATCGGCTATCGCAGTCCTAAGTGTATCCCATCCCGCTCCGCCACCACTTCCAGACTCCACGCTCAGCCATTCGATTCCCAAACTCCTTGACGCTATCAACCTCCGACACCCCCAGTGCGAGGTCATCTGAGCCGCTGCTGGCATTGCTGCTTCCCTTGAAGTCGTTCTCAAGTACGAGCAACTCCGGCCTCGCCACCAGCTGAAAGTCTTTATATTTCAGCTTGCGCACTTCGCTCAGCCAGGCATTCACTCCGTCGCGTCCGTCTCCCTCGACGTACATGATGCCGGGACAGCCGCCGTAGCGAAGGAGCACGGAGCATTTGTGAGCGTCAGCGGCGCGTTTGAGCGCAGCGACTTTCTTGCGTGAGGTTATGTGGTGCGTGCGGATCAGGGCATTGTAGCGCATCGTCTTGGTGAGGGAGGGTTGAAGTGGGTGGGAGGTCGTTGGTACTTGGCGGTGGACAGAACAGTTACTGAATATGGACATATTACTAACGAACATCAGTCCCATGTGTCGACTAATACTGAATCTAATGTGGTCTGGCTCAATTATTTGTGATTGCTATGAATTGGTGTATTCACAGTCAGTTGCACTACTAGAGAATTATAATGACGATGATGACGATGGATAGTTAAATATGTAGTTGAGTATAGTAGGCAGCCATCGACCGTGATTAATGCTATTTGTAACTGAAACTCATATAGATCGATAATGATAATATGACTAGAGCGTGTATTATCTGCACCGCGTAACTTTGCCTTGATCGAGTTTGACCGGACAATAATTATCCCAAGTGGATTTCGCTGGCTGTCAGGATAGGCCCAATCTTTGTCAGATCGAACCATCCGCCACCACTCGGTGGAGCTCTCGTCTTGGCTTCCCTTTTTTGTCGATGATTTTACCGGCACCCGCGGAGTCCGCTATGCTACTCTCTGGTGGCCTGCCCGAGTCGGGCATTATGAGGAGGTCTGATTCACCAAATTTTCGGGGTAGACCAACCAGATCGCTTCTCGAACCACTTAGACCCAAGGTGATCAGATAGAAACGGTGAATGGGCCTCGGCCGCGGTTTCTTTTCTATTCCTGTCATGCTATGATTCACAAAGGACTCCACTAGCTTGGTACTTGGCTTCCTTTCCCGGCCGTGGTGGTTCAGTACATAATAAAAAGAAAGCCCCATTTGCTCTTTTTTACACCCCTTGATCACAAAGATGCAGGATTCTCTATACACCGATAACCGTTAGCATTAAGAACCGTGCAGCATGCCTGCTCCTCTTTACCCCTACCCTCATAGTTCGGTCTTTGCTTCCGCCTCGGAAGCCAACCCAGAGAAAAATGGCCCTCCTCGCGTGCAAGCATCTCATGAGGACGAGGATGCCATCGCCGATATCCATCGATGCTTGACGGAGAAGGACCTTCCACAGTATCCAGAACCGCACTCGTCGTTTGATAAATTCCTCGAGGAACAGTTCCAGGGTGGTAAGAAACGATCGAATCGGGGCGTGTGCTTCCAGTCACTTTCAACCTGGGGAGAGGGAAACAGCCACACCGATGTCAAGACTCTTGCTACCGCACTGTGGCGGACACTGACTATGCGTGATGTCTATGAATGGACAATCCAACCGTGGGTCTCAAGCAAGAAGCCCCAACATGGACGTCCTCTCATTCGAGACTTCTCCGGAGTAGTTCAGAGCGGAGAGATCATGCTGTGAGTTTGACCGGTTTGATGGTGTGAACTACAAGACTAAAAGATCTCTAGCGTGCTCGGTCGCCCTGGTGCGGGATGTTCAACCTTTCTTCGCACAGTTGCGGGACATCACTCATCTTTTCTTGGGGTGACTGGTTCAATTGATTACTCTGGTCTGAGTCTAGAGGAGGTCCAGAAGCACTATCGGGGAGCCGTGGCTTATGTGCCCGAGGACGACGTCCATTTTCCTACACTCAATGTGCGCCAGACCCTAGAGTTTGCGTTACAGAGCAAAACCCCGAAACGATACCGTGAACGCATCCCGCGATATCTTGAGATCTACAGCCGAGTCTTCGGCATGTCACACACCATGAATACGCTGGTGGGCAATGAGTATATACGAGGCGTTTCGGGTGGTGAGCGGAAACGCATTTCTATCATCGAGTCTTTGGCTACCGACTCTTCCGTGATATGCTGGGATAATTCCACCAGGGGACTGGATGCATCTTCTGCTCTGGATTATGCGCGCTCTCTGCGGATCATGACAGACACCTCCCGAAAATCGACTCTTCTTACACTATACCAAGCATCTGATGCTATATATGAGTTGATGGACAAGGTGATCTTGATTGAAGAAGGGCGAATGCTCTTCCAAGGCCCGGCCAACGAAGCCAAGAAGTACTTCGAGGATTTGGGCTATGAATGTGCCGACATGCAGACAACATCTGATTTTCTAACCAGCATCCCTGTTCCCGAGCGGCGCAGGTTTCGTCCAGGTTGGGAAGACCATGCACCCAAGGGGCCAATTGAACTCGAGAATGCATTTCGACAAAGTACTGCGTTTAAGAAGATCGGCGAAGAGGTCAAGAGCTACGAGAATAGGCGACTGAAGGCGAGTTCGGTCTGTCAGACTGACTCGGAGTCTGGCAGTGTGGACGAGTTCAAGAAAACCATTCAGAGCGACAAATCCCGTTTCGTGTCATCCAAATCACCATACACCATCTCCCTCTTCCGGCAGATTGTGCTGTGTGCCAAACGGCAAATGTGGCAGATGAAAGGCCACATGAGCCCCTTGTACATCAAGTTGATCTCTTGTGTGGTTTACGGGCTGCTGGTGGGGTCTATGTTTTACAATCAGCCCCAGACAACAGAGGGCATCTACTCGCGCGGGGGGGTGTTATTTTACTCCTCAATCCTGCTTGCTTGGTTGCAAATGTCCGAGTTGGAAGACGCAATGCAAGGTAAAGAGATCCAGACTCGTCAGAAGAAGCTCACTTTTGTACGACCGAGTGCGGTCTGTCTGGCTCGGGTTCTTGCGGACTTGGTCGTAGCTGCTGTTCTTACATTCTTGTACCTGATTGTATTGTACTTTTTGTCTGGTCTACGCCCAGAGGTAATCCAAGCCGATATTCTTGTTTCTTCGATATGCTAACTCACGATTAGGCCGGCTCATTCTTTATCGATTTCCTCTTCATCTATACGTGCACGGTTTGCCTCACAGCGCAGTTCCGTGTTTTTGCAGCGCTGTTCAACAATTTTGAGGTTGCTTTGCGCTACTGTGGAGTTTCTGTGTTGTTTTGCATTGTGTTTGGTGGATATGTCTTGTCGGTGGACCAGCTAATGCAGGATGTCCCGTGGGTTGGGTGGCTAGCAGTAAGTCCCCCTGACAAGGCTTTTCATGTAGAAAATCTGACATTGCGGGCTAGTATATCACACCGGCACTGTATACCTACGAGTCCGTTATGGCAGTCGAGTTCCATAATGCCAAGTTCGCCTGCGAATCTGCTAAGATTGTCCCATCTGGGCCAAACTATACCGATGTCACATACCAAACTTGCGCTTATGCTGGCAGCAAGCTCGGCAGTACGGTAGTAAACGGTGATGACTATTTGGCGGCCCAGTTTGGCTTTTATTACAGTCATGTGTGGCGCAATTTTGGCATCCTTTGTCTCTTTACTGTTGTTTTTGTTGGACTCACCTGCTGGTTGAGCGAGACCCTTGAGTGGGAATCGGACGGTGCTGGACCGATTCAATACAAAGGCTCCCAGAGACTGCTCAACCGCAATGCGAATACTCAACCCGACGAAGAGAATACTCCTGTTTCGGTCGATCCGAAGGCACCGCCAGCCCCATGTTCGGAAAGCAATCCTAACCAGGCAATTGCGGCGACGGAGTCCACCTTTACATGGGCTGACCTTGACTTGCATGTTGGAAGTCGGCAATTGCTGCATGGAGTGGGTGGATTCTGCAAGCCAGGGACTTTAACGGCCCTTGTCGGAGCTTCGGGGGCGGGCAAGTCTACATGTACGTTCTAAATATCTCTGTGCCAGCGGTTTAACTAACATTATTTATGACCCAGTGTTGACAGCACTCACGCAAAGAAAGAGTCCAGGGACTTTGTCGGGCTCGATGTTCGTGGACGACCAGCCCGTCGATCACTCTTTCAACCGACAAATTGGATATTGCCAGCAGATGGATATTCATGATGAAAGCAGTACCATCCGGGAAGCCTTTGAATTTTCTGCACTACTTCGGCAAAGTCGAGAGGTCCCTAAGGCAGAAAAGCTGGCCTATGTGAAAACAGTTCTGTACACCCTAGACTTGGTGGAGCTCCAGGATGCAGTAATTGGATCGTTGGACATTGAAAAGAAGAAACGGGTTACAATTGGAGTGGAGCTCTGCGCCAGACCTAAACTGCTTTTGTTCTTGGATGAGCCAACAAGTGGTCTCGATAGCCAAGGAGCAACCAGCATTGTTGCCCTGCTCCGCCATCTGGCTGATCAAGGACTGGCAGTACTGTGCACCATTCATCAGGCAAATCAGCAGCAATTTGAAGAGGTATGTATTTTTTTTCCCACGGAGAGTGAATGATAGCTAATAAACGCTAGTTTGATCGTGTCCTAGCGCTAAGCCCCGGCGGAAAGACGTATTACTTTGGCCCGGTGGGAAGATGTGGTCACGCCATCTTTGAATATTTTAGAAAACACGGAGATAACCCCGAAAAAGTCACCAATGCGGCCGATTATCTTATTGAGGTAGTTGTCGGTAGTATGAAAGACCACCGAAGCCACGTCAACTGGGCCACTATATGGCAGAACTCCCAAGAAGCCGAGGACGTCAACAAAGAGATTGCTCAGATTCGCTCTCACGAGGGCAAGTCTGGGAAATCTAGCCTTGGAGCATCCTTGTCACCACCTTTACACCAGCAAATCATACTTTTGACCCAGAGGACAAGCCGCCAATTCTGGAGAACGGCCGAGTACCCATATTCGCGACTATATGCATCTTTTCTCCATGCTCTCATCAACGGTCTTACATACCTCCAGATCGGAAACAGCGCGACAGACCTCCAGTCCAAGGCTTTCTCGTGCTTCCTAGTCTTGATGCTGGTTCCTGAATTCATAAATGCCATCTCCATGCGGTTTATCCTAAATCGGGATATCTGGTTGGCGAGAGAAGGTCCCAGCGGAGTGTATGACTGGGTGGCGTTCTGTACAGCCCAGATTGTGTCCGAGATTCCGTATGCTACTGTTGGCGCCGTGGTGTTTTATGTGCTTTATTACTTCATGGTCGGACTTCCCCTGGGGTTTGCTGCCGGATACAGCTTCTTGATGTTCTTCCTGTTCTTCCTTTTTGCTACGTCCTGGGGACAGTGGATTGCCGCACTCAGGTAAGATTGCCGCGAAAAGTTTCCTGGGACCTGAGCTGAAAATATACTATTTTAGTGCGGACTCTCTTGTTGCTGCGACACTCATGCCTTTCTTCATCATCATGTGTGAACTCTTCAATGGCATTCTGCGTCCTCATTCGCAGATGCCTGCATTCTGGAAGTTTACCATGTACTACATCACCCCGTTCACGTATTGGATTGGAGGTGTTCTCACTGCTGTGCTGCGAGGTACTCCTGTGATTTGCAACCAAAGCGAATTAACCATTTTCGAGAGTCCGCAGAACATGACATGTGGTGAATATGCAGGGCCTTGGCTGTCTTCGAAGGGAGTTGGATACTTGTCCAACCCAGACAGCAGCGGAAAGTGCGGCTACTGTGAATATAGCTGGGGTGACGATGTAAGTCACAAATGTTCCACGCCATCAAAAGATTATAGAGCTAACGAGCGATGTAGTATCTGTCTGGGATTGGCCTGGACTCCTCGAAGATCTGGCCGTATTTCGGGATCTTCCTCACATTCACCGTCTCGAATTACCTGATGGTCTATCTTCTGGTCTACGTACGCTCTGTCATGAGGCCCTTCTGGCGGTGATGAGATCAACTAGTAATTAGCTCGTTATTTAGCTTCTTGCATGGGATATATTGGAGCCTAAACGTCTTTCATGTATATAGCTTGGAAATAATAAAGGCGCTAGCCATATCTGGTAACTCCGAATCGGATTTTAAAGCCAAAAACGGCCCCACCTCCGACTTGCTGACATGGCTCTAACGACCAGCTCGATCAGATAAGAAGAAACTGTTTCTTCTTTCTTGTTTGTGCGGAAATTTTGTCAATCATATTGATTTGTCCTTCATCAATTATGACCGACCAGCAAGACAACACAGAGGCGCGACCCCCCCAGCGCAGGCGGCGCCCCCATTGTCTTGTACGGAATGCAGGCGGCGCAAGCTAAAATGTGATCGTTCCCTGCCTTGTGGGCAATGTGTTCGATCGAAGACTGCAGAAGGCTGTGTCTTTGTCGATTCACAGCCAGGGCCTGTGACTGATTCCGAGCATCGCATGTCGCCCCCTGTATCGCAGATGCGTCCTCCGCGAGGCTCGAACGACCAGACTGCGGGCTCTGGCATGTTCGTTTTTGACTCCAAACTGGGGCCAAAATCAAGCTCCAATCGCGTGACGAAGCGCAGTCGCCCGGATGAACAGCAAGAGTTGCGTGAGCTGCGACACCGTCTCCATATTTTGGAGAATGCATTGGGCAGGCCATCGGCGCTCCAGACCCCCGAAACGTCGGTCTGTGACGTCTTCTCAGAGCTCGGGACAGCTCAAAGTAATGAGACTGTAGGAATTGATGACCGTGTCCGATACTTGCCGGATGCGTCTTTTCGTGGAAAAAAGGACAAGAGTCGCTATTGTGGGCGTAGCCATTATGCCACCTCAATGTCGTTTGTGAGTAGGCCCGAGAAATGTCAACGAACATCAAAACTGACTGGAAATAGTTTCAAGATGTTGGGACCTTTTTGCACCATGGTCGGAAGACTAAGGGCAAGTGCTCAGAGTATACCGACATGAAGCAGTTCAAAAGGGGGCTTTGGTCCCAAGAGACTCAGGATCATCAGCGTGCCTTTCGTGAACAAGCCTCTAAGCTGGAAGAGATGGTTCCACCGCGAAATGTGGCGGACCAGCTAGTCCAACTGTATCTGGAGACGTTTGAGACTACCTTCCGAGTCTTGCACGTACCAACTTTCGTAGCGGTGAGTGGTGCCAAAAACGCTCCGGGGGTGATCCTGTCGACTTCATTGAATAGAGCGACACTCCCCTTTAGGAGGAACGCCCTGAGCTGACAATTCTAAAGAAATATTCTGACTACTGGAACAACTCCCTGCCAAATGACACCACTTTTGTAGCTCAGCTACTGGCTGTGCTGGCTGCCGGCAGTTCATTCTATGTTCCATCGGGCCATGAAGATCAAGAGACCTACCAAAAGCCTGCTGTGAAGTGGATAATGGCGGTACAGTCGTATATTGCGAGTGCATTTGTCAGCCCTGAAATCAACCTGCGAATGATTCAAACCCAGTGTCTCCTCTTGATGGCCCGTTTGGCAGTGACCAGCGACAGCGAAGTAGCCTGGTCCTCGTCGGGGTGGCTGATCCGCTCTGCGATGACTATGGGCTTGCACCGAGACCCAACCCGCTTTCGCAAAATTAGGCCATTCCACTGTGAGATGCGACGCCGACTATGGGCCACCATTGTGGAATTGGATCTCAAACTCGCCTTGGACGGAGGGTTCCCTCCATCTATCGACTTGGATGAGTGTGACTGCCCCCCACCGTCGAACTGGGAGGATGAAAAATTGACTCCAGATATGGAGAACAACCCAGCTCCGTCTAACTCGACGGCCTGTACCCAGAACCTCTACCAAGTCCTCCTCTCGAAGTCCTTGCCCTTGCGACATCGGATTGTCAAGACGATAAATAGCCTTCGATTTGAGTTGTCCTACGACGAGGCATTGCGACTGGGTGAAGAGCTCATGCGATTAGTGCAAAATGCATCGTCTATTTTTGAGGACAATACTTTGGGCATTTATCCTGGTGAAATCGGACGGCATCGATTCGCCCAGTCCCTCTACTTGTTCATCATGCGCAAGTCTCTACTTGCTCTTCATCGGCCGTTTTCACTTAGCGTTTTGAGACTGCCAAAATTTTCATACTCACGTAAGATATGCCTTGAAGGATCCCTGGAGATGCTCTCCCAATTGGCGTTTTCTTCATCAGAAGCAGTGGGTACTGATGGATCGCCGCGGCTTGCACAACTCGGCACTTCAATGTTTCGGGATGAAATTTTTCATGCGGCCATTACTATCTGTGTGGAGCTCTCATTGCAGGCAGATGAGGTCAACCAGACCTCGTCACTAGAAGGAGCAAATTCCAGTGGGGTTTTAGGGCTTATGATTCAATCGCAGCAAGCGGTCATGCTGCAAGCTGTGGAACGCACAGTTGACGCGTTTGCCAGTCGAATCGGGGCCGGCGGAAAGGGATGCAAGCCGTTTTTCTTCCTGAGTCTGGTTTTGGCATCGGTAAAATCCCGAGTGAAGGGGGAGGATCCGTTGTCAGATATTGAAGCCACTTCAACGAAGGTGGTGCGGATATGCCGTACGATGCTGAATGGCACTCCATGGCCTGAGGCTCAGGCAGTTGCTGAACGCCAGGTGGACAAGGTGAGTTGTATGCTGCGGATGCCGCTTTTTATTGATGCTAAATGTCTACTACAGACACCGATGCCTGAAAATCAGATAAACCCAGTCTCGGACATGCCCAATGAACTGGACCCCACAGTTCTTCTATCAACCGACATGAACAACTTTACGGTACGACGCCTCCAATTGTTTCGCATTTTCTTGCTAACTAGAATGCAGCCGATGGACTTGGGAGGCTGGTTTGATAGCCTGGATTATGGCGGCCCGGAACTCTGGGACTATGACCTATTTGACAGCCTGCCATCGATTTGATGACGGCCCATTTGGGTGTGAATTAGAATTGAGATACCCTTTGTTTCAAATTAGCTAAATTTAGTTACTTCTTCGAAAGAACAGCTGTCTTCTCTCCAGGAGAGCCCATGTTGGGCAGATAGGGAAAAGCCTCCTACGCCTTTGACTACATCACCCATCCTCTATTTATCAGCTCTGCCTCTCCTCAACTGGTTCATCGTCCGACCGATGTTTCATCCCGGCAACTGCCTCAAATGTTCGGTCAAGATTTGATTGTCTTATATCAGTCCTGATCTAAGTCTGTTCTGCAAACTTTTGATACTCCTTTGCAGAGTGATCCAGCTGATCCACTGCAGAATCCACCTCCCGATAGCTGAGACTACAGGCAGATGCTTATGCGCGCCCTCCTCATCTATATCCAGTTGAACGATCCTAACTTCAGCGGGTTACAGTGCATATAACGAGAGCTATTTTTGGAAATCGCACAGAGCATTTTGTACAGATTCTATAGATTGAAGATCATGAGCATGAGCTGGGCTCATCTCTAAGCGCAGACCGTGCAACAGAGTTCCTCCGTGACCTGCTGGCTGGCCTGGCAGACTGATCAGGATTGCGTCTAAACCCAGATCGTTAGGACCAAAAGCTCTGCGATGTCAGAGATCCACGATGAATAATAACAATAATAATGTGGGGATGGAAGAACTGTCCTTCTGCATAATAATGAAATATAACTCTAGAGATCGACACCCAATGATCTCATCATGTCCCCTGCCTCGGCCTCGGCCTCCACATGCGACGATCTGCTATTGTACATAAAAAGCGACCCGCCCGAGGTATGCCCTCGCAACATTTCTCTCGAGACGGATCGCTTCATTACAATATGTCGTACGCGCTATCAAATAACAGCTCATAACCCACAATTGCTGACGTTTTCAGGAACATTTTGACTACCCTCGGCCTCAGCGCTGCCCCTGGCCAGGCACCGCCGAACCACGCTTCGGCGCTTCTGTTGGGCAACTGGGCGCTTGCATACGTACTGACGAGTACCCGTGCCCAGAAGTTCTTCTACGGGCTGGATCACAATGTGATGCCTCGCGATGACCTTTCCAAATACGGCGAGGCCGCTGTACAGGCTGGCAAGCTGGACCGGCGAACTCTCAACAAGCTCAAGCGTCAGGAGGCGGCACATGCCAACGCACAAGAAGGATATCCGTTTTTTGTGGCAGCGAGTATGTCTTTCTTTTTGGGTCAACGACTTGTCCACTGACAATTGCAGTTCTTGTCTCCCTTTATGCCGGACTGGACAATGAGACTATCAACACCATAGGTGTCTGGTACACAGCGTCGCGGGTGATATACAGCCTGCTGTACTCGTACATAGAGTCCACTCCAGTAAGCTACCTGCGCTCTGTGGCCTGGTGGTCTGGCAACATCAGCTGTATCACTGGGATTATACTTGCTAGCAAGAAGCTGTAGAGATAATGAGGGACCATATCAACTAACTGGAGATGGGTTTCCTCATATATTTCGCGCCCATCTGGTCCGGTATATAGACGCCAAAGTTATTCCAATGCAAGGAAGTGGACGATCATTAACTCAAGACGGTGAAGTATGCCCTGGCTATAGATACTAAGCGATGAAGAAAAGAAATGTCACCATCAATGGCCATCTCTGACGCCCTAGAAAAAGAAATCCCCAATCTGACTAAAGGAAAATATTTCGTCGAGAGACATTGAAAGCAAGAACTGAGGATCTAGCGCAGGATCCGGAGGTAGTGCGGACGGTTGCGCGGCTTCTTGTCTTCGACGATGAGAGTCTTTCATCAGGTTGACACGGCTATAGACCTTGCTGAAGACTTCAAACATTCCTTGTCGGTTTTGCCCCTGGTCCTTTTCATACAGTGGTTGAGCTTCTTCGAGTTTTCTAACGAGCTCGTCGCAAGTGCCATAGTAGTCGATGGTATTCCGCACATACTCTTGATCCCAGCCGCCATGATTGCTCCGGTAGAGCGAAAGACGAGACAGAACAACGATGGCGTGGCCAAATTGGGCCCAAATGGTGTAGGGAAATATGGGAAACAGGCCTGCTGGAAGGGAGTAGAAACTGCTGAAAAAGGACTTTGTTGACTTTAAGCAGGAGAGAAGAAGGTCTAACTGAGTCAAAGAGTGATCTCCATAGGTGTCGGATGGTTCACCGATGATTGAAATTCTGTAAAGAAGAATTTCCACAGTATGATAGTGGAGCTGAATAATGGCTGACTGTATATTAGAGTAATATCTCTCGATGGAAACAACGGCATGAACATACCAGACTGTGGAGTTTCTGAAGGAAAGGAGGCTTTCAGACTTTGAAGCTCTTCCTGAAACCATCGAATACTCAATTCCAATGGTAACGATATGCTTCCGCCGGGAAGATCATTGGATAAAATTGTGCTGTTAATTTTATCTGCAAAACGGAACAGTCGGACCAGATGGACAAGAGAATTGTCACTACTATACTCCAAGGCTTCTTCAACAGCACGGCAGCACTCATCGGTATACTTGGTCCAACGGACTGGCTCTATACTGCGGATACAGGTCGAAAACCTTGTTAAGGGTCAACCAGAAGTCTCAAATAATGATGACCATAGACCTACAGTGAAGTCAGATAAAAGCAGCCTAGATAGGTACGTCGCTCTTCTAAAGTCCGAGAAGTCTGGTTATTGGTAGCCCCAAGTTCTCTCAGGAAATTCATGGGTTGTCGTGAATTCTGGGGCTGGTTCAATTCCAAGCTGGTCAACTGCCCCAGAGCCAAGTGCACCAGCATGTCTATTTGCGCCATACTTTGGAGATAAACATGATGCCTAAGGAGTCAAATAGTCAGCCCTTAGATAGCTAACGAGACATATGACTTGACGAACCAAGCGATATGGACCAAAAGCCCTTGGAGAAGATCCAAACTGTTTTCCACATCCATGACAATATGCTCAGCTAAATGTTTTCTCTCAGACTTCGCAATTTCTCCTTGCCGTGTACCATTCTTGCAAGCGACCATTGTAATGGCTCGGTAAAGAAATGGCTTTTCTTGGTATAGCACTTCTGGGGTGGTGCCAGCTGGGATCACAACGAAAGGGAAAAAAGGAACCATTTGATTCGAGTAAACTTCCATTAATTTCGCCCCTTCTTCGAAGCTTGGGACAGCAATGGTTTTGTCTGCTGATACTAAATGCGGTTCCTTTGGCAGATCATCGTGGGGACTGGACTGGTGGGATGCTGATAACATAGACACCATGTGATCAAGCTTTTTTTCCAGTGCGGTTACTTGTCTGGGCAGTTGTCAGAACTTATATTTCTGTGTTTTGTCCTCGGCGTAACTCACAAGTTGGTCCTTGGATCACAGCGCCGAGGTGTCTTCGCTGCCTGAAGGGCGCATTCTTTGTTCAATCGGCGGCATCTGGTAGTTGATAAATATTTATCTGCAATGTTCATGCAAGAAGTCCAACCGTTTACAAATACCGCTTTTTTCTGGCTCGCATCGCACTTTGGCCTTTGCGCATGTTCGACAGGCCTTTGTCCGGGACGCCGCTATGTCATCCATGTCGGGTCTCTCTATTCCGACCTTGAAAAGAAAGTGTGGCTGAAAAATCACAAAGGGGAGTTGCACTGATTTCAAAGGTGCAGTAGTGGATAGTTGTTGGCAAAAGATCGAAAGGAGGATTCGGTGTCCGTGTCTGAGCGGAACGGACACGGAACTCCGCTTCCCCGCTTCCGTTGCTCCCTGTTGGTGCGTGTTGGTCCGTCTAGAGCGATCCGTCCGTTGTAGGTCTGTTAGTCCGTGCAGATGGCCGGACCAGAAGAGTGAATGAGACAGGAAATTTCCGAAAAGAAGAAGAGAGCAGGGATGAGGAGGCGATCGTTGATGAGATGAAGTTGTCCAGACAAGTCATATAGACGTGTCTGGACAACTACACAGTAGTAGATGGCGACTGAACCAAGCCTTTATTGATTGGAGTCTGTTCAATAGAAATAATTTAGTCTGAATTTCACATTCAGGAGGCCACTAGCATGTCGCGCTTACGAGCTGTGGAAAAGACAAACGGGCGAGCGCCCGACGCCTCCGTCCGAGCCGACAGTATAAAATGCGACTCATCCACAGCAGATATTTTCCCATTCAATCTCAAATTTTCTAGCATAATATTCGCATGCTATTTATCAATTAACTGAAAGTCAACCCTCCAACGACTATAGACTTGGAACTATGGCCTCGTCCAACACCCAACAAACCCCGACACCCAACCATGGCGTCGACGAAGGGAACAGGATTCCCAAGAGACATAAACCATCAGGAATATCTATTCTAATTGTAGGCGCTGGCGTAGCTGGTTTGATGGCTGCTCTAGAGTGCTGGCGCCAGGGACATGAAGTTCGAATCATTGAGAAATCATCCACGCGAATTTTATCCGGTACGCAAGCCAGGGAGAAGCATTGCTTTAGGTTGCTAAAATTCAACAATACTCCTCTTCAGGCGATGGTTTCACAATCGGTTCCACTGCCATCCGGGCATTGCGACACTGGCCTGGCATGGTCGAAGAGAACGAGAGGATCGCATGGCATCCATGGGTTTCCTGGCACAAAATCACTGGAGACAAGATCTCAGGTCCTGCGCCATTTTTTGATCCTGCCGAGAAAAAGGATGAGACCCAAGCCGATGGTGACGAAGCCCCGCGCATGATCTACAGACATAGCCGTCCGAGATTCCACAAGATGCTGGCGGACCAAGCGGAAAAGCAGAATATCTACGTGGAGTACGGCACTCGTGTTGTTGAATACTATGAGGAACCTATCGCAGGTAAAGCAGGTGTGATACTGGGTAATGGAGAGAAGATTGAGGCCGACGTGGTTTTTGCTGCCGATGGCATTGGCAGCAAGTCAAGTAGTGCGATAATGGGTCATATAGTTCCCGCTCGCCCAACAGGCTTTGCAATTTATCGAGCTGCGTTTCCAGTTGAACTAGCTGATGCGGACCCGATGGTCCGCCAGCGATTCAAGCCATTAAAAGATGGTACGCCGGTGGTTGAAGTGTGGATGGGGTGAGTGATAGCCGGTACCCCAGATGGTTATTTCTAACCATCATCGTTTAGGGAGGGAATACGTGCAATGTTTGGTAGAAGTGAGGATGAGATGTCATGGACGATTAACTATCCGGTAGTTCCCGCCTGCCTCTGCTATCTGCAAGCTCTAATCCGGTCCTCTAGGATGATGGGGAGGAATCAGAGTCTTGGTCTACCCTGGTTGACCCAGAGATTGTGCTTCAAAAGGCCACAAATATTCCCGGATGGCCGGAAGTTGGGAACAGACTCATTCAATTGACACCCAAGGAAAGGCTCCATGACTTTAAGCTGATGTGGCGAGAGCCCCAGCCCTGTTGGGTCTCGCCCGCCGGGCGGATCGTCCAGATTGGAGACGCCGCACACTCGTTTCTGCCCTCATCTGGGAACGGCGCTACCCAAGGCATGGAAGATGCCATCTCGTTAGCGACCTGTCTGCGACTAGCGGGGAAGAACGATTTGTGTTGGGCAACCCGCGCGCATAACAAGCTACGGTGAGAACATATTTACTTGTGTCTTGTAGCGACTGACTCTTCCCATAGATTTGAGCGGGTATCTTGTTTGCAGTTGTTGGGGATCCTCAACCAGGAGACGCGGCACCTGTCTGCCAATGCCAAGGCCAGTACGGCACCTACCAAGCCTATCGGGTTGATGGCGGAGTGGATCTGGAGACACAACCCGGAGCGCTATGCCATCGAGAACTACGAGGCGGCACGGACGCACCTGGAGGATGGAAAGCCGTTTCAGAACAGCAATATCCCACCGGGTCATGTGTATAAGCCATGGACCATTGATGAAATGCTGCGGGCTACCGCTGCAGGCGAGCTCCACCTGGATGGAGACTGGGAATGAATGGGTCTATTGGTTGTGGGGTAGAGATTTTGTGGAGATTATTTTGATATGAAATGACAGACAGGCTCTTCTGCTGTGCCAAGGAATCAAATTTAGAACCCATGGATTCAGGTGCGTTACCTCCGACTAGTCAGGCAATGTAAGCCGAGCCCGAGTCCAATTCGGCCCAGCGGCGTCGGTACATAAGGGCAAGAGCTCCGACCCTTGCCCCCTGTCGCGCCACGCGTGGAGACCTAAGCAAGCCAAGCCACGAGATAAGCCGTGGCCAGCTGGGAGGGTGCCAGCTTAACTAATATCAACGAGCGAGAGCATGTCGTTTAGGATAGCTGTAAAACACTCAAGTCTGCCAGAACAATAAAAAGAAAGAAAATGTTGTTGTCATGCATTATCCGGTGATTGGCCTGCCCTAGTAAATAATACTATAGTGTCCCCACACCCCACAATATTCCGGCAGAAACAATACCCGCCTGTTGAGCTCTGTCCTTGTTCTGTTGTGGCGCGAGTTGGGCTGTCCGGGGGTGGGGCGAATGAGAAGGTGGAGATCATCCTCGACAGCACGGGGTAAATATACAGTAGTAGTTAGCCTAGAGCAGAGTGCAGAGGCCGTCGTTATAAGTGCGGACTGGCCGGCCGTGCTGTTCCTCCTTTTTTCTATTCCTTCGTTCGCGCTTCACTTGCCACTCCCACACCTCTCTTGCCTTCTTCAGGATGGAGAAAACGGATAGCCATCATCAACATGTCGAAAGCGGACCGACTCCGGGTCCAGAGACCAAGACCGATGAGTTCTATGACGCCGAGGATCGCCTGGCGCACCTGTCAGAGGAGCATCGCCAGTATCTCCTGGCCCGGCATGGAACCCTGGACCTGGATCCCATCCCCGACATGAACGATGCGGATCCGTACAATTGGCCGAGGTGGAAGGTAAAAACTCCTTTTTATAAAAAACAAACAAACAAACAATAGCTGAATTCCTATTTCATAGAAAAACATCAATCTCAGCTTAGTGGCCTTCCACGCCATGATCGCCACATTCACCGCCGCCTCGATACAGTGCGCGTTCCTCAATATCTCCGAGGACCTGCACCAAAGCATGCAGCGTACCAGCTATCTGACTTCCTTGTTCATCGCAGTCCTCGGTGGCGCGCCCTTGTTCTGGCGTCCGCTTTGTAACCGCTTTGGTCGTCGGCCGATCTTCCTGCTCTCGCTGATTTGTAGTCTGGTTGGGAATATCGGGTGTGCGAAGAGCCCAACGTATGGGACCATGGGTCTCTGCCGTGCCATTACTGCGTTCTTCATTAGCCCCGCCGCTGCTATTGGTAGCGCCGTGGTGGCTGAGACTTTCTTCAAAAAGGACCGGGCGCGATGCATGGGTGTCTGGACGCTGTTGGTTACGCTGGGTGTGCCATCGGCACCGTTCATCTTTGGATTTGCCGCGCAACGTGTCGGATACCGGTGGATATACTGGTCTCTTGCCATCTGCAATGGCGTGCAGTTCTTCCTTTATCTCCTCCTTGGCCCGGAGTCCCTGTATGTCCGCGAGGAGAACGGCGCCCGCAATGTGGCCAGCGTCAAGGAGTCAATGTTCAAATTCGGTCGTATTGACCCGGCCCCTCTCCGAGTCTGGGACTTCATCCAGCCACTCAGCTATTTCACGAAGCCTTGCGTGTTTATCCCAGCCGCGGCCTACGCCATGATTTTCCTGTGGGGTAGCGTGATGATCACCATTGAGATCCCGCAGCTCTTCCCCGCGATGTATGGGCTGGATACGCAGCAAGTTGGTCTGACCTTCCTTGGTGTGATCATTGGGTCGGTGATTGGCGAGCAGATTGGTGGGTTCATCTCGGATTGGTGGATGTCGATGCGTCGCAAGCGGATTGGCCAATCCCCGAAGCCGGAATTTCGCTTGTGGTTGACTTATATCGGCTATGTCCTGACCATCGTTGGTATTGTCGTCTTCTGTATCCAGCTGCGTGACTCAGGTCCTAAATGGAATATCACGCCGATTATCGGCACGGCAGTTGCTGCGGCTGGCAACCAGATCGTCACCACCATCAATATCACCTATGCGGTGGACTGCTACCGTGAGGACGCTGCCAGTGTGGGTGTTTTCATCACCTTTGTGAGACAAATGTGGGGATTTATCGGTCCATTCTGGTATGACTCTTACTATCCGTTGATTCTTGATCAAGTACTAACACGTCAACAGGTTCCCTCAGATGTTTGCCAATGCCGGCTGGGCCGGCGGTGCTGGAATTGCCACGGCCCTGATTGTGGGCATCAGCATTATTCCGACCATGGTGGTGCAGTGGTGCGGACCGAAGTGGCGCTGAGAAATTGGGCCCGTAGGACATTAGTACTGCGTCTATATATAATGAAGCCCACAATTTTCGCTTTTTTGTGAATTCGTGCCAATTTTTACACTTCGCATTAACTGTGTTCGAAAGGAGCGCCAGAGTAGTCACCCATCAATATAAGTCTACATCCTGCAAGAGCGTGGAGCAAATACAAAATCGGTGTGCTATTAACTATCGCTACAATCCAGGGATATACTAAAGTCATCACGACATAAGGTCACCGCCACCATTCATCTACCACCCTTCCACCCTCCGCATCCGCAAATGCATCCCCTCAACAGGCTTAGTAGTAACAGCGCCTGCAATATGAATCTCCTGCTTCGGATCCTGCATCTCAAACGCAAACCGACCAACGACACCCGCCACAGCGCAGCGCAGTTCGGCGCGCGCAAAATCCTTGCCGATACAGGAGCGCTGGCCATGCAGAAACGTAATCTGCGCGAAATTGGTGGATGCGCCGCCTGTATGGTTGACGACGAGCGCGCCGGTCTTGTCGGTGTCAATCCATCGCTCTGGCACGAAATCTTCGCCGTTGGTGCCCCAGAATTCCGGGCAACGGTTGATTGCATAGGGACAGAGCACGACTCGTGTTCCTCGTGGTACGTGCTTGCCTGCCACTGTTGTGTCGCGTATAGATTCGCGGAGCGTTGCTGGAACCGTGGGATATAGACGAAGGACTTCCTGGCATACGCCATTTAGCAAGGGCAGCGATTCCAGATCACTGTATGTGATTTGGCTGTCCGCAGACGGAATATTGGCCCGGATTTCGGCACGCAGCTTCTCCTGTGTCTCTGGGTAGAGTGTCAGGAGGTAACAGGCCCAGGTGAGGGCGCTTGCAGTCGTCTCATGCTACAGTTCCATCATTAGCGTGATTCACACAAAAATTGGTCATCACCAAAACTTACACCTGCTGCCAAGAAGGTCAGCATCTGGTCAACCAGCTCAGTATCAGAGAAGTCGCCGCCCAGCATCATTGTGCCGAGAATATCGGTTTCCAAATCCTTGGCAGATGCATTGGTAGCCTTGAGAGAACCGCGTTTCTCGCGCACAATATCATTGCACATATCCCGCAGGAAGCCCGTCTCATTGGCAACCACATCGTTCAAGCGCCAAGGCACGCGCTGAGCGATCCACTGTGGCAATGTGAAGTTCATAGCCAAGAAAGCCATCTTCTCCCTGGTGGGCTCAAGGATGGCCAGGAAGCTGTCGGCCACCTTGTTATCAGGGTTCTGCAGCGAGCGGAAATCACGGCCCATCGCCGCAGGGCCGATGATATCCAGCGTCAAGCGGCTACCCCAAACGCCCATCTCGATCTTGCCGACGCCATCGGCTGGATTGGTGCCCTCCATCGGACAGGCATGTATCTCCTTCTCCAATTCGACTAGGAGCTGGTTGGTCTTGTCCCACATCAGTGTGTACATGGCGCGGATGTTTTTGATATTAAACGCTGGAGTGAGTGCTTTGCGCTGTTTCCTGTGCGCTGCACCCTCGGATAGGATTAGGCCAAATCCGAGGATACGAGCCAGGAAGTTGCGCGCACGCCACGGCTTCTCAAAGTCATACGTGTTGGTACTCATGATGTCCAGCAGGGCCTGGTGGTTGGTTGGCAGTAGATAGCTCTGGCTGATGGTGTCACGCATGTGAATAAGACCATCATTGGGGATAGTCTTCATCCATTGCAGCGGCAGACGGCCACGCGGAGAATCGAAGATAATGGCAGCATGGTTCATTAAGCCCTACTTGTTAATTAGACATATTGTGATCAATTTTGGGAATGGTCCATACCGGAACCCGTGGTAGATGTCGCAGCGGGTTGAAGAAGAACGGCCAGATGATCATGCCCCAGATGGCGCGGAGTAAGATGTTCACGCCCAGAGCCCCGAGACAGACAGTTCGAAAGGTCTCATCAGGGAAAGCAGCGCGTTGCAGGAAATATCCCTCAGCAACCGAGAAGGCTGCCAGGGCCATAAGGGTGTCACCAAGCGCCATAGTTAGTTAGCTGTCGTTGATGAGGATCACTAGAACCGAGGGCAACAGGCTATTTTTCATGTCGAACTCATCATTTAGGGCTCCACCTAACGATCGGCAGTCTCCATCCTGTTGGGGAACGCCACCGACCGAGGTAATTTCGAATGTGATCTCTTTTTCTTCGCTTCTGCCTGTGGTGGGAATAAGGGAGATGGAGAATGAATGTGACAATCGGATGTTATGCTTGTTCATGCGGTATGGGCTTGCCTAGGTCGTCCTCGTCGTCGTCGTTGGTGCCTGGATGGATGGATTATTGATCGGCTAGAACATGATCGCAGCCCCGCTAAACTCACCCCGCGGGGAGACTAATTATGCCATCATCGAAATTCACAGGATCATTATGAGGTGAACATGTGAAGGTTGACCACATCGCACTGCTTGCCTACTTGGGAATGTTGTTGCCTGAGGCAGAAACTCAATGCCCTTGTTCGATGAACTGTAGAAACTGATTGAAGAAACGTAATTAGATGATTATTGATCATTATTAATTAATTATGGTTGTCATAGCATACATATTCATTCCGCAAAGCATATACTCTTGGCTATACACAATAATATCTACAGCCCCCCCCCCCCCAATCTCTACTGCAGCAGCTCCTTCAGCCACGACTTGACCTTCTTTCCCTGCTCTGTCTCGGTATTGTCGCCCAGGTACAGATTATAAACAGGCGCAACATGTCCCTCTCGGTGGCCAATAAACAACTCCACAGACGGGAAGCCCTCCTTGAACTTCGCGGCAAAGTCTTGGATGATGGGCAGGAGAATCTCATTGCCACCACCAGTGATCAGGACCGTGTTGACGGGGAACGACTCGTACCAGTCCGCTGGCGCAGTGGACAGATCCGTGTAGTAATCCCGTGACGCTTTGCCCAAGTACGCACTCGACCATGGAGCCGCCACACTCTGTGTGATCAGGTCACCACCCGAATAGATCTCCTGCTCCGGGAATTCGGTGTCCAGCAGCGTCCATGGAGCGATCATGGCGGCACCACCCAGATTGCCCGACAGAGACAGTGGCGCAATCTGGGGGTGTGGGTGGGCGATATGCGACAACACGCCACCGACGAGGTTCCCGCCAGCCGAGTCGCCGCCCAGGAAGACCGTGCTGGGGTCACGGTCAGGCTGCGACACGATGTAGCGCACACACTCTACGGCTTGGCGCAGCTGCGTCGGATAGGTGCCATGCGGGGACAAGGTATAGGTCAAGCTGAAGACGGCGACGCGCTTGCCGGAGCGCTCGAGCTCGCGGATGACGTTGGAGTAGAACTTGAAGTAGCCCATGTTGGCGGGCAGCGCAAATCCACCACCTAGACAAAGTCAGTGATGAACGTTGGTTTTTGGGTCTAGAAGATATGGCCCTTACCGTGAAACCACACCAGCACATTTGGTGCATTGCGGTCCCCAATCCAGTGGCCGAGGGCGCCGTGTCCCAGTTCCACCGATTCAGGCACGCGACCCGATTTCTTCGCAAACCGATTGTAGATCTTGTCGGAGGTTGGCGAGACGAATTGAATCTGGCTGGGTGACATGCGTGCGGTGACCTTGCGGAGGATGGCGTAGCCCAAATGCAGGAACAGGGTCTTGGCCTGGCGCTCAGAGCGCCAGATACCCGTCAGGAGGGCATAGAAGGCCGCCAAACTCACGGAGACGAGCGCGGGCAGAAAGTCGAGCTTCTCCGTGAGAGAGAGCTTTACCTGGGGATTGAACAGCATAATGGGTGGAGTTGGAGAGACTGAGCAGGCATCGTGACTCCTGATAAGTGGCAGTTGAGTTTATCGCGTGCTGTTGAACCTCGGGTCAGCGAAAAAGAAAAGGGCGTCGATCTTCTGTCGCAGAGCTATCCATTTACAGTATCGACCGTTTTTTTTTGTTGGGCCGAGGTCGGGGTGGAGACCGCCCCTCGGCTGGAGGGGGGGAACATTTTATGAACAATAGGAATAGTGTGACGGTGACGCATGGATTGGAGAAGCGATAGGAATAGCTATAGAAGTAATTATTACCTATGTAGGAGTATAGGAGTAGAATCGGCAGGTGGGCTAACATGAGAGCCACGAGGTCAGCACGTGGCGCCAGATCAGTGATACGATGAGCTACGGCAATAACACGAACGGATGAATGCATATCCCCGCTCCTCGGACGCTCGGAGAGTAATGCATCACTAGTATCTTCCAATCAACACGATAAGAATAATACAAACACTATGATGCACCTACACGCAGAGCCCCTGTGGCGATCCACCGCTGATCCTTCCGATATGGAGCGAAACCGAGGCATGTGAAGCGCCTCAAACACCGCGAGCCTTAAAACTGCCCCGAGTCCACTTGCACTGGTCACAATTGAACCACCCAATCTTGAAAGAAAAAAAAACATGAACGGACATGCCAACGTCGAGTCCGGGCGCCACTTCGATGTTATCGTCGTCGGCGCCGGCATCTCCGGCATCAACGCGGCCTACCGCATCCAGAGCGAGCTGCCCGGCATGAGCTATGCTATCCTCGAGGCTCGTGATGATCTGGGCGGCACCTGGGACCTGTTCAAGTACCCCGGTATTCGCTCCGACTCCGATCTCTTCACCTTTGGCTTCGCCTGGAACCCCTGGAACACCGACAACCCGATCGCGGAGGGCGCCGATATCAAAAAATATCTGCGCAGCACCGCGCACAAGTTTGGCATCGACTCCCACATCCACTACCGGCATCGCTTGCTCGGCTCGGACTGGTCCTCCGCCGACAACACCTGGTCGCTGTCCGTTGACCACGATGGCAAGACTAAAACTTACACCGCGCGCTTTGTCATTTTCGGCACCGGCTACTACGACTACAAGGAGCCACTGAAGGCGCAAATCCCCGGCCTCGATAATTTCCAGGGCCAGGTCATCCACCCGCAGTTCTGGCCCGAGGATCTGAACTACAAAAACAAAAAAGTGGTCATCATCGGCAGCGGTGCCACCGCCGTGACGCTGCTTCCCAACATGGCCGAGGATGCCTCGCGGGTTACGATGTTACAGCGCAGCCCATCCTATATTCTCTCCGTTCCCAACACCATCCGGAGCCGCTGGCTGCGCTATCTGATGCCCACACACCTCTACCAGCGGATGCAGCGCATCATGTGGATCGCGTCCGCGCGCTTTCTCTTTGTCTTCTGCCAGCGATTCCCCAGCTTCGCCCGCTGGGTGTTGCGCCTCAGCTCGCGCCGACAGCTGCCCAGCCATATCTCCCTCGATCCGCACTTCAAGCCGCACTACAACCCCTGGGATCAGCGCATGTGTCTCTGCCCCGACGGTGATTTTTACAAGGGTCTCCGGACGGGCAAGGCCGATATCAAGACCGACACCATCAAAACCGTGACCAAAAAGGGTATCATCCTCAATTCGGGCGAGCAACTCGATGCTGATATTATCGTCACGGCCACGGGACTGAAACTCCAAATTGCTGGCGGCTCCTCGCTAGCTGTGGACGGCGAGAAGATCAACCTGGCCGACAAGTATCTCTGGCACGGTGTCATGCTTCAGGATCTGCCCAATGCGTCCTTTGTCATTGGTTATACAAACGCCTCATGGACGCTGGGTGCCGACGCCACCGCCCACTTCATCACACGTCTGCTCAAGGATATGGAGGAGCGCAAGATAATTGCGGCTATTCCACGCCTGACGGCGAAGGATGCGGCCCTCCTGCAAGATCGGAAACTGCTCAACCTCAACTCAACGTATATCACCAGCGCCGAGGGGCGGTTGCCCAAGGCGGCCGATCGCGGACCCTGGCAGCCACGCGATAACTACTATACCGACCTCCAATTTGCTAAGAAGGGCAACTTTGAGGGTCTGGAGATGGTGCAGGGGCCGAAAATGGCGTGAAAGGTCTGGAGTGATGTTTTTATGACAGCATGACACAGTATATTTATGTGATGGCTTTTTTTGTATGTAACTAGTAGATTTGAACATAACTGATTTCACATCCTTTCTGCTGGACAGCTTAGATCTCTGCAGCCTTGTGAGACAGACGTACTGACAATTTTCCACGGCAAAAGACTTAATTATCTTGAACTACGTCTGCGTGTGCCATTGGTTTCTCTGTCGAAATGGATGGAAGAGGAAAGATTTGAGACTGGCATCCAGGCTCGTAGTATGTATGTACGCGGGCAGGCACGTCACATCTACGATTGCTTCTCTCCAGATTCTCGATTGCGTTTTGCACTGCCCTCCAACCCATACAGCACATCATCCGACATACCCGGGATCACCATCTCAAATGTCTCCCGGATCACCGCGTATTGGTAGTACCCACATCGGGCAATCGGCTGCGTTTTGCGGATATCCAAGATTCCATCCGTCAGCACCTCGTCTTGGATATGCACCGCAACCACCCGCCCGATCACGACATCCACGGTGCCCATCGGCGGATTTCCGGGCAGCCGAATCGTTGAGTGATACTCGCACTCGAACTTGACCGGCGATTCTTGCACCATGGGAACATTCACCAATCGCGCTGACTCCTTGGTCAACTGGGCTTGCTCGAACTCGTCCACCCCATATGCCACCTGTTCCGCCGTGATGTTGACGGCTTCTCGCAGGTCATAAGTGGCCAGATTCCAAACAAAATGACCCGTGCTCTCGGCGTTGGTCACGGTGTCTTTACGAGAGCCCGTCCCCGTCTGGTTGGCGGAGAACATCACATACGGGGGATCGAAGGTCAAATTCTGAAATTGTGAATATGGAGCCAAATTGGCCTTGCCATCTTTACTCTGAGTCGAGATCCAGCCAATGGGCCTTGGAACGACACAAGCCTGTCAATGATCCGTCAACAAGCGCCCTTCTTGCCAGTCGGGAGGGCTATTGACCTTGAACGGATCGTGGGGCAGATTGTGCTCAGTCACTCCTGGTTGGTAAAACATACTTGATTGATAGTGTGGTAGCTTGGTTCCCGACCTAGGTTAAATACTTTTGTCTCAACAGCCGACGTCTTGCCGAGACAAGCGTTGACCGGCACTCCGCCATGCGCAACAGCCGCTCCAACCGACTGTCAAACCCTCCGAGGCCTTGTGGGGCAATTTAGATGACCTCAATCTCGGAGCCTCGGAGCCTTAGGCAAACGAGAATGGGATCTGTGGAGGAAAAAAATTCCAGCAAGTCCTTGTTGTCGCTGTTGTCGGAATGGCAGTAGTTTGCAGACCTGCTCGACGTATGCGCCAGGTAGACTCCCTTGCCGAACATATATCCATGGAATGAGGTGCAAGTAGCGTCTGCTGGCATTCAGGTTGGATTTTAGTTAGATATTCGACTGGAATCTGATTTGTTATATTATTCAACATGGGTGATCATTCACAAAAATCTTTTATATTGTCGTGGATACTGAAAAAGCTCGATCCCGCCCGGAAGGGTCTAGTAGACTTGCTGCAATTATTTAGTTCCGAAGCCCTTGATAGATTATCGACTGCACATCATTGGAAATACCATATGGTTTCTTCTTCCCAGGCATATTTTCTATGCCTGCCAGGCACACAATTCCCGGTTCATCCCATTTGACCTAAATCCTGCAGCCCCACACTTTACCCCAGATAAATGCAACCCCGGATGGCCAATATTTGTGTTGCATTGCATCTCGATCTGCAGTCTATCAGAGTTATGGTCCAAGCATATTCCTTCTCCCAATCAGTCGGGCGTAAATCGTCGTATCCAGGGATGCTTACGCCGGCGGCCCGGCATATCAATAACAAGATTTCTGTGCTTTGAGACTCCGCATGACCACTCCCCAGCCGAGTTGCCGGTTTCGGTGAAACGTAAATAAATCATGGCAGTCATTCTCATGCGGGGTTCTAGTATAATATTGCCAAAAAAGCTATACCGAGGAGCCACATGTTGAAGTTGTCGGTGGATAACCCCCCGCTGCAGGCAATCAGCCTGACCGACCAAGATTCATATATATTTGTTAGTCTGCGGGGCATAGGTAAGACTCACATACATGCAATCTGATACAATGCTGTTCCGACTGCAGTTGGCCCTGGTGGCCATTCTGCCCGCTGCTTTGGCTTCCCCCACGGTCACCATCTCACAACCCCAGGCCACCATTGTGGGCTCCTCGGGATTGAATAACGTCGACAGCTTCAATGGAATTCCATTTGCCAAACCTCCAACGGGTTCCCTTCGACTAAAGCCCCCACAGCCTATTCAAACCTCTCTAGGTACCATACAAGCATCCGGAGTGGCCAAGTCCTGCCCGCAATTTTTCTTCGATGACAACTGGAGCGCCTTCCCGTCATCCGTCCTGGGCGATTTGATGAGTCTTCCCCTCTTCCAGAACGTCACAGATGCGGGAGAAGACTGCCTGAACCTCAATATTAATCGTCCTTCAGGAACTGAAGCTGGTGCTAAACTCCCAGTGCTGGTTTGGATTTTTGGCGGCGGCTTCGAACTCGGCTCCACTACCATGTATAATGGCGGCAGTTTTGTCGCGGACTCCATGAATTTGAATATGCCTGTCATCTTCGTTGCAATGAACTACCGCTGTGGTGGTTTCGGATTCATGCCTGGAAAGGAAATATTAAAAGATGGCTCATCGAACCTCGGCCTGCTGGACCAGCGGCTTGCTCTAGAGTGGGTGGCAGACAATATCGAGGCATTCGGTGGCGACCCATCTAAAGTGACCATTTGGGGTGAGTCTGCCGGTTCCATCTCCGTCTTTGACCAGATGGCTCTGTATGATGGCAACAACACTTACAATGGCTTGCCTCTATTCCGCGCCGGGATCATGGACTCTGGTAGTATGGTGCCTGCCGACCCAGTCGATGGTGTCAAGGGCCAGGCCGTCTATGACGTTGTTGTCAAGGAGGCAGGCTGCAGCAATGCAAATGACACGCCTGAGTGTCTCAGAGGGTTGGACTACAATGATTTCTTGATTGCAGCCAACTCTGTTCCAGGCATCTTGAGTTACAATTCTGTGGCTCTATCGTACCTACCTCGACCCGACGGCACGGTACTTACTGACTCACCGGAGAACCTGGTTACAAGCGGCAAATATGCCAGTGTGCCTTTTATCATTGGTGACCAGGAAGATGAGGGAACCCTGTTCGCTCTGTTTGAGTCCAACATTACCACAACATCTGAGGTTGTAGACTACCTGCAGGACCTTTTCTTCTTTGATGCCACACGAGAGGAGCTCGAACACCTGGTTGGGCTTTACCCGAATATCACCACCGATGGTTCCCCATTTGGTACTGGATCGATGAACGACTGGTATCCACAGTATAAGAGAATCGCTGCCATCCTTGGCGATCTTACTTTTACCCTCACGCGTCGAGTATTCTTGAATCTGGCGGCTAAGGTCAAGCCCGACATTCCATCTTGGTCCTATCTGGCCTCTTATGATTATGGCACACCTATCTTGGGCACTTGCCACGGCTCTGATATCTTGCAAGTCTTTTACGGGATTCTCCCGACCTATGCATCCAAGTCCATTCACACATATTACCTTTCGTTTATATATGACCTGAATCCGAATTCTCAGGCGAGTGACTACATGAACTGGCCTCAATGGAGCGGCAACCACAGTTCAATGCAATTCTTCAATGACCACGGTGCTTTGCTTCCTGATACTTTTCGCCAAGCGTCTGCCAGTTTTATCTAACAGAATATTGCCGACTTTCATATTTAGGGGTTGTCTTTTCACAAATGGGCGTGCAATTTGCTGAAGATTGCTGTACATAGCTCCATATAACGAGAACGTCAAGGTGAATGAATAATGTTTAGGACCCTACAAAGAAATCTCTAGGCTGCGTTCATGTACAATGAGAATGTTCTTAAGAGTTTGTTCGGGCTGAACAGCTGGGAGGCCAAACGTAATGTAATTAACAAATCATCCTGTAGAGAGAAGAGAGACAGCTGAAAGCGCCAGATAATAGCAAATTAATTTCTCGCCATTAAGCTAAGTCAATGCTCTTTCAAGTTTCAGCGTGATCTATCTCCATGTCGCCGTCACTGTCGCAGTAGTCCCAGAGCAACCTGTTGGCACGGCATACGACCGATTTGGGTCACTCTCCCAGGTCGTAGCCCCGTCTGTCTTTTCGAGGAACTTGTATTCAAACGAGATGCCAACTGGTAGCGTAACTTCAACATACCATAATGGATTGGAAGAAGTGTAGTCATCCGCTGACAATGCCACAGCGTCATCGGTGTCCCAGCTGCCCAGTTCGCTAATGGAGCCCGAGAGGAAGATATTCTCACCATACGAGGTGGTTACTATCTCTTCAAAAACAACTGGAATTGCTGTCGCCTGGATGCAAGTCGTAGTCGATGTGGTTGCAGATGACGTAGCAGTGGTGGTTATCGTCGAAGATCCACACAGTCCACTTCCACTCGCACTGGAGGATGGGATAAACACGCGAGGTAATCCGGAGGCCATGGGTACTGCGATATCCCCGCTTTGATCCACTGTAACCGAAGTGCAAGTGTAGAGCTCTATCAGTTCTATGCCAGATGAATAGCCACTGCCGCTCAGAGTCAGAGTGTATGAGCTGCCTGAAGCTCCGAGGTTCGAAAGCACCGTGATCACCTGTGAGCCGCTGGATCCTTTCTTCATGGCTATAGTGTTGCTATCTTGATAAAAAGGGTCGTTCTACGCAGAAGGTTAGCCATATAATGTTGACCCACAATGAACAATACCTCAGTAGTAAGATAGCTTGAATCTATCAACATAATCGCTTTGCGGAGCTTATTTGTGGTTGCAATAAATTGATACAGCTCGGCAGTAGTTGAATACTCAGATAGCCAAGTGGCTTCCCGGTTATATGGGTCCTCACCGCCGTTGTAGTGTTGCTCTTGGCCCGCGTAGACAATAGGTATCCCGTCAGAAAAGAAGATATAAGCCAGAACGTTCTTGGCTTGTGAGTAATCCTCCGTATAGCTAAGCAAACAGTAAGTCAAGCTTTGTAGGTCAAGGTAGTCATTAATTTAAGAAATAAGCACTTACAAAGCAAAGCGTGGGTTGTCGTGATTTTCAATAAAGTTGCCCAGGAGAGTCGGATCCTCACAGGATGATGCCACGGAACCAATCATGTCATACAGATCGCTGATACTCCCATTGGAGGACTCAAATGCGTAGAGCAATTGATAGTAACTGTTATTGTTAACGAATAAATCTAGCAGCTCACACGGGGTTCAAATTACATTGGGTAGTTCAAGACGCCATCGAGATAATTCTGATAGGGGCAGGTGTAAGCCGGATCGCCATCAAGTACTTCACCGACACAGTAAACTCCCGAAGCGTCGTTATAGCCAGGCCAGAAAGATTGCTGTACGTGTTTGACGGTATCAATCCGTAGACCGTCGACTTAATCTTGTGTGAGAATTCCAGAGATCGTATAGGCATTGCAAGAAACTTACTGGAGTAATTGGAAACGAGACCAGCGACCCAGTCATACCAGATGGTCTGAACTGAAGTGAGTGTGGTATCCAAGTCTGGTAAGGAGACGGTTGTGTCACCTAGCCAACAGTCCTCGACGTTGGTTTGGTTGTCATAGTTGCTGATCAGGCAGTAGGGGTGGAAGTATGAAGAAGAGTCAAATGGATCAAATACACTGTAATCAACAGCGCTTCCCCCTCCATCATATCCCTACGTCTACATGAGAATGACTTCCTGGAGCTTGTGGGGAACATACCATATCGTTTGCCACAACGTCGACCATGAGGTACATACCTCTAGTATGCAGCGCCTGCGACAGGGCGAGAAGATCACCGGCAGTTCCATAATTTGTATTGATGTCGTATCTGAAGGGTCAATCATGCACTATTCTTTTGATTCAAGACCTACATTCTCTGCTGCCAATATCCATGATATGCTTCTCCTTCTCCTGTGTCCTGAGGCAACTGTTCGGTAACTGGTGTGATCCATATTGCAGTAAATCCCATTCCTTGGATATAGTCCAACTTTGGATATCAGCAATGCATAATAATTCTCAGTCGCAGACATACCTGGTTTATAATCCCTTGCCAACTGCCACCGCAGTAAATCTGTCGCACTTTATTAGACGTCGAAGTAGGACTGAGGGGTCGTACATACTCGCTGACCGACGTCGCAGGCTGCGGTGGTTGAATTGTCTTCTCGCCCAAAACGATCTGTCAGCAAGAAATAGATTGACTGACTTCGCCATTCGGCGGGAGTCAGAGCTATGGCAGCTTCAGTGAGGAGCCATGTCAAAGCAATGTACCGCATGTTGGAATTGTGAACAAGAAATGGAGATTAGTTCAGGGCATGAGGTGATCGGTTGCTACGTCGCGCGTCCGGTTTTATATAGCTGTAACCTGCACAACCGAGCCAGATCAGACGTGCGACGATGAAACTCGCAAATAAAATTTATTCATGAGTATTTGTTTGAGATTGGGCTCTACGAAAGGGCGATAATCCACGGGGCAACCTGCCAATCACCATGGGACGCAACCCCCCAAGTATCTTCATGAAAAGCCATGGGCAGGATAAGGTCCTTGCACGTATGCTGTGCATTAGAGAATTTCGGCTGAACAAAAGAAAGCCGGAGACACGTCACTTGTGTAGGTGACGCCAGGCTGTAAATAGCAGTCTCTCCGGGGCCGGCCCTGGCTAGAGCAGGATAAGATCCCCCCACATTCTTCACAACTCCGGATTCTAGTAATTTCGACCCCACACAATGCAAGGAAGTTATGATGGGCTCACATGTGCTGATCATATTCACAGCCAGGGTCGGGGGGGCAGCTAGTAAGGTGATTGGTCCAAGCGCCGTTTCTCGAAACGCGGCCGACAGGGGACGGCGAATTTGCGGGGTCCGAAGACTCTTCAGGCTGTCGGCAAAATCACAAAAATGTTTAGATGACCTTGGTTTCAGGGTAATGAGAAAATGAATGCGTGCGATCAGCAAGAGTCCGGGAGATCGTCGGACAGGACGGGCGACGGAGATGGACGGAATCGGAAATAGCTTCATGTCTGACTGTAAAGCGCCAGTGCATTTCCCCACCCCCTGTAATCCGGACTCCGGTAGAGATGGTGGCCTCGCTGTCGGCTCACGAGACTTGCTTGGACCGCTGCCGGCAAAATGTAGACCGATCCAGTGACTATAAATTCTCATGAATTCCTTGACGTTAAGCAACACCACCCACCACACCATTCAAACCCTTCCGATGGCCCGTTACTTCTTGACTGCGCTCTGGACGGTCGCCCTCGGTCAGGCGGTTTTGGCCATACCAAAGCTGGTCGCACGTGGGACCACTAGTTTGGATACCTGGCTCGCGTCCGAGACGGCGGTGGCACGAGAAGCTATTCTAAACAATATTGGATCGGCAGGAGCGTGGGCGGAGAGCGCAGATTCAGGAATTGTCATCGCTAGTCCGAGCACGGATAACCCTGATTGTGAGTGATCACGATACAATATAGGGCCCCGGACTGATGAACAAGATTATTACCAGTGGACACGAGATGGGGCCTTGACGATGAAAACGCTTATTGACCTGTTCAAGAACGGAGATACCGGCTTGCTCAGTGTGATTGAAGAATACATCAACGCCCAGGCTTATATTCAGACCATCTCAAATCCGTCTGGAGATCTCTCATCCGGAGGTCTTGGTGAACCCAAATTCAATGTGGACGAGACCGCGTTTACCGGCGCCTGGGGCCGCCCTCAGCGCGACGGCCCAGCGCTCCGAGCAACCGCGTTGATTGCTTTTGGTCAATGGCTCCTTGTAAGGACTTAGTTATCCGTGTCTGGCTTGAAGCTGACTTTCAAGCAAAGGATAATGGCTACACATCCTCGGCAACAGATATTGTCTGGCCAATTGTTAGGAACGACCTCTCCTATGTTGCGCAGAATTGGAACTCGACTGGTTATGGTAAGGCCGATCTACTGTACTGGATTATTCTTTTCAACTTATAAAGTCTTACAGACTTATGGGAAGAAATCGATGGCTCTTCGTTCTTTACAATTGCCGTGCAGCACCGCGCTCTGGTAGAAGGAAGCACTTTTGCCAACCAAGTCGGGTCGTCATGCACATACTGTGAAGTTGCGCCACAGGTCTTATGTTTCTTGCAGTCTTTCTGGGCAGGCTCTTATGTACTTGCTAATTTTGGAGACAGCCGCTCCGGTAAGGACTCTAACACCCTTTTGGGGATCATTGCAACTTTCGACAAAGATGCTGGTTGCGATGACAGTACTTTCCAGCCTTGCTCCGCACGGGCATTGGCAAACCACAAGGTGTTGACAGACTCTTTCCGCTCCATTTACACACTCAACTCCGGTATCGAAGAGGGCGTCGCCGTTGCCGTGGGTCGTTACCCAGAAGATACATACTACAATGGAAATCCCTGGTTCCTATGCACGCTCGCGGCGGCCGAGCTGCTATATGATGCGTTATATCAATGGAACCGCATTGGCTCGTTAACTATTACCGATGTCTCCCTAGCCTTCTTCCAGGATGTGTATAGCTCAGCTGCCGCTGGAACCTATGCCGCATCCAGTGAAGAATACCAGTCGATTACGGGTGCTGTCAAGACATATGCAGATGGATACATGAGCATTGTGGTATGTTTAAACGAGATAGATATTGTCTTTTCTTTCTAATACCTCAGACAGCAAGAGTATGCAATGACGAATGGTTCGCTGTCGGAACAATTCGACAAGGCCGACGGACTTGAGCTGTCGGCACGCGACTTGACCTGGTCCTATGCTGCATTGTTGACGGCGAACATGCGGCGCAATTCCGTCGTGCCCGCTGCATGGGGTGAAACCTCGGCTAGCAGTATTCCGGAAGCGTGTACTAGTGGATATACTTCCATCGGCACGTACAGTTCGGCCACCTACACGAGCTGGCCTAGCGATTTGACGAGCGTGTCGGGATCGACGACCACGGGCTCGACTGCATCATCCACAACAACTTCAATAACGACAACCAGCACGGCGTGCACGACGCCTACTTCCGTGGCTGTGACTTTTGACCTGATTGCAACCACAGTGTATGGCGAAAACATCAAGCTTTCGGGCTCAATTGCACAACTTGGTAGCTGGGATACGGACGATGCCGTCGCATTGAGCTCAAGCGAGTATACTGAAAGCGACAATTTATGGTATGTGACGGTGGATCTCCCGTCCGGCACTAGTTTTGAATACAAATACATTCGCGTTGAAAGCGATGGAAGCGTCGAATGGGAAACCGCCTCAAACAGAGTCTATACAGTGCCATCAGCCTGTGGCACTACAGCTGCAACAGAGAGTGATACTTGGAGTTGAAGTGAAGGGACAGACTCCTTTGCTAAAGTGATGGGAAAGAACCGTGGGCTTGGTATTTGACGGATGCAGAAATATACGTTTTACTTGGGTATAATGCAAGATTATTAGTAGTGAAAAGCTGCCTCTATTTGATGGGCCTTGACCTATTGCGTTTACAACTGGTAGTTGCGGATGAACAAGCCGAGGAACGAGGCAAGTAGCGAACATGCGAGTGAGACAACTAAAATGTTAGAGTCCATAAATATTTTTAGAGAGAAGAACTCACGATAGGTGTATTTTAGACCCGAGAGGTAGCACATCACCACGATTTCTCGGAGGCGGCCTCCGAGTTGGGCGATGTAAGCCGTATCCGCCATGGCACGTCGAATGACCTGTCAAAGTCAGTAACAATAAGACAGTTATGACCAAGAGAGCAGTATACCTTTCCAGACCCAGGTCCGTGCAGATTCGACTGGAGTTGTTTCTTAAATTCCAAACCCAAAGTCGTATTACTGACAGTGACCCCGGCAGTCATGGCAAAGCTGATCAACAGCATGTATCCTGCGGTTGCCATGGCCACTTCTTCCTGTTGTAGCATAACAGTCATGGCTATGAACGCCGATCCAGATGCAACACCGGTGCCTATACCACCGGGAATAATGAAAAGCGACTCCCAAATCCCAGTCTGGCCGTTCCAGGTAAAATAAAGCAGCACATAGGTGACCGATGCCACGAGACCAGCAAGCACCAGCAGAGCCTTGTAATACCCGGTGCGGCGAATAATTATTCCAGCAAGGAGGCCACCAATCGTATTGCCCACCACAGCTGGGACCAGATGTCCACCGGACGCGGTAGTGGAGGCTCGTTGAGTCACCTGGAAGTACAGTGGCACGGAGAACATCATGCCTAGTTGCGCCGTAATCTGCAAAAATCCAATAAGATAGCTGAGAGACACATTAGGCCGGCGGAGTATGCGAAGGTCGAAGATGGGGTCTCGTGCAACATAGGCCTCCACGAGCGTAAAGGCCACCAACAAAGCAATTCCACCACCACCCATGAATAGTGTCACCCATGAGCGCCAGGAAAAGGATTTGCCACCTTGATCCAAAAGAATTGTAATTGCCAAAATAGCCGTACCCAAAAGGGCTGAGCCAAGAAAGTCCACTTGGCGGAGTTTCGATGCGGAACCGTCTTTGCTCAAAGACGCTGGCTGTGCAATCTGGAGTTTAATGACGACGAGAAATGCGGCCAAGGCAACAAAGGGGGCTTGGAGAAGAAATAGCCTAGAACAGGGTTAGATGGGTGCCAATTTTGGAAGTACGTCCTATCATACCATCGCCATCCGATTGTGTCGCTCAGCCAGCCCCCCAGAGGTCCGCCGATGCTACGGCCAAGAGTCATCGCAATATTCACATAAGCTCTCCAGCTGGCAACTTCGCGCCTGGGAACGATATCTAAAACATCTCAGTGGGGGTTTTATCAGATTAACGATGACACGAACCGGTGATAATCACTGACGAGATTGTCATTGTTCCAGCACCACCCACACCGCTGATTGCACGACCAAGAATGACCACCCACATCTGCGATCCGATGCCACTGTAAAGAAAATTGTAAGAGTTACATCATTTGTAAGGCAAGTATTTCTCCTACATACCTGATTATACATCCCACCGCAAAAAGCAAATATGAGACCAGGAGCAATGGCTTGCGGCCATATATATCGGAGAGCTTTCCATACTGTGATAGCGGTGATTAGGTATAACTCTACAACTCGTCTCACACATCACTGACCATGGGCTGTGCTGTGCAGAGACCCAACGTGTATGCCGTAGAGAGCCAACTCGCGTCACGCAGGTGATTGAACTCAGAGGAGATTCGGCCCGTGGCGGCCATGACGAGCGTCGCGTCGGCATTGGAGATAAACTCGCCTTTGCGATAGTGAGTAATGTATTTTCCTGCGACAAATATTCGTTATTGTCATACCTAACAAGAGCACTGCAATTATCGTGCCAACCTCGGTCAAAGCCTTGATATTGGGCTCATCCGGATCGGACAGCAGCGGGCTTTCTTCATCGAGGGCGCGTCCATTGATGGATCCGGGCTTGTGAACTGATTGCGATCCTGCGCTATGCGCATCTGAATCGTCGAGTATAGCGACCATGATAGACTTTTAGGTGATTGAAAACCAACAGTGAAATCCGTCAGATGAAAATTTCTTGAATCAAAAGGACCTGGGCGATAGTTAGTCGCCCTCGACTCCGTCGATGGAAACATTTGCGTGCCTGGACCCGCGGGGCCTTGGATATTGCGTTATTCTCCAGTCCATCTCGCGTGGCTCATGCAGCTTCATCGAACGTTCCTCATTGCAGGTTCAAAGCACGTCATTTGAGTTTCCGGACACCAGGCTCCACTGCGCTCGGGCCAAGGGGAATTATCCGCAGAAATGTGCTTTTCCTGCTCCCTGAATACCAATAACTATGACTACCTACATATTATTTGCAGGATATGCACAGCGGATGGCACAGCTACCATGTTGTCTGACTCTCACTCTGAGCGTAATCGGTGATACCAGGCTCGATAATAAATAACATGTATACTGATCGAATTGCATACTATGTATCGCAATCAGGTCCACGGATGGCATCATCACCTCGGCTACACTATCGGCACTCCAAGCTCTCCACCGGGATCCACATTGATTTTCCGAGCTTGTCAGACAACTCCCGCTTCATCGGCATGTCACCTAGATAACTTACCACGCCCCGCGGCGGCTATCATTGCGCCAACAAACCCTCCTAATCGCCATGAAACTCAATACTGCTCTCGCTGGCCTGCTCGCCGTCATTGAAGGCGCAGCAATCGCTCAAGCAGATGCGCAGGCCGTATTTCAAGCGGTCCTAGGGTCCAGTGAATCGTCGCCATTGCCGTCACTATCACATCGACAACCGAATATTCTTTTTATCATTACGGACGATCAAGACCTGCAGCTCGACTCGGTGGCCTATACTCCCCTAATCGCAAAACACCTACGCGACAAAGGCACCACCTTTGCCAATCATTTTGTTACTACCTCTCTCTGCTGTCCCTCTCGAGTCTCTCTCTGGAGCGGTAAACTGGCTCATAATACAAACGTCACGGACGTGAGCCCGCCCTATGGTAAGACTGTCGCAGCTCTAAGTCCATTTTATACGCGTCTAATTGCCCCAGGTGGCTACCCGAAATTTGTGGAGCGCGGATTCAACAATAACTTCCTGCCGGTCTGGCTTCAACAAGCCGGCTATGACACCTACTATACTGGAAAACTCTTCAATGCGCACACAATCGAGAACTATGACAGTCCACACGTCAATGGGTTCAACGGATCCGATTTCTTGCTTGACCCTTACACCTATGCCTACCTGAATGCGACCTTTCAGCGAAATCACGACCCTCCGGTAAGCTATGAGGGGCAGCACACAACTGATGTGATTACTGAGAAAGCACTCGGGTTCTTGAATGATGCATTGGAGGGAGACCGGCCATGGTTCGTCGCACTGGCTCCCATCTCACCTCACTCGAACGTCGACCCCTCTCGTCTGAACGATGGAGAAGTCACGTTCTCTGCTCCCATTCCCTTGGAACGGCATCAGCATCTTTTTGAGGGTGTGCAGGTACCTCGGACAGAGCATTTCAATCCGGACGAGGTAGGTGCATGGCCTTTTTTCTGGGTGTTCCACAGATCTGACTTTTTACCAGCCGAGCGGCGTTAGCTGGATACAAGATCTTCCCAAGCAGAACGAGTCCGTTGTAGAGTACAATGACCACTTTTACAGGTCCCGTCTGCGCGCTCTACAGGGCGTGGACGAACTTGTAGATGCGGCCATTACTCGGCTAGAGGAGAGTGACCAACTCGACAACACTTATATCTTCTACACATCAGACAACGGATTTCATATCGGCCAGCACCGGCTGCCGCCCGGAAAGACCTGCGGGTTTGAAGAGGATATCCGAGTTCCGTTCTTTATCCGCGGGCCTGGTGTACCCGAGGGGGTGGTACAAAATGCCGTCACAACTCATATAGATCTAGCACCGACGTTTTTCCAGCTGGCCGGGATTCCGGCAAGGGATGATTTCGATGGCACACCCATACCGATCGATCCCAGCTCCAAAGCAACGCGTCACGAGCATGTGACCGTGGAATATTGGGGCAAGGGAGTCGCGGAAGGGGCATTTGGTGACATCGGTCAGTAACTATCCTGCCAAATGCTTGAACAGTAGATGCTAATATCAATATTTAGGTCCCAGTGGTTCGAACATGATCGGTAACCACACGTACAAGTCAGTGCGGCTCATAGGTGAAGGCTATAATTTGTATTATTCGGTGTGGTGCAACAACGAGCATGAACTTTATAATCTTGCTGTGAGTTCGCCTTCCTATTCCACTCCAGGAACCCGTGCTAATGTCCTTGAAGACCGATCCTTACCAGCTACACAACTTGCACCCATCAAGTTCTCCAGCTAATTACACAGAGCCTCAAATTCTCGGACGCCGTTTATACGATGTTATAAACCGGCTAGATGCTTTGCTGTTGGTTTTAAAATCCTGCGTGGGAATTTCCTGTATCGAGCCCTGGAATGTCCTCCAGCCGGGTGACTCCGTGCGTACTCTACGGGATGCTCTGGACGTTGAATATGACAGCTTCTACAGTCAACAGCCCAGGGTGTCCTTTGATTGGTGTGATGCTGGATATGTGATTGAAGCGGAAGGCCCCCAAGTGGCATTAACTAGACATGGCTTGAACTGGGATATTTGGACATAGCCAATAATAACGTAGAAAAAGTCTTGATATTTAAAGTGTATGGATTGCCAGGAAGTGATTTTCTCAAAATAAAAGGATTCTAGCATGAAGAATTGCCGACAAGAGGTCCGGTCCAGCTGTGCCGGGGGATGTATCCCTTGTTTCAAGGAGAATCAACACGACCGCGCGTCCAAGCAGAGCTTTGACAAAGGATTAGTCTAGTCTGAATACACTAATAATCCAAACGAAGCTTGCCAATCCCTGCTCTGAGTCCGTCGGCAAAGTGGTTTTTATTTTACCGTTGATGGGGCCTTATCAAATCCACCCTAAATTGCGCCATAGCCCCTCGCCGTGTCGCGACATGGACTAGGCCACATTTCACAGCTTAAGCGGAATCTAGATGCTATTACGGAACTGAGTAGTTGCGTAATTTGTGCTGGGTACTCTGGGGGCCACGATCTTATAAGAAGCATCGTCTGCTGCCGATTAAATTACAGCTAAAACAAGCCAGGCACGACTCCTTGAGCCTATCACCCTGTCGATACTATTCCTCTACAATCATGGCGCGTGGCCGGCCGGATCCAAAGGTGATTTCTCAAGAGAGTCTCCCTGAGAAAAATATTTTGCGTGACGAGGTACTTGAGTCACCTCCAAGCGATGTCGACCATGGTATCATCAAGGACTGGGATAATGAGTCTCGGATTCGACTTAAGTGAGTGCCACAAGCCATCACCCAAAAAAAAAAAAAAAACCAGCTCTAAAGGTTTATTTTATTTTATTTCAACAGAATAGACTTCATTTTGCTTCCCTGCCTCGCCTTGGCATTCTTTTCTTTGCAACTTGACCGGGGTAATATCAGCGCTGTATTGACTTCTACTATAACGAAAGACCTGAATATCACAACCAATCAGATCAACATCGGAACACAGCTGTTGTCTGCGGGAATCGTACTCTCTGAGATACCATCCAATATTATCATGCAAAGGATAGGACCTCGCGTTTGGCTGTCGGGTCAGCTCTTTGCGTGGGGACTCGTTGCCACCTTCCAGGCCTTTATCCAGTCATATCCAGCTTACCTGGTAACCCGTATCCTGCTCGGACTTTGTGAAGGTGGTTTTATTCCAGGTAAGTGAACTCCATCTTTATTATGAGCCATGAGATGTCTGATTGACATACTCGACCGTAGGTGCTCTCTACTACTTGTCCACCTGGTACAAGAAAGACGAGACCAGCTTTCGCACTACCCTCTTCTTCTATGGACAAATGTTTGCCTCTGCTACATCCAGTTTGATTTCAGCCGGTCTTCTTCGACTATCTGGAACGGGAGGCCTAGAAGGATGGCGGTGGATCTTTTTGGGTAGGCTCTTGTTTGTACCCGCCAAGGAGCCCCTAGCTAACTTGGACCTGCTCAAACAGTCGAAGGCCTCATCACCATCTTTGTTGGGATTGTTTTTACTCTCTTTGTCCCCCCTGCAGCAGGCGATGGTCGTGCTTTAATTGGCATGGGCCGTTGGAGCTATTTTAGCGAAAGAGAGACACAAATAATCCGCAATCGAGTTCTGCTGGACGACCCTCGCAAGGCCCGTGGGCAGATTCAGATCTCACGGTCCGATATCTGGAAGACTGTTTGCCAGCCGCGCATTTTGCAACACGCCTTTTTGACATTGGTCTCCATGTCCGCGTTCCAAGGTTTGACGCAGTACACACCCAGCTTGATCAAGTCCCTCGGATTTGGAGCAGTCAGAGCCAATGCCCTAGCGTCTGTCCCCGTGTACTGTGGTATTGTGTGGCTGTCTGTCCTGGCTTATATTTCGTACGTTTCCACTTCAATCACAATATATTGTACTAACCATCTATGACAGTGATCGGGTTGGCCACCGTGGTCCTTTTGTCCTTCTGGCCATTACTTGGAACGTCATCTCCTACGCTTGTTTGCGAGCGAGCACATATTCCACATCAGCATGGCACCAGTATGGAGTCATTGCCGTGGCTAACGTGTCATATTGCAGCATGCAGTACGTTTGAATGCCAGTCTTGATCTGGAATCGGTGGCTAACTGATGTCTAGTATTCTGAACGTCGGTTGGCTGTCTGTTTACTGTACCACCCCTCAGGAACGAAGTGTTGCGATGGCACTTATTGTGATGGCCGCCAACTGTGCTGGTATTTCGGGCTCCCAGATCTTCCGCACGTCTGATGCTCCCAAGTATTTGCACGGCCTCACAGCTATATGTGCGCTGGCCGGAGTGTCATGGGTACTTGCCCTGGTTCTCGGCGTGCAGTACTATATTAGCCGCAAGAAGGCGTTAGTGGTTGATAGCGAGGCAAATCGGGTAAGGCAATAAGGCGATGTCAAACCTGATTTCTTTTTATGAGTAATGATTGAGATGCGGATCTAGCGATGATAAACAGACAGTATTGCATTTAACTTATCTTCCTTTCAATGGTGCCATTTGCCCTTCTAACTTCCACCGGCCCCAATCAATTCCATACTGGATTCGGAAATCTGGGGAAGCTCATTTGACCCCGCACCCCCGTATCCGACGACCATGCCAAAATAGGTAATCGATAAGGCCAGTCGGATCGGAAATGTCCCGATAGGAAGATAAGAGCCATGGCACCGTCGCTTCACCTCCTGTCTATCCTCCAGTTCCTCGAGAGCCTGGCCACCATGAGTACACCCGCCCGAGTCTGCGCTCGCTGCTCACGCATCGTGAGTGCTTCGCCCCCAAATGTTACCGAGGTGGTACTAATTCAACAGAAACAACGGTGCGACGGTGGTCTGCCCTGCTCGCGCTGCACCCGTAAGCTCCCACTCTGAAAGATTTAGGAAATACCTGACAGGACAGGCTTGGGCCATGTATGTGCACCGCGTAAAACAGTAACCGATTCCTCAGATGGGGCCCTGGCGCCACAACGGCCACGTGCATCACGCTCCCGCGGTGGGTGTCTCCCCTGCAAGGCAAGGTAAATCCTTTGTCAGTGAACACGGCCCTTGCGTCGGACGCTAAAATGCTGTCTGCAGAAAAAAGAAATGTGACGAGAATCGCCCACGCTGCAGCGATTGTCGTCGGTTGAATCTGCCCTGCCGCTGGCCGGCAACTTCAGTGGGTCCAGAAAGCCCTGAGACAACTAGCTGGTCTCTCTCTCCTGGGTCTCCTAGAACCGTTATCTCGATCACCGATCCGAACGATCGATCCGACGGTGATCCGCTTGCCTTGAGCTCCCTGACCCCCGATGACGACGAGGAGTTCATTGCCACGCTCTTCCCACACCCTTTTCCCAAGCATAATGGCATTACCCTCTCTCTTAGCCGGTCCCCCTTATCCACCAATCCTCATTTGCGCAGTGAAGAGGACCGATCACTTTTTAACCACTACCTTCAGGTGGTGGCGGGCGCGCTCTCCCGGTCTCACTCCGATCGGAACCCGTTCCTTGTGACTCTCTTGCCCCTAGCAGCTACATCTAATACAGTGACCAGTGTCATATTGAGTCTGAGTGGATGCCATTGGAAGCGAGTCTATCCCACCATCTGGGGTCGTGCATTGACGCGGCAAGGCCAAGGTACATACACCCGAGCTCACAATGACTGTCAAACTAATTTTATGATAGCACTGGCCCAAGTCAACAGTCTTCTCAGTCGATCCGACCGCCAATCCATATTTGAAGCATGTACAACTGTTCTTTTATTATGCCTGACGGAGCTGTGTGATGGGCAGTCTAAGGCCTGGAAATGGCATCTGAAGGCAGCCGGTGCCATTCTCAAGTCCCCTGCGATGCGATCACTGGTCTCAACGGATGAGTGGACGTTCTGTATTAGTTTGTTCCACTACCTGGATTCAATGTCAACCATCTCCCGGTGCAAACCACCATTGCTGCATGAAGGTGATAGCATGACGGAGTTGAGCAGCTCCCTTCGACGCTCCAGTGTGCCCGAACTGACTCATAGTCACTCCACGGATGCTATCTATGGGATCTCTCCCGTGCTCTTTGACTATCTCGGTATGGTCAATATTCTGGCTAATCACCGGAGCCGACGCGTGGACGAGCTCTCCGAAATTGGCTTCCGAGCATCCGCGATACACTTGGAGAATCGGATCAATGAGTGGCGCGTGGAACATGACCGCATAGACACGATTGATGGTCGTGAGCTCGATACCGAGCGAGCCACGACGGCTTTTGAATGGGCGATCCGCCTGCGTTTACATCAAATCGTCGAGGGCTACGATCCATTCCATGAAATTGTCGAGGGCGCCGTAACCACCATCTTGGATGCTGTTCGAGAGATACCGTACGCCAGTAAGGTTGAAGGATGTGAGTTGATCCCTTGCCTCTGCGCAAATGATGCTGACCGGTCTATCACAAAGGCCTTTTGTTTCCCTTGGTGATAGCAGGAGCGAGCAGCATCAGCGTTGAACGGCGCATGGTTGTGAAAGAGCGACTCATGGTCCTAGAGAGCACCTTGGGATTTTCACACATCCAATACGCTCGTCAATTGTTGGAAGCGGTGTGGAAGAGTGGAAGTACTTCAGGGCTCAACTGGGCGGCTGTCCGGTATAATCAATTCCCCGGCGTCGTATTCATTTAAGACATGTATGGATGTACCGTATTGATTGCAAGCGATTCTTTATTTCGATAAAGTATTTAATTGCGCTCTCGTACTTCCAATAGATGCTCCCGCATATTATACCCGCAGACATCCTCGATGGTCAGCTTCCCAGGTCGATCGGTTGTTGAGCTCCAGCCAATTCGCTCGTTCAGATCTTCTCGAGCCCGGAAACTCGCCTCCTGCACACGAGTGGCACGCTCTTTGCGCAATGACTCGTACAACTCTAGCCCCTCTGCCACTCCATAGTCAGCCCGGAAATCCTTGTGGAAGATGAGACCCAGGGCTCCGGCATCTTCAAAGGCCATGCAAGAGCCCTGCGATTGGTCCGGCATCATGGGATGTGCTGTGGCATGGTGTCAGTGTAGATCGGAGAGGAATTGAGATACATACCGGCATCCCCAAGCAGGCAGACCTTGCCCTTGACCCAGTACGGATAGGGCTGATGCCGATACACTGGCGTACCAACTTGTTAGTTTCTGTGTCCGCGGAGGCAGGAAGGATTACATACAGCGCCACATCTTGATATCGTCGGCATTCAGCATCAAAGTCCTCATGCGCGGGTCGAGATCGACAAAGGTGTCAGCTAGCTGCTGCGGTGACGCACTGATGTCCCATCCGTCTGAAGTCTGATGATTAGCTTCGGCTATCTCTTTGCGGCCTGCAAAAGCACTCACCGTCGCGCAGGTTGTTGTGCGAGGCTGGATAAAAGCAATAACAGCTGACGACCTCGCCGTTGCTGCATGGCGACATAACAATCTTGTTAATACCAAATCCACCCCAGTACTCGATGGCCTCGTTTGAAATATAGTCCTCGAGGCCCAACTCCCGGAGCTTGTCGGCGCCAATGATGCAGCGGTAGCAACAGGATGTTGACATCTCAAAGTCGGGTGTGATTCCAATCAGGGTACGTGTCAGAGACTGGCTTGTTAGCGATGGTTCCAATCCAGACCAGCAGCTCTCTTACCCGAATTCCATCCGCAGCCACAATGATGTCGGCTGACGCTTCGTCGCCATTTTCGAATTGAATCCGACCCTTGTCCGCGTCCACGCCAATTGCTTTGTGGTTGACTTTCAGGACGCACTGAGGACCCTGCCCGGGTGCCTCGAAGGCCGACTTGAGAAGCTCATTGTGGATGTCAATTCGATGGAAGTTGTTATAGTCCTAAGCCGCCGTCAGCGCATGTAGTTTTCTGCTATTCGGGCTCCCGCATACCGTTCCGAACTTGGCTTTGTAGTCGCCCAGCGGATATGTGTTTTGCACCGTGCCGCTAGACCAGTCATGCATGATCAGTTGTTTCAGAATGACCTGCCGAGCTGGTTAAAATTTGAGGAACCACCATCTAGATGATCGCGCGTACCGGTTTCGCAGCCTTCACGTCGACGCCCCATTCCTCTAGGAAACGCGATCCATTGGAGGCTGCACTGAGCGACGCGCCGACTTCGTTGGCAAAGTCGTATCGCTCATAGACGGTAATGGCATGACCCTGACGACGCAGTGCCACGGCAGCTGCGAGACCACCCAGACCGGCGCCAATAATGGCGACCTGGAGGGGCGAGTCTGTACGAGATGGCATGTTGGGAGAATTACAGATGTGACGTTCATGGAGCACAGTCGCGGCCGGACCACCTCCTGCGCGGTGAATATATAATCATCGTCGATGAAGCTCGTCGTCGGATTCTTGCCTGGGCTTCCGGCTGCCTATCGGCATTGGCGGCGATAAGCGACGGGTGGTCGACGGGTCCACGTTTATCTATGCGACGGTCGCGTGGTGGGTCCGTCTAAGTTGACGATCCCTGCCGAATCCTGGATTAACGCGGACTGATTGTCTGGGGAAAGAAGCTTTGAGATACGAAGCCGCTCGGTATCTCTCACCCCTGGGTTCAGCCACCCCAAGGCCCATAAAGCCTACCATACCGTCGAATATGACTCTGGGACGATCTTTCATTTTCCTGCCTCGCAATGGAGAAAGAACAGGAAGTCGCGAAGAACTCTTCGTCCGAGGACTGCTCTTTGGGCGCTCTGACCATGGAAGACAAGCAGCTCGTCCGCAAAATTGACTGGCAGCTGCTACCTATCATGTTCCTCACCTATTTCTTGCAGATGATTGACAAGATCTCAATCAATTACGCGAACGTGATGGGTATCCAAGATGACCTGGGGATGAATGGCAATGATTTCTCCTGGCTTGCAACGGCATTCTTCATTGCCTATGCGGTCGCCGAACTTCCGCAGGGTGTACTTTTGCAGCGATTCCCTATCACCAAAGTGCTCGGTGCCAATGTCTTCTGCTGGGGAATTATTCTCTGTTGTTCTTCCGCTTCCAGCAATTTTCGAGGAATACTAGCCTTACGGATCTTGCTGGGGCTGGTGGAATCCGTTATAGGTGAAGCTACCACCCACGGTTCGAGCGTGTGCTAATACGGTATCGTTTTGCAGCCCCCTCGTTGACAATATACACAAGCATGTGGTATACCCGCGCCGAGTCAACACCTCGGTATGGCCTTTGGTACTGCGGACTGGGAGTCGGCCAGATTGCCGGTGGGCTCATCTCTTTTGCCGCTCAACATGCTTCTCCCAGTCTGTATTTCGGCGGCTGGCGGATCATGTTTGTGGTCATTGGTGCCGTCAATGTGCTGGTTGCGCTTCTGGTCCTGTTTGTCCTCCCCGAGAGTCCAGCCACGGCCAAGTTCCTTACCACGGCCGAAAAGGAACGTTTGGCCGAACGATTGCGACAGGATCAAGCTGGAGTAGGACTCAAAGTTTTTCGCTGGCGATCTGTCCTGGAAGCGTTTGGAGATCTCCAGACATGGTTGTTGGTGCTGCTCACTATCCTAATCACCATTCCCAGTGGTGTGATCACCACCTTTTCGGCCATCCTCATTGTGGGATTTGGATACGATTCGAAGGAGAGTGCTCTGCTCAACATGCCGTCCGGAGTGGTGAGCATTGCGTCAACCATGGTTTCTACCATCGCGATCGCCAGAGGATTTTCGAGATGGTTGGCGATCGACTTGCTCTTGCTTCCGACGCTGTTGGGATCATGCCTGATGTCATTTCTCCCCACATCCAACAAGGGAGGCTGTCTGGCAGGTATCTACCTGGTGAATACGGTATGTCTTCATTTTTCTTCGCTGAAACCGGATGACACTAACCAATCAGACTGTCGCCCCTCTAGCGTTGATCTACGCTTGGACTGGCGCAAATTTCAAGGGGTATACTATGAAGGTGAGTTCACCATTTTATAGTCGCTGACTGGACCTTGCTTTCTGACTATCTTAGGTCTCTGGTGCTGCAATTATATCTACTGCCTTTAGCATTGCCAACATCATCGGCCCACAAACCTTCCAGGCCCGGGATGCGCCTCAGTATATCCCTGCCAAAATAACGCTGGTTGCGGTCAACGCCGCAGCTATCGTCGTGTCTACCATTCTAAGAATCATGTATGGTCGGCGTAACACTATCGCCGACCATCTGGGGACACCAGCACGAAGCAAACTGGAGGCACGGATGGCTGGAAAACAGACTGTGCAAGACGTCCATGACGACCAAAGCTTCCGCTATGTCTACTGAATGGATCGTTAGCATTATATGGGGTTCCGTTCCTTTGCGGAGTAGTGTAGCAACGTTGAACGAGGAATTTGGTAATTCAAATCAGCTATCAACAAAGGAGACTAAGAGTGAACCATATTTATAAATATGCAAAGTCCCTCATCGATTTCCATTTTTGTCGGTGTTTGAGATTATTAGAATTTCCGGCCAAGTGCTCTACCTTAGTTCCCAGACAGACCATCCTTCCTAAGAATTTCTCTTTGGGGAAATTTGGCAATTCAGACCCAATTCTCAGAAATAGTCTTCCGGGGGTTTTTTACGAGATATACCGTTGGCTGATGATGGACATGTTGACGTGCGGGAAGTTTTTATAACAACCTCGAATCTACTGCACCCAGCGGCAGACACTCACTTTGACGCTTAGAAATTGATGCTAATCGGATTGAATAGTCGCTACCCGTAGGCCGCCGAGAACCCCCGCGTTCACAGTTTCAGGGCTAGGGGTTATCGGAAAGCGCCCGATCTATCCGACGGTGCGGATAGGAAGCCCCAAAGTATAAGAATCTGGTCGAGTCTTATGGTACAGCTCATAATTCCATCCACCATGCCTCCAATTGATCCCGGATCTCTCGTCCTAGTGACTGGTGGAAATGGATTCATCGCGGCTCACTGTCTTGCAACTCTTCTGCGTTCCCAATACCGCGTCCGTGCAACAGTGCGCTCCACAGACAAGGCGAAGGAAACTCGCAAAGCATTGAGCGCGGCCGGTACAGAGAATTTATCAAACCTAGAGCTTGTGGTCGTGCCGGACCCGAATGATCTTAAAGCATTTTCCAACGCGGTGCGCGACTGCCAGGCCATCCTCCACTTGGCATCGGCGTTTACCTACGATGCGCGCCCAGGGGAGTTTGAAGAAAAGTTGATGGCCCCTGCGCTGAAAGGGACACAAACTGTCTGCGAAGCTGCGAAACAACACTCCTCTGTTCGACGGCTGGTCATCATGTCCAGCTTCGCTAGCGTCTACGACGCCAGTTTGGGTTTGCAGCCTGGACGTGTCTACACCGAGAAGGATTGGTCTCCACTGTCATATGAAGACGGGGTGAATGCACCAGCTGTGGTATGGGGGTCCTTCTTTTCATATCCAGCATACTGCTAATTTCAAATAGCCTGTCGCATACCGCGCCTCAAAAGTTGTCGCTGAACGCGCCGCCTGGGATTATGTTCGAGAGCATCCGGTCCAATATCAACTAGTGGCACTTTGCCCTGGGATGGTTTTTGGCCGCATGATCCATCCCATAGAGTCACTCTCCCAGTTGAATGCAAGCAATCAAATTGTGTGGCAGGTCCTGAGTGCAGGCAAGGACGGGGAGTTGCCTCCAACGAAAGCGCCAGGTATGTTACCTCATTCCATCCCAAACTCCTACGCTAATGAGTTATTTCCAGTGTGGGTTGATGTTGAGGATCTAGCGGAGACATGTTTGAAGGCGCTGACTTTCTCTGCGAGCGGACACGAGCGATTCCTGATCACCCAGGCATCTTACGACACTCAGGAAATCGGGGATATTATTCGTGCCAGACTTCCACAGAGTCACCAGAGGATTCCAGTGGGAGATCCTGGTAAGCGCATTGCGGACACGCATTATTCGTGTGATTCAGCGAAGGCGCAGATGATATTGGGTGTTAATTTACGGCCATTAGAGGCGTCTATCGTTCCATTGGCACATCAACTATACGCCCTGGAAGGTCGCTGATAATATTTAGCAGTATATTTGTGCGAGAATCATGCATTTGTTATTCCAGTGAACTTCAAGAGTGACTTGCTGTAGAAAGTTTACGATAACCTATTCTGTCTTGCATTCCATCTAGCTCTAAGTCATGCCAATATTGTATGCACCTCTATCGGTGAAGCGTAGCCTTAATATGTTCCGCCGTCAAGTCAATAAATTGCTTCGCCTGCCACAGATCTGGGAGAGGTGTCAACGAGTGTTTTGAGAGGATATAGATCGCAACTCACCTTTGTCCATATGCATGAATGGATGTGGGACACCGGCAAACCGCTTCTGGATCACTTCATTGCCTCCTTCGATCAATTTTTGCGCATATGCTTCGCCCTCATCCCGCAACGGGTCACAACCTGCGGTGTAAAGGACTGTTTTCGGCAGCCGGGTGAAATCAGGGGCTTGCAAAATGTTTGCAAACCATTTCACCGCGGCCAGCTGGGCCTTTCGATCAGGGCCGTCAGCAGCGATGCTCTGCCATTTCAAGTTGTCAAACCATTTCAAGCGTCCCCAGTTGAGCGTTGGCGCATGCTCCATCTGCTTCATTGACGGCCAGGGTGCCTCGGCCGCAGAGCTGTATTTTGAGATGTCGTCGATCACCGGGGTCCCCACAGCAATGAGCTGCAGAGGCAGATTGGCATCGCGGGCGAGATGTGCACACACTAAAGCAATATTTGCGCCCGCTGAAACACCTCCCAGCGAGATGCGGCCGGGATTGATATTGAATTTTTCGCCGTTCGAATGGATGTACTGCAGCGCTGCGAAGGAGTCCTGAACGCCAATCGGAAAGGCGTGTTCGGGCACCAGTCGGTATTCCACATCAATTACGCAGACATTCGCCTTGACGCAGAGATGCTTGCAGATATGTGCTTCTGTCTCAAGATCACCGAGGCCCCATCCTGTTCAGACACACGTTTAGCCAGTTCACTTTTGCCATATTTTTCGTGTCTCCCTACCGCCGCCATGAAAATCCACATGTACTGGCCACGGACCAGGCGCTGCCGGCTCGTACACTCGCACGGGAATTGGATCGCCATTATGACCCAGAACCTGAGTATCGTAGATGCGTGCGCAGTCGGGTGCTGGCCCGGTCCCGTACGAGTAGAGGACCGAATATTTGCTGCGGAGGACAGATAGATCAATGGGACCCACGGGGGTGTTCGCGACGTGGTCATTGTAGAGCTGGATGAACACCGGGTCCAGGTGAGGCAGGACGGCCGGGTGAATCGGGTTGAGCGCTTCGTGTGACATGTTTGAAATGTTACAAGGACGGACTGGGAGCGACGAGGGCAATAATCCTTAACTTCCCGGCTTCTCTTTATATGACTAACCCCGGCCTGACATAGTTACATGTGCAGGTATTCCAAGCCGTCGGATTGGCGACGCAGCCGACGGGACAACGTGAAGCCGATAAGCCTTATCTATGCGACGGCCTCGGATCCGTGAGGCTTTTGGTACATCTGCCGAGACACAAAAAGGTGCGGGATGGCAAGAAATGATAATTTCCAGGACCCTCAAGATTAAAGAGAAACACTATGGACCCTGTTCTGATCGTGGGCGCTGGTATCGTCGGCTTAACCTTGGGCCAGGCGTTGAAGCAAAAGAACATCCCCTTCGAGATCTACGAGCGCGATGCGACCCTCGATGCCCGGGGCCAGGGCTGGGCCATTACGCTGCACTGGGCCCTGGAATACATGCTAAAAATGCTACCTGACGACACACTGGCGCGCATTCGGGACGTCCAGGTAGATCCGGATGTCGCGCGCAGCGACAGTGGGAATTTCCTTTTCATCAATCTCCAGACCGGCGAGCCGAAGTTCAAAATCCCTCCCAACGTCCGGTGGCGCGTCAACCGAGAGAAAATGCGCCGCGCGTTATTCCATGGGATCGAGGATCGCGTCCATTGGGGGCGCCGTGTGGTGGGCCTGGAACTGGCACAGAAGGACCAAGTACACCTGGTGCTTGCAGATCAAACTACGGTGACGGGCCGGATGGTTGTCGGTGTCGAAGGCAGCCGTTCACTGGTTCGGCAGGTGCTGCGACCAGACGCGTTCAGCAATACACCTCTCGAAATCAACTTCACCGGCGTCGCGGTGGATCTGACCCCTGACGAGATCCAACCGTTGCGGGCCATGGATCCACTTCTCTTTCAAGGCTGCCATCCTCCCACGGGGGCCTTCTTCTGGTTCTCTATGCTGGAAACACCGCAGGTTAATGGCACGGCGGGATCCGATGTCGAACGATATCGAGCTCAGATCTGCATGTCCTGGCCAGTGCGAGGACCAGAGGATGAGGTTGCTGCCACAGATGAAGGTCGTCTGGCCAACATGAAGCGCCGTGCACAGGGATTTGTGCCTTTCCTGCAGCAAGCAGTGGACCGTATCCCAGCTGGGACCCGCGTCACCGAGATCAAATTGGCCGACTGGGAATGTCTGCCGTGGGATAATCATACCGGCCGCGTAACACTGGCGGGGGACGCAGCGCATGCGATGACAATGTGTAAGATTAAGCCCATTATTGTCGAAAGGACAGGTAGTGACTGACTGCCCCAGACCGCGGAGAAGCAGCAAATCATGGCCTTCTCGATGCATACCGACTCATGGAAGCCATTGACAAAATCTACGCCGGCTCATCCTCGGCAGCCGCGGCAATCGACCAATACGAAGCAGAGATGAGAGACCGGACGAGCCGGGCAGTGCGATTAAGTCGCCAGGCTTGTCGAGATGCCCATGACTGGGAGAGATTAGATGAAACGTCGGCTATTTTAACGAAGAGGGCTGTCGTAGGATCTGGTACAAATCAATAAACTGATATCACGAATCATATGCATTGTTCAGACTAAGCCAGGTTAACTCGAATGGAACTGCGTACAGGAAGATGACCCAGATGTCAAGAAGAAAGAATGCAAGTCGACAAGGTACTTGCTGCCATAAAGGACAGGGTAGAGAGAATGAAGCACTCAGCAACCCTAAATGGATTATAGCAGGATCATTCCCAAGCCCGCCAGCACCGCCGTCGTTATGTATGCACCTATCTGAAAAGAGCCAGCCACTACGCTGGAGTGCATGCTGACAGGAGCGCCGGCGGTTGACGCAGTGGATGTGCCTGAATCCGCCGTGGCCGTAGCCTCTGTGGTGACAGTACCAAGGCCTGCAGTACCTGCCTCCTTCATTTGCATGGAGCAGGTGCCCGTCGCCTTAGTGGTGACCTTGGTGGTGGCCGAACCTCCCCAGTTGCAGGCAGTGGCCACCTCTTTGTGTTCCGAGTAGTATTTGTTCAGGGCAAAGGCGAGCTTCTGCTTGGACTCGCACATGCTGTAGGCATTGTACAAGCCCGTGGTGCCATTGCCATTCAACCCCGTGCATGATGTCGAGCCACACACCGTGTTAAATAACTCGCCGTATTTGGAGCTGGAGACCGAGTCACTCACCACGCAAGCCGCAGCATTGTACATGCACTCACACAGATCTGCGTCTGGAGTCGGGGGCAGCGGAGAGGGCTTGGCCTTCCAGTCACTATCAACCGTGGGGCAGGTCTGCAGGCCGTTGGTCGGCGTGTAAGATGCCTTTTTGATGCCCGTGGGATCCACAGTGGCAATCTCCTCGGAGTAATAGGAGAAGTCGGGCCTCTTGCTGACGCTGGTGCTGTCTACTACTGAGACTAACCCGTAATCGTTCGCCTCCTGGAAGTACATATACACGATGCCACCGGACCAGACTTGGGCCATCGTATCGCCATATAGGGCTTTCACCTCTGTGAACGTGCGAGGTTCCACCTCGTTGCACCCATACTCAGAGAAGAAGACAGGGACGGCATAGTCCTTGAACTCCTCGGTGCGCGCTTTGTAACCGGACTGCACATAGTTCGAGTCACCGCACCAAGAATAGATGTTGTAGCCCCAGAAGTCGATGCTCTCTTCCACACTCTCGCAGTCAAAATATTCAGCCATGTGTTCACGAATGGCAGCCACATCCGCGGTCGCATATCCAACACCCATCGATCTATAACCCTTCTCTTTGATCCAGCTCTTCATATCACGAACAGAAGCCTTCACAAAGGCACTGGCATCTGTAGTGGCAATAGTGTTGGAGACCTCGTTGCCAGCAAAAAAGCCAATTGTGTTGTTGTATTGCGACAGCTCGTCAATGACACTAGTGTACCGAGTGTAAAGGCTGGTCAACCACTGTGGGTCATTTCGATTGATGGACTGAGATGGGTCCGACAGGTCAGAGATCAGGTAGATGCCTGCATCCGAAAGGAGCTTCATGCATTCCGAGTGGTCCGCATTGGGGTTGATCATATAAGTGCGAATGACGTTGGTTCGCAGCTCCTTGAGGATTGGAATGTCACGCTTGCACGCCTCCACGTCCGCAAGAGGATCTTTGTAGTTACTTTCTGTGGAGATTCAGTGAGACCATCTCTGGTTGAGTGTAGTTCTCTTACGCTGATAGGCAACACCGCGAAGATAGCTGCTGACTGTTAGTCTAGGTAATAGGAGAGGAAGTGTTTGCATCGCCTAACTCACAATTGAGTGTCATTGGCTGAGTAGAAGAACTTAGAGCCCTGTATGGAACGCGCATCAGTAACCATGATTTGCCCCAATTCGCAAGGGTTTGACCTTGATCACAATGGGGTCCAGGCTTGCCAGGGTGACCCCGATGAGTGTTGCAAATGAAAGAAAAGAGAGTTTCATTGTATATGTTGAGCAGATCTGTTGTCTGAAGCAACAGAAGGAAGATTGGCGAGGGGACTGGAGAGTTTTTGATAGATCTGTTATAGAGACGAAGAGTTATAGTTTCAAATCAAGAGCGCTGACCCAGCGAACAAGACGCTAAATGCAAAAAAAGGAAGCCAGGGGATCTCAAGAAATGAGGTATGTCGCTTGGCCAGTGGTCATTAAGACCCAAAGGCCCTTTCAACGAACTCCAATTCGTCCATTTAGGAGGGACGCGTATGGTAGACTTAGCCTTCATCCAGAGTCTCCATTATTCAATATGCAGAGCCAGACCGAATATGGCGGACCGCGTCAACTAGCCTTAGGGCTTGGGTGGATGCACATCGGTTCAACAGATCCGAGTCTAAAGAATGGTTCAGATGACCAACTCCACCTACCTATTTACAGTATGTGTTCCGGTTTCTGCAACTAAAATTGATAATACCGACGTACGGACTGAGCGGACCAGGCATCTACCGGCGTGGCTCAGATCAAGTCGAGATAGTATGGGGATACCGCGAAGACACCAGTATTTATCTAGAGACAATGGAGAGACAAAAATAGCTGGGGCCAGATGGGTAAGATTTCTTGAGTGAAAAAGTGATGCGAAGCAAAAGTATTTACCGGCTGACGCGGTGAAGTGGGGCTCCGCTCGAAATGGCGGCGACAGTGCGTATGTCTTGATGTTCGCATAATGGAGATGATATTTTTCTTTGCGCAAATCAATCGTTTTCGAATGCGACCATATTCTACTGTCACCATGTCTCGGTTTGATGGCGAGGTGTTGATGCTCCCGTTCGGCGATGGTTGCTTGGAAAGACTAGGCACCTACCTTAACGGAGTGGACTGGGAACTTAAATCGCTATCTTGTTCCTGCTTTAATGATAACCAACTAATCCGGGAGTGCTTTGAAGAGGTAACCCCGGGATCATGATTGGGATGCGCTCTTGGAAGTACGTCTCTACAGCAATTGTTGTCAATCCAGACAGCCCATAGCCCGATTGCCATATTTATGTACTTTATCGATCAGGTCGATCCAGAAGTATCCGAATTGGTGCGATTGTATCTCAATTTACTGTCAATTGTACCCCGGGCTCTATAGATGTCTGAGGCGTCATTCGTATAACACGAAGTCCAGAGACCCTAAGACAAAAGATAAATCATCTCAATTTCGTTATTAACGCCAATTCATAACTCCGCAAGAGTACTAATATATCACATAAAATCCACGGTTGAAGTACATGGCATAGTCGACGTTCCTTCGTTTCATCCTTTCATCCCAACATTACAGTCTCCCTGTCTCTTCGATCTCTAGTTATGTCGGCGATGGGACTCGATGGCAGCCTGGAATGATCGGATTGTATCCAGGGGCCGTTCCAGACGATTCCGGGTCGGGTTTGAAAGGTCCGGGTCGGCTATCTCCCGTCAGCATCGGGGTCCTTGCTCATGTTCTCCGGCGCAACTTACAAATAACCCGGCCATCCCGGTCTTTGTGCTGCATACTCCGCAGCGATACAATATCTCGAGTCGCTGGTTGGGTGTTCACCGCAACTGTGACGGTTAGTTAGTCTTGTGTGGCAGCAATAACTTAGGAGTTTCCGCAACGTACTTGGCTGTGCCTCATACAGTGCTAGGTTGGGGTCATTCTTGGTGTGCAGAGCCGTCTTTTGGCTGCTGTCTTGCGAGTTTATAGAGCCGGCGCGCTCACTAGACGAACGTGGGAAGGACATTGTGCGTGTGGAGTGTTGGATCGGATACCGTGGGCAGCAGAGTTGGGCTAACAAGGGGTAGGGCTGTAGGAAAGGGCTGTGGGAAGGGAATGCTTATATAGTAATGCAGTCACTCGCCCCTAAGAATAGAATTTTGTTCCAGCACGCAAGTCGTGGCAACATTGACGGATCAGAATGGCTGGCGATTGGGTTAGGGCGGATCTGCTGCCTGTGATGCCAGATGACGTGACAGGCGTGAACACGCGGTTCCTAGTGGTCAGCCAAGCTCCGCCTAGTGACTAGCAGAATGCTTAGCCTATGGTTGGCCAATCAGCCCTGCGAGGGACACGCAAGCACTCGGTGGCTGATGGTCGCTTTGGGATTCAGGCACACCCGGGGGGATCCGTGGATGGGCATACCATTGCAGGAACCACTATCCTATTCATTAATAATGCTGTCACCAGAATGCGACAGGTACATTCTTGGTCCCCTCCGTCCGGTGCCCCAGACACGCCGACCGAACAGAAAGCCTGGGTATGTATTTTTTCGTAGGGGTATGGCGCAGAAATCCGATCTCTGTTTCAGAATATGTAGGTACAACTCCACCGGGCAAGGTTTGACACTAACGGGATCCCCCTGGCTTTGGGGCGAGACAACCAGGCATCTAGATTACTGCCTCCCAGCCTATGCGCGGGGAATTATACAATAATACCAGCATAATGCATAGCAGGTGGATCTCTTCATGATCCGAAAAATGATTGCGAGGATCATGATTACCTCAAGGCAATGTCACTGTTTCCTTGATCCGGCGAGGATGAGTCCATCGTCGCATCCGCAACCAGCCAACGACCACCCTCCCCCCGACATTCCGGAAATCGAACCTTCGCCTCCATTCTTCGCACATTCCAGAGGTTTGAGCCGGGGGTGGGACCAAGCCAGGTGTCCATGTGCGCCATGTGGAACACCTCTCACTGCACCGGACAGAGATGCTGTTGCATCAGCCCAGTAATCTATGCCTTTGTTCGGGTGTCACATCCTAGACGATTTCATTGTGTCCGGATGTTTGCAACTGAGTGAGAGTGGCCTTTTTGAAGGTCCCGACGGATTGACGAATTCGATGATCAAGTTTGTCGAGGGTTGACAGTTGGACTTGACTCACATTGGCGCGTTCTCAGGCAGCACCATTCCCATTGACATAGAGACCCGATCGAGCCATGTCCCAGCCTGGCTCTGGTGCCCCTGGGGCCGTGCCGGCTGCAGACTACGGCGTTCTCGCGCCAGGAGCATCATCGCAGTCTGATTCTGAAAGATATCCCAGGGGTCCTCGCCGTCTGAAGGTGCTGGGATGGCTGTTCCTCGGGAAGGATCGCGCTCAAGTACTACCAACAGTTGCTGAAGCAGAGCGCGAGCCAGTTCGATCCCTTCGCAGGAGGCCTGGACCAACAGCTTCGCGACCGGGACGGAAATAGGGCCGACGAACTCCGGACGGTAGGTTCCCACGGACAGCTGCATTTCCAGATCACCAAGTGTTGTTCGGCAGCCCGCGATGCGATGGACCAGCTGCTGTCGTGTGGCACCGTCTGTGGTATGAGAATCGGCCAGAGCTCTGACGTTGGCGAGAAATCCCGGGACAAGAGCAACTTCATTGAAGGCACGGTCAATCAACTCACCTAGGTGACTCGCTCTGCCCCTCTGCTGGTCCGCTTTGAGAGTGTCTGGGAGGATTGACCTCCATTCTTCGTCTCCCAAGAGACATCTTTCGCCTCGACTGAGCGCTTCAAACACCAGAAAGCTCCGGATGGAGACCAGCACTGTCCGACCTAGCCCACGGATATGTGCCTGGGGTCCCCGGATCCGGAAGAGATGGGAGATGCCCCGAGAATGCAGTAGCCACGGTTGCTGGCCAGTGCGATTCACCAACTCATACACTCCAAGGAGGGTGGCCGCCATCAGGGTCTCGTCCGTCAAAGCCGAGGAGGGTTTACTGAGCAGCCGCGCGAGCTGTCGCAATGCCTGGCCATACATCTCGCGACTGGCGGCCAGCTGTCTCTGATCCCCCTGCCGTCGGCCGATTTGCAACGACCCCAGGCTGCGGAGAGCCCAGCCCACCGTATGGCCGAACCTACCAGTGGAGTCCCGAGCCACATCGAACCAGTTCGCGTCGACCCGAGTTCGATATCCATGGAATTGACCATAGAAGCTTGTATGAACAAAGGCACAGAACCCCTCTCGATACAGCTGGTCGATGGCTCCCGCCACCAAGCCCGGCGCGCATTTTCCATCTATCGGCGAGTCCAAGGACTGTTTCTGCCCCCGATGCAGGGAAACCACGGCGTGCTGGCTGGCGTTCCGAGGCTGAGGGGATGGCTCTGAAAACCGGTGGTAGTAAAACTTGCGCTCTCGAGCATATCCTGGGCACTGGGTATCTCTCCGTTGGCAGGCATGGCACGCCGGGTGCGTTTCATCGCACTGTGATTGACAGTGAGTCCCCTTGCTTGAGTGCCGCCAAGATACGAAATCGTCTTCACCCACCTTGACGCGTCGCTGGAGACAGGCTGCGCAGCCTTTACTTCGCGGCACGCCCACCATTTTATCCTAGATAGACAATCACTGAGACGGAGTGAGCTGACCTACGTCCTCTACGGCTCAGGCCCATGTCGCGAATACGAGGTCGACCGCGTATTTGCGGGGAATCGGTCGAAGGATCTCCCGGCCGCTCCATGATTACGTATTTTGATTCTTCTCGTCTTTCTTGACATGGTTACTATTATGTATATACACACTAGTAGCTTCGGGGCAGCTCGAGCACTTTCTCGCTCACGTAGTTCAAGATCATTTCCCGGCTCACCGGGGCGATTCGGGGCACGAGACACTCGCGCAGGTACCGCTCCACATCGTACTCCATCGCGTAGCCCATACCGCCATGGGCCAGGACCGCGCGCTCGCACGCCGTGAACGCAGCTTCGGCCGCCAGATACTTGGCGCTGTTGCACGCCACCCCGATGGAGTGGAAGGGGATGGAGCCGTCGTTGGTATCATAGAGGCGCGCCGCGTGGTAGGTAGCCAGCTTCGCCGCCTCCAGCTTCATGTAGGCGTCCGCCAGCGGGTGTGCCACGCCCTGGTTCTGCCCGATCGGTCGCCCAAAGACCACGCGCTCCTTAGCATACTGCGAGGCCTTCTCGAGGGCCGCGTAGCCTAGACCGAGCGCTTCACCTGCCAGCAGGCAGCGCTCAGCGTTCATGCCGTGCAGGATGATCTTGAAGCCCTGATTCTCTTGACCAATTAAGGAGTCGGCCGGAATGTCATAGTGATCAAAGAAGACCTCGTTCGCGTCCACGGCGCGGCCGCCCATCTTCTTGATCTTGCGCAGGTCTAGTCCCCGGTGGTTGCGGTCGATGTCGATACAGAACAACGACAGGCCCTCGGTCGGCTTTTGCACTTCCTCCAGAGGCGTGGTCCGGGCCAGCAGGATCATCTTCGATGCGACTTGCGCACAGGTAATCCAGATCTTCTGACCCGAGACAGAGTACCCGTCAGCGGTCTTCGTAGCGAGGGTCTTCAATCGCAGGGTGTCGAGCCCGGTGTTGGGCTCGGTCACCCCAAAGCACGTTCGCCAAGTGCCATTAATAATGTTGGGGATCGTGGTCTCAAGCTGCTCTTGCGTGCCAAACTTGGCCAGCGGCTGTGTCGCGTAGACATTTGCATGGATGGCTTGTGCGCCGGCCATGCCGGCCCCCGACTGGGTGATTGTCTGCATCATCATGGTGGCCTCGGAGATTCCTATGATATTGAATTAGCAGTCGAATTGTCAGCGAATAAGGCCGCCCCATGATAGACGTACCCAGCCCGGCACCTCCTAGCGACTCGGGCAGCGCAATACCGAGCCAGCCATCTTTCGCCAGGGCGGCATGAAACTCCTTCGGGTCTTTCTCCTGTTGGTCGCGCTCCTGCCAGTAGGTATTGGGGAATTTTGAGCAAATATTCGAGATGGCCTCTCGCACTGTGAGCTGTTCATCGCTGAAGCCGGTCATCTCCATCAGCTCGCGTTGAGCCGAAGTGGAGAATGCTGCGCGCACAGTCGGAACGCGAGCAATGAGTGTCCGGCATGGTGATTGTCGGGATGATAAGGTGACTCGATGCGACCAGAGAGACCGCTGCCATTGTGTCCGAGACATGATTGGAATGATGTTTCTTTGCCCGGGTGGTTGGGAGTAGCTCGTGTGGACCGGAGCTTTATACGTACTGGGGGCCGTTGCGATCTCATATAGCCGACCTGGGATGATAATTGCCGACTGCGGGGTCCACTAAAGACCGAGTTGATCGCGAAAAGCAGCGGATGGTCTCTGTAGTGTCTTCATATTATTTCAAAAACATGCGGTTGCTTCATTCTCAGCAGGCTCTTCGTCCTTTAAGTCGGTCGGGTTGCTATCCTGGCGCGGTCGGGCGACTGTACTCCAGTACCACCTCACATGGTCACCGACGTGCACCTCTAGCTGGGGTGACGGTCGTCAGTCTCGAACAAGCCATTGCCGCGCCATTTTGCACTCGGCAGCTGGCTGATCTCGGAGCGCGCGTCATCAAGGTCGAGCGGCCGGGCGTGGGAGACTTTGCGCGCCAGTATGACTCCCGCGTCAAGGGCCTGGCATCCCATTTTATGTGGACCAATCGATCCAAGGAGAGCTTGGCGCTGGATCTCAAGGAGGAGAAAGATCATGCCGTCCTGATGAAATTGCTGGAACATGCCGATGTGCTGGTCCAGAACCTGGCTCCCGGGGCCACTGCGCGGTTGGGTCTCTCGCACGAGGCCCTGCAGGCGAAACACCCCTCGTTGATCGTCTGTGATATCTCGGGGTACGGACAAGACGGTCCGTATCGGGACAAGAAAGCGTATGATCTTCTCATTCAAAGTGAAGCCGGTCTGCTGTCCGTCACCGGCAGCGATACCGAACCCGCCAAGGTGGGCATTTCCATCGCAGATATTGCGGCCGGCATGTACGCCTACACCAACATTCTGTCCGCATTGATGCAGCGTGGCAAAGACGGCCTCGGGTGCCGTATCGACATCTCGATGCTGGAGAGCATGGTCGAATGGATGGGGTTTCCGATGTACTACGCCTTTGACAATGCGCCGGCGCCAGTGCCAGCCGGGGCCTCGCATGCTTCGATCTATCCGTATGGACCATTCGAAACCGGCGACGGGCAATCGGTGATGCTGGGCATTCAGAACGAAAGAGAGTGGGCCAACTTCTGTCATACCGTCCTAACGCAGCCAGAGCTGGCGGTGGATCCCCGGTTCTCGACCAACGCACTCCGAACGGAAAACCGGCAGGCACTCAAAACAATCATTACGGCCGAGTTCGCCAAGCTGACGGCCGAGGAGACCATCGCTCGACTCGACGCCGCGGTTATTGCCAACGCCAATGTCAACGACATGCGCGGTGTGTGGGAGCATGCTCAACTGCGAGCTCGGGATCGTTGGACGGATGTGGACACGCCTGCTGGGCGCATCCCGGCCCTTCTCCCACCGGGGTCCACAAAGAATGCAGCGCATGGCGGATATGGGGCTCGCATGGACTCGGTGCCCCGGGTTGGGGAGCATAACGAAGCCATTCTCGCTGAGCTGGGCTTGTCATGACCAAAAGTGCCTGGTGATGCGAGGGCAACATATGTCGTCATGGCATGTCCAGAGAGATCTATATTCCTGGGTCGTTGCTAGGGGTCTGTCACCCCCAAATATCGGCGCTGATAAAGAGCTACCAAGCTTGATTGCAGACCACCAGCTTCTTCTGGCGTCTAACATATAGTTGTACAACCTGAATTCCTCCGTATAGATCCATCCATTCGCAACCCAAGTGATCGTATACTTTGATTCCTTAATTTTTGTTCTCGTCAATAGTCAATCGTATTGTATCTCTGGCCCCGACTGGCCTGCCTACTTCGATTGACTATTACATTTCAACCAATAGCCCAGATTATATCATTATTTGTGGCAGCAGAATGTAACTCACTAGTTATGCCCACCCTCGATTACATAACACCCTCGGCTTCTCCCGCCAGTCGGCTATATGCTCACACTCCAACGACGAGGAGCACGAGAATAATCATAATCAATCAGAAACGGTCGTCCTCAGACGCCGACTTGCCTTGCCTGTGACGGTGCATGAGAACAGGCTACATACTCCCTTTCTCCTTTCTAGACTGGCGAGACCGGCGCACGGGATGGCGACCGCCGAGGATCGACCACGAACCCGAGCGAAGAAGGCATGCTTGGCCTGTAATGCCCGCCGCGTGCGTTGCAACGTGCTCGAGGCGCAGCCGTGCCGCAACTGTGTGGCGTGGAACCTCTCCTGTGAACTGGGGGTCTCACGACGTGGAAAGTAAGCATCGCTGGACTCTAAATCGGTGGTCGAAGGCCAACCCCCCTCGGCAGGTACCCCCGTCGCAAGACTGGTCGCTCGTCTCGGGCACTGGGCGACCACAACGAACGCGTGGCCGCCTTCTCGACAACTGCGCGGACAGTGCCGAAGAGAGCAGATCTCCGGTCCGTACAGCCGGGCCCACCACTCCAGCATTATGCCCCTCCATCTCGGCCGGTGACAGCGGGCGAGGACACGATTCATAAAACGGTCTTCCTGGGCGAGTCCAGCCCTCTCACCTGCGTCGTGGACGAAGGGCGCCGGTCTCCGGACAAAGGCTACGTGGGTAGGAATCAAACGGGACGATTACACTACTCCATCTCCGAGATTCGTGCCGTCGAACCCAGTCAGGACCCCCTCGGGGAGCGTCGCAAGATCCTTCATGACCGTTTGACGCAGGAAGGTGCTTTGGTCTTTCCCTCCGCAGCCATTTGCGACACTCTCCTTGATGCCTATTTTGAATGGTTCCATCCGTGTTTTCCAGTGCTGGATCGGCAAGGCGTACAAAATGGTTATCGAGAGAGTACCAGCTCGCCATTGCTAGTGCAGGCTATGCTGTTCATTGGTGTCAGTTTGTGCTCGGATTCCGTGTTGCACACCACTGGGTTCAGCGATCGCTATCAGGCAAAAGGCGTCTTTTACCAGCATGCGAAAGAAATCTACGATTCTGGATGGGAGACTGACACCATCATCAAACTGCAATCGTTGTTCCTCCTAAGCTTTTGGCGCGGAGGCCCCAATGAGGAGCGGGATGTTCGATTTTGGCTGGGAGCGGCCATCGCGCTGGCCCAGAAGAAAGGCATGCATGTGATGTGAGCCCACGGGCCCTTTTCGTTCTACAGGAGCATGGCTGATTTGAACCACAGGTCCAAGCTGTCATTTCTCAGCACCACTGAGCAGAGAATTTGGAAAAGGATCTGGTGGGCTTTATATGTAAGTGGCACTCAGTTCCTCTATGCCCCATCCGCCCCTCTAAACAAAGCCTTTGTAGGTCCGTGATCAACAGACTTCAGCCGCTTTGGGACTCCCTTCTCGAATTCGCGACGAGGACTGCGAAGTCACAGAGCTCCAGCCTTCCGATTTTGAGGAAACTGATACATCCCCCGAGATATTCCGAAAACCACCTGCGGTTTATGTCTCCTACGTGATCAGAATGGCCCAGCTTGCTAGATTATGTATGGAACCCTGTGCCATCTTTAGCATACTGATTCAGGGTTATGACTGACGCTGGGGGGGGAATTTTTTTGTCAGTACGGGAGGTGGTCTCCAGTCAATACCTACCAGGCCAGTCAGAATTGGAAAGCCCAGCACGTCCAAGCCTTCACCAACGCCTGTTAGAGTGGGAATCTGACTTGCCGGAAGAAATGCGATTTCAAGCACCCATGAGCCGCGAGTCCATGTTCCTTGTCGGCATGCTCCATATGACATACAAGTGAGTAGAGGATGTCGTACAAATGCCTGGCCGAGCTGACCTCGTGTCAGCAATCTGTATATCTTGCTTTACCGACCCTTATTCATTCAGCCTCCCCGGGAGCATACACAGCTCGATGGAGGTATTGCATTGGATGCAGCAGCCCGAAGCACGCGGATTCTTGAGGACATGCTTTCGGAAGGGCTGGTCCAACACGGTTCCCTTCATCTGTAAGTTTCATGAGCGTGCTGATCATAGTCTGGATAGTGCTAATATGCATGCAGAATCACACATACCTTTTCTGCGCTCTGCATTCACACCATCCATTTTGAACGAACCACGGGCACAGCCCGCAAGCTGGCCGAGCATCGAGCAAAGTTGTGCCTTCTGGGACTCAAAGAACTACAGAAATCTTGGGATTTGGAAAACTGGGTCCTAGACCTTTTTTTCCGCTGCCTGGATGATCGAACTGCCCGAGACCTTCGCTTGGCCGATGTCGCGGTAGCTCCCTCTACGTTGCCTCGGCACCCCATCAGAGCCAGTCAACGTCATGATTTTATCCCACAACCGACATCTTGCAGTGGAACAGAAAGCGTCCCAACTCATGACCATGCCATTGTTCCAGCCACACACACAGGCCACGAATCAAACACAGCTGAAGATACCGTTAACATGGACTGGTATGATCTTTTTAACGTGGGAGATGACTTCATGGGGATCGCGGGGTCCTTGTCCAACCCAGACTATCTCAATCCCCAAAATTTGGAGTTTCTCTACCGGTTCTTATAATCAACTGTCTAATTTGGTTTCGGAGAGAATCGAAGTCGTATTCAGAGTTTTGCGACGCCGACAGGCTTTTTGGAACATGACCTCTTGGGATTTAAGGCGTGTTTACGCTGCCTCGTTTCTTATGGCAGGTGCTCAAGTCAAAGTCTGTGGAGCTTATGAACACCCGGCTTCTCTTCGTGGCTGGCTTGGTGTATACCATTTCGGGTGGAATGCAGGGATGAATCTCGTCAAAATCAACACACTTTCACTGGAATGCTGCGCCCAGACAACATTGGGATCGTTGCGGTATGGCTGTGGAATGATTGACGAGAAACTGCCTCGCGTTGTCTGCGTCTAAATGCGCGTTGCCGCGACGGTATATAGCCAACGAGCCACCCCTTGCTCTCCAGTCCTGATATCAAATCGTCTCAATATGCTTTCCTACCTCTCCTGGCTAGGGATCCTTGCTATTTTGCCCCAGGCGTTTGCATACTGGCCGCATTTGTACTTCTTCGAGGCGGCAAGTCCCTCCAGCAACGACGAGCCTAAAGTGCAAGTCAAGACGCTCTACCAATTCCCCCACAATGGGTCTTGGGTGTCCAATCTCGCCCTTCGTCCAGACGGTAGCCTTCTCTTCACTCGCCTAGATGTGCCTGAAGTTTGGTTGGTCAACACCACTAGTGGCGACGCGTCTGTCGTCCACTCCTTCTCCAATGTGACAAGCTGCTTTGGAATCAGCGAGATCGAGGATGATGTGTTCGGCGTGGTTATTGGAAACTTTTCCACCAAGACCTACACACCCACACCTGGATCGTTTTCTCTTCAGAAGTTGGATTTCAACAATGTAGATGACCAGGACGACCGAATCTCAACACTTCCAGCAGTATCGGAAATCGCTGCGCTTCCGGATGCGCAGGCTCTGAACGGAATGGCCACACTTTCAAAGGAGTCAAACCTGGTCCTGATAGCCGACAGTCCCAAAGGAGCCGTGTGGAAAGTCCACACTAAATCGGGCAACTACTCGGTCGCTTTGAACCATACAACCATGCTTCCAGCCAAGGGTCAGGCACTTCCTCTAGGAATCAACGGGTTAAAAGTGGTTGACGACTATGTCTACTACTCTAGCACGACGCGTATGGAGTTCTGTCGTGTCAAAGTGAACAGCGACGGAACAGCCGTGGGCGACTACGAGGTGATTGCCAGTGGCTTCTTACCGGATAACTTCGATGTGACCTCGGACGGCACGGCGTACGTTGCTACTGATCCACAGAACTCCGTTGTCCGTATCACTCCGATCGGTCAGATCTCACTAGTCGCCGGTGGCCAGCTCTCTACCCAAATGCCCGGACCCACTTCCTGTCGGTTGGCCAAAGATGGAAAGTCTCTGTACGTCGGCACAAGTGGTGGACAGGTCGCTCCTGTGTTAGGGACATTCCAAGAGCCCGGGAAGGTGGTGACGATCACACTTGAACAAGGAGATGAAACCGCAAATTCTACAACGTGAAGAACCCTTGACATATACAATTTACCTAATAATTGGACGTGAATCATGAGCTACCATAGCTTGAGAGAAATATTGTTGCGATGGTGATTCAGATACAGTCACACAACTTATTTACTACCTAATTTCAGAGATTATACAAGTCCTTGTTCCCCTAATAAAAGCTGTGATGTCCCTATTAATTCCCCCAAGGGGCTATTGATGATATAAGAACGATCTTGTAGGATTCTGGGCGGAATATCCCGTTCGCAGATTCATCAACTCAACAGAAATGCACCTTCACTCTCGATCTTTCTCAAGACATATTTCCCGCACATTTTTCTTATAGTGCTACCAGAACTATGGCATATCGGGTGGAGAACAACCTCTGTACCAGATTGCTGCGGGGCCAAAGCACGACTGGCCCAGTCGCTGGGGAATCCATCCGACGATTTCCGTTGATAAGAAGAGGCCACGGTCCCCACGAGTGGAGGTATCGTCATGAAAACCGAATTACACAGGAAGGTGGATTCAGGCTCGTTAAGAGAGGGCAGTGTCGCCAGGACAGGACCGTTGCTCGTTGATGGGATCTGGAATTCGTTATTATTTTTGCTCCGCGCGGCGATTTGTTTGTTTTCTTTTTGTCTGAGTTGTGTATAGTTCCGATGACATCATCCAGGCAGGATATGATGTCTCGGTCCCCTTGCATGATTCATTATTGTTTCGAAATGTTGCCGCCTGGGGGAGTGTGTACTTGTTTCTCGACACGTCTCGCATAACAACCATGCCTGGACATTTTGGCCAGAAAGTTCTCAAGGGTCTTGGCTTAGGTGATCACCACCAGGCCTCGCCCGATCAGCAGCATCCGAGCCGAGGTGTGGTCAACGACGATGAGCGCGGGTTGTCGTCGCCGCCCAACAACGGAACCTATCCCCGCCTGGCCAAGCTCTCTGACGGGTCGATCTTGTCGTCCTTCACGCGCTTTCCGAACCGCCAACATGCGCTGTGCGTCGCAAGAAGTACTGATGGCGGTCGCACATTCGAGGACTTGGCGGAAGTGACGCGACGCGCGGGCGACGTGGATAACATGGTCCTGCTGGAGGTCAGCCCTGGCACGGTACTGGCGGCCTTTCGGAATCATGATCTAGGGCCCGGCGGTCCCACGCACTTCCGCATCACCGTCTGCCGATCTACGGATGGAGGACGCACCTGGAGGTTTGCATCGCAAGCTGCGGAGAAGGGAGCGCCATTGGGGATCTGGGAGCCGTTCATGCGACTTGGAGGTAGGGGTGAGGTTCAGCTCACATACTCCCAAGAGTTTGCGCCCGACAATCAATGCACTATGCTTGTCGTCTCTCATGATCAGGGGAGCACCTGGGGTCAACCGATTTGCCTGCACGGTGAGCGAGATCGGCTGCGGGATGGGATGAACGGCATTGCACCCACTATCGACGGCGGCCGCGAAGCACTAGTCATGGTGTTTGAAACTACACGGTACGGTTCGTTTAATGTTGAAGCCCTCATCTCCTACGATGACGGGGCGAGCTGGCACCATCGCCATGAGGTCTTCTGCCCTCCACGAGGACACAATGCTGGATCTCCCCAAATCGCATCTTTCGCAGACGGTTCCATGGCAGTGGTGTTTATGACGGACGAGGACTCCGCCAAGGTGGAGTGGACAAAGAATGCAGCCATCAAAGTTGTGTTTGCCGATCCACCAAATGATGGTCACATCCAGTGGAGTCGACCACAGCTCATTTCTCCGGCGTCTAGTTTTTGGCCGGGCGTGATGGCCCTCGATCACCACACAGTTCTGGCTACTTATGACCGAAGCGGACCCCATGCCAAAACCATTAGTTGGCATCCACGGTAGATTAATTGGTGGACGTTGCGAAGATGAATAGTTTGTGTGTGTATGTGTGTGTGTGCTCGCATGGCCATTGATACTGAAAGGAACAGTCTTGCAAATGTGAGACAGCAAAATTTGAACGCAATATTGTGCTTTCGTGGCCCAGTCGTTCACTCTCTCCTCTACGGCCGGGAAATCGAGCGGCATTATGCACACTTGAATATGGTTCTCACTAAATAATTGACTCCGGTCTTGATAATATAAACAGTACCTTTTCAAAAAGCCATCGAAACAGTCGAGGTTCGTCACTGGCGTCAGTTGCAGAAATAATATTACTCCTGTTCAGATAACTATAGGCGCTTCCCGTTAGTAGTAGTAGTAGTAGTAGTGGCGGTGGTGGTAGTGGCATACCTGGGGCCCAAATATACATTTACGGCATCTTTATATTTGCAACTGCCGAGATCGGGCCCACAACCATGGCCACCCCGGATTGACTCAGAACATAAGCAACCAGTTCGAGCAGTTATTACAAATGAAGCGAATTGACGGTTTTGTGGTATAAAGAGGGATTGGCGTAATTGGAGTAGGTATCCAAGACTTTGCCCAGGAAAGGAGGAGTAAAGGAGTGTGCCGCACATCAAGAAGAGCGACTCGGTAAGAAGCGGGACAATTCAACGAAGAATCTGGTTTGAAAGAGCGGCAATTACCGGGAGGTTTGCTACTCATAACCGATTCTGTAAGGTATTTAGGAAATATCAGAGTGGTCGCGCCATTTTGTTGCCGCCGGGAGTGAACTATTCCGGAGCCTCGGCATTTACCTCAATATGGCAGAATTTCGGAGTTAATCAGATAAGTCAAATCAGATAACCGTGTCCTCGGAATGTTTGCCGGTTAGTTATATAAAGGAAGCGCTCGTCATTTACAAGAAATCTTCATTCATACCTTCCAGCCTTGCATCCAACAAAATGGCAAGCAACTCTTTGCGAAACATTGTCGTGGTGGGCGGTTCTTTTGTTGGCCGGGTGAGTCTCTTCAATGATGTTCCCAGCGTAATTTCTGATGATTATTGGTAGACTACCGCGCAGGAGCTGGCCCGACTTATCCCTCCGACGCACAGGGTAAGCCCCTGGCCGTCCATACACATATGTGTTTAATGCTGAGAACATGTGCAGGTGCTTCTAACCGAGCCCCATAGTCACTTTCACCACCTTTTCACCTTTGTGAGCAGTCGGCCACGGAGGCTTTACCTTCGGAAAAGCAGACTAACAATGTTGTATAGCCTCGATTTGCAATTGTGCCTGGTCAAGAACACAAAGCCTTTATTCCATACAGCGGAATTTTTTCCGATGTGCCTAATCCAGCGGCCCACAGTGTGGTTCAAGCTCGCGTCTTGTCTGTTAAACCGCAGCATGTGGAGCTAGATCGTGAATGGCAGGGTTCAAAAGAGATTGCGTTTGACTACGTTGTTCTTGCAACCGGGACGCGCCTCGCCCAGCCGGCAGGTATGAAGGCCGACGACAAGATATCATCAGTCAAGTATCTCCAACAACATCAAGCCGAGGTCCAGCGGTCCCAATCAATTATGATTGTTGGTGGTGGTGCTGTGGGTGTCCAGATGGCAACCGACCTGAAGGAATTTTACCCTGAAAAAGAAGTCACGGTGGTGCAGTCAAGGCCTCGCTTAATGCCCAATTTCCATCCCCAATTGCATGAACTCATCAAAGAGCGATTCGATGAACTCGGGGTTAGGCTCATCACTGGGTCTCGGGTAACCATCCCCTCCGAGGGTTTCACTAGTAATGGCGGGCGGTTTCAAGTGCAACTCACAAACGGCACGACTGAGTCCCCAGAGTTTGTTATTCTTGCGACTGGCCAAACACCGAACAACCAGATGGTTGCTGATTTAATTCCCTATGCGTCCGCTACCGAATCTGTGGTCAATCCAGAGAACGGCTTTATTCGAATTCGACCAACCATGCAATTCCTGGATAAGCAATACCCTAACATGTTCGCAGTTGGCGATATTGCCGACACCGGGGCGCAGAAAGCTGCCCGTCCAGGCTCTGCCCAGGCGGCAGTGGTTGCGAAGAACATTCAGGCTATGATAGAAGACAAAGTTCCGTCAGATACATTTGTCAAGGGCCCTGGAGCAATTCATTTGACGCTGGGAATGGTATGCAATATTCATGACTACAGAAAAAACTGCGGCACCATGCTGACACAATATACTAGCAATATAATGTTATTTTCCGAAACCCGAACATCGCTGAAGGTGACAAGGAACCATGGATCAACAAAAAATTTGAGTAAGCTTTCTTCTCTTTTCTTCTTAGGTTTGAATGGCACTGACCGAAGCCCCAGTGGCCAAGAGGACATGAATGTGGAGGCGATGTGGCAGAGGCTTGGAGTAACAGTGGACAACCCACGCCAATATCACCTTTGAAAGGTGAACTTAGCCAACTAAGAACATTGTAAAGACATAGTAGTGTCCGCGACGAATAGAATTTGGCGAAACTTTATTACTCTGCTAGGCTCCTCGAATACCAACTACAAAATCGTTTGGCGAATTGCAGATCAAGATAAGGGCTTGTTAATATTAACATAAGATTGAAAAATTTCATATACTGAAATGACACTGATTTTTAGAGTTTCTGTTTTGCACGAAGGGACTCTTTCAGTTTCTTCATCCGCTGTTCGGTAACGAAGAATGAACGTGGAAATTCCCTGGTAACATCCTCTCCTACAATCATCCGTGCTACCATTTCAGCCATTCGAAAGGCCTTGATCATACCAATACCATGATATCCTCCGCAGACCCATTCATGCGTGTGTTCACTGAATGGGAGCCTCCCGGCAAATGGAGCACCATCTTGAGTGTACCCAAGAATTCCGCTCCAAGAATGGGTGATTTCAGAAGAAATTTGACCATGCATGTACATTTCAGCAATGACACCACGAAGGTGGATTTGAGGGCAAAAGTCCGTTTCACTATCGTCGCCCGTCGTCCGGCGGCCAATGTTCGCCCGGCCCACAACAACATCTCCTTTAGGACGCTGGATCAAGTAATCCCAGTCCTTTGCGGCGTAACGATGCCAGAACGAATTTCTAAGATTGAGAACGGGTGAATGAATCACTTGATGAATGACGTTGCCTCTCACAGGAGATATATATGGTCGTAACTCCGGAACGAGATGACCCATCCAGCCATTTGTCGCATGAACAACATTTCTTGCCTTAATGGTGCCACGATCCGTCTGAACAACAGCGAAGTCAGTGTCATTTGCGTCGACGACGGATATGACGTTCGTATTTGACTGTACGCGGAGTCCATTCTCCTGAACCATTTTGTTCAGAAGAGCAGTCACCATCTTATAAGGCCATACTGATGCTGCGGGAATACTAATTGCTCCGATGCATCTTTCAGAACAGCCAAGCTCGCGAAGTTTGTCTTGAGCTGTGTGGACTGTGTATTGACTTGCAAGATGAGGAGCAAACTTTTGCATATCATCGAGAGCTAAAATGGCTTCCGTAAAATTGTTCGAGTCATAATAAGCGTCGATACCCTCGACAAGAGTCAAGTCACAATCAATCTCAGACTCTTGAATGGCAGCTGTCATCTTTTCCAAATGGGAGTGTTCAAAGACGGTGAGCCGAATTGCTTCTTCCACCCCGTATCTCTGCTTGCGATCAAGCCATACATTATAGCTCATGGTTTTGATATGACCACCGTTTCTTCCTGTGGCCCCAGAACAAATATCCCGAGCATCGATGATAACGACTTGACAAGTGGGCATCTTTTGGTAGATTGTGCGCGCAAGATTCATACCCGACATTCCAGAACCGATGACGACAACGTCCGCGTCATTGACCCAAGGCGATTGGAGTTTGGCAATTGGTGAAGGTTCGGAAATCCAGAACGAAGTGGTTGAATTCTTGACTGGAATCCCGGGGTCAATGACCCCCGGTTCGTAGATCCCATCTGGAGAGCTAGACATTTTGTTTTATTTTTTTTTTACTTGAAAAGAAAGTAGCAGAGATAAATACAGAACTTTAAGATTTAAATGGAAACCCTAGCAATTTAAATTGAAATAGGATCTTAAACTGCTCATGTATGTCTTTTTTCTCTCCGGGGTTGCATTCCCCAATAGGAAGGCGAAGTGAGAGCAAGTGGAGATTTCCCGAACTTCACGATAAGGCGCGGGGTTGGTTTGATCCCTCCCCACTCCAAATCACATGAGGCGATGGGAAGTATAATAGGTGGCGCGCTGCTCTCATTTTACCTTCTTCATCAAGTCATGGCCTCTCAGCAGTCTGAGGATTATTGTGTTCAGAGACAAGACGTGTCCGACTCACAGGTGACCGATCACCCTCCATCCAAGCAGTCCAAACCACGGAAATACGTCCGCAAAGTGAAAGGTGAGAGCAGGCAAGTCTCCGGATAACAGACAACTTAGATGACGCGGTACAAGGTTGTCATGAGTGTTCCCAACGTCGGATAAATTGTGATCTAGCCAAACCCCAATGTCAGAAGTGCCTGGGTAAAGGTCTCCGGTGCAGTGGACTTGGAATCCGCTATCGCTTCAACGACGGGTTTGCCTCGAGGGGGAATATGGTGGGCAAAAGTATCCCAGAGGTACATGACCAGTATGTTTTGTTCCTCGGATAAAAATCAGATCGCCCTAGTAACAATGTATAAACCATAGACAAAGCCGCGTCCATTTCACCCGACAGATAAAGCAGTCCTCCATGTACGGAAAATTTTCAACCGACACCAAGCTCGAAAGGCACTACAGTCCCACCTGCCCATCGTCATGTGTTAAAACAGACGCGCATGTTGAGATTAGCAGTTTAAAAAGTAATAGTAATGAGTCGGTTCTTCCCTTGAGAAACTACATTCTTACCCTACCACCTCCGGATGACATTTCAGTCTTACAGCGTCGCCTGATATCACATTGTAAGTGAACCTCATATTGTATTCTTTGATAGTGACATGATTGACAGTTGGAAGTCTCAGAAGCAATCGCCAAAGAAATGGTCGCAATTGATGGTTCTCATAATGGCTGGCGATGCCTAGTTCTGCCTATTGCCCGGTTGGATGATACAGTAATGAATGCCGTATTGGCAGCTTCGGCGTTTCATCTACTGCTCAATGCCAATGCTCCGAGTAGTCTTCGTCCAGACTTATTTTACACAAAAGCGATCCTGGGCCTTTGCCAACGGCAACACCTACAAGACTATGACTCAACAGCTCGTTGCTTTGTTTTACTAGCCATTTCAGTGCTTCTTGTGGCTGTTATGGTAAACGCAGGACCGGACTTTCCCATTTTATTTCATTTATTGGAATCGGGTCTGGGCGCAATTGAAGACCAAGCAGGCCTTGGAGAGGGTGAGCTTCCGGAGTTTCTTACTCGACAAATCAACAAGTATGGGAGACCAAATTTGCTTTACTTTTTCCCTTTACTGATTGCACAGGCTACGTGTTTACGCAGCACCATTATTAAGCGAACAAGCTGGAATAGACACGATTGCCTCACATGGCCGCAGAAGCTTTGATTGTTTATGGTACACCGGTAGCTTCCATCCAGAGTACTCGGTAGCAGTTTCATTCATCGCAGATATCAACCAACAAGCCTATGATATCTACATTCGCAGTGTGTCTACCACTTCAACCGACAACAGCCTGGCTGGGCTCATTGAGAAGTTCAAATCTACCTGGGCGGCATTTCCACCTAATTCTCCTGGGCAGCATGTGTTAGTCTGGGCCCCATTTATTGCAGCTGCCGTAAGCTCTACCACTGAAGACCGAGAGTTCTTTCGGATGGTGTTTATGAAGCACCATCAACGAAGTGGGTTTGGAAATTTGATCCAGGCCCTGGTTATCTTGGAGACTATTTGGGCAAGCGAACAAGCAGAGAGATGGACTGTACTTTTCCGAAAGACACCTATATTTATTATGTAGTATTCTAAGGAGAAGATTACAAACGCAGCGGGGAAAATAATAAGTACTTATTGGCAGCTGAGATCTCTACACTCTGAATGTGTCGTTGTTAATAGAGAAAATAAAGAGACGATTAGTGAAATGTGCCGCTAGTAGCAACTATCTACGCAGGATAATTTATCGAGTTTGCTGAAGTACGCGCGAATGACCAAAGTTTCCCCTATGAATAGGCCCCAAGCCACAAAGATAAATCGCTTGGCTGAATTCTTACTTCAAATATATACGTCTGGCAAGATCTGGCTTGGGAACTTGGGGTGAGACCTGCTCTCTAATTGTCTCTCCGTTCAGCTCAAAGGTTCTGTGAGCCTAGTAGTGGTTTCCTACCATTAGCACCAAGTTCCATAAGTTTTACTTCAAAATATCTAGTTACTAGTTATAGGCCCCAGCGTTGACTTTTACATTAGCGTGGGAAGTCAATAACTACATGTATAACTCGTACATGAATATCGTCAATAAAAAAACACTTAAACCACGTTGAAGAGAAGTATATCACAGTATCATACTTGTCAAACCAGAGTGGTTCAACCCAGAATAGAATAAAAAATTGCATGGATAAAGACCTCCGGAATGAACAGCGGTTCTTGAAAATCCATAACAGATGAGAAGTGGAAATGATGCTAATTGCTCCGGAGGAAATTTGCCAGCAGGTCCTGCTCTTAAAAGGCACCCAAGGAGTTTTAGCATTGCAATTTAGAGGTGCAGAATCGCAGCATAGAGAGTTCCAAGAACAACCGCAAGAACAGAGACTGCAGAGTTGCTGTTTGCTCCATTGTAGGGGATAGGACTTGCGGTAGGCGTGTTCCAACTTCCGCTTGAAGAAGTCTTAGGGATAGTAGAGGTTTGAGAGGTGGTGGATGTTCCTGCACAAGGACAAACAACTGTTGTTCGTGTGATCGTGGAAGTAACGGTTGTCTTAGCTCCAGCAGAGGATGGACCCGTCAGTGGGGTGCTTGTAGGGGCAGCAGCTCCCGATGAGCTGGGAACAGGGGTGACAATGGAACTGGAATGGGATCCCACAGGCCGAGTAGACGAAGTCGCAGTTCCAGTCGGGCTTGGAATCGGAGTGGCGGATGTTGCAGGGGTAGTAGACATAATACACGAAGTTGAAGACTGGTCACCAGATCCATACTGGCATTCAGCCTCCCCCAAAACAGCCAGGCACAGATTGATTGGAATGTCAACAAGTCCACCAGTAGCCTGAGACTTTTGGTCACACTCTGATTCTCCGAGAACAGCCAGACAGATGTTGATCGGCACATTGATCATGGAGCTGCCGCCGGATGAAGTGGCCTGGTTGCATCTGGCCTCTCCAATGGCAGCGACACACGCACTTATGGGCACATTGATTAAGCCATTAGAGATGCTCTCCGTTTTGCACTGAACCTCTCCAATTATACCCGCGCATAGTCCAGCAGGAACGCTGATCAAATTGTCTGCGGATGGAACTGCCTATAAAAGAGATTGATTATCAGTATATACTTGGAAAGCAGAAAGGAGGGATATTCTTACTGCGCATGATACCGCAAGAGCAAGAGCAGATGTGAGAATAGATTGTTTCATCGTGCTGAAATAACTGGAGATTGTGGTCAAAAACCAAGAAGCAATATGGAGCAACTCTGATCAAGCAAAGTAAATGAGTGGACGCTGTTATCAGCGAGAACGAGTGACTGTTGATGAGAATCAACGGCTGCTACCCACAGCAGCAGAAAGGAATGAAGCAACTGAACGAGTTGAAAGAAAGGAGGGAAAAGATCGTGAAGGATCCGTAAGGGTTAGAGCGTCAAATTGACTTGCCCCTGGCATAGCATGTCAAAACATCATCATAGCGCCTTGACCCTTGTTCTTACAATCTCGGAGGATGGGGGAATTGTCGATCTGCAAGACGGACTGCAGCTGGCCAAGGAATTTTGAACTAAACGCGGCCCAGACCCTCCCATCCGCACGAGGGACCTCCATAATTGGTCTAGCAGCGAGCCCTTAGTGCCCGTTGACACCGTTAACAATTTCGGCTATGCCTATAAACTAGTGATGATAATCAAGCACTATGAGGTAGATCAGACCCCTAAAACCTTGGCGCGCAAACCACAGCTCCTCGTTCGTTCTACTCCGCAGCCCACGGCTCGGTTCTCTATTAGCGTATCCACATTCCCCCCTCCCCTGATTTTGTGCCTCGTGATTTCTTAATCAGGAGGATTCCCTCAGATCAGGTTTTGTGGAACATCATTTCCAAATTGTTGTTAGAAAATTTTGGGTGTTAATAATGATAATCCTTTAACCCGTCCCTGTCAGTCGGCTGTCCACTGCTACGTCGCCACCGTTTTGCATGTTGATCAGGGCTCCGGTCAAGATACGATTGCACAAATTACCCCCAGAAAATCTCAGTGCAGGTTTCCGGGAGGGATTTGAGGAAACTCACCTGTACTGACTTTCCTAGTCAATTGGGTAAGACAAGCCCCCGCTCGATTACGATTCCTCATTTGTCGGTGTAATTTTAGAGCACATACTATCAAATTGACTTGGCAGATGAAATCTTCATGACAATAATGGGTTAATGAAACGAAATGCCATTGAAATATGTTATCTTAGCCTGCTACGCATTATTAAGTTTAAAGCGAAAATGCAACCAATGATAAAAGTGGCATTTTGTTTCACAACAGCTTGGTCAACATTTGCTTTTTTCCCCCTTCTATCATCATAGCTCTCTACCACGCTCGCTGCACACCGAAAACCAAGCCTTGATGAAATCCAAGCTTACTCGCTCAAGCTATACTCTCGGTAATCTCAATATGGCAGTGCGTGACATTCAGATGTATGCTATCTAAGATAATAATCATAAAGCTGAGAAAACCCGGGTTTTTTGCCCGCATACATGACACAACCAGCTATCATAGGATAGCCAGGGAAGCTGATGACGAAGCTCTTCTAATATATCAAGTCATGCAATAAGTGCTTCGCGATCCTCTAGAGATGGGCTAACAGAACAATAGATCATTTCATCCAGCTGACAGCAATTATGATACTGAATAGCTGACCCTGCTGGTACCCTTGCTTCTAGAAATCTTCCTTACGGTCGTTTCTCCACATAAATCGGTGCTTTCGACGTGAGTTCCCCCACAGGGATACACCTCCGCACCAACTATGCGCACCACTCGAAAGCGGTCTTGACCTGGGGGCAACATCTGGCGATTTGGAATCAGATGCGAGACACCTTCGCGGCGGAAATCATCTTCACTCCAGAAGTCGATTTCCACAGGCAAGGCACTCTTGATAAAGCTGTTGACTTTATCCTGAATAGAATCTTTCCATTTCCCCTCAATACTGCCGCGGAACTCACACGATGCACTTTCTGGGAAATGTGAAGCCTTCAGTTCGTCGAAGTCGGCGATTTTGTCTTCTAACAAGTGTCTCACGGCCGAGCCCAATACGTGGCCAGCTGTATGGAGTCGGGAATATAGCAGCCTCTTCTCAGCATTGACCATTTGTTCGACGCAATCACCAGGGTGGATATTATTGCATTCGGTACTGTTGATGAAGCGGACTAAATGCAGAACTCGCCCTTCATTCATAGCGTCCATTCGCGCGGCGCGAACCTCAATACCCGGCACACTTTCCGTAGCTGGGACATCATCACATTCGGTTCTAATAGCAGTCATTGTACCTTCGTCGGATGGCTGACCACCCCCCTGAGGGTGGAAAATGGTATCTTTTGTCACAATAACAAAGTCGTCATCGCTGGCCGTTTTGAACAAGTCACGGTTTTCGCTTTCTAGCGTTGCGAATGGTTGGATAGACTGTACAGTTGTCTGTAGTCGTAGCAGGTTTGCATCGTGCTGATACGCAAGATATGTTGGTATTGCCGCAGCCATTGGGTTTCGGTTTGCTCATATGAAGCAAAAAGCGAGGACGGAGGCACTATCTTATGTGAAGGCCAAAATTCAAGTCAACCAGGATTGGGCAACTGTGCGTCTGGTGATGAGGGCGCGTCAACTGATCCTAGTGGGCTGTGCTGCATCGGTTATTTTCCGCAGCCCGCAGTGTTTATAGGCGAGTGTCAGTCAGCTGACTGACATGGTGACTAAGCGGCAGTATTTCACCGCTCTGGGGCTGACTAATTCAAGGCAAGGTCGAGTCGGCACAAGACTCGAGGAAGACCCGGTTGTTGAAAAGGGGAGACACAATGCATGCCAAGAGAACAGAAGTGAGGCCTGCCGCGTGGTCTTCGTTTTATAGGATTTAGTTCCGGTCCAGGTCAATGGAGAGACACTGACACGCTATATATTGAAGTGAAGGAACATCATGTGCGCCAAAAGCAGACGTCAGATCCAACTGTGATCCTTGGCGGGCCCTCCTCGATGTGTCTTCCCTGCCGATATTTGACACAGACTCCGGATGTTTTATTTCCGGCACTTCATTTCCTAGCCCGAGGATAGAAAGGCGGAAGGTTGGCAGCCAGTCTGTACTTGAGGGTCAATAGGGTCTCGCTCAGTCCTCTGTCTCATTGAATAAAGGGAGTATAGAGTCAAGCCTGGCGAGTTTTCTAATAGAATTCACTGGGATATAGTGCACGCACCAGTAGAGCCTCGGTTCATTTTCTCCACTAGAGCACGACCACCTGCTTCTCCCTTAGACTACGATTCAGTCTTAATACTTATGCAGTGTTTCAACAAAAGTCAAGGTTATGGGCCTAGCCCACTATCATGCCGATGTTTTCTTCTTATCTTAATTTGTTCTATTTCTGCTGAGTATATCCAAGTGGGGATGTTGATTCACTGAAATACAAAATATAACCATTCCGACAAGCAACGCTTCACTGCTCGTCCTTCGCTTTTCCCCGATCAAGGTCATGCCGCCTAGAGGTGGTCTGTGGCTGCTTGCACATCACCTTCCTTTTCAACATCTCCGGTCAGGGTCACATCCTGCCCCTGTTTGATCCGTTTCCACAGCTCGTCTGCTTTCTTCACGGGCGACATGCTCCGGTCCATGAAGGCCAGATCTACAGCCTCTAAGCTCAAACCCGCCGTCTCGGGGTATAGGAAGTAGATCATCGGGACGAACGCAAGATTGAATGCGGCGAAGATAATGTATGTCTTCCAGTGGATGTTATCTATCGCCGAGGGGACGATTTCAATCACAACAAACGTTGAGAGCCACAAAAACGCTGTGGCGAGACCAATCCCTTTGGATCGATGGGCCAAGGGGAGAATCTCTGGTCCATAACACTATTGACAGTCAGCATCCATGATTTGCGCCTGAATGAGACGTTACCAACCCAGAGACCGCCCATGAACCCCCATGTGTAGAAAGCTTGGTATGCGAATATCATCACGACCGCCACGATTCCCGAGATCTGAGTATCAATCGCTAGCATCGCTGCTAAGACCATCATCACTATCGCCATCCCAATGGCCGATATCATGAACGAGCGTCGTCGACCGAGCTTTTCAATGGTATACCACGTCCCAAGGGACGCAAATAAAAACCAGATTTGGAGAAACCCAGACATGAGTAGGGACAAATGACGAGAAAATCCGACGGAGTCCTCAAAACTAGTTAGGGGATCAGCATGAACTACAGTGCCCAATGGGTCCCTTTCATACATGACAGTTGTATAATAGCTGATGGGTGTGGCGCCACTCCACGCTTGGCACGCATTGAGCAGGCATGCGAGGCCCACCCGACGCCGAGAGCGAACGTGGTCGTCGCGAAGCAGATCCATCCAACCTTTCTGTTCGCTTTCAATAGCAAGAGCATCCTGGATTTCTGTCACTGTGTTGGCTAAGGCAGTCTCATCCACGACGCCATTAGAAGATCGTAGTAGGCGAAGGATATCGGTCGCTTCCTGGTGACGACCGTTCTGGAAAAGCCAGCGAGGCGCTGTTACTAGCGTTAGATTCACATTCCAGATACAATAGGTATGAATCACTCGCATTCGGGCATGAAGAGCAACATGACATTCAAGCAAATTCCCAAAAATGCTTGAAAGGCCATTGGGAAACGCCAGGAGGCGCTGCTCGCATATTCAGACATGGCAAAGTCAATCCAGTACGCCAGCACCTGGCCTAAAATCAAGAAACTCAGCGACACGGCAAGCAACATGCCGCGTTTGTCTCTTGTCGCCGTTTCGGACTGCCAGACCGGCAGGTTGCTAGTAATCAGCCCCAACCCTAGTCCGGCCACTATCCGGCCTACAATTAATTGCACGATAGTGTAGCTGGATGCCTGCAGGATCGCACCAAGGCTTAGAACGCCTGAACCGACTTGGGCGACTGTCAACCGACCCCATCGGCCACCACTAACAGCGGTGCAAAGACAACCGACCAGACAACCGATCACAAATAGTGCCGTCACTGTGCCTTCCATTGGCGAATCGAGATGGAAGGTGTCCTTGAAGGCACTGGCTGTCAGGAGTCCCCCAATAACTCCATCGTCGTACCCTGAGAATGAAATCAGTTCATGAAAAGCCTCCTATGTGCACTCATAAGATGTTTACCGAAGATAATAAAGCCCATTCCTGCAGAGCAGGTAATGGCAGTTAGAAGACCTCTACCGGTCAGCCGTAGATAAACCATGATTTGTACAGTTTACGGCAAGTGCGCAAGCGAGGTTGCAAGCAGAAACTCTACCAAGGGATGGGGACCCCATCTGGATTTTCTACTCTGACGGCAGGTGCACCTTCAGCGATGATCTCTATGACCAGACAACCGAGGGGGGGCCACTGAAACCCTCGATCAATCTTCTCTGGTGTGGGGGTTGGTTGCTGGGTGCTACCGCTGCTTGCGCGGGGAACGTGGACCCTTGACCCACGCTCAAATCCCCAGATCGTGATTCTGTCCAGTAGCCAAACAACTCGGTTATTTCGCATCCAAAAGACTGCGTGGGGTGAACTGCGTGGGGTGAAGCTTCCTTCGGTTGAGGACAGTCCCACTGGTGTTTCTATGCTCTATCAGGTACACTTCGGGTCGATCCCGAGGACCTTAGCCGACGAGGGTGGTCTCTCAGCGCCACTCCACAGCCGCGGCCATTGCTAAGAAGTTGTCAAGGATGACGTTACCACCAGCATCATCAATATAATCATCAAGAGGCTTCTCTTCCTCCTGGTCATTGTCTTCTTCGCCGTCTTCTTCTTCCTCGGTGAAGTATTCGTTCACAGGCTCTTCATCGTTGAAGGTGTCTTATTTATTGTAATGCTGCAGGGAGAAACGAATGTAGTTGAGATACTGGGCCAGATGCGGTAAAATAATATTTGGGTTCTTGAGTCATCGACAAGTCTACTTGCGAGGAGCACAACAACCAGCTCGGTCGGGGAAAAACTCGCGTTCGTCTCTGTCCCCGTATGCGGGGGCGATGAAATTAAATCATCGTCCTTGCAAGCCGCCGCCATCATGTAGTTGTTGATGCCCGATCTGACAACCTGTTCATGAGGGACCTAAGCAAAAGTTCTTTCGTGTTCAAAGATGGACAGGTGGTAAATGATGGCGGTTTCCCACCACGGGGGTAATAATTTTGATCCGGCCTTTAAACGGCGGATACTTATTGGCGACTCGTATTAGACTGAAAAGTGTTATGGTGCTAGAATTTTCTACAATAGAAGGAGCGACCCGGCTAATCTGAAGTTCGAGAGCAGAAGAAACGGGGGTGGTACACATGGCTTTATTAAGACCCTCTTCCTCCGATGAGCTTCGCTCACTCTATAAGAAGTATAAACATGTAGTGACACATAGTATTATGTCTTCGTCGTGCAGCAAAGATTGCTTGGAAAAGAATGCCCAAAGTTCTAGCAGAATATAAAGATTTGAACGACGCTTCAATACATCGTGACAACGAACCAGCCAGGGCATGCCCCATGGATCAGCAGGAGCTATTTCAAATCCTACAGATTACTATTCAGGGCCATTGATTACGCTGCGTGCTGTTGTAGCTCCAACCCAAGATCTTTATTAAACGGGAGGTCGTAGCCATTGCGCTTAATAAAATCGTTCATGGCGTCTTCACCCTGGAGGTACACGCTATCAATCGTAGTTTCGGGTAAAAGCCTGTTGGCTCGGTCCGCTTTCAGGCGCGCCAGCTCACTGTCGACCTTGTTGAGCTTAAAAGCCGAGTTGCGGGGGTACCAGAACATTCTAGGCCGTGTAGGGTGGTACTCTGGTATAGAGGTCCGGCCAAGGGCCCGGAGGATGACTTGTTCCAGCAGAGACTGAGAACAGTCAGCAGTTGCGATTAAGCAGTTACTAATATGAAAATGGTGCAGGAGGATATCAGTCCAACTCACGTAATCGCCATCGCCCGTGCCTCGATTGAGATTGTAAGGCTCTTTGAGCGTCACATGAGGGTTAGTAATGACTCTAGCATAGTGTTTGTAGTTGAAGCTATTAGTATGTGGCAGCAGGCCATGCAGGATAAAAGTGTCACCAGCCTTCGCCTCGACGGCCGCAAAGTTGTGGCAGTCTTTAGCGTGCTTGCAGAGCACAGGGGTGTCAATTACGGGATCGAGGCCTTCTGGATGAGCGTACAGCTTTTCGCAAACACCTAGGCGGTCAAAGTAAGTTAGGCCAAAAGAGCGTATAATGAAGTCAATAGATATTGAAGTGTGGAAATTTCCATTTGTGTTGATGCTCTTGGTCATGGGCGTGGCAACCTGGCGATGCAATGGAATGGCACTTATCGTATAATCGTAATTGCAAGGGTGCGTCTGCTCACTCACCTTTCATGGCATCTTCACACAACCAAGTTCCTCCTCCGTTCTTTGGAATGTCCGTGAAACAATGTACAATAGTCATGGCGGTGCTCGACGAGTCGAGAAAGGAGCGATACCAGTCGTTATCCGAGTGGAAACTTGGCTTATCCTGGGGAGGATGAGATGCTGGATCTTCCTTGGACCGTGCTTCGCTCCCAAAGTTCACGATGAAGTTGTCGCCGACCCAACGCTCACGCGTTTCGTGAATCCGCTCTTCTCCACCGCAGAGGTCCACAATCTTGCCCCAAGCCTTAGGGCAGAACTCCTCGTTTCGTACCTGACGGTGGTGAGCCACATGGAGATATTCTTCCTCCCAGGTGGTCTTGTCTTGCTCGTCATACCCCGTGCGGACCCAGAAATCTGGAAGCCACTGGTCAATGTAATTTCGATCGAAGCCACCCTCAACCTTTAGCCAGCCGTGGGCTAAAAAATGCTCCGCCTCCTGATCGGTCAGGGATGTGTACGGCTTGGAGGGTGGAATGGACTTCTTGAGTGTCCCAAATGTCTCGCGGGGAGCATCCTTGGCGAAAGAGAATTTTGCCTCGCTATCAACGGGGCTTCTGGGCTTTATTATCGGTTTGTCGCTCCACTGCACAGAATCGACCGCGTCAGGCATGGTTCCGATGGTATGGATTGCTGACGTACCTGTGGCTGGAAGTTGGCCATCTTGGTTCATTGATGTGTTCAGGGCAGCAGAGCAGAGGGGGTTTAAAACCTTGAAGAAATCGAAGGAGGTCGTTGTGGAAGTAGAATTCCCAAGCTAAACATGGAGATGAAGTTAATTTATCTCCGAGAGCCGTCGGGACCTACAGCCCCCTCGCTGCATCTTCGCTCCGGTGACCTTCTGGCTGTTTCTACCCCACATGTCTGAACTTACAGTCTAACTGTACTTGGCAAAGTTCTAATACCGAATTTAGGCAGACCACAGGGATGGTTCACAAGCGGGGGATTGAGGCCCGAAGGGTTCACAAATTGTAGTTTAATAAAGAGGGAGAGTTCCACAAGCGGGGAACGTTAGCATGCGGGGGATTGGCAAGCGAGCGAGCGCCCAGTAATTGAGAGGGGTCGGTAGGCAAGGAAGTCATAGGCTGGGTAATCAGCCCGACGATGAGTAGAGTAAGAAGACAAGGGCCAACTTGCCATGCCGCTACGTCTAGATGAAGCATCATGACGGTTGGAGAGAGGAAGGCTGATAGGTTGGTAACTGGGTCTACTAGCAAGAAAGTAGGCAAAGGCAAAGGCATAGCTAATAGATCTGTATTCCATAACCATGACACGTTTATTCCTATAATTCTTAGGTCCATTTTTCCATTTTTTTTTTTTTCTCTTCCTTCCTTTTCCTTTCCTTGTTTCCCTGTTTGTCTCCACCAGAGGCGGGAGGCGAAGTGGGATGGATGGAGGTCGAAGAGCCGAGAAACCTCTAAGAAGGTCTTTGACTTGCAGGAAATTGAAATAATCTCACAGCATATCTAGTGCATGGGTTTGGATTGTTGGAGTGTCATTGGAAAAACCTCATTTGCAAAGCAGTATAGTCGGCCCCGTGGGTCTAGGATCCACCGGAGGGCCGTCCAGAGATGTCTCTCGTGGATCTTCTTCGACACTGTCCGCTCCCTTTCCTTGGCTCATGCACGTAATCGACCAACTTCACCGCTCCATGCTTGCAAAGTGACTTCTTGTCTATGTTCAGAGAGGTCGTCCGAAGAAATCAGGATCTCAAGACTGGTTCTAACGCTCCGAGTTCTTGACCGGGTGAATGAAAATGGGCGGCAGACAAAGAGGGCGATTTTCCTTTTCCCACTACATGCACTTTTAGTATAGTCCAAAATTTGTTAATGGCCATGGGTCTCCCACCGTTTCTGCGCCATCGTACCCCAACCACGCGCGATAGATCCTCTCGGCAAAGGAGGAGCGCCACATAAAGGATGTGTACAGAAGTATGTCATCGCATGACTTATAACCCCAAACACTATTGAGGTCCCCATTGATATTCCCTAGTTCCCCTGAATTAGCGCGACGATCTAGCTCTGCCGCATCCCATGCCCGCTCATGATAGACCGGCTGCGGAACTTGAACAGCTTTGAGACCATAGTACATAGCCCAAGAGATAGGCGACATTTCCGATGCGAGACCTAAGCCCTTGGAAGACTGGTCCTTGTGCATGACACGTAGAAGCCGTGTCGAGAGTCGTGACATAGCAACAATGGTTGCGCGTCGCGGTGTGTGCTTCTGCTGTCGGAAATGGTAGATTTTTTGGCCCCACGGCCAATTCACCCCGGCAGGGTCAAAATGTGGAAGCCAAGTGATTAGGTCGGCTTCCTCGCCAACACCCCAGGCACCTTCGTCCTCGTCTTGACTCAACACTGGAGGCACAGGGCTGTGTCTTCCAAGATCAATGTCCTCGATTGGCTGAGGACCCCAAATACTATCGCGGTCCACCATATCCTGGCCCACTTTCGTACCGAACTCTTTCCATGTGCCATGAATCGCTGGGATATAGAAGTACGAGTTTCGTTCCCAGAGGTGCTTCCGCGGTTGGCGCCTCGCGAAGTCGGCTGCTTTGGTCACTAGCGAATACAAATGGCCAGTGTAACGAGCGTCCATCTCAAACTGCCACAGGTACTCGTATTGTGGATGAAGTCGCGAAAATAGCTGGACTGGTTGGAAATACTGCAGAACAGGGCTGATCAAATTGTTAGAAGCTGGATTCTGATGGAGTTGCATGATGAACATACTCATGAGCCTTGATTTCGGAATACCATTCCTGCAATATTTTCGTGTTGAAAAAGACGGCGAGATCGCGCAGTTCTTTGGGCAGGTGCTCCGCCTTGAATTTGTCCATGGCAAAGGTGTCTGTAGGGTTCGGCAGGTGAGTGCCTTTGCAATCCACCAAAAGTATGACCTCATATTCCCCACCAGAATGGAGTGCCAGTTCCATGATCATAGCCCGAATGTAGTGTAGGTCGTCCTCCGTGTATCGCTTGCTCAACCAAGTGCGCATGATCACAGCTGTCCGCGGTCGAATCCCCGGCTCGGGGTCACTGAGATCAAGCTCATCATGGATAGCCATATCCCACCGCTTGTCAAGGGTCCATATTTGCTTATTCTGCGGCTCGGTGGTTCGAAATCGATCTCCGTTACGCTGCAGGCAGTCCTGTTGTAGGTTGGCCCAGTTCACGTCGTCCCATTGCAGCTCCTCTGCGTGATTGAATCTATCAGAGCCGGGCGAGCCATTGTCGCTCCTGTGCTTATACCCGTATGCGCCGTACCTCGACACCGCGTCCGCGCAGAGATCGCGATCGAGGCCCCAGGCCTCGTAGGAACCGAAGATTGGGGACGGGAAGCCCGATGAATTCCAATGATACCCGCTCATCATCGTGTCCTCATCATGTCGGTCCAACACGCGGCCATAGGGCCCAACGCACGCTCGATGTGATCCCTGCCATGTCGAGTTCCATGAGACGGAATTGTAATCAGGGTAGGGGTTGTTGATGATCCGTCGAAGATCATGCGGATGTTGTCCTGCAAACTCGGTCGGAAAGGGGTAAGAATATCTACTCATGGGTCAGAACACACGCGAGATGGGAAATAGGAGTGCCGGACCTGAAGGGGTTGATGGAGGACGTGTGCCACCCTTGCCATGACGCTGTAGCGAGCAGCAGCTGCAGCAGAAGAAAAAACGCCACTGCCGCCATGTACAACCGGCGCCTTCGTGGGCCAAATCGCCTGCGTTGGGCCTGGAGAGATTCCATTATCCGTCCAGTCTGGCTCATCGGCGTGAACCGGTCGGAGTGTTATACCAACTGACGAACGGGGACGTCGATTGACCGTGTATTACGCAAGCTTCGGGGATGGGGCGAGTGTTCCGTTTGCCGTGGGGCTTAGCTGCCTCCACCCAGGGACAAAAAATAGGTTGGCCATCCCCTTGCCATGGAACGTCTACGTGGCGGTAATACAGCAGCGTGAAGGTTATAATAATTATTGTAAGACTACTTGAATAGAGACCGCTTTCATTTTCTCATGAGACATATTTCACGAGGGTCTCTTTTCCGACTAACTGAACTTTTGTATGGCCGTGAGTGGTCTACTAGTCTGAAAACAAGCTTTTCTAGCTACTTGCCGACTCAGACGATAGTTACGCTAACCATTTTTGGATTTTTCAAAGCAGCCTGGGTATCTTTGCATTTGAATCCCATTGTAAGGCTAAATTGGAGTGCGATTAACTAACGATATTCCGATCCGATAAAGCCCTAGCAGTGTCAGAGCTCATTCTGACATTGGAAAACCGCGTCTTTGACCACACGCTGCGAAGCTTGATTTGCTTGCGAGAATATTCAATCCTCGCTGTCATTTCTTCGTAGCGATATCACGTAAAGTATCCCTTCAGTTATCACAAAAAGCAAATTTATATTCGCATAAGTGGTATCATTCAGGTACACTGCCAAGTGGAACAGCTCGATAACCGCCTGGTCGGGAAAGTGGCCGACTTCTATGCACTCTCCATGTCCAGAAAACACCTTGAAGCAGACAGCACCCGATCATAACGAAGGAAATCACGACGCCAGAAGAGAACACGCCGACAGAGTAACTGCGGACGAAATCCCGGAAATTCCAATCTAGTTGTTCGCCCATCACCCCAGTCATGCCAAGAATCTCGTTTTGGCCGTTCAACGCGACAATCCGGAAATAAACATGCGCGACGCCCTGAGGAAGGTCAATTTTGGTTTCGAATCCTTCTTTCTTCACGACCTTGAGCGGCTCAAAATGCATGTCATCCATATCAACGCCATCCCATTGTTCAATTCTCCAAGCGACAACCTCCGTTGCCCCATTCCAACTCACAAACACAGATGAGCGAATCAAAACAGCAGCGGGGTTTGTATTTGGTTTTCCAACCCAACTGCTTTTCGTGGAGCGGTACGAGACAACATTTCCGAGTGTAAACCAAGTAGATGGTCCAAAATGTGCATCGCACAAAACACGTCCATCCGGTGAAAATTCAGTATACGCCGCACAGTGACCCCAGCCAACAAAGACGTTCCTAGACCCAGGCAAGTCTTGCATATTCCCCTGAGATGTAGTTCTGATGCTGCCAGGGTGGAAGTATTCCCCTTGAACTCGGGCCACTCGATTCGGGATGTCAATTACAATAGCCAATCCACGGCTTTCTGTTGGCGGGTCGAAAAACCACTCTGCGGTGTTATCAAGAAGCGTGATGGTATCATCGCTCCGCCACCGTGCATCATGTTGCCAGGCAAAGTTAGTAGCTCTGCCCTCCGAGGCATCTTCAAATTCATTCTGTTTCCCGCCTAGAATCCATAAAATCTCGCCGGTCTTACCGTCAATACTGAGAATAGCGTGTAGATGTCGTGCAGAAATGAGATAATTTCCTGAGGGATCTTTGTCGATGCTGTTGATATGATAGGCATCATACGGGTCCTCACGTTTCCATCCTCTCCCTTTCAGGCCCGCGTATGAGGCATTGAGAGGTATATGCTGTGAACAGCGCCACTCAAAATTGAGGCTTCCAGTGGCAATATCAATCTCCTGGAAGATGCTGTCGTAAATATATCCATGCTTGGCTCCTCCAGACTCGGTGAGGTCGTGAGGTTTGACATCGTATATAGTAACCAAGGCAGTGCCATTCTCAGTTATCTGGAAGTCGTGCAGATCGCCATCCAAATTACCGACCGGCTTCACTTCAAATCGATGAGAATAAGATGAATCGAGCTGGTCAAAGTCAGAAATTAACCTCAACAATCCTAATAGTGTCACCACAGTGCGGAACTTAGCCGGCTTACTAGAGACCAAGAGCCCTGACCATGCCCACTAGAGTATCCTCCATGCCAATATGTTAAATACTTCTCGCCAAGGTATTCTTGAACCCGAAAGTCTTCTGGTGTATCAAACAAGGGCTTCATCCATACCAAGTTGCCGCGGGAATCAAGAATCATTGGCGCGGAGTATTCAACCACACCTCCGTGGGGAGCGATAAAGGTGTATGCATCGCTGCATTGCGAATCCCATTGAACAAAATTCACGGCCGGAGACTCGTAATCAAAAGTGACATATCGGCGACTCGGATATAAACCGTAAAACCCATAGTCGTAAAAACTGGCTCCTACCCGAAGATTTAATCGTTGCAGGTTCGGGATAATCAGGAACCTCAGCGAAACAATGGCGGTGATGAACGCGAACAGCAGCGAAGCAACGGCTAGTTTCTGGTCGAGCAGTCGACGGCATATAGCATGCAACAAGTGCATTGTCGCATTGGTTCTGAACGAGGGATCCTTTACTCCTGGCAAAACAAAAGAATAGCGACTTTTTAGAACAGACAGAAAGAGGGTGACAGAGAGGAATACGTCAGCGCTGTTACGAGTTTCCGGAGGGCTTATTGGGTCAGCCCAAATGAGGCTACCCAGACGGGACTAATACTCCGGCAGAATGACCCGACCTGTAGCCAGCGAATTTCTCTCCGATATCTACAGCCACGAACTTCAAGGCCTTCTCTCGTTCTCCTGCTCCACGCAGGTGCTTCAATATCGCAGCCGGTAAGAGAAAGAAACTGTACTTAATAAGGAGTGGACTGAGCTAAATTATTTACAGGATGGTGTGAATGAGAAGCAACCATCCTTGCAGACATTGAGTCTATTGGACGAAATAGAACTTCTTGAACATCGTGACTGTCCATACAAGAGCTTAACATAATATAGTCAAATTCAATATCGAGCAGTCACACTTCTCGAGTCCTTTGAGATATTTAAGAAACATCGTACGGTAAGAAAAGACAAGGAATGGTCTAGCTCAGGGAAATAGAGGTGGATACGAGTGTGTGCCGCAGGGCTCCCGAAGCAAGAAAGACAAATCAATAGCCAAAAGTGTTATAATTCAGGGAAAAGGGAAAGACCCTGATCCCAGGGGTTCTTTGACTTATTCCGGGTAGGTCAGCAAATGGTCCAATAGGGTTGAACGAATGACATGCCGGATATAAGACGGATGTGCTGAACATACAGACCATGTCGATACAGACAGGAAGTGGGGCGAGTAAGATATCTAAAAAGACCAAGAAAGGTGAATGTGGGTCCTGTCAGCCAGTAGTGCCACGGGAATTTCCCTCGTGCGCCGGGGCGGGGACTAAGTTTTAGCCCCGAAGTGGATAGAGCTTATCATATAGACAAACCCTCTGGGCACAGTTACCATGGAACTTCTCTGCCAGACCTTCTGGTTTACGGGTCCGTGGGAACACATGGTCCATGTGATCACTTACCAAGGCAAAATTGAGAATCCGATGTCTTCTCAACAAAGTATTTTGAATCTGCCCTATTCTGGTATTTTCGAAAAGTCGTGTGGCCAACCCGCCCCCTCAGCCTCTGGTCCACATTCGGCCGACCGAAGTCTTTTCAGCTAGTGAGAAAAGTTTGACCGAACAGACCAAGTGATCACTCGGCGCATTGGTGTTAATATGTTCATGCGAAATTAAATGTGATTTTGGGCCTGCGCCAGCGAGTTGAACGATACGCCATCAACCCATGGATACTAGATCAGCAACCACAACGCATGCACTGGTGGATATCGAAAACTCCGAATTGGACATATAGTACTTCCTTTTTTGAGTCCCCTTGACCTGGGCATATGTCAATGTGCAAGCCCTGGATTCTGTGACAGGAAGTGGGTACATGAACCATGGAGCCGTATTGGCAGCCCGGTATCCGGGGAAGACTTCATAATAACAGGCAGATGCTGTACATCCTTGCAGGAACCGAGACCATAGTGCTTTATTTACCAAACGATTACTGGAATGATAAGATGGACAAGAGAACTCGTTCCTGTAACATGAAAAATTCTAAGCTTGGTGTGGCTAATGAAAATAAGCTCGGGCGCGGCAATTGTCGCAAAAAAGACGCAGGTACACGGACTAGAAGCTCGGTAGAGAAATGCCTGTTATTGCTCTCGATACATTGGAGCTGGTATTATTGTTTTTAGTCGGTGAGGCTAAGGGAGATTCGTGAGAAAGGATTTAGCGTTCATACATGTTTTGTTAGCTTGTCTTGCACCCATGCGAGTCATACACCGAGAACTATCGTGGGGATCATTTAATATGCAATGATTCAATGAATACGTTAGGAGGCGTGGGTAAAAATCGCCAAACTGGTTAACGAGGTAATATACCGAGTACTCCCAGGAGCTAAAATCTCGTAGTATCCAACCCACCACGCATACCATCAATCCACAGCCTCTAGTCGTTTATCACATCTCCTGTCGATATTCAATCTCGCTCTGGGTATACGATGGACATGAGTCAGGTATAAAACGTAGGATTGTATCCACCGTTATCATTCAGGGCTGGTTGAAATGTAGATGCTATAATGCACAGACCGAACTATGACCGAATTAGGCGGCGTCGTCGAGAGCTTTGAATTACTCTGGCGCCAGATGGGCAGAGTGTATGGATGGGAATAATTTTAGAAGATGATAAAATGATGGCGAGGATTGAAATGAATGGCAATATTATGTGGAATTCAAAGAATCCCAATTTCGTAGTATTCGCAAGATTATTATATAGAAAAGCTCCATAATTTTCATGTCAAAGGCGAAGAGAATACTGTTCTCGTCGCCCGAGGCTTTATAACCAATTTCGAGTATTGATGGGCTCGAAGCAATCCACCCTTTCTGGATTCGTTCATGTCAAGATGCACGTTCATCTGTGAAAAAATGCTGCTCTTGTTGGTGTTGTCGTTGTTGACGTTTTTTCCCATGCTTCCAGAGGATCACCGTAAAAGAAAGTACAATGGTATTTACAAAGAAGACAAGCACAATCACCAATGCAAGAGCAAAGGGCGGAGGTGACTCAGGCTGGTCATCACCAAGCCATCTAGCCCTTGAGTTCCCGAAAAAGAATCCATGGCTTGCGTGGTAAAGGAATGGTGTTTGGAGACTTCTGTTTCTTGTGATACATGCATATTGGCCGACTGGTGCGCAGCTGGATATTTGTAATGGAGACATTGGTAATATAGCAAGTCGATCGAGGAGGATGTGGTTTCGTACGTGGTCTTGTCCAGTGTAATTCAGATGCGCCAGTGTGTAGATTCAAGATTCAGTGTGAATAAACAGCAATATAGAGAGTGTGATGTTCATTCTTTCATGGAAGATTGTGTGATTAATGTGGTGCAAGAAATCCCCGAATTCATATGTCTAGTTGCCGGTTCTTTGAGAACAGGGCAGCTATTATTACATAGGTACGTACGTCGAGCACTGGTGGCGGTGGGTCTCAAATCAGAAGACCGCCTTCGCGCGCTTCCCTATTCTGGTTAGGCGTTGGCAGTGGACCCATCACAAACTCTGCTGTTGGCGCTAGTGTTCAGTTGGCAGGAACGTGGCGTCCACATTGGTCAGCAATCCAGGGCAAAGGCTGAGCAACACCAAACAAGCTTTTCTTGGCTAAATAGGCTCACCCACCGGTTATCTCTGAGGGGCAGCATTTGAGGTCACTTTGATGTGCTATCTCTCAACATAACTCGGTTCAAAGCTTCCAAAGACGGGATAGACGGCATATCGGGTCTATCAGTGAAACAAAAAAAAAACAATAAAAAACAAGATAATTGAAAAGGAAATTTCGGAAATAAATCGGCACCGCGCTGATCTTTGATCGTCGGCAGTGGCTTCCCTGTCTCACGTTAGCACCGGCGGTGGAAGGAGGCAAACTGGAGTTCCAGGCAACACAATTTCCCCTACGTGCCGCAGAGCAAGAAATCGCGAAACTTTGCTTCTTTGCGATCCCTCAAATTAGCTGACTGATTTTTTGAACCAATGAATTCGTCGAATCTTTATGTATTGACTTTATAGGTGTATGTCGCGCCAGATAGTACTTCAAGAATCAATCTCGCCCCTGTACTGCCTAGGTAAAACTATGGGGACTTGGCTTGATACTGTTACTGGTACGCAAACTTATTCGTAAACGCCGTGATTACAGGAAGTCGGTGGATCAATTGTACGGAACGAGAACGAGCCCAACTGACAAGGCTTAACCCGGCGAGTGGTGGATCTCCAGTATCTAGGTAAACCAGAATCAGCGAGATTTTCCCTTAGGGTTCCGCTGTCTTGGATAGTTCCAATTGGAGCAGATTGCCGTAGAACAATCTGGTTCAATTCCATGGTCCCTTTTCCCTCTGTCATCTTTCCTGCCAACGCCTGCCGTTAATTCCGTCGCACCTTTTGAAGAAGCAGCTCCCGCCGTTCCCTTCTTATCTGCCAGTCCTCAAGGCCCTGATCTTCAAATCTCCCCAAGCCTCACGTACACATCTTTAATTTTCGTGAGCGCGTCAGGGCCTGGTGAATATGTCGAGAATTTTCAGATGGGCGTCTAGATGCGTCCCCGGCTTTAGTGTCATCGCAATGCTGTGGCTGTCGTATGCGGCTTTGTTTCAACCTCTGCCAGGTCGTGCTTCGATCACTCGTCCATCGTTTCTAGCACATCCTCCAACTCACCGGCCGGAAGAGCTGCCTCTTAACCAAAAGATTTACATTGGCATGTTTTTGTTCGTCCACATCAACGCGTTCTGCTTTGCCCTGCGCCTTTTTTTCTCATTGTTTGTTACACTGCGAGAAAGCAAGCGGTTACTAGAGCGGCGTCCTAAACCGAGTTCAGGGCTCTTGAGCGATGTTTCACAGGATACAAAAAGCCACCTAGGAGAGGAAATTCCACTCAGAGATATAGAAGCAAGCTCGACCCAATCGCAATCAGCATCGCTTCTCCCGGAGCAAGAAGTGATTCACGCAATCATTTTGCCGAATTACAAAGAAGACACAGAAACTTTGAAAACAACACTGCATGTCCTAGCCAGCCACCCCCGAGCTTCAAGCCAGTATGAGGTTAGTTTTCATTGTATTTTCAACTTTTGAATCCACAGTGCGCATAAAATATGCTAACGCAGCGACACGTATTAATTATTAGGTTTACCTGGCCATGGAGCAAAAAGAAACCGGAGCAATCAACAAGGCGAGCGAATTGATCTCACAATTTGAGACGGCATTTTCTTGCATCCAAGCAACATTTCATCCATTCGGAGTGGCAGGAGAGATCGCTGGCAAGGGCTCAAATGTGGCCTATGCTGCTCGCCATATTATGAGTCTGCATGCAAGAGACGGCGAGCCAGGTGTGACGGACACATTAATTACGGTCATTGACGGTATGTTGAGAGGAAAGTTATATATAATAGGATTCAATAGACTAACACCTATCTCTAGCGGATACCCACCTTTTGCAGGACTATTTCAGTGAGATCAGACGCCTTCACCTTGATGATGAAGTTAGTCCTGAGCGAAGCTTCTATTCTTGTCCGATTATCTTCGATCGCAATTCCTCGGAAACTCCGGCTTTGGTGCGCTGTGCCGATCTAATGTGGGGATTTGCTGGTATCTCAGCCACGTACCCAGGCTCGCCCATTTGCATCCCAACTTCGGTCTATTCTTTACCTTTAACGCTAGCAAAAAAGGTTGGCGGCTGGGATAGTGATGCTTCTGCCATTGGTGAAGATATGCACATGCTTCTAAAGTGCTACTTTTCCATGAATGGTAACATTACCACACGCGTGGTTTATAGTGCGGCAAGCCAGTGCAACATCTCTAGCCACGATACTGCTGGTCGGCCACGGACTATAAGCACCCTTGCCGCTCGTTACCGCCAGGCGTTGCGTCACATGTGGGGTGCATTGGACACTGGATATGCCATTCAACGAAGCTTTGGCAGCTTGAAGCGTCCTAGCTGGCATGTTCTCTTTACAGGGAAGCACCTCGCACTTGTACATCTTCTTTGGGAGGCGCATTTTCTGCCATCTCATCTGACAATTTGCCTAATGATTACCTCGGTTTATTCTGCTCTAACACCAACCGAGCTCATTCACCCTGACCTTCTGTTGGCGTTGAATTGGGCGGGGACCTTACGAGCCTGTTCTTTCATCATGATGAACATCTGCATCATTGTCTACGACTACTGGCACTACTTTTGCGTGAACACTCGTTCACTTGATATGATGGACGCAGGTGTTGTCGACGCGGGCTTTTCGTTCCGTTATAGGTTTAGCCTTAACAGCCTTCTCGACCGTATCATTTTCCCTGTAGCGGGAACTATTTTCGGACCCATTCCAGCTGTGCAAGCTGTTGTCTCACACTTTTGGACTGATAAACTTCAGTACCAAGTGAGTCAGAAGCCTAACTTTGTAGGCAGCCAAGCTTGATCAACATGTGAATATGAATTACTAGCTTTATGTTCGATATGTTATATTTCGATGGCGCGGTGCGTGGTTAATGAGAAAATAGAACTTGTTATGTAATTATACTAGGGGTGCAGGATAACATTCAGTTCAGCTTGCCAAGTCATGAAAACTTGGTTAGCATTGGCGTGCTGGTACACCTCGAGGAAATCTAGAGCACAAATACCATAGGTCGAGTTGACGGTCTTAATGATGGCCTTGACAGTGGTGAACCCCGATTCGGTGGCACTATTTTTCATCTCCGTTGAGACTAGTGATGATCGGGATTTTGTCTGAGCGGTCTGCTTCACACTTGAGAGGTACTTCTCGGGAATGGCGGAGTAGTCCAGGGTAGGATAGAACCAGAAACTGTGCTCCATTGTGGTGGCGTCGACAATCATCTCGGTCGACAGGGCCCGCACCTCAGCGATGGTGCCGACATGCATTCTGGCCAAGAATTGCTCACTAAGCCAGTAGCCCGTAGCCATGATGTTGTCCATTGGATCCCGCCATTACAGGAATCGCGAGGGTCGAAATACCTAATTCGGCAATTGCACCGACCAGCTTACTCTCGATCAGCTTGCTGTTGGTCCTGTACCGGTCCAGGCAGCGCCGAAGGACTAACCCCCAGCGGTGGTGTGATCTGGATTCCCGCTGAAGGCGGCGATGTTCTCGTAAATCCCGTTGACGACGACGACTTGATCCAGAGGACTCCAGGCACCGGAAATGCTGTGATCTGAGATCGGATACATGCCAGTTCGAGGGTTGCCAGAAAGCCGAAGGACCGCTGTTATGATTGTAAGAAACGAAAGTAACCTCCCTGGGTGCCATACCGGCACCATTTGGTTATCTCCAGAGTCGCAGTGTTGGCACCGTGCGACCTGAACATGACCAGTAATTTCCCGTTGGCCTCCTTGGAGGACGTCGAGACATTCACGCGCAGGCAGTCCTCACTGCTGGGATAAACACTCAGATTGTCACTGCCCGGGCAGATAGGACGGAATTTGGTGGTTTTAAGGATGCCATTCCAAGGCTCTTTCCTTTGAAGGGGGGGGGGGGGGGGGGGGGCATCGGTCCTTTCCTATAGTGGTCGGGAGAAATGAATGCCATCAAAGAAAAATTTGACCTTCCAATTGTTTTTGTTCAAACGGCGCAGGTGTGTTATTGCTGTCTCCAACTAACTACATATGATTCTGCGGTCGCCGTTACGAAGATCGACCACATATTCACAGAACTGGTCCCATCCTTGCACAAACGCTGATGAGATACATCTATTTCAGGGTTTTCGTAACCTGGGACATATCTGCCAGGCAGTGTTGGCAATTACCACACACTTTCCTCTTATATCCATATCCAACTAGATCGCCCTCTTTATCCGTTGTGACACCTGGTCCAATCTCGCGAACTATACCGACTTCTTCATGTCCGAGCATTTTTCCGGAGCCAAGGAAGCGAATTTTAGTTGCGCAGAGCCCAGACTGCTTGGTTTGTAAGAACACTTCCTTCTTTTGAAAAGTTCTCACTACATGATTCTATGTAGCAGAATCCGGGAATCGGGTCACCCTTTAACCTTTATAATTTCTAAATACTTTTGTATAGACGTATAGGGCTCGGTGGGCTCTATGAGACGGGTATAGTAAATGTTTAGATTGAGTACGTGATTGTAGATCCATGGTAGTCCAAAAACAGGAACTGTCTTAGATTTTAAAAGCCCTGAGGAAGCTCGCGCTATACCTAAAATAGGTATTAACCATTCTACCTTAAGTATTCTTTATTTCTTCCGCATGGCGGGTTGACAACGAGGAGGTGTGCCCCTTTTGCTGCCAACATAAAAGGGCCTTGAAAACTTTCTCGAGGTTGGGGTCGATTTGGTTATTATATAGCAGAGCCCGAACCATCTTCGAGTCCCCCTCATGGGCGGTCACGCAAAAGGCAGTGCCGTGAGCCCTGATGCTTGAAGTTGGTCATGTAGGTCAGACATCGAAGTTCACTGCGTCGGCGACCATCTTGCGGTCGGTCGGGCCGGTGTTTTCACACGGTGGCCGATCAGAACTGGAGCCGGCCGAGGTGGGAACACGAGCTCAACATTCCTAATTTTTGTGATGTCCAGGGCCGTGCTGTTTTGAATAGCTCCCATGTCGCACAAGTTCGTTCTTTGTATTGGGGAGAATGGAGTCTGATGTTTGTGCACGGGCAAGAAGATGGCCTCGCCCGTAAGATCATGGCTAAGGTTGTATTTTTCTGACCTCCTCCTAGCTATCCTCAGCTACACTTATGGGCCACCGTGGACATGAAATGTCGCAGCTATACTTCCACAGTTAATATCACATCAGGATAGAATGGCGGTGCGACACTGCCGTTCAATTGTTTAGATATATTGCCTCGCTCTCAGCTATACCGGATTACGTAGCAAGAGAGGAAACATTCCCCGTGATGTAACCGAAATTAGAGTTACGTATGAGGCAGCTGCGGGCAATGGGATGCATCCGGAGCCCAGTTCACTGGACACAGCAAACAGAGATCTTAAATACTTGCCCCAGCTTTCTTGGGTCTTGTGTAACCCCGTTTTCCCCAAGGTATACTCGACTCCTCTCGGCAACTACAGAGACAAAACCACAATGACGACAGAATACGAGAGGAAAGCCCAAGACCCACAGCCGAACCTTCCCGTCGAAATCGCAAAGTTGACTAGCGCTGTCCGTGTGTCACTTCTCGACAAGTATGCTCCGTAACAATCTAGGCTTCGAAATCCCAACTATTCCTAATTATTAATTCTAGTCAAGCACGCTTAGACCTCACGGCATCCAGCTTCCACATCCCTACTTTCCAAGGAGCAGAACGACACAAAGTGCCAAGTTTCTCATTCCTTGTCGAACATGTTTCCGGTCGAAATATTCTCTTTGACTTGGGAATCAGAAATGACTGGCGGAACCTGCCACCTAGTGTGGTAAGTTTGTTGGACAGTCGCGGATGGATATATCATACGGAGCAGAATATATCCACTGTCCTTCAGTTGAACGGGATCGACGTCCACGGCGGCGCCATAGATGCAGTTGTTTTGAGTCATCCTCATTTTGATCATATTGGGGATATCGCAAATTTCCGAAGCAAACTAAGTTGATTGTCGGGAGAGATTTCAAAAAGACATACATGCCTGGTTTTCCAGTAAATGCGGCCTCTCCTATGCTCCAGCAAGATTTCGAAGATCGTGAAGTCCTGGAGCTGGATTTTACTTCGACAGGGATTAATATTGGGCGGTTCGCTGCGTATGATTATTTTGACGACGGGAGCTTCTACATTTTAGACACACCAGGCCACATGGTCGGGCATATATATGGTTTTGCGAGGACATCAGTATCACCTTCCACGTTTATCCTGATGGGAGGCGATGCAGCCCACCATGCTGGCGAGTTTCGGCCATCTGAATATCTCCCAGTGTCCCAAAATATTTACCCATTTCCAGCAACCGAATCTTGCTGCTCATGCTTCCCGAGTGATTTGTTTCTCTCACTTCATCCGTACAGGAGCCGGACCAAGCCATTCTATTCGCTCACGCCAGACTTCAATCACAATCTGGAATTAGCCAACTGGACTATTGCTGGCTTGCAAGAGCTGGACAGCTTGAACAACGTCTGGGTGATTATTGCCCATGATTCGACACTCATTGAAAACGTCGCATTCTTTCCACATAACTTGAACAACTGGGGTAATATGCAGTAAAAAAATCGGCTTGAGTGGACATTCTTGCACACATTCTCTGGAGAGGTTCAACACATGGTCCAGAATCCAGAAATTGCAAATGATGATCTTCATCTCAATGAATAAATCGCGTCCCTGGAAAATGAAATCTGGTTCTTTTGACAAAAACCAAAAAGTCAACATCAGGGAGTTTATTTTTTTCTCTTCTTTTCTTTTTAACAGTTTATGTCTTGTTGAATTACAGAGATAACTAAAATGAGAGTTGTTTCATGTCATTAGGATTTTTGATGTCGCCTAGGCGTCTTGTGAGCTTCACGCTAATGCAACATACTTTACTAGGCTTTTGATTTCTTTGGCGTCAAAATTCGGTCAACCAGCCCAACATATCCCCAGTACCTTGATCATTTGGACTTTTGTACTTCTAGTGGAGATGCTAAACAATCGTTCCCGGTATATGTGGTCTTCGGTATAGTTAGTCGCGCCGACACTTCTCACCCCGATCTATCTAACGCTTTCCGTCAGACCACGTTTGCGCACTACTGAGCTGGGTTGCAATATATCTCTCGTGATTGGCTCAATGGTACTGCAAAAGGCAGCATGAGTGGTTATTACGGAATTGTAACAACCCTAGGCTCGCTTTTCCGATGTCCGACCAATGATCGTAATTTGTCGCTTTGTCGCCTCTCGGAACATGCACCAGCTCAGACGGACTAGGACCCAATGTTTGATGTTTGAATCGAGAAGAATTTTGCCAGCATCTTAACATATGGTTACGGACGCTGGCTAGTAGATTTCTGAGGCGCCATACAAAAATTGAGGCAGATAATTGCACATACACACTTCAATCCCTCTTGCGTCTAGTCGATCCATGGGTTCACCTAGTGAATCATGCCGATCTTGAAAGTCATATGCTAAGAGTATAAGACACAGACCATCTTCTGTGAAAGTTAGAGCGGTATGCTGAATGCGGTAGATGTACTCTGACAAAGGGGATCCTTTTGAGGCCTAGCCATCGCATTCTGCCCACTCCAGATTACCACGGAGTAATTACGTTAAGGAAAACTGGGTCTATCCGTGCTGTCGACAACCAAATGTATTGCAATACTTCATAACGTAGCCAACCCTTTTAATCAAAGATCATATCTTTCTCAAATACCGAGGTAAACCAAACTGCGAAGCGATAATCTGCAGCCACGAACTTCAACATATCTGCCGACAAGCCTAAGATACTGTTTGTCCTCTCTTCTCACCCAAACGGAAGGTAACGGAAGGTACCTGGTTCGTTCAATGATTATACAGCCTGTTGTATTTTCATTAACGAGAAACCTATCTATTTCTGATCTGCTACATTGCGTACATAGTACGTCGGAACATTTGTTTCGTCGGACTCTAACGTATTCCTATATCGTACTTGATAAGTTACTTTTAAATTCATTGCCCAAAAGATCCAGTCTGGAGTACACTGCCATATCCTCCACCGTCCGTATTGACACCGACGCCTTGGTCTAGCAGCATCTACGCCTTTGGTTACTTGGATCTTGTAGAAAACATAACTATGCGCTTTACTAACCAGGGGACTTTGGCACAAGTTCCAATCGTTCTTTTGGCAAATAAAAAACACAAAATAACCTCATTTCGACCAGGCGGCAGGCACGTCAAAGCGGCATATACATCCTCAGCCTAGTCATCCAAACCAGGGCAGTCCTCGCTAGTCACACTGACGATAGAGGTGTAAGGGGATGGATCGGTCCAAATAAGGTTGAAACTAAATTCATAGTCAGATAATATCGTTTAATTTAAGGTCGCTTTTTCCCATACCTATCGTCGGGGTAAGAAGGCGCATCATTGTCACCAAGAGCAGTAACGATATCGGTCAATTCATTGTGCTCCCAACAAATAAGGATGTTACCAGCTCCCGTGTAGCTATCAACAACATTCTGGACACAATCAGCATCGTCACGCTCACAAGACGTGTCAACGGTAAGTCCAAGGCTCTCTGCGAGAGGAAGAACCGTGTCATATGGGCGCTGTTGCGAACCATCTGAGTTAAATTAGTAAGTTGTCCAATGAGCCACGGATTTTGTTCTTCTTCGTTCTTGACCCATTTGAAGCCAAGAAATTCAAAAATTTAACAGATTGACATACCAGACTGGGGGGTTTCGGCCATAATGTGGCCAATGTTGTAAGAGGAGTTGGCAGCGAACACGTTCACAAGGCATTGAGCACGCTCCTCGCCCTGACTATCCAAGCCGTTTCCGCTGGAAGGTTTCTCCCCGTGGCGGATAAGGTACACAGTAGATTGAGCAGTGACAGTGGTAGCGGCCAGCAGCATAATCGACACAATGAACTTCGGACTCATCATTGTCGAGGATTTCATGTAGGAGGAGTGTACGATAGTATTGAAAGCAGAAAACCTGGGATTGATTGTAGATCTGTAGAACACAAGGATAAGTACCTCAACGTAGCTTTTATATCCGAAAGTTTTTGGAGATTAGAATTAGTAAAAGCATTGCCATCCTTGAGCGCCAGCCAGCAAGATGAAAAGTTTAAAATGTGCTATACCTATTTAGATCTTCTAGGACTTAAATCTCTTGACTAAAGCTATAGTCTAAATGCAAAGTAGTAAAGTAGTCTCGCAATACGAGGCACGTGGGAACGGAACTTCGCTTTTGCGGAATCCTAGGAAAAACATATGTAGCTAAAACTAGTCAAGAATGTCTGCGTTGCTGAATGTAACATCATGGGTCAAATCTCAATCGTGATTGGGTGTGAAACTGCTAAAGCGATCCTATTTCCGGATGCCCCATTTTCTTAGTTTGTTTGAGCTTTGACGCCAATGAAGACACCCGTCCAAATTGTTCAATGCGTAGAAGGTCCGAAAGGTTCGCACTTAACGCAGACCAAATAGGCGCTATTAGGGAGGCCGGACGCCACAGTTCTTATAAATAACACATGGGTGAAAAGAAGCGTCTGATAGGCTTGGTGCTCGGGAACATGCAGGACGAGATTGTGCGGAATCTTTAGGAGCCGGAGACCACAATGCCCGGATATTGTCTTTGCGCGTGATCAAGAACGGAGGGATGTTGTACAATCGCTACTTCTGCTTTGGACGATCAGTTTCGACCATACTCGGTCTTAGGTTCTTAAGGCAGAATTGCTGCCAATCACTCCGTACTCCGACAGTACCAACTCCGAGTATGGGAGTCCGGAACCGAATTCAGATTACCAGCTATCGTCACCTCCACTGGAATCTCTAATAGCAGAAGGTCGCCAAGAGCCCACAAGGCCTTAAGCTAGCTGTGCGCCCCCGGGTATACGGCAGAGCTCGCAATTACCCCGCCAAATGTCCGTGCATTAGAAGTTATTTTATGATAGTACGGTTATTTAAGCCCACAGCCTATGCCATTTGCAACAGCGGATCATGTCTTGTATAAGCTCGTGCTTTGCGAAGTTAATTAAAGATCTGCGCGTACCAGTGCTAAGTTTATCGAAGGCGCAAATGAAACACCCTGCCATATCTCTTGGTTACTGTGTGTAAGGAATGCAGCAATTCCCCCAAATTAAACTGGCGTATCTTGGCAATTAGGATTTGTGGATTAATCGAAGGGTGTAGGTGGTGACACCAATTTCGAGATGTACTGTACCTAAAAGTCCACACAAGATGATTATCGTTTGCCCGATACAGCACACATCGCGTTGGATACTCGCCACGATCTGTTCAAATAGAACAACCTGTGGGTCTTCAGGCAGCCGGATATAGCCCGCCCTTGTCGCTCTTTTTCCCGAACGTCCTTTGTCGAGGTATTCTCTCGTCAACCAGTCCACTGTAGGCTCACGTTCCAATCCACGCTCTTTGATATAGTGCTGCCAGGGATTCATGTTTCGCGCCATTTTGCAGAAATTTAGGAGGTAAATTGTTGCTTGAGTAGAGAGGGATGCTTGTATTGGAACGACGACACGGGGAGGCTGAATTTTTTTACATCAGTAATAATTCATAGCATTACAGCTCTCGTCTGTTTGAAACTTTATTTTCAGCATCGGAACACAACTTGAAATACGAGAGTAACGATAATCGCCCCCTAAAGTCGGACCCCCAACGCTGCGCGGTTGTAACCCTATACTCGACAACTCTTTCCCTCCGCCAGTTCCAGGACCTTACTGGCTATCCCAGTAGAAACGAATATAGAAATGGGAGCTCGAAGCCCGTAGAACAATTCTGACACGTCAGATTTCTATGAAAATAGACTGCCCCTTGAGAAATGCAAGAACAGGACATGACCAGAGGAACAGTAGACGATCTTTGGGACAGGCTTCGCGCTATTTTTCACATGTCTAGTACTAGTCAAACCCCCGCAGTCAGACCATGGCAATCATGCGCCCGGATCTTATCAATCATCAATAAGGGATCATCGCACTGAGATCCCTGCCAACCTATGTACTGATCAGGTCTAATAATCGTAATCTCCGCTGGATATTTCGTTCGAGCAACTGATACAGGCAGTTGTAGCCTCTTCAAGGGTATTCCAATTTGACGAGCGGCGCTGAGTATATTCTCGACATTCTCTTCCACAGCTCCTACGTCCAGAAGTGTAAACTCCCTTCCAAAATGATCCAGTAAAGGCGAACCGTCGGTAAGCCACAGATGTGGTGCGCGATGACCAGGCGACGCATAGTGCCAGAGCCTGGTTCCGTCATATGGTGCACTCTCCCAATCATCAGTAATGATAATGGGCGACGTATCATAGCGCTGATCGAGTGAAAACCCAATGGTGTTCCATTCTGGGTAGCTCATTTCATAGGCAAGCTGGGCCCTTCGAAATCGTTGCTCTTCGCTTGTCCTGCTTTCTAGAGAGGGTAGTTCCTTGAAAATTTCAGCCACCCTTCTCAAAGAATGGCTGAGATCCATAGCTGATTGAGAAACCCGTTCTCCCACAGGCCGGCGCTCAATGTCATAAGTTTGCAGCGATTTTTCCCCTCCCCAGCTGTTTAAAACTGCAGCGAGCTTCCAGGCAAGATTGACTGCATCACCGATACCAACGTTCTTGTTATATCCCCCTGTCGGAGGACACAGATGAGAGGCATCACCTGCGATGAAGAGTTGACGAGTTTGATACGACTCACCCACGCGAGTAAACACCCTGTATGACGATCGGCTGATCATTTTCAGTTTTTGCTTTCACTCCCAGGATATCTTGACCGACTGACAGAACCTCATCTTCAGCGAGAACTTGTCCATCGGGAACCATAATACTGTAGCCCCAATTCTCCTCCCCGAGGATGCTGATTATCGAGGATGTGCGAGGAGCATTCCCAGGGCATTGTGAGCGGGAGAGCTGATCAGATCACTGATTCGATGCCCCTCCGACCGCACCACGTAGCTCAAGTTTTGTCCAATAGGATCGGTATCTTTTTGCTTGATCCCTGCAGACTTTCGGAGCAAGCTACCGGGACCATCACATCCAATGGTATAGCTAGAGGTAACCCAACGAATACCGCCATCTGGGGAGTGGAGCTCAACCATGACACACTTGTCATCCTGTTGAACCGACGCTGCTTTCCAACCTCGGAAAATAAAGGCTCCTAATTGAATGGCACGATTTTGCAGAACTCGCATGGTGATAGGCTGGGGCACACTGAGGGACGGTTCTGCTGCTAGATCTCGTGACTCGTCCACATCCCTGCCATATCGAAGCGGAAATGCACCGAGTGGTCGCCGCACAAGGGATTCTGTGATAGCCAGCTGCTGTTTGGGATTTGGCGGCTGCCAGGCCCACTTGCGTAATTCATCACTGACGCCCCAGCGACGGAAGTGCTCTAAAGTACGAAGATCGTTTGAGCGGCCCTTTGGATGTCCGTTCAAGATCTCCAGATCTTTGTCTATGACTGCAACCTCGATTCCACGCAGCCGTAGCTCAATAGCTAGAGAAAGGCCAACGGGACCAGCACCCACGACCAACACAGGGATAGACTCCGGGATGAACTTAGCTGTACCCGTTACTGTCATGCTGGGAGTGAACAGAGCGAAAATTGTTCCTAGAAAATAGAAATAAGCGACATCCAAGAGATATCGTACTTTGGTTCACTAGCCCATATCCCCATATCGTCATTATTTCCCAATATCACGCTATTGAGATTGGGCAATATGCATATTTTTAGTTCGTTTTTGACTGATATCCATTGGCTGGCGTGGAAAGTTTCTCTAGGCCATTCTGCCAACGCCATGGAACAAGTATAATGTAAATATTACGTTTAGAGAATTGAATGAGGCCCCGGTAAGCTTAAGATTTGCGAGGAGAGCCATTACACATTCTGTTCACCATAAAAAGTCACCTCAAGGGGAAAGTCTGATAACATCTCCCAATATCCATAATGAGTTATCACAATTCTGCCAAAGCCTTCGTTTCGGTTGTTGGGAGTCGACCATATCTACTCCTCTAAACTGTCCTCTTGCCGCGACTCTCGAGCGGAAGCATGAGACTCGTGACAACCAAACCTCCATATAAGCCGGCACATATGAACAGCGGTGCGACCGTGTTCACATTGGCGTAGCTGCCAACCAGCACGCCCACGATACCCCCAACCCGATTGAAAACCACACAAATAGCATATCCAGTCGCACGGTGAGCAGCGGGAAGGATTTCAGGAGTATACGCATAAATAGTACCGTAGTAGATGTTGGATGCGCCACTGATAGCAGCCGATAAGCCCAAGTTCTGTGCTGGTGTTTTGATCTGCGTATAGCCCAGTTGAAGTGCAGTGGTGATAGCAGCACCGATGGCTAGCGTTCCCCTGCGGCCAAACAAGCGTGTTTGAACTAGAAATCCGGCGATTGCGGGGCCAACAAGCCCGGCGACTTGGTTGATTGCATAATTTCTCCAGGTCGTGTAGTTGGAGTCGTCTCCGGTCTTGGCCCCCTGCATTTTGAGGTAGAATGGCAGGAAAAGGCCGTAGAGCGGCGAGACTGTTCCAATAATTAGCCAGTTCAGGATAATCACCACAGTGGAATAGCCGAGCCGGCGCGTGCTGAATAGGCTAGAGATATGGCTAACAAGCCGGACTTTCGACCAGGCTGACTTCTCGGTGTCGATGACTTGTCCCTGTGATTCAAGCTGCTGAAGAGTGAGATTAAAGGGCCGATTGTATTTTTCGGACAAGTTCACGAGAATCTGATACGCCTCATCGTCGCGGTTCTGGCTGATCAGCCATTTTGGCGTCTGCACCATCCGAATGAACAAAACTCGAACAATACTCATAACTACGACCAGACCACCGCAAGTAAAATGGAGGTATCGCCATCCCATGTTTTGAGAGCGGCGACATGTTTCCATCGTGGCATCTGGATCGCAGCTGAAGTTACTCATGAATGCCCAGGCAAACAAACCTGCGATCGTGTATCCCACCGCCCACCACATTGCCATGGCAGTCACAAGCCAGGAATGAGCAGTCGGAAGGAATTCCAGGAAGTTAGTTGCATCGAGGATGTAGTTTCCGCCGGCTCCAGCTGAGTAAATAGCAACCCTAGTCCGTATTAGTGCTTCATATCATATCTCGTGGCGAGACGGGGAGTGACTCACATGGCACAAAAAGAGACATAATCGGGCATCGCACCCGCAATAAGAACAAATATAGCACTCACAAGCAAACTGGTATTGAATGCAAGCTTGCGGCCAATCACATCCGCGGAGAACCCCCAGATAGCAGCACCTACGAGCAACCCAATCTGGGATGCTAGTGAGACGCCTTGTATTTTCGCATTGCCGCTGCGATATTCCTGATCCACAGCAACCTGCGAGATATTTTGGCAAACTACTAGGAGCTGCCTCACTAAATTAGGTAACTCCGTCATCGTATCAATTTTGGTTAATGCTTACAGAATCCACGGCATACCCAAATCCGTTCATGAAAAACAACTTCCATTGGAATGGAGTCATACCAATCTCATCAATGGCAGCATTTATCAAAGACATCTTTTTTGCAAGAACTAAATCAATTTGGGATAGATTGATCAGCTCTTCCCTTAGGTCGATCAAGTTATCCAGCTCATGTTGCCTTTGGCTATCGCTGCTACTTGTGCCAATGGTGTTAGCATCTGGAGCTTTGTCCGAGGCCGCCATTGTGAAAAGTGATGAATTCTGAAAGATGCGATGTTTAGATCGCTCGGCTTTTGTTGTTAAGGGTTGTATATTGAGCCCTGCAATTACGAAATTGCATCATATCTGTCGCAATCATACTGTGGTCAGGTCCCTTGATTTTGTTAGCGTGGTACTTCCATCCCTACTTGATGACTATGCATACTTAAACCGCCTTCCTAATTATGACTAGTGTCAATACCCTACTATTTCGTCCCTTCTTTCTTCCAAATCATTATTATTCTACCCCCCCCCCCCTCCCCTACTACCTATTCACCTACCTACCTGCCGACATCTACAAAATGGCCTCCCAGCAAACGCCCCAGACCCCTCAATCGCATTCTAATAGGGCCTCTCGCGATACGCGTATTGCAGCGCGTACCCTACGCGATCAGCATTATCCCTATGCCCAAATTGCATCGGAATTAGGCATTACACAGCGCCAGGTTTAGAAGGCTTGTAACGACGAGAGGCGTACCCCTCGTAAGGCTCGGGGTCAACGCCAGAAGCTCTCCGACGACAAGGCCGATGAAGTTATGGAATTTATTAGTCAATCAAAAGAAACGCGACGTATGACTTATGAAGAGCTTATGGAACGCTTAGAGCTTCCGGTCTCAGAGAGTACCTTGCGAAAGGCTCTTGCTAGGCGTGGATATCATCGGTATAAGGCACTTCGAAAGCCTCCCCTTTCTGAACGTATTCGGACACTCCGCTTAAGTTGGACACGCGATCAATGGAAGAGAATACTCTGGACCGATGAAACTTGGGTAACATCGGTTTATCATCGTCGGATTTGGGTTCCTAACAATCGAGGAGCTACATGAGCGTAGGATATTCCCTATTGATTGGCCTCCTTATTCTCTTGATCTAAATCCAATCGAGCAACTTTGGAATTGGATGAAGGGTTGGATAGGGGATCGATATTTAAAGTCCTACGATCCCAAGCTATCCTATGACCAATTACGTGAAGCCGTACGAGCGGATTGGGATGGGATGCAATACCTATAGCATTTCTAGATCAACCGATCGATCTAATGCAGGCCCGCTGTCAGGTAGTTATTGACGCGCAGGGAGGGCATACACCTCACTAATAGCAATTGCTGTATTACAGTCGTTTAATTACATTTGGTTGTATTAGAAAAGTGGCAGTATTTTAGTCATCGAGTAGGGATGGAAGTACCACGCTAACAATATCAACGGACCTGACCACAGTACAGCCGCAAAAGGCGGTTATGTGAAGCGAGGTCAATGCGCCTAGTTGCAATTTCGATCTCTGAAAAGGAACATCCGTTTCTTGTGCTACCCAATAATGAGATAATGCACGGGTACAATCACGACTTCACGGGATGGCGAATTATCGCGACGCGTTGACTCGTCAATGCGGTGAAATCTAGCCGCAAATAGAAAATCCTCTCTATGAATATCGCAAGATTTGCTTGTTAATATTTATAGCACGCAATATGATTTGAAATCATCATTCTTGAACATTTAGTCTGTAGAACTTGACTAGATGGATTGACATTTATAAAGTAGGCATACCTGACATATAGACATAAGATCCAAATTTTCTATTACCGTGAACCTAATAGATACACAATCTCCGACGATATTTTGTAATATGGGTACCACTGTGCTCACCGGTCTTTCGGAGAAAATCTTTTCCTTCAAGGCAGAGAACCCTCCGCTGACTGAAATTACTCCTCCTAAAGATCGGGCTTTCTCTGCTGATCCCGAGAAAAAAGCTCTCCTTTCTGCAGCTTCTCAAGTCAAACATCTGACTCCTTACATTGGAACGGAGCTTGTAGCAGTCCAGCTTAATCAGCTCACCCCACAACAGAAAGATGATCTTGCACTCCTGGTAGCTGAGGCAAGTTTGATCTCTTTCCGACAGTTTGTTTCTCAACAAAAGATGAGGCTTTTCATTGACTTCTTGTACAGCGGGGTGTTGTTTTTTTCCGAGACCAGGACCTCACTTTGGAGCAGCAGCATGAGTTTACCGAGCATTATGGCATTGTATGTATCTGAAATGGAGACTCCTGCACATCTATACTATGAGACTGAACGTCATTTCAGCAAGATCGTGATCCAAACCAAGTCGATCCACGTCATGTCACAATCCTCGGTCGTGGGGGGTACGGGTCCAATATAAGCCGTAGATGCGTACAGCGTGCTAACAAATGAGAGCAGCGATATCCGCAAACATGGGCACACCGGAGGTGGAGAATACCACTCTGACCATTCGTTCGAAATCAACCCTCCGGCCTATACCCTACTACGGGTTGTCAAGACTCCAGAATTCGGTATGTTCTAAGGTCCCTATTCATTTTTTTAACTCATTTTCTACCAGGCGGCGATACGATCTTTACCAGCCAGACAGCTCTATATGACAAGTTGAGCCCAACTTTTCAAGAGACACTTGAAGGACTACATGGAGTTCATAGTTCGGAGGTATGGTTCATTTAGTCTTCCTACGGTGCCGATCGCTTTGGAAACCTAGTTACTGACCTACTGAACCAGCAATATTTTCTCGATTCTGTCAATAACGGTGCGCAGACTTTCCGGTATCCGGTCAGAACCGAGCATCCACTAGTATCGTTCCAAAGTCCTTTGGCAGGTGCAGAACAAAACCTTAATACTAATTTATCCTTGATCATAGGTCCGTACTCACCCAGTCACCAATCTTAAGTCCCTCTTCTACAACCCCAGCTTTGTGGCCCACATCTCCGAACTGAAGAACCAAGAGGCCATACATACTTTAAACTTCTTACGGGAACATCTCCATTCCGCGGATGATCTATCTGTTCGCTGGAAGTGGGAGCCCGGCAGCGTCGCCTTCTGGGATAATCGTGTCGTCGTTCATCGAGCTGTCCCTGGGGGCTACAACGTGGAAGAGCGTGAGGGAACGCGTACAGCTGTTTATGGAGAGAAACCATTTTATGATGCTAAAGGCCAAAGTCTCAGTAACTGGAAAGAGTCTCATCCTCTTTGATTATGGAGGTTTTCTTTATCGCATGGATGGAATTTGAAGATACGGCAAGATATTGAGAGAATTTGTCAAGGGATACGTTCCACATATGTCCAAATTACAGTACTACTGTATTTCTGATAATATTCCGAATTCCTGTTTGCATTAGTAAATTCTATCACCAATCATGCAGACATCTTCGGGTTGGAAGACTGTTCGTTCTCTAGAATAAATATACCTCTATACTCTAGACTTTTCTTCCTGGAACGTTGAGGGGCCAAAACGTCGCTGTCCCATGAGGAAAACAACCCTGTAGGCCCTACGCTTGGAAGAAGGTGACTTATATGCTGGAGTCCTCTATAACGCAGGGTATCATTCCATCCACGAGAGCCAGATATTGCCCGCTACACGAGGCAGAACCCGACTTTTGTCAACTTTGAGTTCAAAAAATCACATCTTATCGTTGATGAACTTGTTGGTAAGATAGGCATCATGATTACTTTTGGACACAATTTTCAATAGTATCTTCCCATTAGGTCGTACCAAATAGCAGTTATGGGTAGCAATCTCCATATCCTAGACTCTAGAGCAAGGAACCCGCCCTAGCTTGTCCAGATTCTGGTGGAGCGGATCCCAGTGTCACAAGCCTAGTTACAAGACGTCGTTTCTAGTAACCTCTGTTTTTTAGGCTTTTTGATACATATTGACAGCTAGTGGCATGAAGTAAGATCCACCGGTCGACTTAGCAATGCTCGACTTCCATTCGCCGGATTGTGAACCGGTAACAAACCATACTGTCGGTCCGGGTACGTTGTTCATTCCATCCGTCAGAAAAGCGTGGATACCGTTTATGAGGGCTTCGCTCACACTTTGAGACGAAGTTGCCGCGCACCACGCCATAAATTCACTTACCGTATAATCGACACCCGAGTAGAACGGAATCCCATAGGTGTGTAGCTGGCCTTCATACCACATTGACTGCATCTCATATGTCGATTCATTGAAAGTGTTTAACCCTAGCATTTTGTCGAAAGCAAAGGGATATGTGCTGATCCATGAAGTATCCGGGTCACCGTAGTGAGCGACGATATGGGTGTCGTTGGAGTCTGTTCCCAGCTTCAGAATTACAGACGCAAAGTTCTTTCCAATTGCTGTGTAGTTAGACTGCTCTGTGAGGGCACCAAAGGAAGTGAGTCCAATGGCCGCGTACATTGCCAGTATGGTCTGATTTGCTGTTGGAGCAATGCTATCAGTCGAAGACATTTGTTTGGCAGGGTACAATCCATTGATGACCAGATAGTCCGCGAATTTTGTCAGAGCCGGCAAATAAGGCTTCACCCACTCTGTGTTTCTGGAAGCTCGCTGGTATGCGTAAGCCATCCAGAGCAGCACAGATGTTTGGTCAATTATGAGGGCCTCTTCTGCAGCAACCGTCTCACCAGTTGCATTGGGATAATCTGACATACGTCATTAGCTATGCTATCAAAGACCAAAACGTGGGAGCTAAGAAGGTTAAGGTACGTTTTCCGAGATCATGGAAACCGAATTCGGCCGGCCATGTCAATGAATACTCCATCAGTGGCTCGAGAAGTAGACGCATATAATCAGGGGCTAGCGCATAGAATACCGGGAAAGACTTCGGTAACAAATCTGCCACTGTCTGTACATTTCCATCTGTAGAGATCTCTTTCATCCAGGCTTTTGCCTTGGTGGTATCTTTGCTAGCCTGTGGTATGAGGATCTGGAACCCGCTCCAACTATTACGAGAGCAGTTAGCCCATATCGATATCAAGTTTTATAACAAAAGGATCAGGATGCATACATCTGACGAATTGTCGACTCCAATATATCCGAATAGTTGGATGATATTTCAGCTCCAAGGTCTGTGATTCTTTGATCCAGTGCGATTCCCTCCGCATCAGCAGCAAATACATCATCGAAGAAATGATCCACGACGTCCTCAGTACTACTAAATGTTGCTTGGTAGTACCCAGTCTGTGGTTCACCGAGCCAGTTGAACGCATTGTCTTGTTCTAGACCAATAGCAAACGTGACGGATGCCGATGAGAATTTCGACCTCGGGGTCGTTATATGGTACGCAAGAGCAACTAGGTCACCAGATTGGTAGCTAGTATACCCGCCATTTAAGGTGCCGTTTTCTTTGAACTGGGTTGCAATATCATTGACACTGCCCACCTGATAGGTGACTTGGTTAGTCGCCTTTGTGTCCGCGGCCAGGTTAACCAGTCCCCATGTAGCCATGTCACTGTTTTCCGCCCATGTGTAAGAGCTCTTGCCTCCCAATGAAAATATGAGAGAGCCTCCGTCGCTTTTGAGTAAATTGACCTGGGTGTTCGGTTGCTGGGATGTCCAGGTATCATCAATGGCAGTCAGGATATCGATGGTTGACATGCTGGGATTATGCGGAACACCAATATTGAGATAACTGTATGGAATTGATTGTCGGACGTAGTCAGTCAAAGAAACCGGTGAGAAAAAGTCCAGCAGAAACTGAGTTGACCCAGCCTCCAGAGTGATGAGAGTCCGTGTGGATGTGAATGAAATGTCTATCTGCCTAGCCATCTCGAGGGGAGCATTGGCGCATCCAAATAAACAATAAGCATGGTCGTTGACACGAGCCATAATTTGCCATGTCAACGGTTCACCAGTCCAGAAGATAGGCGTAGCTGAGGGGACATCGGCTGACTGGTTACAACGTAGCCATGCTGTATGTTGTTTATGGAGTAACATTAGCCACAAGTTGGATAGATTTCCAACGGCTATGCCAAATCACTCTAGTCTGATATGGAGGCTTGTGACGTACAGGACAGGTATGGAGATTTTACAGCCTTATTGGTGTAAGCTCGAGATCAGCAATTCAAGTCGCGACGCGAGAAAAACAAACAGCAGGCATATCAGGATAAATCAAAGAGCGAGCCCCAATTTTGAGCCTCGAAACTTGAAATTGGACGAAAACATGAAAATTGTATATCTTGACCTACCAGGGGATATGCAGGCAAAGATATGTGACTTGCCAGTGAAGTCACGGCTAACACAAGTAAGCCACAAAGCTTCATTGTGGCGAATAGTGCCTATTGGTCTCGTTCAACCCGAGAATTGCTGAAAATATCAGAGAAAGCTTCTTCGGAGTTCGCTGTCGCTTGTCCATCCTAATCATGCCACGAAAGTAGTATTTATAAGTCTACTGTCCTAGCACGCGATAATTATGGTCGGAGTCGTGATATCCCCGAAGAGGAAGAATCAGCTTTTACCTTCCTGGGGCATGCGGAGCTCGCGGAGCTCGCGGAGCTCGAGCAGCTGGCCGAGCTGATGAGTTTGTTTCTCTGGAGTACAGTGGAGCTCCGAACTACGATGTACAAATCAAATAACGTTACCCTGAAAAATTTACTAATCTCCCGGTTTGTTGGCTGCAGGGCAATCATTCTCAAATCACTCAACCCACCACCTGTCTCACCAAAACAAATATTGCTCAATCAACTTCCTCCTCAATGCCTCCGAGTGACCCTGTACCGTGGTGTTTTGGCGAGCCAGTACATACATTGAGATTAAACACTGTGTGACCTAAAATAAAGAAGTACGAGCGACGCACAGCCCTCACTGTACGTTGGCTAGGCTCAATGCGAATGAAAATGGTTACAGGCTAGCGGAATGATCAACGGCCAGGGCAGCATTAATGGCGGGCTCATGTCAGATTGCAAGAACAGCAGGCAGCCCATGTAAGTCGCGGATGCTTTGTAGTTTCTGCAGTTCTTGGTTAGGCCTCGCTACACTCGAAATATTCTAAGTTAGCTTGTGAGGAACTAGAACTCTCTAAAAATACATTAATTTATATCGTAAATTCAGAAGCCTCTATAGAAGCCATCGCCAAAACAAATGATTTTCTGAAAAGATCTAGTCTTGATTATGGACAATATTTAGAAGTCTGCCTAGATACGCCGTGCCTTAGTAAAATAACACACTGAATGGACACGTTCTGCATGGCTTTTCAGTGCTTTGTGTCTATATAGGACAAGTCTACATAATTTATCCAGGCATGGTATAGGCTCCTATTAATTAGAATCTCGAAGTTGCTTCTCGAAGTGTTCTATGGCTTTCCGCATTCTTACAAAACAGCACTGGGATTGGAGCTAAAAGACGCAGTAGAGACAGTTTCGATTAGTTAGAGAGACTGGACGATCGCGCAGCTCGGGTGACGGATAAAATTACTGTTTTAACCGAGAACTTTCCTTAGGCAACGAAGTCTGATTGTCATCAGCTGCGTACTTAGTATTTGTTGTCATGGATAATGTTACCATAGAGCATCCCTACTCCTACAGTACAGTCATTTCGTTATTCATTAGTCATGCTTGCCCTTAAATTGCAACGCGAGCACTATATAGTTGATCAGAGTTGACATCTTCCATGCGATGACCATAAGGTTACCTAACGGACTCCTTACACACATAGTCTCACATGATGTTTATCTTGTACCAAGACGTTTAGGTGTTCGGAAAAACTTCTCACGATCAACCAACCCCCCGGGTTTCCAGTATTCGTACTCAATCCACGCATTTTCCTGCAAAACTTTGGTCAGTAACTTGGTATGCCAAAGCACGAGGCATTCTAACCTCCATTTGTTCCTCAGTGGCTTCCAAATATGCGCCCAGTTCCGGATGCAAGGGAACAATGCCACATTCTTGAACATACTGATCCCAGTGCTTGAGTAATTCGGTCAGTTTGTCGGATTTGACATTACTCAAGTCGTGGATCTCCCCAGGATCTTTTAACAGGTCATACAACTGCCAACAATGTGGCCCTTTGGGTGCAGGAATGAATACCGCTTTCCACGACCCAACACGAATGGCAGCCCGTCCACAGAGTTCCCATGTTCCCATCCTTGTACGAAGTCCTTGGGGTGAACCGATTCTTCTTCGCCCTGTCAAGTTTTGGTCAACCTTCATGTTTAAAAATTACACCGAGGAATTTCAGACCTTGAGCCAGGCGTGCATGCTTTTTCCACGCATCGCTGCAATCTCACGGCCTTGGTAGGTCGGCGCTGGGTGCTCTATACCTGCCATTTCGAGAATTGTGGGACCAATATCCATGACTGTGGCAAATTCGTGCTTAATTGCAGCTTGATACTCTGGGTAGCGTGCGATGCAAGGAACACGTACTCCACCCTCAGTCGTATACAGTTTGTACAGGCGAGAGGGAGCCGTGGCAGCCTGCGCCCAACGCGGACCATACCAGACAAAAGAGTTGGCGGCACCAATATTGTTGAAACTGTTGTCATAGTATTTGCGAATGTGCTCCAGCAACGGCCCCTTGACAAGAGGATACGCTTCGTAGGCTGCTCCCTCAGCACCGTTATCACTCATGAACATTATGAATGTGTTGTCGAGCTCGCCGATTTCCTCCAGGTAGTCAACTACTTTGCCAACATTTTTGTCAATACACTGATAGATCTCGGTCAGTTATTCTGCGTCACTTTTGTACGTGTAATAACATACCTCGACCATCCCGGCATATGCCTCCATTGACCGACACGACATCTCCTTTTCGTAAACAGTGAAGTCATCCCACCCTTCAACGCGGTCGTCCACCACAGGATGGGCTTCAGTATCCTTCTCAATCATGCCCAACTTGATTAAATTTGCAAGACGCTTTTGCCTAAGAACCTCAGGACCTTCGTTGTAGACTCCACGGTAATTTTGGATGTGTTCTTTAGGTGCCTGCAAAGGCCAATGCGGAGCAGAGAATGCCAAATATGCAAAGAAAGGCTTGTCTAAAGACTCATTTTTCTGTGTCTTTCCCTGGTGCCACTCGTCCATGTAGTCGACAATTTTGTCTCCATAGGCATTAGACGAATAGAAGTCTTTGGGCAGATCCTCAAGATCTATGTATTTGCCATTCTCATGGTGCAAGCAAATCAGGCTTGTGTCCAGAAACTGCGGCGTGCCATTTTTCACTCTAAGAAGCACATGTTAGCAGAGAGCCCAGGAGACATAACACAGAATGATTTCATCGGGGTGGTAGCATACTCTCCCTCGGGTCTATAGTTAAAGTGATTGGAGCTCCCAGGAAGCATTGCAAATGACCGATTGAACCCACGAGCATGGGGAGCTCGTTCCGGCTTGAGCCCGAGGTGCCACTTGCCCGCCATCATGGTGTGATAGCCTCCATCACGAAGAATCTCAGGGATAGCCACGACGCGCTCATTCAGGTAGCCCTCATAGCCCGGGATGCCTGTATGCGCTTGTCAGAATAGCCATCATGTATATACTCATCAAAAGTCCCGAACCTCGTTGTGGCTTTGCATCGTAAAACTTCCGGTTTTCCGTAACCGGCTCGCCCTCAAATCGAGACCAGCCAGTGTAGTTGGTGAACTCAACAAGATTGCCCAAGCCCGCTATATGATGGTCTGTACCGGTCATAATCATAGCTCGCGTAGGTCTTGAAGCTCGGTTAGCATCGAAGGAGCGCCATCCTCTTATTGTGAGCGACAACTACTCACGAGCATGCTGCAGCTGAATGGAACCCGGTGTATCGAATGCCTGTCTGACCTAGCTTGTCGATATTAGGTGTCTGTATCTCTCCGCCAAAGCACCCAACGTCAGAGAAGCCCATGTCATCAGCCACGATGACCAAAAAGTTTGGCCGTTTTCTGTCGGAGCCCATGTTGACGTTTCACTCTCGACCAAATTCGTAGAAACAAGCAGGTGAACTTGAGGTCAATATTTTAATCTCCTGTGACAAAAGCCCTTCTAAGATGACTCAATAGAAAATTCTGAACATATTGGGAGTATTTAGCTCATCCCAGTCCGTAGCTATGATTCCCGTAATCTGTTGGGCTAGCGCCGCGCGAGCTCCGCGAACAATGGTCCAGAACAGCGCGAGCGCCACGACCCCGGATTATCGTTTGGTCGTTCGCCATGTGGACCATCAATTGCGATTCCGGTTGCAACATCCGAACATCCAGAGAACATATAATCAGCCAAAAGCCGACATATTCTCTAATTTGGTTTCTGAGCTCATAATTTGCCTTATACCCCTTTGTCCAAGTGATATACTCTACACGCTTATCTACGAACATGGCGAGTTTACCTAAGGAGCTGGCCGGCACGGCTCCACCCAATAATTCTTCGAGGGGCATATCCAGGAAGGTTTTATTCGAGAAGATGACCCCCATCCTCTTTTTGAGCTGGATGGTCACAGCCCAAATCAACATTATATTCGGGTATGAGACAACAAGCTTTTCTGGTGTCCAAAGCATGCCGAGTTTTGCGACAGAGTTTGGGAGCCAGGACAGCTCCGGAAAATGGGCTCTGTCTGCTGCGCGAGCATCGTACACATCCTCTACGGCATTTGCGGGAAAATTGATTGGGTCTTTGGTATGCCCTTGTTCAAAGCTTGCATGTTGGTACTGACTGGAAGAGACTCTAGGTCGCGCCACGGATTATTGAACGCTTGGGTCATCGATGGGCTATCTGGATTTTACTGATAATTGTCTGGATTGGTATCATACTCGAATCCACCTCGCGGCACATCGAGCAGTTTATTGTGGGCAGGATTGTCGTTTATTTTAGGTTGGTCAATGCCATTTTTGCATTCACCTTTTGCTAACTGTTCTGTTAGTGTGGGGCTTGCTGAGGTGACCTCAACGTAGGTGAAATAAGATGCTTCAGAGAGCAACTCACCCTGACAATTGGCATTCTTAAACAGTGGTTACCAATCGGAGATCTCACCCGCATCCATCCGCGGCACGATTGTTGGATCGCTACAACTATTCAATTTGATTGGCCAAATTCTGGCTTCCGGAGTGAATCGGGGATATGCGAGCGTGGAGCAAAGATCTGGGTGAATTCAAAATAGATTAAATTATGAGTTTCACTAATCCATAAACAGATGGATTGTTCCTGTGGCATTCCAAGCAGCAATTCCTGTCTTGATATTCTTTGGGAATTTCCTGATCGGTCAGTCAGCTAACTCTGATAAAGCCTACTTATTGACGGTGTTTAGTGGACTCGCCCCGATGGCTCATTAGCAAAGATCGAACCGAAGAGGCTATTGAAGTTCTTGATAGGCTTCGTCCAAAAGCTGATGTCCAAGCTGGACTTACACGAAGGGAAGTCGAGGCAATTCGGGAAGTGATCCAATCAGATATGGAGAGTGGCTCGTGGGTTCAATTATTTGTAAGACACCGATTTAGAGTTCTACAGCATGACTGCACTCTAACTTCATCCTCGCAGGAAGGTGTTAACCTTCGTCGAACGCTTATCGCATCGTCTCTACTATTTCTGCAACAGCTTTGCGGCCAAGGTTTTGTTTCTGGGTGTAGGTCTTCTCCTCCTGCCGCCGAATGATCGAATTATATACTAAAAATCTATACAGACTCTCCAAAATTCTATGACTCTGTCGGTCTCTCAAGTGAGGCATTCAATTATAATATTGGATCGGCGACACTCGGTTGGGGAGGTTGCTTGCTGGGAATGCTCCTCAGTGATTTCATAGGCCGACGAAGCGTATTGATTTGGGGTGGCATTGGACAAATGATCTTTTTGTTTGTTGTTGCTGGCTTGGGACTGAAAAAGAACCCTACCACGTCAGAAGCAAACGGCCTGGTGGCAGGGGTGATGCTATATTTTTTTATCTACTCTGGGTATGGCTTCTAACCCATTTCACAATAAGACAGATTGATACTAACACAAAATAGCACCTGGGGCCCTCTAGCTTTCACGGTAAGTCAGCAATATCACTTTAAGTAGTGGGATTCTGATTTACAATGTCTCCTTTAGGTTGCGGCCGAAGTGGGATCCGCACCTTTACGTGCTAAAACATTGTCACTGGGCATTGCTCTGAAGTACATACAACCCAGTTCCACCACCCTGGCCTCGAAATTAACAAAGTATACAGTGTATTTTCGGCATTTATAGTTTCTTTCTGCGTGCCTTACATCTTGAACGACATCAGTGCAAATATTGGATGGGTTTTTGGAGCGATTGCGTTCATGTGTTCGGTGTTGGTGTACTTCGTGTTGCCCGAAACCAAGGTGAGCTATTTTTCACATCATTATTACAATAGGCTAATATTTTCTTTTCCATAGAATCGTTCTCTTGAGGTATGTCTCTCAAGTTTATTGACAAGTGATATATTAATTTTCCCATTTTTCCAGGAGCTAGATGAGTTGTTTAGAGTATGTCATCTCCGCAAAGGCTTCAATAAACTGTCGAAACTAACAGGATTAGTCTCGTGTTCCCGCGAGAAAGTTCGAGAAAACAAGGACATGTGGTCCCAGCAGTCGGTGAGAAGTGACGCTCGACGTCTTCTACTAAGTCGACGACATAGGGCGAGAGGGATTGCTTGTGGGGTTCTCACTAGAAGATCTTTTTCTCAATTAAACCAGTTGCGATAAATCGGTAGACAGAGTAGTCTTACTTCTATCCATCACCCCACACTCGAGCGAGGGCTTGCTAGTTAGCACCTTTCTCACAAGTGCTAAATCCTTAGCTCATATTTTGGTTCGTCGAATTTCCACGCTTCGGCAAATGAAACTGTTTCGTGTAATAATAATATGGATACGTCCCACCATGCAATATCCAATGGAAGTTTTCATTGAAATCGTAATTCAACGCACGGAGAACTTGCTGTTCTATCTAGCCCGCTTTGTTAAGTTGTCAATAATAACGAGTTTTAATAACCTTAGATGATTAACGAGTAAAGGATAAGGACTAACATATCCCATAAGGGAGTGGCGCACCTTCCGCCCGATCGTGTCACTGCGTCGTACCCGCCCACTTCTAACTTCTACGTGGTAATACCTTTTTTGCTCTTTTCTCTCCCTTGTCCCTTCTAGCTCTGGAGAAATAATAATCCTCTTTGTAGTTGCAGGGTATTCTCAATCTCAGTATCTTGCCGTGACAATATAGGCGGCACCGTTTAAGTAGCTGCTTTTCAACAGTCGTCCTAATCAATACCTAGGCCATCAAATCGCTAGGCTAGGTCGCGTTGTTGTGATCGTTTACCGACACAACAATGGAGGTATCTGATCTCACTCTTACGGGAGATTTTGCGTTCAAATAACGTTCTCGAACTAACTCCCTTAAAGTCAGTAGGTACTAAGCACCTGGAGTCAGAGTGGCGTCTTCTTCCGGATCCCGCACTATGACCCGGTTGTTCACCATGAGTTTCTTATTATATCGATAATACACGCTCGTCATCTCTTCCACTGCACTTGCACATGAAGTCAGGAAGACCCATAAATGGTCATCTTTAATTACAATGGCAGCAGTGCCTTGCGAAGCATGGCACAAACTGTTCGCAATCCATGTCGGTTTTCAGTCTCTTCCCTAGGAAACACAGGGCTTTGTGGAACAACGTAGATAACTACTTTATAGTTCAGAGCAAGATTCTCAAGGCACTGAGAAGTGGAACGAGGATTTTCTTTCGGGAGAACTGGGAGAATAACTGGACTGAAATTTTATATTCTCAATTTGCGATGGACAACCCAGACTCGGCGGGCACCAGCCACGCACACAACTGTTCCACTATTGCTGCTCATGGGTGGCCGAGAAAGTCATGTTTTCTTCTGATTTCCAAAAAGCAACTCACATTTCCTAGATGCCTTTTTGGCGTGACATCTTCTGGCGCAGCCCTATCATCGCATTCAACAAAACCTTCTCCAATCCACCTCCCACCTGTGGCTGCGGAAATACGTTCTTCCAGTCATTGCGCGAGAAGGGCGGGATGCTCGGCTGGCAAACCTTCCCTTTTGGAGGCAGAGTGCCATGTAGGAAATATTCCCGCACCACCATGCCAGTGCAGAGGGATGGCTGCGCGACAGAGGAATGCTGAGTACTCTGCGTTAGCTAGCCTGAAAAAAAGAATACAATAAACGAGCATACTTACTCCGTATCCGTTATGTTGCAGAAGAACACTCCCCTCCAGAGCATCACTCAAGTTTTGCGCTGATTCGAAGGGTGTCACCGGGTCCCAGGTGTTGCCAATCAACAATATCGGGTTACCCGTCTTAACACGGAAGTTTCCCATGTAGTGCTCCTTAGCCGACATCTTCCACTGCGCGCACTCCATATTGACGTGGACGTTCACGTCGCCCGAAGTGCGACTCGTTTGGTACGCCCTCTCCATGATAGGCCTAAATTGCTCAAAGCTAGATGCTCGCACAGTCTTGTCGCCACATTTGATCCCTTGGAGCGAATCCTGGGCGGTGGATGCGCCGCCCTGAGACCTCATATATGCAGCTAGTGCGGTTACATTTCGGTTCATCACTGCGTAGAGTACGTCCGATAAGGCTGGCCAGTCGATTGGATTATAGAGGTCATTGAACAGTGTTCCCTTGACCTCGATATAATCCATAAGCGTTGCGCCAAGCGGAATTGGGTGGTACTTGATAGTTTCTAACATCTGGTATAGCTTTTCTTTCAAGTCGGGTCCCGATGAGGCTAGGGAAGCCAGCGGACAGAGTTTAGGGGCCTCGAGACAAGCAGAACAGAATCCGGCAAAGACTTCATCGTTATCAGCAAGCTGCTGGTTGTCACTGACAGCCATTCTTAGTCCGATTCTCTATTTAAGGGTACCGCTACTTACTATCCGTGATAATACTCGTACGGGTTCAGCACACCATCCAGAATTACCCTACCCATTCTGTCTGGGAACATCGCTGCAACAGTAGCTCCTAGCGCAGTACCGTACGAGAAGCCTGGCCGATTGTTATTTAGATTCTCTGATATCCTCAACTTCACTCACCCCAATAGTGCAGCAAACCATCCTCGTCGAGTGCGTCAACGATCTGCATCATGTCTCTCGCAATGAAAGCTGTTCCAACAAGACCACCGGTTTCGTTCATACGCGCATAGCATGTATTTGCATAATTCGTTGCTGCCGCCCACGCCGACCCTGGAGCTGTGTCAGACGCATTGCTATAGATCGGGGCTTCCATGAGTGCAGTAATTCTCTCCGCCGCGCTGTTGTAGCATGAAAACGGTAGGGTACTACCAACACCGCTATTGGGTTGTTAGGTTAGTTTAATTCTGAAATGGCCAAGAATCTGGGAAATACCGAGTATTAAAGGTGATGAGGTCGGAATGGCCACCAAATATACTATTACACATATTAGTAAAATTCTCTTATAGCCTACCATTATCTGACTTACGCTTGAAACTCAGCTCCGATACCAGCCAGGGAGGTCAGGGAGTCTTCTCCTGGGCCACCAAAGTTGAGTAGAACTGACTTCCCGCGTGGTTTCTCGATGGCGGCTATCTTAGCAAGCTGTAGAGTCAGAGTCTTCTGGGAGCTCGAGTCTGTGTAGTCTAGCGGGACTTCAAGAGTACCACAGATCATAGGGGCAGTCTGATTATGCATCGAACATGGCCCTTTCCACTCGATCTTGCCGATTGCTTCCACAAGAGAACTCCCTGACGCGAAGGAGAGAAGGCCCAGGAAAAAATTTGCGGGACGAAACATCTCAGCTGAACAATTACCAATTGACAAAAGTATGCAGATATCAACTCGAGAATAATGGGTTCTGTTCGTGACCGAAATAGTTTTACAACCCGTAGCTATTTAAACTATTCAAACTTGATCACCATTTCCGGGTTGGGAATCACTATGCGCTGGCCCGTCAGGCGTAATATGCCAAGCTTGTGGCAGTGTAATATTTGGGTAGGCTAACTTCATAGGGGTTGGCAACTGTTTCATTTTGCAACAATGAAAAGCCCTGATCGGCATTACGTCAGATAGCGTCCGGTGTGAAACGAAAAGCCAATCGATTAGGTTCCTAGCGGCGCTGTAGGGGATATGAGCCTTGGCACAAGCCAATTATGTATTGTTCGTCTGCATCTGCTTCAATAAGAGGGAACTGGAGCCGTCATTGGTGGAAGAGAGCCGAAAGTGTCTTGATTTGGCCTTGGGGCATATGTAGGGTCCGAGGGAAGATACAGATATTAACGAGTGAGAGTTCATGCCAATGGGTCTACAACGGCGACGTGAGCAAAATGCAACACCATTTTGGGACTACCTTGTAATTACAAGATATTTAAGGGCTAAGTATCTACTGGGAGAGTAAGGCTGAGAGTAGAGAGCAATTGATCAAGGTCTAAACATCTTTTCAGCTAACACACTATGCCGATCCACATATACGCTACGCCACATATACGCTACGCCTAATCAGGATATATCGTGCGCTGCCAGCTGTGGGGCTCGCTTCCGGACCCCAAATGATAAAACGGACCGCTCCAGCGCCTCATGCCTCCCGTTTTAGATGATTCTCAGGGCTCTTCTTGCTTTTTGACTCATGGTCGTTGATAATGCCGGGCGTTCCATCTAGTCGAGGCTGTGATGCCTGTCGCCTGCAGAAGAAAAAAGTTCGCTGATTTGCTTGCTCCGTGGCACGTCCTGCTCTTGTTGACAATATGATGTGCATAGTGCGACCAACTGAGACCTGCATGTTCACGGTGTGTACGACTGAATATTGCCTGTGTTGGCGGCGGTCAGCAGCGGTATATGTTCAAGGTGCATACAATGACCTCGATGGCGACGAGGACCCAGAGTGCCATGTCCGTTGTTGGACATCCTGCGAGGCCACCGGGTAACGAATCAGTCACAGCTATTCGGGCCTTTGTGTCGGTATTGGAAATAACCGATCTCCGCTATGATTTGAGCACATACGGTACCTTTCTACGGGACATCCCGCAAAGATTAGGAAGTAACCCAGCCCTAGACGCTGCTGTGGACGCTCTGACTTGTGCTTTCCCATTTTTAAAGACTCGGGACTATCCGCCTAATGTGCTGACTCGCTACAACCATTCCCTCCGCGCCCTAAGATCATGTTTAGATGATCCTGTTCAAGCGCAGACGTCTAATACGCTATGCGCCATCTACTTAATCGTGATTTGCCAAGTGTGTCCTATTGCTATTCTGAGCGAGTAACTAAATTAACTTTCCCTCAGGCCTGGCTCGGATTATATCACAAGTATCCAAACCACGGAGAAGCCATGGCACACATACTAAGAGCCGCTGCTCTACGCGAGTGGCAAAGTACTTTTGATGCAGACCTGGTCACGACACTGTGTATCCCTGTCGTACGTGACTCCCAAAGTCAACATGGATAATTGTTAATAATCCCAAGATTTTCGAAAGTATCACCAATCCAAACATCAAACTAGATGCACGTTTCTGGGAACAAGCAGCTGTCTTTTCACGCCGCAGCACTGTGAACAATATTGGTGATTCTCCAAAACCAACGACCAAACTATGCCAAATGGGCCGGATATCAGAGTTTATGCGGTTTCCAGATATACACCATCACGAAATCGCAGCAACCTACCAGTTACTTCGCAACGATGCTTATAGAATGATCAATCATCTGATTCAACGGCGAGCAGGTATGGATTTATCTACTTCCTCTGCAACAGTTATTGCATATGCACGCTACCAGGCAGCATGCTGTCTTATCATCTCGCTATCCCTCATATTAAATTGTCTCTTACGTGCATTCGACGCCACAAATTCCCTCCTATGTGAAGAGGCGAGTGCTTTTTGTGATGAAATTATAACTATCGCAGAGTCAGTGTCCTGTCACCGGCCTCTAGGATCCGGGTATGCTGCGGTGTGTCTTGTGCCGGCATGGGCGGCAACAGATGATCCACAGCAATTGGCTCGTATAGAGACCATTATGGCTGAGTATCAACTCGACTTCATTGACTTTAACTGGTCTGATCGTGCAACGTGGCTGCGGTCTAGTTTTGATACGTTGCGTCAGGGAGTCGCGAAGGGGGACCGTCGGAGAGGATTTGATCCTGGGAAGTACGGGACTGGCAATGAGGCATGTGTTATTCTGTAGACTTTCCCAAGAACACATACCTGAAATTTCTAAGCAACTTAAGAACGGTCAGCTTCATTCAAAGTACTGTCATGTGCCATGGAGGTGTGAGCATTTACTTTCCACGTTTTTACTGGGTTGCACAACTGTACTTCTCGATATCCAAAAAGATATAATGCTCGACGCCAATCAGCTCTATTTGTTTTCCACCCCTCTCTTCAAAATAAACCACTAACCCTTCACACTATCCAGCCGATACAACATGCCAATGAGATTGTATTGCCTTCCAAGATACGCAGCCAATTATGTGATACCAGGAGCCCCGATGTATTTCTTTTGGAGAACCGATCCTACTCTGCCAACAATCGGTGATTGTATTGGTGGGGATGCGTGCTTTACAGATCTTATTGCTAATTGGGCTGCGTGTGATGCAGGAAACAATTTATATCGATGGGAGACAAGTTAGTATGGCGTAAGCGAAAATTACGGCGTTGTAGGCCGGTTTCGGTGATGCCTGCATTGTCCTATTGTGAACTAGCGCTGACTTTCTTCTAATTCTGAGGTCCAAGAGGGGCTGTGATGGTGAAAATCAGAAAACTTGGTTCCGCAAGACTGATCCTATATAAAGCAGTGGTCTTCTCAATTCCCCTGATTGTATCCGGCAATCCAAACTTGGCCTCCAAACTTTTCTTCCTCTTCTAGTCTTTCTTCAATCTTCTACACTTATGCGTTCCTCAACTTTTTTGCCCTTTTGGCCCCTTGTGGTTTGGCTCTTGTCAACTCTTATCCCACTGTCACCATCCAGAATGGCACCTTGGTTGGCAATTCAATCAACAAGGTTGATAGTTTCATAGGCATCCCTTATGCCCAGCCTCCTGTGGGAGACTTGCGTCTCCGCCCACCGCAAACATTCAACAAGCATTTTGGAGTCTTGAAAGTGCAAGACCTGGCGACAGGATGTGTGAGCATGGACATGAGCCCAGTCAACACCACGGGCCTCCCTGAACCTGCCGTGGGAGTCATTGAGTTTGTGCTAAACAGTGCTACTGGCCCCTCAAGCGAAAATTGCCTTACCATCAACGTCCAGCGGCCATCTGGCACAGAGCGTAACGCTAAACTGCCTGTTCTTTTGTGGATTTATGGCGGTGGTTTCGAACTTGGTAATACCCAGTCGTACGACGGGACGGGCATCATTTCGAAAAGTGTTGATATGGGAGAGCCCGTTTTGTTTGTCGCTTTCAATTACCGTCTCAACGCCTTTGGCTTCTTGCATGGCAAAGAGCTTCAGGAGGAGGGCAGCACAAACCTTGGTCTTCGTGATCAACGTAAAGCCATTGAATGGGTTGCCGAGAATATCGCGGCTTTCGGTGGTGATCCAGATAGAGTTACACTATGGGTATGCAAATGGGCTATAAACCCTTTATTGACTTGGTTGCCAGTGTATCAGTATGATTGCTAACTATGCATTAGGGCCAGAGTGCCGGTGCGATATCCGTCTTCAACCAGCTTCTCATTAACAAGGGTAACAACATATACAAAGGCAAGCCTCTATTTCACGGAGCTATCATGAACTCTGGCAGCATCTTCCGAGCCGCTCCCTCGAACTCTACAAAAGCGCAGAGGGTCTTCGATACTCTCATCAAAGCAGCTGGTTGTGGTCACAATGGTTGTGCATCAAGCCATACATACAACCCTATGGAGTGTCTCCGCAAAATCAGCCATAACGAATTGGTTTCTGCTATGAACTCGCTGCCCGATTTCATGAGCAATCGCAGCAACGATCTCGCCTACCTTCCCCGTCCGGATCCGACTAATGACTTTTTCTCAGTTTCTCCAGAGGTTGCTGTTGCCCTAGGCCAGTTTGCTAGGGTACCTGTTATTTTGGGCAACCAGCAGGACGAAGCTGCGCTCTTCTCTCTCTCACAGCGCGATTTCATCAATTCAACTTCCACCCTCGTGGAGTATATGCACTCGTGGTTTGTGGGCGCGAGCCAAGATCTTGTCGCCGATTTGGTCGCAACTTATCCAGATGACCCGGCGGCCGGTTTGCCAGCAGACACCGGATCTGAGTGGGAGATGTATCCCCAGTTCAAGCGCTTAGCAGCTATACAAAGTGATCTGACTTTCATAATGACGAGACGTGAAGCTCTGTCACATCTTGCTACAAGGGTGCCTACATGGAGCTACCTTTCCACATACCTACACGGATTTCCCGTCTTTGGCACCTGGCATATCTCAGATATCCCCACGCAGTTTGAAAACATCACCCAGTTTGCTGGCAATGTAACGGATACCGCCTACATTAATTTTGTCAATCATCTCAACCCGAATGGCAAAGGCTACACCTGGTGGCCAGAATGGGACAACGAAAACTTAAGGATGATAAACTTCAGTGCATCTACTACTGAGGTGATTAAAGACGACTTCCGCTGGGAAAGTTACGAATTTTGGAAGAAACACACCACAAAGCTTCGGCAATGATAGACTAGTGCGGAATATTACTTCCTGATAGCGGTTATGATATGTGATCGAGTTTTTCATACCACTACTCACGCCGGTAATGATTGAACTACGTTTTTCTATAAAACAAAAATAGCATCTCACGGTTTTATAATCATCAGTTAGACAATGGAAGGCTAGACCGAGGCTTTAAGTCATTCAGGGAGTGATAGGATCTCCTTTCGGTGACGGGTCAGGATAAATGAGTTACACGCCAATTCCTCACACAAAGTGTTGTCGATTCTTTATGATTAGTACTCGTTAAGCTTCAGTCAACTAGCTTTAAGAGACTTAATTAAGTATCTGTTTCTTCTATCGAATGCGCTTTTGCTAAAATCCCTCAAACCAAAGCCACGCCGCCATCGGAAACTATCGATGTGCCGGTTATAAATGCATTCTTCATGCAAAATAGGTACGGCTCCGCCGCGTCCACCACGTCTCCAGTAGACCCTGTTAGACTCGTCGCCCTGTACTTCCCAAAGACAGCATCCTTCATCTGCTGGGGCCAAAGATCATGTAGCTCAGTAGGCACGAGGCCGAATTCGATGGCATTCACGCGCACCGGCTTTAACTCTACCGCCAAGCCGCGAGCTAGTCCCTGGACGGCGATGGACTGCGCAGTAAAGGCAGTCAGTAACGGTGAGGGCTTAACCCCGATGGTGGACGACGTGAGGGTGTACGAGCTGGTAGGCGTGTTGTTCACGTAATTGGGAAGTAGCTTGCCCAGGATGCTCGGCGCTATCACGCGGACTAACTGTCGTTTCTGGAGGTCCTCAGCCGTCGACTGCCCATAAGTGGCCGCACCAACAGGATCTCCGGCAGTGAAGACGACGTGGTCCAGCAACTGCGTCCTGTTAGATGTTGCGAAGTCGAGTAGCGCCTGCAAGTTGGCCTCGACCGTGGCCGAGTCTCCAACATCGCAAGTGGCGCCTCTCACTGGTGGGCCTGATGCGTCTCTAGGCGTTGAGAGCTCCATAGCAAAAGGCTGAGGCACATCGTAGAGACGTTCGAGGGCACGGTTGACTTTATCTTGCTTCGAGCTGCTGATGACGACCTTGGCTCCGTGCTCGAGAGCGGCTTCAGCGACCGCGAAGCCAATTCCAGAGGTCCCACCGAGGACTAGGATGTGACGGCCATAGAGCTTGGAGATGTAACGTGGGGATCGAGACATGATTGCGAGATGCGAGGCACATATATAAAACCAGAGGTGAGGATTTAAATGCTAGCACCACTGATTTCTTGTAGTTTGGTGGGCCAAGAGCGGAAATAAACTTCAAGTCGCAGAGATCGCCGTAAAGAAGGGTGAAGGTGTCTCAAGGTAGGTAGTGTTGCATGTCAGCATAGCACCCGCTTAGGTGTGTTCGGTGTTACCGGGTAAGGCTGTGTCATCACATTCCTCCGGGCCGGTAAGTCATTTTAGGTGGTCGTCACCAGGCTAGCTCACCCGGCGGACTTAGCATGACTAAAGTCCGCATTAACTTTGATGACCGGCATCCTATAAGAGCAAATCATGACGGCACGTATGATGACAAGACGCCTCCCGATGATAACCAAGGTCCGTAAAGTCTATAAACTTGCGCATACGCTTTGGTTTTAACCTTGCTCAACCGCGCAAAGAACCCGACTTCAAAGCCATTCTTGTCTTGTTCTTCATTGCCCAAACAAATCGCGTCACAATGAGAGTATGGTTCATCACCGGGTCCTCCCGCGGTCTTGGCCTCGCTATCGCCGAAGCTGCTCTTAACTATGGGGACTCTGTTATCGCTACTGCTCGAGAACCGAGGCAACTCACGCACTTAGTCGAAAAATATGGCCCCGACCGAGTCTTCTCTGTTGCCCTCGACGTTAGCGACAATGACAAAGTCATCCAAGCTATTAAGACCGGGCATGAGAAATTCGGCCGAATCGACGTCGTTATCAATAATGCTGGATATGCGAATACGGCCGCTATCGAGGACATCGACATCCACGATTTCCACGATCAGATTAACGCCAACCTTATGGGCGTAGTTTATGTCTCTAAGGCAGTGCTCCCCATTCTTCGTCAGCAGAAATCCGGTCATATTATACAAGTTTCCTCAATTGGTGGACGGATGGGTGCACCTGGTCTCTCTGCCTACCAGTGTGCAAAGTGGGCTGTTGGTGGATTCTCTACCGTCCTTGCCCAGGAAGTGAATCCATTAGGCATCAAGGTTACTGTGCTTGAACCTGGTGGTATCAAGACCGATTGGGCCGGCTCGTCAATGCAGATCCCTCCAGTGAGCGAACCCTATCAAAAAACTGTAGGAAGCTTTGCCGAATTCCTTCGAAAATTCTCTGGAAATGAGCCATCCGTCCCGAGTAAGATTGCAGAAATTATCCTCAAAGTTTTAGATCAAGAGGAACCCCCTTTGCGACTGCTTATTGGCCCTGATGCGGTTGAATACGCCTCAAAAGCTGCGGAGGCCCTGGCCCAATCTGACAAGAAATGGCACGACCTGAGCATTTCCTCGGTCTAGGACAATTTCTAAAGTGATGCCCTATATGGCCGAGTGCCAAGTCAAGAAAAAAGAATTCAATTTGAGTGTTATTGTGTACGTGAGATCCAAGTTGAGAAAAGAAAGAAGAGACAGAGGAAGAATCTTTACTTATCTACAACAGTCTACTTCCTGTAACACCTGTCATACGCAGTCCTCAAACTTAGTCCTCAAACGCAGTCCTATGCCTGGTAGTCGATTGCTCTTGCATCATGTCGGAGTTGCCAGGGTCATAGAGGTTTGCATGGCGGATACTAGCATAACGGGTTCCCGCGACAGCGGTGTTCCCGAGACAACGGTCACAGAACCCGGCTTATGGAACAATCAGTCTGTTGATCAGTGGATCGACGGCCTCTCTCTCTCGACCATCAGACAGTCAGTAGGTTAATTCGGTTCACGGAAGCCGACGCCAAAATGGTTGAGGAGGTTTGATCTCATACTTCCCAGTACATGAACTCTGCTAACTGGATTGAAAAGTTTGACCCTCTTCATGTTACGCTAGAAAATCTATTTTTGCGACCTGAAGTACCCCGATACTTGTAGGATTCTCTTCTTGGTTTTTAACTTTCTGCATTGGGCTTGATCATACACTGTGATGCATCGTCTCGCAAATCCCTTCCCTCACTATCTATAGGGTTAATTGCAGCCCACACGGTACTGTAAGCGACCAGCCGTCTTCCTTGCTATTGTATAGCATTGAAGCGGTAGCTTGGGGTGTGCGACTTGTCAAAGATAAATTCTGTACATATTTGACTGACTATTCTGGGTATTGTACAGTAAAAAGCCTCAATATTCAGGTTTATTTTGTTTCTGGGGATGGATCTGTAAAACTGCTTTCATCTATCTTGAATGGGGATTTTCTGTTCTCACGTTTCGACGTGAACTTGTTGCCGTGCTCTACGTGGCATTGGCAAAGCCTGTAGTAAAGTCTTTGGGTGCATTTCAATAGGAGTATCCCACCTTGTGATTGTACGATTTGTGTCTATGGAGGAATCGAGCGGTTCTTCTTCGAAAGACTAATTACATTAGTCGGGAGAATATCAATATCAAATGAAGTAGAACTAACCATTTGATATTTGCAATGACCAGGTGATTCTAAACATGCCAATTTCACTGATAAAAGTGTTGCTGATACAGTACAGTCATTCTCGAACTCGCCTTGACCAATATACACTGAGAAACTCTTTCCTGGCCTCACCGCTAAGGCTTAGCGCAGATCATTTATTGAGCGGGCCGCATTAAGCTGAGGGACATGGTACTGTATCTTAGGGTGAAATATTACGTAACAGGTACAGGAATCCAGTGGCAAGTGCTGCGCCCGCCCCGAGCGATCTCAGGATTTATAATCAGTCGAAAGCCTTGGAATGAACTCATGCTGACCGCCGTTGGTCTCCTATAATTTGCTCCATGAAACATCATCATCCTTTCAATCACTTCCCCTGCTTTTTTCTCCATCATAAATTTTCAAAAATTATCGCCCCCATAATTATCAAACATGCCTGCAGAGAAAACCACAATCAAAGCAGTGTTCTTCGATTTCATGGGCACATGTCTCGACTGGCACAGTAGCGTGGCTCAATCATTTCCACCCGCAATCACTAAAGACGATGCATCCAAGCTAGCCCTGGATTGGCGCAGATTCTACTTTATCGAGAACAACCAACGTTTGCTGCAAGGCTGTGATCCCGAAGATATCGACATTACCCTTTCCCGAGTTCTTGATCAAGTGCTCGAGCAATATCCAGAACATAAACTCCACATAGACTCCGAGGTCAAAGAACAAATGATCGCGGCGTGGCATGCCCAGCCCGCTTGGCCAGAAGTGCAGAAAGCGATTCAGACTATACGAGAAGAGCTGGATCTCGAGGTCTTCGTCCATGCAAATGGTACGACTCGTCTGCAGCTTGATCTTACTCGCTCATCAGGGTTGGGCTTCAATATGTTATTTTCGAGTCAGTTGCTAGGGGTATACAAACCCAGTCCCGAAGCGTACAAGAAGGCATTGCAGCTTGTCAAACTCCAGCCAGAGGAAGTGGTGCTGGTCGCAGCCCACGCGTATGATCTTCGAGGAGCTCAGAGCGTCGGAATGAAGACCATCTATATCCATCGGTGGACTGACGATATTGATGAGGATATGGAGAAGGTGAGGAAGGAGTTTGATGTGTTTTTGGAAAATATGGAAAGGCTTCCTGCTGCCATTTCGAGAATCATGTAAATTAAATAATTATCCCTTTTTTCCGCAAGCTACCATTTGGAAAGTCTGACTTCGAGTAACAGCCACATCAACATCTTTGAACAGAATAAAATACTAGACTATGGTATTGTGACTAGCTGATTCTAAATCTTCAATCATAATTTTATTAATTTGCATGGTTGTTGATTTATGACCAATCGAAGCTGGCTGCCATGGTTATAATAAAATTGACAAACTAAACCTCCAGGAAACGGCGGCCCTTGAATCCCTGAATTTGAGCCTAACCATTCAATATATAGAAGATGTCTGATATTCTCTTCTATTGTGTCTGCTCCCTAGGGTGATTGTCATTCAGGGGTCCAATGCTCATCTCCGCGCTCACATTGGCTCGCGCATGGGTTGCGAACCTCCAACGATACATGGGGGGAAATCGATCCGATCGATTGAATCATCTACCACTCGCTAACCTTAATCTAACCTATCCTACCTAACTAACGAGGTGCAAACACGTCGCTAGGCCTTGACATTTCCCATGGGATGAAAAAATCCTAATCCCGTTGCTAGGTCCCATTATCCTATGGGAATTTGAAATTTTAGTCCCATTTCCCATTAGTCCCATTGGACTGCCCGCGGGGCTCATGGGATTCCCACATAGCCCCCTTTGTACTGCTTCCTCATAAGGGACATACCGCCCATCAATAGTGGCTTTTGAGTGGTTTAGTCGCTAACTGCCGACAGGATCTTAGCACGGTATTTGGAAGGATTCGGACCTTTGCAATCAGATTCTCAATCTATGAAGCATGAACCATAGGAACAGATTCGGATTACGCTCCAACCCTGGACTACTGTGGCACTATCTGCTTTAAGCTCCTCCGACAAGTGTACTTGAGAATGGCATGATCTCACAAGGAAACCTGGTCCACATCCTCTCGGATTCCTTCACCTGTCTACGTGGAAAGAGAGATACAACGAGGATCCTCCAACGTATATTCACTATTGTATATTGGCGAGTGACAGTCAATAATAGGGAGCTGTCAAAGGACACAGAGGAAGATGTCGTCTGGTCTCTAGCACCTTCTGGCAGCTGTCATTAGCCACAAAGAAATGGAAAGCTTTTCGACGAAAAGACTTTCGGCCACCGTTGGGTCGGACCCGATGACTCTGTCATAGTAGTATCAACAACTATCGTGCCAAACACAACCTGACTAAATTATTTGACGATACCGACATTACTCGGGCCGTCATTGAGAAGCGGCTTTTAATGTATTCAGATATTTTCTCTTGCGGTAAGAGGCACATGCTGAAGATATGTGTCGAAGTTGGTGTCGCCCACTGACGTAATTCACAAGCGACCCGCCCACCCCAAACCACGATTTTGAATGCATCATTTTTATAACTCGATATTTCAACAACTTTAATTTAAATTGTTTGATTATTCGTATAACGCTATTAATAAATGTAAAGAATAGTATAAGCTAACTTAAATTTAGGATAAATATTCTTTTGCAGCATTGCCACAAAATACGCAAGTGGACAAAATAAATATATATATCCGAATCATAGACAATATCATTAACTTTTTAAACCTCATAAGGAGACGTAATATGACCCAAACAGTACTAGAGTATAATAAGACCTCATATTAAGCTATTGTTGTAGAGATATTGAGTTGTCATTTATCGCATTTACTATGTATGGTGTTTTGGGGTGGGCGGGTCGGGTCGCTTGTGAATTACGTTACACTCTTCGAGTTCCTCAGCCCACAATGCCAAGACCTTCAGACTATTGAGTATAGACCAGAAAGATAACATTCCTGAGTCGTCATCTCTACAATATGTCAGAATCTGGGCGTACGACAGTCCCACATGGACGTGTAATTCACGAAGAAATAAATCTCTGATTCAGATAAATCTGGGAATGCCCGACAATTTAGAGGGCTCACTAACTAGTAAATGACTAATACATAGTAGGAAATATTGATGAGGGGTAAAATCCCCTGTACGTGATCTGTAGGAATTCCAATTCTTGACACAATACTTTACTCTAATAGGCTACTGTGGGCGCATCTATTTTGTACCGTCTTGGTCCACTTATTGTACACGGAACACTCCGCCAGAACGAAGAGCTGTTATTTTTAATCCTATCTGGTAGCCTTGTGATAGGTTCTATAAATTGAAGACATAATAGAGAAAACAGTTTTGTGGTCCTTCGGCTGCGAGTTTTGGGCACTCCGTAGACAGGAAGTTGACCGATTGCTCAGGGGGTTTTCTCACAAAAACCAAAACACGCCGCAAGCTTTCTTCAGTCGAGTGAAACACATTTCAGCGAGACATCCCACAGCTTCTTGGCATTGGCGACATCAAATGCATGCGGGCCGTAGCCTGGAGCCCACGTTCCCCCTGCGGGATCATGCGCGGTTGAAATCTGGCAGTTTTCCAAGTACTTTCCCCCTTGTCCTTCGAGATCCTTCGACACAGCTGCCCATACACTAGTAGCAGCCCCCTGGGCGGGGTTCATGTAGCTGGCCATAAGCTTCGGGTCCTGTGTTATAACTTGGATTTCCTCTTCGGACATGTGTTGCCCCAGGTTTGTTGTAACTGCCCCGGGATGGACACTGAGGGCGTGGAGCCCCTTAGACCCATAACGCCTCTCGATCTCGTTTGCAGTCCACAAATTCGCCGTTTTGCTCTGCCCATACGCCTGCATGGCCTCAAACTTGCCGTTGAAGTTGATGTCTTCGAAGTTGATTGAAGAGAATTTGTGCCCAGTCGAGGAAAGAACAACTACTCTTGGTTGAAATGACGGCGTGGATGTCGAGAGGAGAGCTGGCATCAAGAGGTTGATTAAGAGAAAGTGTGATAGATGATTCACTCCCAATTGAAGCTCAAAACCGTCCTTCGTGGTCTCTTTGCGGGTTATCATGACACCCGCATTTGCAATTAAGAGGTGCAATCGGTTGTTCTGTGCCAAAAATGCTGAAGCACAACTCCGAACGCTGTCCAGAGACTCCTGGTCAAGGTGGAGAAGGTGGACATTTGGAGACTCTGCAAGCTCCCCAATGGCCTTCTTTGCTTTTTCAAGATTTCGTGCTGTTAAATATAGTTTTGCGCCGGTCTTAGACAAGGCCTTGGCTGTCTCAACTCCGATACCCGAAGAGCAACCTGTGATCAAGATCACCTTATCCGACCACTTTCCAATGAGGCATTCGTCTCCAACGATCTGTTCAGCCGTCGGGCGCCCATCCCCGGGGCCACTTGGATGCGCATAAGCTGCAGCGTATCGAGATGTCATGATGACAGCTTAGGTAAAGTATGCGGAAGTAGGTTCTGACGCAAGACAGGAAGACTTCGTGTTTTTGCCGAGAACAGATGAGTGTTGACTGACTCCTTTTATATATTAAAGGAGAAGAGCAAAGACATTTTTTATTTACGAGTGAAGGCTTCCGTGGCACTCTGAGACGAACTACAGGTGAATTCTCGCGAATCAGGAAATATATTGCCTCTTCGTAAGTGGAGAAGAGCTGGACCCAGCAAAGTCAGAATAAATAAAGATGACGCCTATTGGTCATATTGCTCTGTTTAAGGTTGCGCTAATGCAGCTGGGTGACAGTTCCATATTTCTATCCATGGTTCCCATGATATAGAATGCCTCTTCCGCTTTTTTGTCAGCTGTACACTCAAAAGTCCGAAGTTGTGGGGCATCCCCAAAGGGGTTAGACGATGTCATCCAGAGTGGCTATTCACCTAGATGCCTTCCACGCTGTTGTATCCCCAGTTCGATCTTTATTTGTTGTAAGGAGTTTTCAAACCTTCAATTATACACCGTATTCTTGTGCACTCATTTCCAAGCAAAATCAATGCTACCCCCGACCTAGGAAGAAGTGGTGCATTGGATATTCATCTGGCAGTTCACTCGGGGTCCTCAACTCAAGGGATGCCTTTCGCCTTATTCTCCCGTGCCATCCGATCCCCAGCGTGATTTCATCATATCCTACGTTCAATTTCGCCCCTGTGCATGCAACCCGTTGTTTAATAGGGAAATGGATCTTCGTCACAATTTGTCGACCAATGCCCCTGCGCAAGCATTACCTCCCCAATGTATTCCCCTACAGGTTGTACTCCGGCTGGAGGATGATTGGACCGGGATCACCGATCCAAAAAGAAGGAAGAGAGTGCAGAATCGTTTGATTAAGAGAGAGAGTCGTAAGTTCGCACTTCCCCTATTAGTAGCCGTATCTTACTCCTCCCATCCAGGCCGGCGCAGGCGCTATGCCGCGGAGAACTCAGAGAACTACGAGCCACCGATAACATCACTGATAACGGTTATCGGCAAATGCATGGCCGATCTTGCATGTCTAAAGGACCTTTACAACCTTGGGATTCATTCGGAAGGGACAAAATGGGTCCTCCGTCAGCTGGAATGCATATGTTATGACCGCTACCTGACCGGTTCGCCACAAACGGAACTTCTTCTAGGCCTCACTCAGCTAAACTTGACCCGGGCTCTGGTGCATAATATGGAAATTTTGGGATATCAATCGAGACCGATGCACAACGAAGCGTTGTCTCCTTTCTGCATCGCTGGCCCCTCACAAACCGGCAATGAAATGGTTTCTCTGCCTCCTAGCTTGGAGCCTACTGCCCTCCAGCTCTCGACTCCACACCACCCGTGGCTTGATCTATTCCCTAGCCCCCAAATGCGCAATAATTTGATTGTCCTTGAGCCATTCGTGGATGAATACGGGCTCTGTGAAGACCTATGCAGTTCGACGGAAGGAACCGCGGGAATATTAGTCTGGAAAGACCCTTGGGATCCAACCGGCTGGGAGGTAACAAGCTCTTTTATGTCTATTTGGGGTTTAGTAGTCCGTAACTGTTGGGATCTGTTTCGATCTACGAACCATTGGCGTCTGAAACGGGGTGAGAAGCTATTATTCTACATTCCGCCGGCGATCCGGAGCTAGGTTGATCCTTGCTTGATTGAGAAGTCAGCGCTCCTTTCGAGTCCTAGGCTTCTCCCGTGTGGACAAGGGACCAGAATAGACGGAGGGTTGCATGTCACGTTTTATCAGAGGCTTGGAGACTGAATCAAAAGGAGCCAGGGGGCGGGGCTTTTTATGTCTCCTGACTCTGTGCCTTCTCAGCAGTTCTGAATTTCTTTCCAGTATTTTGTGTAAAATACATTATTCGAGATCTCTGTCGTTTATAAATAAAGGGACTATTCCAGAAAACAGTCTGGAAAACGGTGCATCGATCATTTATCCTATTAGGACTCGCATATGTAGGGTTTATTTTCCGGGTATGAAGTCGTAAAAGTTGGTCAACTGATTTCGAAAAATACTGTCAAACAAATCAATAATATGACAGCCGCGCGACTTTCTCAGATACTAGTAATGAAGGGTTGCCAGCAGAATCCCAGCAGAGCGAGAACAGGACACAAGAATAGACAGCAGACTGGTTCTTGATTTTCCACGGTATATCTGGACGGAACCAATAAGTACAGCCCAGGAAATCAACGCCGGAAGGTAATTCCCGATATTGGGCTTTGTCCAGGTGAATTTTTTGATAAGGCAAATTGGAAACTCGGAGCGAAGTCCGCTGGAAGTGGTCGGGATCCCCTATACTCTAGTGTTAATGCCACCGAGGCCCTCGCTGCCATTTTCCCCACCCTGATACCTGACCGCGGTGTGTGCTCCCGTCCCTAGCCCCCCGTGCCCTAACTGTACTAACCACGCAGGAGAGAGAGAGAGAGAGAGAGAGAGAGAGGACGTGACCTATCTATATACTAGATGGCCGCGCGCTCGTCATCGATGCAATCGACTAAAGGGTCAAAGGGCTACACGTCGCGCGATACGAAACCCCTCTATGCGTATACGCTAAACTCCTTCGCTCCCCCGTTGTGTAGGGCTCAGTTGAGTTGGGATGCCAACAGGAGAGGCCGATTCCAATTTACTAAAAGCGTAGATAGAAGAACTATCTAGGTGCGCAAAAATCAACATCAAATTGATGACTACGGTGATAATTGCAGGTATGCTTTCAGAGAAGGATTGAAGAACGAGAAGACTCGAAGAGAGACTAAACTAGCAAGGAATGCCACCACGAATGAGTTTCAGCAAGTAATAATAATACAAAACTGCAAGTTCCAGAGTCCTGGTACACACTTAGGCTACTAGGCATGAAGGCCATCCTCCACAAATTGCTTTGCACCTTCTGTTGGAGCTTTCCAGGCAACGCGGTCCTTGGTAAACTGTTCCATTGTGGGTCTCAGTTTGGTCTCGTGCAACGAGAAGTCATCCACACTGCCGACGCGCAGAATACTCATGCCGGGGAAAGCTGCGCCGACACGGTACATGAGCGAGCCACATGTGGAACAAAAGTAGTTGGTCATGGTGTTTTCCTTGCCGGGCTCTTTCACGAAAACAGTGCGCGATTGGCTGTACGTCTTTAGATTATCGCGGCCACGCAAATGCTTCAAGTGCGTATCATAGACCGTGAAATTAGTTGCATGCATAGATGCGGTAAGCTTGTGACAGTCGGAGCAATTGCAGACGAAAGAGCCAACATAGCCAGCTCCATGGGTTGGCTGGGAGGTTGATACAGCGTTAGAGCCAAGCAGAAACGACAGTAGGTTCGAGATACACCACTTACGAATGACAGTTGCACTGCACCGCAAAAGCATGTGGCGGTCGCTTCATCCTCCGTGGACCAGCCATCGTCAGCACCTCCAGCTAGAGGAAAGTACGGCTTCGAATTGTTAACAGCTGTGGGCGACATGTTTCTTGAGTTTATTCAGGGTTGTAGTTAGAAGCGTGGGATGGGTGATATGCTTTGTGATTAAAGAAGAGCGAGGATCTGGGAGACAAAGCGGACTGGTTTATATACTTGCGAAAATTGATCGAAAAGAGCTGTCCGCATCTGGTCCCTCAGCTTGATTTTTCGGGCTATCAATAAAGAGATGCTTTAAAATCATTTGGACTTAGTCTACCCATTACTCAACAAAAATCTTAAACCCTTTTGACTCTCTTAGCTTTACGTATTTCACGGCTAGCAATTCAATTTCATTGGTTGCTTAATTGACTTTAAGGCATGATGTGTCATGCACCTAGTGTTCTTAATAATCACCCCGATCAGTGGAAGCCTTGAAAAGCTAGGGCTGTGGTCTACTACTGTAGGTTATGTTACCACGAGCCTGTCTAGACCCATTAGAGTTAATGGACCGGCGCCCAATCATGTATCATGCTTTATGTTCTAAGAGACTTATGTTCAGTTGTGAGCTGTGAGCCAGGTTGGGCTTTCCGATTGCTTTCTCACAACTTCATAGCGTAGGCGAGCTAAGCGATCGAAGCGGAAGCGAGAAAACCGAATAACCCGATTAGTCAAATCCCGTCTTAAATGTCCTTATCTCTTGGCATTACTCATGGGAATATCGCCACTCAGGGAAAGACATGAGAGAAGAGAGTCAGTCCATTGGTCAAATTACGACGAGCAAGCTGGCTTAGAGATGAATAGATGAATATACAAATAACCCTTATCGCCAGGGCTTCTTCATAAACGAGTCCAGACTCCCGGCCCAAGCATTTTCCGGGGCAAGAGGCGGCCGGTAATCTAAGAGACCATCCACCGGACCGGTGCCCCGAAAGAAGAATCCGTCAACAATCCGATAATAATGATCCTATACGAAGACGGTAACGTCCATTCCTACTGCTAATAAGACTAAGCCCTATCTTACTTTGGCTAGGGCTTGCCAGGATAGCTGGTCTAATGGACAGCGGGCAACAGCGACATGCTTTTGTGGAGCCGTGTAGCTGAGTTTTGTTCGTACTGCCTTGAATATGATCATCGCACTTTATCCGATTCTAACATCTATTCTATCCTACTAGTGGTCTAGGCTTAGTCGAAACTTTCTATCTACAATTGTACTGACTATCGCAAAATCACTGCTTCTATGTTTGCCTCCAACTTTACAATTGACGACGAGTATCTGATCCATGGGGCAAAGTGTTCTTCGCCTAGGCACGGTTGATGATTTCAATTTCCTTAAGACCTAGCTAAAGCCTCGAATCGAATAGTTCGTTAATGAACGCGCGGCGTGGCTATATGGTGAGGATAGCGTTGAATAAGTTCAAGGGTTTGCCTATGCATAAGTTCATACCTTGAGACAGCAGTTTTGGATGTCTAGGGTGACCGACCATCTAACGTAAATCGAACAATCAAAATATAATAAGGAAAAATCATGCTCCTGTGCGTATTGACGGAAAGATTTCCGTGCCAGTAGCTTTTCTGGCGAATCCTGTGTCGTCAGCGTAGCAGCTGTCCCAATCCCTCAGAACCCCTATGATTTCCATCTCGCGCCTTATCAAAAGCCTAGCCAAAGTAGGTCAATAGTGCCTCCTGGTTTCATGGATGCTGTACCACCTAATGAGTGGAACTCAAAATAATGTTCACATAGGCATCTTGGGAAAAGATCTAGAGTCTGTTTTATTGCTCTACGTTTTCTGAGGATCTAGAGAGCAACGTAAATATCAAATTCGTCTTTCCCCGGTTTGTATACAAACGGTCTCTTGAGATGCCCCATGCGTTTTCGTAAAAGCCTTTTGCCACACATTCACCTCTGTAAGGAGAAATATTTCTACATATACGTCGACTTGCCAGCTCCAGACTTTTAGAATGAATGACTTTATGTCATTCGAAGTTCCCCATCCCGAGCGAAGCTTAATCACGGTGTAGAGCAAGGCTTGAGACAGCGTAAGTGATTCAACTCTATGAGCTTTGCGCCTGTCATCACTGCTGGGATTATAGAGACATTGATAACATTTCGCCGTTTGTTCTCTGAACACCAGATCTTGTTAGAACTCGCTTCGTTCCTTTCAGGACAGTGAGAGCGCAGCACAAGGTTTCGGGCATCTCGCGGGCGGTAGTAATCCCTGTTCTACAGTCCCAAATCCCGCCCACCAGGGAGGACCCTCTTCCACTCCCTCCGATTGGCCCCCGTCTGCGTGCCCCAATCGACCCGCTCTATCCGCTAATCCACCGAGAGGAGTCCAACAACCATAGAGGGGGGTCCGATAAATCGCTTTGTGATCTATCATATCATTAGACAACGCGACGCAATGCGTTGCATTGATCTTATAGATCTGTAGGTTGTGATTTCTTAGGCCTTTCTTCCGTTTCGTAGATGTATTTATATGACTAGTATCGCTTATCTACTATTAGATATTGTCGAATCCAGGTGGAGAATTGATCCGCCACAAATTACCCAACTAGTAATATCATGACCGCAAGATAGAAGAAATCTAACATTCTAAGGATACTCTGGCTATCTCTTTAATAGTGCACAATGCATAGTAAGCGAAATAAGCACACAATAACAAAAATGTGAAAATACAAAAGCAGTTTAGTGCTGACAAACTTTTATGCATGGATCCACCATGCTGGCATCTCGACAGACATTTATTTACCTGGTTATACCTAATCACGTGTGGTTTGGTCGATGGCGTCGACGAGTGATCGATGGCATTGACACTAGAAAATAAGGGTAGGGTAGGTCATGCTGGCTACAGCGTTGGATCTGGATCCCCTTCCACCCTTTCACTCGGGTTTGCCTTTTAATGACTGGTAATTCACTATTTCAGCGATGCGCCGGAATATCCACACTCCACTTCTTCCCCGAGTCGGTGACTTCCTGTTTTGATGTCAAACTCTTAATTAGGACTAGCTGAACAGGTATACTGCAAGAGAGTGGAGTGAGATTTATTAGCTTTTCCCGATATGGTATTTGCTCTTTTCAGTTCCATTGACTCGATTTCGACTAGCCTACTGCGAGAAATACCACTATACGCAATAGCACTTGCCTGACCAATGATGAAGCCAATGTTACGCCCTCGCACAGGTCGCTTAAGAGTGTGCTTCGGGTACTAGTCGTACACTCCCCCACTTGCAAATTTGCCAGCCTGGCCTGGCCAAGAGAAACTTGATTAGACCAGTGTGTTGGCATGTTCTGAATTCAGACATAGTTGGATGGCTGAGTTGTTTAACAAATCATGTCTTGCCCGAGGGAAAGACGCACGAGGTAGTAGATCAAAGATGTTGATCTTTTCCAGCTAGGAATTTTTGCGTCAGCCGCGAATAATTTGTAGGCGAATAAAAGCCAGACATCTGGGTTTTTTCTTATCCTGCGGTTCTTTCGTCCTCTTTCACTTGGTTATTAAGTGAATGTACATTGCTATATATTTCAATATCTCTCGAGAAGCTGCAGCGAGATCATGTCTTTTCAAGAATGTGTGCTATTTATCGCGGCCATCATTGTCCTGGTCTTTTCATGGAAGAAAACTTTCGCAAGGAAACGAATTGACGAATTACCCCCTGGGCCTAGCAGGAAGCCAATCATAGGAAATTTATTAGATTTGCCTGCTTCGGGTGTGCCAGAGTGTCTACACTGGCTGAAACACAAAGAGCGTTATGGTATGTGTTCCATTTTATATTATTATATTGAGTTGCTAATTGCGAGGCCTTGGGATTTGAAGGGCCTCTTAGCTCTATCGAAGTTTTTGGTCAAGTGATCATCATCATCAATGACAGAAGACTCTCATTTGAAATTCTTGAGAAGAACTCGGCCAAACATTCATCTCGCCCTCGTTTGGTCTTTGCGGACGAACTGTATGTATTAGCCTGTTCTGATTATTATTCACTTCAGAGGGCATGGAAAATGAACGGTAGCATTGTCCATTCATGTAGCCCTCTTGCAGTACATGATCTTTGGAGGCTGTATCAATATCGATACTAATAATCTTGGCGCACGGCAGTTCTGGATGGGGTGAAGCACCATCGAGTCAAGATAATACGAATCTTCTCCGGGCCTACCGTCGAGCAATATTTCGAGTCATTGGGACAAATGCATCGGCTTCCAAATTTGATAGTCTGCTAGAGTTGGAAGCGAGACGATTCACATGGCGTGTACTTCATCGGCCTCAAAACTTTGTTGACCATATTCGAACGTGAGTCTTTTCCAGCAGGTCACCTGTCCTTAAATTTAGATTTAATGCAGTAGGATAGTAATGCGGGCGCCTTTATTTTGAAGGTCACTTACGGCTATAATGTTGAGCCTCACGGTGAGGATCCTCTCGTTGGCCTGGCTGAATTGGCGCTGCAACAATTCTCAAAAGCCATTATTCCAGGCGCATGGTTGGTTGACGTGATTCCAATATGTGAGACATTATATAACCATTTCGTTATTTTGCATACTCACGGACATTGGAAGCCATTGACTCTAACGTAGATATAGTGAAGCATGTACCGGAATGGTTCCCCGGCGCGGGATTCAAGAAGATTGCGCGCAATTATTCCGAGACCTTGAAAATGTTAGTGGAGAATCCATTTTCTTTCTCAAAGTATATGATCAATCACAACAACTTCCGTCACTCTTTTGTTTCAAGTCTTCTGAATCAAGGAGAGGATGAAAACATTGTTAAATGGGCGTCGATGGCAATGTATAGTGCTGGAGCAGATACGGTAGGATCAAACTCATTGAATCCGGTATGCTTTGATTGGTAATGTTATACTTATCTCCAAACCAGATCGTGTCCGCTATTGAAGCCTTCTTTCTCGCCATGGTATTATATCCAGATATCCAACGCAAGGCACAGGAAGAGATTGACTCTGCTTTTGACGAACCTACTCTCCCGACAATGGCTGATAAAGCAAAGCTACCTTACATCAATGCAATGGTTAAAGAAGTACTCCGATGGCATACAGTAACACCATTAGGAGTTCCTCATAAAACAGACTGTGATGATGTTGTCAATGGCATGCTCATTCCAAAGGGTGCATTGTTATTGCCGAATATTTGGTACACTACTAGCCTTTCCTACTGTCGTTTCCCATCATATACTAAACAGCATACTAGGTCGTTCAACAATGATCCATTGATGTACCCCGATCCATCGACTTTCAGGCCCGAAAGATTTCTCTTTCCCGAAAATTCGCAAGTCGTTGCTGATCCACATAGCATAAGCTTTGGATTTGGCCGACGGATATGTCCTGGAAAGTTGATAGCTGATGCGTCATTGTTCCTGACAATCGCACATTCCCTTGCTGTCTTCCACATTGACAAATCTATCGACACCGAAGGCAACGAAATAAACCCGAATGTTGACTTTACTGCAGGAATAATCAGCCATCCAAAGCCTTATGACTGCAACATTACACCACGCAGCCAGCGGCATAAGGAGCTCATCCTTAAACTGGAAACTCAAGATCCGTTTGAATGTGGCGATGCAGCGTCTCTAGCAGAAGCGATCGATTTCTTCAAGAAGATGCAAAATTGAGTCTACAGTGAGAGAGTAGCGGGTGTGAGAGATGGAAACAGTAATATTTGTGACTAGCTGCAGCGTCTGCGCAATAAAATGATGTTACTGAATCTTTGTAAGTCTTGATATGTGTAACATTTAGCTTGGACTAGAACTTACCAATGCCCCTCGTGGTCACTGCTAGAGAATACTCCATTATCAAGAGCAACTAGTTCAGGGTTATGCGGTCGTGCATGTTTGATAAGAAGTGGTTCAGTCTGCGAACTTGCCACCGATTTAGTCAGGATTTGACGGCCGGTAACGGTATTCTGAGCGATATACGGAGTTGCATTAAAAGCCTTTTACCGGGACCTGTAGGGTCCCGTTCGACATGCTCGACGAAGTTTCGAATATGAAGGATTGCCGGACAAGTTGAATTTGAAGTCATGCCGTTATCCAGCGCACATCAAACCAAGATGGAAAACGTGGCTCAAATATTTTGTAAGGTTTGTAGAGGGATTAACGGGTGAAATGAGAAGTGGCTAAGAGGGACTCTTGTTGGTATGCCTACTGTGTTCTATGGAACTGAAAAGAATACCAATACTATGGTTTTGATATTTCCGAGGCCGTTTTATTCGAAAAGCCTTTGGGACTTCCTACTACGACTATTTATTCAATAATCATTCCAGCCTTGGAGCAGGATTTTACTGTGCCATGGAAGCCTTGACTGGTATGGCCGCTGAGGGAATTGCATCACGTTTCCCTTTCGAGAACATACTTGAGTCTTCTGCGATATCTGGCGAGCCCACGATCTTGGTTTACGTCGGTAGTGGACGGAGTCAAGTTGTGCGCCCGATCCTGGAGAAAAATGCCTAGGGTCCAGTGCGTTGTAATGTCCAAGATCAAAAAGCGTGCAGCTCACGAGAGTTGACTGTACCCGGATTAGGAAATCAGAGGCAACTGGGGTAAATATACTGCGACTACTGCGAACATTGCTGGTATACTTCCACCCAAGACAAATTGTCGAATCCTGGCGGGGCGGTCGAACCAATTGGAAACTAGATCTACCACTCATTACCTGATTCAGGTGGTAATGCTGGCATGTGGTCAAAAATTTCAAGATAGAAGAAGTCTGATTTCTAGAGATATCCTGGCTATCTCTTTTATAGTACAAAATGCATAATAAGCGAAATGATCGCACAATGCCAAGAATGCTGAAAAACAAGAGCAGTTTAGTGCTGAGCCAACCTTTGCCAGGGATCCACCATTCTGGCATTCGACACAAATATCTAACAATGCTTCTGCTGCTTTTGGCATTTGCCGATAAAGTTATCTTGGCGGAATTAGGATTTTACGTAATCCGACGAAAGATATCTCTCTTTGGGGGTAAACCGAACATGACAACGTCATAGCGGGTGCTGTTGACTTCGTATGTCACTAATCGACATTCCACATTGTCAATCAAGACAACAATTGACCATTTTTACTGTACCTAACCACGTCCTTGTGGGGGTTTGAAGCACATTAGCAACCCACAAAACGACTTGAAATCTTCCCCCAATAGCCAGAGCTAGCGCCACAAAACGGCCTACTTAGCTTTCACAGCAACATGGCTTTTATAATACCAGAAGACTGTCGGGAGAAGTTGGAATTAATCGATGGGACAGACTATCAGACCGAGGACCAAACTATTGCGAGCCTCCAAGAGTACAGACCGGTGACCTCCGAGAAGAATGTGTGGGCCTACTGGCATACAGGCATGATCAACATGCCCCGGTGGTGCCGGAAGAATGTCATCGACTGGGTTCGTCTCCTTGGCCCTCAATGGACTGTGCGTGTGTTGGACAATGTGGTCGACTCGCCCAACAATACGCTTCGATACGTGCCGGAGTGCCTATTTCCACCGGCCTTCATAGATCGCACCATGGATGGGCCATACCTAGGCCAACACAGTGCGGACATGACGCGCTCAGCCTGTCTTTATGAGCATGGTGGTGCCTGGATGGACGTGGGAAGTATCCTGTTTCGTCATTTAGATCGCATCTGCTGGAACGAGTTGGAAGATGCGGAGTCGCCGTACCTTGTGGCAATCCCCGTGATCCACAGCATTGTGAGTGCAAACCATTTTGTGGCCGCTCGACGGCACAATCCTTTTATATATCAATGGCACCGTCTTTTTGTGTACATCTGGGGTCACAAAAAGAACATCAAGGGGTGTCTAGTTGATCCGCTGCTTGCTCCAGTTATAGGATTGATGCACGACGAAAATTCAAAGTTTGACCCGGACTGGGTTGATCCAGTCGTAGCACTGGAGTACGTTACGCAGATTGTTTGCTTTACTCGGCTCTTGTGTCTCGAGAACAATGGTGAGGGATTCTCAGGTGTCAACTATTGGCAAAAGCATATTCTCGCTTTTAGCGCGCTGGAAGAAGACTGGCGCGGAGAGTTCATCACGAGTTTTGTGGGCTTTGGCCCGCGTGCCTATGAAGCTCTGACATGCTCCCACTCTGGTCCAAACGCGGACCCAACCTCGAAGAAATACCATGATGCTGAGAGATTGATTTGGGAACTGCTCGCCCATGCGAGCATGTGGAAAGTGGCCCATGGACACAGGCTGACCCACTCGGTGCAGCTAGGTACACTGCTCGATATGCCCGAGAACGAGGGCAAGGACGCAGCACCGGACACATTCGGAGAGCTACTGCGTTATGCCTCAGTGCATCTGCGTCAAACGCGCGACAGCATCGTAAGGATGCCCAATTTGAGGCCGAGCGAAACGTGGAGGAAGGCTGTCTTAGAACCATAATGCATGCAAACTTACCCCCTGTCTGCTCGTAATACTTGCATTCTTACTCTCCGAAAGAACCTCGCCCTGGGTCCGACTTTTCTGTGCGCTCTTTGGTCTTGGATCAATATGGGCCTCACCTGCATGCTGCTTCGACGGAACCATGACGATGTCGCGACACCTCCGTCTTGTTGTTGATCATCTGATAAATGCACCATTTGGATGGAAATAACCAAAATGCATTAGTGCATCTCGAATTCATCCTTTGTATTACTTCCCTCTTATATAGTCTGAGATCGGTTCAATGCTAGCGAGACAGCGAATAGACCGCTGACCCAGTAGAGCGATCATCCTTTTCCGTACCGAAGCCTTATGTGATCAGTAACAGGAATACGGAAGTAAAGATGGAGCGATTTTGTATCTCCTGGATTATGAGGTGCTGATTTGCAAACCCTGCGCATCCCGTAGCACCTATCTATCTACACACCCATCTCATAGGTCACCGTAAGGAATGGCCGGGCTTTGAATGTCCTACTGCGGTGCCTCGGCTATAAAAATGGCTACGGGACTTTCCTTTAGCTGATCTCATTTAACAACCAAGACCACTTCCACGCCTGATGTCTTTAGCCTTGCCTTGCCTTGCCTACTGGTCGAGAATAGGAAAGGCTGCAAGCAATACCACTTTGTAGCTCGCTCAGACGAGAAGATGCAGAATAAACCTACGGACCCACTATTCTATACCATCCCGTCATCTAGCGGAAAACTAAGGAGAATATAAATCAGGCTCGGCCAATCCATCAGACTCTCTGGGGAAAGGTTCATTGCTAGCACTTGACTAAGGGCTAGGAGAACCTTTTATAGCAAGTCGTAGAAGTGAGTCAATAGTTGCGTAGACTTCCATCTTCCGCCGCCGTAACTCCCACTATTATCATCCACACTACTAGACCACCTGTTGAAGATGCTATCTGAGGCATTTTGGTGACATTAAATCGTATCTGTGTTCTCTTCTATATCGCTCTTCTAGATTATGTCCTACATAGAGATCCGTTTGAGAGTATGGTAATAGAGTTCTTTGCAGACCTGGCACTCACCCACCCCCGCGGGTCCAATGTCAGGAGCATCCAACCGCACCTCAGAGAGTCAGGGTCGGTGAGGTTCGACTCTGACCCTGACCCTCATGGAACCTCAAATGCATAATTCTTCCGCGATTCCTATTTTGTCTAAAATTGATGATTCAGCTTATTGAAAAACTGTTATTTACAGCTGTTTTAATACCCATTTATGTTCTTCCTAAATTTCAGTATAATACCTTCAAAATTTTAAAGAAATTGGATTGTAAATAGATACTTTGTACGTCGTCACTATAGTGTTCTAAGATTTAACTGTACTTGTAGGGTGGCTGGAACCCTAGGCATTTTTCCCCAGGATTCGGCGCACAACTTGACCTCGTCCACTACCAACGTAAACCAAGATCGTGGGCTCGCCAAAATCGAAAGGGATTTAGCTTTCCTGTTTCCCTCGACAATACCAAAATAACCCAACTTCCCCAGCTTATAACTCGATAACTAGAGAGATTATTACAATCCTGTTTAAAGATTTAGAATCAGCTAGGAGACGGCTCAACCTTTAAACACGTATTACCACGTAGGACATCTTTTGATCATATTAAAACAGGCCATTTTGCTCACTACGCAACGACCGAGGTGTTTAAATTTCACCGGTTCAGCAATGATCAACATTAGTAATGGTCTCAATTCCCGTGCGTACCGAAAGACAATCACAAGGAGCCTCCCTCTAGCACCACTGGCGATATACTTCATCATCGACCAAATTCAGTCATAGTGAGAGACTGTCAGTACTGTACGACCTGCACCTTCTTATGGTCGATATGATTTAGTACTCCCATCGCATTTAACGTAATGGTCTCGGGAGATGTACCGGTCTTAGTAATCGTTGTGGGTCCGAAGTTAGGCCAAAGCAAAGTTTCAAAGAGGGAATGAGAGGAATATCCAAACGTTGTCTATGATGCTGTAATGATGAAATCATGTTCCATGGAAAACAGGGGGCAAACAGGCGGAACTGGGCCATCTCATCCAACAGCAAAATCTAGACCTATCGAGGATGAATTTGGGTCGTCTGTTTTCCGGATGGTAATTCTGTCAGATGATTTTTGTCGCGGGCAGAAGTGGGGCTACGTGAGTGCACGTGGACTTGTGATCCTTGCTGACATCTATTACAACTCATCATCATCATCATCATCATTTTCCTCCCCCGTTTCATTCCTGAAAATATCCTTGATAGAAGCCAATAAAGATGAGCGACCTCCTACAGCTGCATGGCGATGTCATCCTATCGAATCCCTCTACACCATTATACCGCTCGGTCTCTAGATGGTCTGACACGGGCATTTTAGAACGTCCTGCGCTTACAATTGTTCCGAAATCTGAGGAAGATATTGTGGTTGCCATAGACTACTCCAGAAAGAATGCACTTCAGTTATTTCCTGCTGGCGGTGGGCATGGCTCATTTGTCTCTGTCACCTCTAGGACACTATATCTTGACTTGAGAAGATTTGATAAGGTTGAAGTGGACACTGACGCTCAGACGGTCACCGTCGGAGGCGGAGCTTTAACTGGTCAGCTGGTTAAAGCATGTACTGACCAAGGATTCTACACCACATGGGTCAACAGCAATGCGGTTGGTGTTGTCGGGAGTATATTGGGTGGAGGTAACGTAAGTCGTTTACCGAGGACTGAGCCCATCGTGAAGTACTAATACAGGCTCACATAGCCGACCATGGGTGGTTTACATGGAATGATGATTGACTATGTTCTTTCCGTCCGTTTGATCACTTCCGAGGGGAGACCAGTAGAAGTCAGTCCCGCATCGACTGGCAAAAATCTCGCACTGTTCAATGCCCTGTGCGGAGCAGGCAACGGACTTGGTGTGATCACCTCAGTGGTAATGAGGATATTCCCCCTAAGTAATCTTCAACTGTCGGAGCATGGGGTTTGGACCCGCAGACTCATCTTTCCAGAGTCGGCAATTGATCTTGCGGCCAGCGTGTTTGACAAACTACAGCGTCCTCCACCACCTATGGTTGTAGCTATGGTTTTCGCAAGAGCGCCACCAAATGCGTTTAGGCCAGGTGCACCAATTATTATTCTCACAGTGACCTATTATGGGGCTTTGGATCGTGCGGAAGCGACCGTCCCAGTCTTATTCGATGAGGAAACCGTCGCTAAAGCTATCAGTGCACAAACAGTACTGATACCACTGTCCGAAGTAAACGATAACCTTGCACACTTTGACGTGCACGGTGGATTCAAAGATATTCAATCCGCTTGGGTTAAGGAGACCCATTCAGAGACCATCGTGACCGCATTTGGAAAATGGCTTGATTTCACCACAGAATACGAGGATGCAAGGCGTACCACCGTAGTCTTGAGTAGCTTCAACACTCAAAAACAAATTGAGATCAGCAACACAGCGGAAGGACGGGCGAGATACTGCAGTCACCGTGACAGAGGAACTCAAGCATTGATCATCAGTTGGTTCACGGAACAAAGTACCAATTCGGCTGCAGCAAATTTCGCCAAAGTAATCAAAGCCTTGTACAGGCATGATAGATCGGCTTCAGAACTACCGCGGACCATTCTGAACAACCTTGGCCCCGACACCAAACCGGCTGAGTTGCACCCTGAGGGCCGAGTCAGACAGTTAAAGAAATTAGCCAGTGTTTGGGATCCTAGTGGTCTTTTCTGGAAGCCATGGGACTAGGAGTCATCTTCATTTTCTTATCTGGCTTCAATTAAGTGGAATTAGATTGTGCAGTCTCGAAGACAAAATTAAGAAGAAATAGGTGCCATACCTAACTTCGCTTTACTTGCAGCACACTGGCTTTCTATTCTTTAGTACAGCCAAGTTCATGTGAAATACGTAGCAACTTTCAATTATCCTTTCAAAAAAAAAAAAAAGATAAAAGGGGAAACAGAAAAATAACAGGTAATTCTGCGTTGCGATTTATCGTAACGTATGGGCAGCATAATCCACGAAAGCATGGCGGTCAGGCGAGCGGGGTTAGGGCCAATGGGGGCGCGAGAAACGACATTAAGGCTACCATCTACACATACCCATTATTCGATTATAATAAGAGGCTCGATCGCTTCGTTATACTATTCGGTCGCCGCATTCGGCTCAGTGCTAGCCAGAATTCTCTGGTCCTCCCGTGGGTCTGTCAGTACTTACCTGACGCGCCACTGTGCAACGCTTCCCACTCCAATATGTGGCTGTATATATCGGATTTTAGGCCATGGTCGCGACTTGCCCTATAGGCTGCCGTCGCTTTATGAGGGCGGTCAGGGTCATACTCAGTGAGCCCTCAGACTAGGCTTTGTGCACGCGAGCAAAGACAAGCTCGTGCAGAGTTTGTGCCCCAACCAGAAGGGAATCCTTAAATTCCCACCAAGGTGCAAAGAGTTTCAGGTATAGACACCAGAAGAAGAAACTGGTGAGTGAAGGAGACTCCGAAAGAGACATTGATGAATTAGACTCGCTAGATTAGAAGAAATGTGGGGGATAGTTATCACATGGGGCTGGGGGCCTGGCTTTGACTTTTATTACTAGCCCAACATGGTATTTGCATGTCAATGATATTGTACCTCTTTTTTCTCTTTTCACATTTTATATGTTGAACGGAGATATACTGAAAACATTAATAAAGTATAAAATTAGAAAGCTACAACCTCTAGATATATTCATGAATGACGCAGGTGGAAGAGATTCAAAGCCACTTAATTTGCGACAAACCTGGAAAATCTTCCGATGACGTCGGTTCTGTTCATAGTGTATTTTTGTTAAATTAGGAAAATTTCTCCATTCTTTTTTTTTCTCTAAGAGTTATAAACACTTGAGAAAATGAGGTCTACTATTTCGCGTGCCTTTGTACAGGCTTCTCTTCTCTCGTTTGCCTCTGCTTCTCCCGTTCCAACTGCTTTCGCTAATGCTGCCCCAGCCGATCCCGTCATTACAGCTTCCCCGGTCCAGCATAATCCTTCCCCGGTCGTTGCCCGAAACTTCTTGAGCGACGTAGAATCTGATGTTGATAATGTGCTTTCGGGGCTTGGGTCGGATCTACCCTCATGGGTCGCCTCGGGGGTACCCAATTTCTTCCAGGGTTTCCCCACTGGAGACGCAGTTGCGAGCTCCCTCGGTTTGAACGATGACGATTTGGCAGCACTACCAACCAATGTGTTGAACATTGACCCTTACGCCAATTGGACCAATTCGGGCTGGAACGTTCGGTTCCATGGAAATGTCTACAAACAGCCAAACACGTCGGTCTCAACCTTGAACAAGCTCGCCGATGTCTTTCTAGTCAACACGAGTATTTCGGATCTTCCAAAGTCCCAGGCAGATCAGGCACGTAATCTGACAGCTGAGATCTTTGTTGTTCAGCAGAAAGAAGTTGCTGTGAACACGATTTATCTTCAGCCTGCTGCTGGCCAGGGATCAAGCGGACAGCCCGGTGGCGGTGGGTCATCAAACACGACTGGTGGCACCCAGGATGTTACGTTGCCCTATAACACAACGGTCGAAGGTGACTTCGACACCTTTGTGCCAATCGCTAGTAAGGGCCTCACCGCAGGAAATGAGACCTCGGCAATCCAGAGACTTGACGTTCATGTCAAGGACGCAACCATTGGAAATAGCACCGCATATCTTGTACCTCCTGTTGGAATTACCATTGTCTCCGACATTGACGACATTCTGCGTATCACCAAGATCTACGAGCCGGAGCAAGGATTGATCAATTCTTTTGCTCGTCCATTCACAGCTTGGGAGAATATGCCTGACGTTTACCGCAACTGGTCTACCAGCCTGCCAGACCTGCATTTCCACTATCTTGTAAGTCCCTTTTCCTTACCCGCCTTTTTTCTGAAGACTAACAGTCGTCTCAGACTACCACTCCCGAGCAAATCACGAGGAACTACATGGATTTCATTTACGCCAACTACCCCGGCGGCTCCTTCGACACACGCCCTCTTAACTTTAGCGATGTCTCCGCCACCCTCTCGATCCGCAAGTTCTTATTGCAAAAGGTCTTCGAAACTTTCCCTGAACGCAAGTTTGTCCTGGTGGCAGACACCAGCAACAGTGATGTCATGCGCGATTACCCTGAAATGGCAACCGAATTCCCTGGACAGGTCCAGTGCATATTACTTCGCAACACCTCCGCAACCGATTCGGGCGATGAATTCCCGTATGACACTTCTGGATTCAAGGACCTCAACCAGTCAAACTACATGTTTTTTGTGCACTCGGATGATCTAACTAACTTGGATCTCGCGAATGGAGACTGTTACAACCAGTCCATCCCCCAAAATTTGACATTTAGCTACCAGGGACTACCAGGTGACTTAGGAGCTACCCCAACATCAGTCAATGGTTCCGCAAATCACACTGGAGCCGCGAGTGGACTATTGAAGGAGTCGGCCAGTGCAAAAAGCCTTGCGGCTTTGGTCGCGGTGCTGGCTACGGCCACTTTTATGTTCTTGTAGAATCATGTAGACATGATTAATGTTATGTACATCCAAGAAAATCTACGTCAACTGAGACATCTATCACCAAGCCTTCACATAAAACAGATCGTGCATAACCGAAGGAATGAATTTGTGGTGATTTGTTGAACTAGAAAGCTATGAACACGCAGTCCTGGAGGTGCCCATTGGGCTGATGGAGCATATGTCGCTACCTCTAGATTAGACATCAATGTGCCATGTGTGACGTCACTTTGCTGCCAGATTTCAGCGTATTTCGTTTTGTACTCCGTAGAAGATATTCATACCTCACATGTGTACATATGCATGCATGAGCTAGTTTTTCATGGAAACTAGGCCTATTATCACCAAAGCGTTGGGACCCTCCATTATTTAACCTGAAGCTGCGTAGCATTCTGTGAGGACGGTGCGTGTCCTGGCAAGTGTAATCCGGGCAATAGAGTCTCTACATGAATATTGTATTCTGGAAACGTAGCAAAAACTAATCGCTGGCCTCTCTATGTGAGGTCAGCTAAGGAAACTAAATATATGGTGCGCTTACTAACGTTTAGTAGGCGAGTCGATATCTCTCATACAGCATAGTACTACATAAAGGCTTCACAGTGTGAGCCTTAGGCATGATAGGATTGTGGTCCTGAAAAGTGGCGTGGCGCGAGAATAGTAAAACCAGTATTATACTAGAAAAGGCACAGTGGTCCAAAGTATAAAGTAGAATCAATGTAAAAAACAGCATGTTATTTTGATGACAGAGCAGCTTTATGATTGAAATCATGCAAAACTTGGATCGAGTTAGGCCCAAATTGGGTTTTACTGGCGCCCCAGTATTGGGTGCGGCTTGGGTCTAGGTAAATGAATTCTGACCCGAACCCAGGCTGGGTTAGGTTCTGGATCGGAACCTTTGACCCAAATTGGGTTATGCGGAAGCCTATGGAATATACAATTTTAACGGTCACCCTGAATGAGATAAAACAGTACCTATATATCCTACAGAAAAGCGCTGCAAATTTATCTCTAAGAACTGAATACCTTCTTGGCTTCCGCTAAATGAAGTTGTAAATCGAGGTCCCACACCCAATGTATCCGACCTTCCAAATCTGCTTCCACATCGTCGCCAACCCCCTGCTTTTGGAACCCATAGAAACATCCTGCGTCTCTGCTAGTAGTGACTAGCTTTTGAGTCCTTTCATGTCCCACCGTATCGTAAGCCATGAATGCCCTCTCCATCTGCGACTTTTCTCTAACATCGGCTAGTAAATGACTCAGAACGAGGGCGTCCTCGATTTCAATGCCTGCACCAGACCCTTGATGTAGAGTACTGGAATGTGCAGCAATGCCCAGCAAACAGATCCTACTTTTTTGGTAGTAGGTGCTTGCTGGAGGTGATCGAATAGAGCCCAGATGTCTGTCTTGGACATCACATCGTTTCCCCAAGCCTCAAAGTCTTGAATCATGGATTCCTTGTCGCCTGGTAGAACCCATTGCGACCATGGTCCCATTTTCCGTCTTTCTTAGTCCGAAAAGCAACAACATTCATGATTTTCGCATGTTCGATTGGGAACATGAGGACATGTCCACCATAACCCCAGTAGAACTGGGCATTCTTCGCTGGCCACTTTCCTAGGGCTGCCATATCCTTATCCATGAGGATCAAGCCTCGACAAGCCTACGTACTTTCCAGTGAGACTGCATCTGCACTTGCTTCGGCTGGAAGCAAAATTTAGCGCACTCTGGATTTGATTCCGTCGCAGCCGATCACAGCATCAGCGCTTGCCCTCGTCCCCCCTCAAACATTAGCGTGACGGTTTCCGAGTCGGTGTCCTCAACTAGATCAACAAGCTTCTTACCGAAGCTCACGTACCCATCAGGGAGGATGTCTGTCATCGCTTCCAAGAAGCGTGCTCGATGAACACTGCTTCTTTCGATCGAACCCCGAACTTCATGGATATGATCCGCAGCCTTGAGATTGTTCTTTCCTTTCCATCTATTCCCATTGATTAGTTCGACCATACCTTCCTGTTCTGAGCAGAGTCATCAGGATGAAACGTAGCATGCTTCTGATAGGCGGCGGCGATGCCTAGCTTGAGCAACTCCATGGCCCTGATTGAGTTCGAGCCAAATGTCACGCTAGCACCTATCTCGCCGAATACAGGGGCTGTTTCGTAGAGATAAGGGTAGATATGCCCTCCAGAGGTGTGCTCAAGAAGACCCAGAAGAAAGGTGAGACCGCCAATCCCGCCGCCTACAATGGCGATGCGAGGAGGACTGGTCGGGAATGAGGATGCCGGGACAGCCATTGTGTTAATCACGTTCCTTGGCTTGAAAGCGCAATTATTTCGCAAATCTGAGATACTTTAGGTGAGTTGGCAGCTTAGACATCGCTTTCGATGGTCGAGTGAAAGGTCTCCTCCCATCGCCCCTTAATACCCGCGAGAGAATAATACCCATGTACGGGTAACCGGTGACTCATCCATGAATTGGGAAGTGCCAAGATGCACAAAACTGCTGGGTGTATGTCTCGGACAGACTCGGCCCTCTGCGAGTCAGGGTCTAATCTGGAAGGGAAAAATTATATAAATTGGGATATTGAAGGGTACCTGCGGATTTAGCCCCGAAACCCGCGGGCTTAGAGAGCTGTGGAGAAGTTATTTGTAGCATTGGTACCCACCGTAGAGATTACTCGTGATCTCGGTTGGATTCGGGGAGATAGCCTCGCCTGGACTCGGAGTTGCTTTCCGGCAAGACGAAGATTATATACAGTTCGGAAAGGGGGAATCATGCACATTTACGGAAGATGCTAGTCCGATAGCTCATAGTCACACGACGTTAAAGTATAAATGCCACGATTTCCCCATATTATTAGGAATCGATCTATATTCGGACGCAAACACATACGATGGGATCGATTTCTGTACCAGATTTCCACATTGCTATTATTGGTGGTGGAATCGGTGGACTCACAACAGCCCTATCCCTAGCCCACCACTGCTCTAGAATCAGCATCTCGGTCTACGAGCAGGCACCTGTATACAGGGAGGTTGGAGCTGGTATTGGCATTGGTGTCAATGCGACCAGAATCCTGCACCGGATTGGGGTTGGACCAGCGGTGAATGATATCTCAGGCGAGCGCGATGGTATCCATCGAAGTAATCGACGATTCGATAATGGTGGCGAAATCGTGACAATTGAGGCCATGGACGATACAGCCTACCCAGCGATGCGACAGTTGTCGGTGCATCGGGCGGAGTTCTTGGACGTGTTGCTCAAGGCGGTCCACGAAATGAAAATCGCGAGCTTGCATACAAATAAGAGGGCAGTCAGAGTTGAGGTTGGAATGCATAATTTTTAGCAGAATGGTACTGATCTGCTAACCTAAAATTCCCAGGAAGCAAATGAGAATGAAGCTATAATAACCTTTCAAGACAGCACCACCGCGACTGCCAACCTTGTTATCAGTGCAGACGGCATCCACTCTGCTATTCGTTCCAGCTTAGGGCCCAACGATTCACCTCATTACGCCGGGCAAATCGCCTATCGTGGTCTTCTCCCTTTGTCCTCTGTGGCACCTACTTGGCCCTTCTCCTCATATGCTATATCATGGGTTGGACCCAACAAGCATTTCCTCGTATTCCCGATCTCGCAAAACAAGACGCTGAACGTGGTAGCTTTTGTTTGTAAGGCGGAACAAGATCTGGGCGATCTCACAGAGAGCTGGACGAGCTTGGTGGATAAGAGTGAACTGGAGGCAGAGTTTGCGGGCTGGCATTCGACTCTTTTGCATTTGATAGGGCAGATGAACCAGCAAGTAGGCAAGTGGAAGATAAACGACAGAGATCCATTAGAAAAATGGGTGTATCTGAATGGAAAGGTCGCTCTTTTGGGAGATGCGGCGCACGCGATGCTACCTCATCAAGGTGCGTATATTACCCACTGCTCATAACTCTCTGTAGTCGATCAACTAAGTGTATTGTTTCAGGGTCTGGGGCTGGCCACGCAATCGAAGACGGATACGTGCTTAGTCTGGCTTTGAAAGATTACCTCCAGGCTCGGTCTCAATCCGAGGAGGCCACGCTGTCAACATGGACCCAGCTATACCAAGATTTTCGTCTGCCAAGAGCACAGCGATCGCAGAATACTTCGCGTCAGGCGGGAGAAACCTTGAAAATGCAAGGCCCGGACTTTGAAGGTCTGTCCTATGAAGACTGCCTACCGGTGCTAAAACGTAAATTAAAAGGACGGATGAAGTGGGTGTGGTCAGCCGATATCGATGCCGAATACCACGACGCCGCAGAAAAGGCAGGACTGAGAAGATAAATGCCAGATACTATGGACATATCTATTATACATGGCTTATGATATAGAGAGTGTCGGCGCGGCCAGGCTTCATTGCATTATTTATTATAAATCGTCTCTGGGTCATATGATCGTACACTCGGGCCAAGAAGACCTTCATGTCAGCCGCCGAGTAAACAATTGACCATAACGATAGTCTTAAAATAACAATTATCAATTGGGGCCGGAGATCATCACCGGAGCGTGCAAGTTTCTCCCGGAAAGCGCTTCCGTAAAACGGGGAGATCGACCCCGCCTGGGGACTTTAGATAATAACTTTTCCGGAGATGTCCTTCCAAAGGAGCGTGTCCGATAGACTGCCTGATATCTGAATTGCAGGATAGCTTGTTACAAGAAGGGGTTATCAGGAAGCGTATGCAGATGGCATATCCTTGCACAATGGTGAGTCCGAGTGAACTCGTCTTGAAACACTGCAGAAGCTTTCTCTAGCCGGTCGTGCGCATACGTTCCAATCAAAAACCCCAATGTTGGGACTTGTTATTGGAGTTCGTCGCGTGTTCGGACTGTCTCTCGGAGCCATAGTGCGGAAATTTCTATCCCCTAATTAGGCCTGGCACTTGCTCGTTTCTTTGGGGTATTTAGTTGGCTCTCCCCTACGGTTTTCTTCCTCGACCTATACTCCATTCCATAATTGTGCGCTCTGCCTTATCGGAGGTCTTATCGTCCTTCTTTCTCAGGGTGCAAGATGGCCGACTCGGAGGTGGTGTATACTAAGCCGGAAGCTATTGAAGCAGAAAGTGTACATTGGGCTGCTCCAGGTTTGAAAACAGACCCGCATGGGTTTTCACTGCATCCACAGCCATCAAATGATCCTCATGGTAAATCAATCGGATGAATATGGTTTTTGCAATTTGGCAACTGACTGTCTAGATCCTCTTAACTGGAGCCCGGGGCTCAAACTCTGGATCCTCTTTCAAGTCTCGATGCTATCCATGCTAAGTCCATTCACACAAGCAATCATTGTAGGAAATCCCGTCCCAACACTGTTGGTGGACATTGTTCCTGATATGCGATCACAGAATTCCGCGTATGGGGAAGTCTCTGAAGCTTTCCACATCAGCATCCAAGAAGCTTCATATGCCCTCACCGTTGCCATCATCACGTCTGGTGTCTTCCCCCTCATTTGGTCTCCACTCTCAAATATATATGGCCGACGCCCCGTTTTCGTGTTTGTATCAATCTTAGGCATTGTTGGCCATGCGGCGTCAGGTGCGGCTAAGTCATGGGCGGGGATTTTGGCATCCAGGGCAATTATGGGGATTGGAACTAGTGCAGGATCTGGGATCGGGCTTGCAGTAGTGGCAGATATGTATTTCATGCATGAGCGTGGAAGGTAAAAATGCTTGTTCATCGAAAACTCGACAAGTTGCTAATTATGCAAGGTTAATAGATACACCGGATATTACGTTCTCTTGTGACTTGCCCCTTCTTTTATTGCCATTCTGTTCTGATTTTTTCTTGAGCTGATTGCGATAACGTTTCATGGCAGTCTTCAAAACGGCGCTCATCTTGCGGGCGTCATTGGCGGCTTTGTCTCTAATGCTTGGGGATGGCGCTGGTGCTTCTGGTTACCTACAATAATCTGGGCGGTTAACTGGGTCGTCAACGTCTTCTGCCTCCCCGAGACTCTATACTACCGACAACACAACGCTATTATCACCGCTGATCGAGGAGAAGAAACAAAGTCAGACCCCTGGCTTAGGCTCTTTACTTTTAATAGCTCATCAGTCGGTCGACGAAGACTCGTCATGGGTGATTTCCTGCACGTCGTTAGAATGCTACGATATCCTAGTGTCCTCTTTCCAACGATATACTATAGTGTTTCCTTTGGAATTGGCACTGTCATGTTTGCGGTTACTGGGGCTGCCGTTTTTGGGAGTATCTATCACTTCGACACTGCACAGATTGGAATGATTATTGGTTTACCGACACTGATCGGTTCAATAATCGGCGAAGTCTGTGCTGGTCCAGTGTCTGATTGGGCTTTGTATATCAAGACCAAACGTGACCGTGGTATTTCTACTCCCGAAGCCCGATTGCAGGCTACATGGCCAGGTTTCCTCCTCATGCCAATTGGTGTGATTATTGAAGGAGTATGTTTACAATTTCATACGCATTGGATGGGTCCCGCAATGGGAATGGCGATAGCATTGTTTGGGCTGCAGATTGTGAGCACGAACATCTTTGCGTATATGATGGATGTGAGTTACCACCCCGTCCGCGCCCCACAGAGGGGAATACGGAACCCAACATGAATTGTATCGGCTTGCCGGTCAGGAGGATAACCATTAATCGTATTATTTAGTGCTATAAACCCCAATCCGCTGAACTGAGTACTATCCTCAATTTCGGCCGACAAGTATTCTCGTTTACATTGGGTTTCTACATGGTGTGTACTTCCTTCTCTGTGCCCAATTTGGTTCAAGCTAATCACATATCCACGTTAGCTCCCATTCGCGCATGCAACGAACTATGGTATCGCATGGGCAGTCGTGTCTCTGGCTAATATGTCGCTGTTTGCTGGTGTTGTCGCCCTGATGTGGAAGGGAAAGGAGTGGAGGGAGAAGCTGGGCCCTCCAGAGTTCGATGAATGTATTTGACCGTGAAGCCCTGGCGAAGCGTGTGTTGTGACATGATTGTTATTTGAATGGATTGTTAGCTTCTGGGAACTTGGTAATATTGAGATGAAAATATGGACGTAATACTATCAGGCGCGCACCACCGACCTGACATCTATTATGGAGTAGCGATTTCGATTTAGTCGCCCCCTGATAGAGCCGCCGTTCCCAACCACCCGGTGCCTTAAGCAATGCCAACTGGGGCCCGGCAGAATCGCGACGCCCTCTGATTAGTCCATAGCGTGTGCAGAGCGAACGAACCAAGTACCACTGTGACTACCACATTATTTAGTAGATTTAGCTGCCTAAATCCTGGAAGTTTTGAGCACCGTATTGACAGTCCCACCAATACTCCACTTGTCACAGATTTTTCTAGCAATACGTTGCCCGCTGATATATGCCCCTGTCGTTGTCGCTATCAACCCGGTTGGCGCCGTATGTTCTCCCGCTATCCAGATCCCCTTACTCTCACCGAGACCAGCAGAGTTACGCATAACTTCCACATCCTCAGCCGCGTTAGTTACACCTTTCCGGAAATGAGTATATGATCCATTCCCCGCAAGTGGATCACGCTGCCACGCTGTGCACATGCACGAGACTGGTCTGCATGAGGCGTTCTCTTTATAGTAATTCGGCATCCGAGAGTAGTGTGGCTGTGCGAATGCATCGACGCATTTATTATATGCATCTGATTGCAAACCGAGATGTTCGAGATATTTGAGAAGCTGAGCTGAGCAGGGCCCGTAGATGTAGAACATAAGCGTGGGATGAGCAGTGCCCCTCGGTAAGTGAGCCAGAGAAATTATAACCGCATTACAGGGTGCATCTGACGCGTGAGAAACGTAATCTGGGTTATGGAAATGAGTGAAGACCGGACAGCCACCTTTTAGCCAGAATGCCTCCGGAAAAGTAAGGTATATCTTATCTAGGCAACCATAGCTGTGCAAAGGTGTAAGATTGTGTGATTCTTCTGTGGGAGAGACATCGGTTACATACTTGATATTATTAATCGCCTGGAGTAATCGTGGGTGCAGAGCTGGAGTGAATACTTTTTGAGCATTCACCTTGAGCCACCCCAGAGGACAAGTAACAACCACTTCATCAAATGCGGCTTCTTCGCCGTCATCAGTCTTGATGGTGGTGCGCGAGCCTGCGGCAGTTTCCTTGGAGTTCTTGGAGATTACATGCGTGACTTTGGCACCGAGACGTATGACCTTATGTTTGAGCGCTCTCTGGCTGATGAAGGCAAGAATGTCTTTGTATGTGCTCGCAACGAAAAGATCCGTGCCTCCCTAACTTCCTCTATGCTAAGGAACTTTAGGCTCTGCTCATCGATATGCACGCCAACCAGTTGTCCCCATCGATTACCCTCGTTCAGTAAATCTTCTGATATTTTGGGATCATTGTGGAATTCATTGGTGACTTCTTCCCGGAAAAAGTCCCCCAAGCTCCTATCTGGATCAATCTTACTTGAATACTGCAGGCTGTAGCTGTGAGCTTTGTCGAGAATTTACACTCGCTTCTTGTGCAGTAGTGAGGCCAGCGCGTCTGATCTCCGTTGTCCATCAGATCCAATGACTGCTTGCCCGCTTGGTCGGTTCATGATGGTAGCCCCAACTTGCTCAGCAATTCTTAAAATAGGATTCTCATTAGAAGGACTATGAATCCAGTTTGCTCCGAAGTCCACAAGGTAGCTTGCTAAATTGACTTGGCGGACTCTTCCGCCAATCTGGTCGCGAGCTTCAAATATAGTCACATTAACTCCGCTCTGCAGAAGTATATCTGCGCATCTCAGCCCTGATATGCCGGCCCCTATGACGGCCACCTTCACCTCCGGCCTGGCTCGACGGTTCGTTGGAAATGATGAATCCATCAATGATTTGAGAGTCTTTTCAATGGATGTATATAACAAAAGCCTTCGACATCCACAATCTCCGTTTGAAGTCAAGTAAAGTTAGTATCGTGAATCCATATTTATAGCGAGAAAGGACTTACTAGCTAGCGTGCGTCTGAATTTAGCGTGCGAGGGAATGTGAGATGTCTACTCTGTATTTCACCCCTTGTCGTCTTGTCTCTCCTTTTTTGGAATTGATATGAAATGACTAGGTTCCATTCGTCGTTAATAACAGCCACTAAGTTCAGAAGGAGCTTGTTGATGTGGTCTTACTGGTCAGCATAAAGGTATAAGCCAAACCTAGTCTGGTAACTCTAACCAGGGGAAAGTTATTGGCTGTCCGTACAGTTGAATGGCAGCTTACAGATCCGGATACAAAATGCCTCGTTACTGCCGAGTAAGGCGCGTTGCTGACTTGACGTTTGGAAATACGTGGTGACTCTTATAGAGAATTTGTGACTCTCAAAGGAAACTAAGTATTGATCCTAGTAATCAATCCATATCGAGACTGCTCCGTATAGCTGCACAGAGGATGTTCTACAAAGTCACCTAGATTAGGAACTAGATTACCCCGCATTTTCCGCGTAGTGGATCCGGATCACAACCCAAACCTCAACGACCGGGGAGATAAACAGGCCGAAAAGTGAGTTCGTATTCTTACCCCCGCACTTGAGGAGCTAACACTCCTGAGTATTAGTTCTTGAGGGAGCCTGTCGCCCAATGAATGACTTGTAAAAAAATTCCTGTGGCCCAAATCAAAGATCCAGTTCTGTAAAGCCATGGAATCCAACAAAGACAATGAATTCCACCCGCATGCGGGAGGAATGTCCACTATTGAGAAAGTTGAAGTCACTGGCCAGGATGTCGATGAAGCTCTCCTCTTCTTGAACGAAGCACCTGCCGGTGAGTTAATACACGTCGACGATAAAAAGCTGATGCGCCGAGTTGATCGGATGTTGATGCCGTTGATGTTTGCCTGTTACTACCTGCAGTATTGCGATAAAACACTGCGTATGTATGCCAACAGGGAGACTGTCGCCAGATTGATACTGACTGCTAACTAGTGTCAAACGCTGGAATAATGGGCATTATCAAGGACACCGATATGCCAGCCAACGGCTTTTCGAACTTGGCCATGGCTTTCTACCTTTCCTTTTTGGTCTCTGAACCCATTCAATCATTCTTGCTGCAAAGATTCCCTGCGGCTAAGTTCCTTGGAGTGAACGGTTGGTGAGCCGAAGACCTCCTGTGGAATTGAGCTGATGCAGGTAGTTAGTTGTTCTCTGGGGTATAGTCATCACGATGAACTGCGTGTGCCATAATTATGCCTCATTGGTCGCGCTTCGGGTTTTACTTGGGATATTTGAAGCAGTCACCGCGCCAAGGTAGAGCGATATTTTCTAGCGACCAGTGGAAGAGCTGACTTTTTCTCATAGTCTTGTAATCATCACCGGTATGTGGTATAAACGGGATGAGCAAGTCTCCCGGATGGGGTGGTGGTATCAAGGTACATCTGTAGCGCCCATGGTGACAGCTCTTATTTCCTATGGTTTTGGACATTGGACTCAGTCGGATCCAAACTTGAAATTCAAGTCTTGGCAGATCCTTTTTCTTCTCTTTGGCGTTATTACGATCGTCATTGGCATCCTGACCTTTCTATTCCTTCCCGATAATCCTATGAAAAGCCGATTGAGAAGAGAGGAGAAAATCCATATTATCGAACGAGTGCGCGAAAACCAAACGGGTATTGAGAATAAGAAATTCAAATGGACGCAGTTTATTGAGGCGGTGACAGACATAAAGACGTGGCTCTTAAGTCTGATTGTGATCACAACGAATGTACCCAACGGCGCAGTGAGCTCATTCTCAAACATCATTACTGAAAAGTGAGCCTCCATTCATATCTCATTCTAGGTTTAGGCTGACATTTACTTCCAAGTTTTGGTTATGATGAATACACATCGCTTTTACTTAGCCTACCAGGATGTGCAGTTGCTTTTATTTCCGTCTGGCTGGGCTGCTGGTATGCTGGCCAGTTTAATGCCCGAGGACTCTCCATCATTGCGCTTATCATTCCAACGTTATTGGGCGGTGCTCTAATGGCGTGGCTTCCTGCAACCAACAAAGCCGGTCTGCTCGTTGGAAACTTCTTGACCAACACTGTGGGCTCAAGTGAGTATAGCGTAAGGGATGAGTTGTTTTTAGCTGACTTGGAGATAGCCATGCCTATGATATATAGCTGGATTACTGCAAACTGTCAGTATATACTGTCCTTTTGATGCCTATGTAACAGTACTAATAAAAATATCTTATAGTCGCAGGTCACACTAAGAAACTCACGATGAACGCCCTTGTTTTGATGTCTTTCTGTATCGGCAACGTCATTGGGCCTGAGACATTCCAAGCTAAGGACGCACCACAATATATTCCTGCCAAGATTACCATTGTTGCCATATTATCTTTTGGGATTCTCTTCACAGCGGCCCTAGATTTGCTTTACATGTGGGAAAACAGAAAGAGAGATAATGAGCCCGCTCCCGACTTGCCGCCGAATTTTGAACTCATGGATCTTACTGATAAGCAGAATCGAAATTTTAGGTATCTACTTTAGGGTCGGATTGCAAGATGAAGTCATCAGTGGAGGGTATAAATCACGATCAGAAGTTACATTAAGGGTCGGTGAACTTCTTATTATGACAGCATAGCACGTCGATGGTCGAGGAAAGTTGATTATCACAAGTAGGACTGATTGTGAGAGTCCGGTTCAACGAAGAAGAAGTGACATTCTACAAGAGTCTTCAAACTGGAAAGAGAAGAGAAGAAAAGAAAAAGAAAGAAAAGCAGGCAAACAATGCAAATGAGATCACGTGTTCGGGTTTTTCTATTGGTGAACCAGGGGGCAGCCCAACTAACGTAATCGGTAGAGTTAACTTTACAGAGGTCATATAGGAAGTATCCCCGATGATATAAAGATACCCCTGCTGCCCTCAACGGAGTAAGTATTAGATTGTGATGGAACAGTATGCGCTACACGCCGAAGCCTGGTCGGGCAACCATTGTTGCATTCGTTCTAATCGTTGAATCTCACCAAATGTCCATACGTAAAGCCACACAAAAGGGAAGGCTCAACGGTCGAAATCAGATTGTGAGAACAGAATATATGGCTCTGAAATTTCTTTCATGTACAGTATATCAGTCAGATTGGTCAGGGGGTGCCTAAACAGTCGGAACGACAGGATCCGTAATGATCCGACACCTCACTCATAGGATCTAATTCGGGGATTCAAGTCAGGAGCCTCTGCCATCTTCCCTTAAAACAGCTACAAAGACCCGAGCGACAAATTTTCGAAGTGGATCGAGTCATGGTGACGGACAGATTGTCTCTTTTCTCTACAAATATTCTCTACACCTAGTACTTGAATGCACTAACTAATAGAGTAATCATATTTGCTTTCTGTGACTGACCATAGCACCTATATTTCATATGAACGGAAAAATGTCCGTGGAAGAATCTGAAACTGAGTTCAGGTCCAGTATGGAGTATAGCTTTTAAGCTGATTTCACTGGCACTTGGACACACCTAAACGGTTCGCTGTTAGGGCGATAGGTTATTGCCTGCGATCGGCACGAAAATTCGGATGATTTGCTCGATGAAGGGTGCTTCCAACAATTTCAGACAAGAGTCTCTCGAAGGAAAGCCCACTTATCTTCGCCGTCGCTGGTAATGGTGAATGATCTGGAAGAAGGCCAGCAATAGGATTCACCTGAAAGACCCATTAAGTCATTTTGCATTTCGATACAATGAGGGTTGTTTAGCACTGACTTCTAAGACATTCGGAATGGAACCTTGTCTGTCTGAACTCAAGCGGATGTCGACACGCCCACAATCTCGGCATTTGAAAATTTTCCAAGCTTCTAAAGCGACCTGACAGGCAGCCTTGATTTGAGGTTCAGTCTTGTCGTGCGAGTCATTATATACTAACCTCTTACCTCCCTTACTGGACTTGCTGTGTACGCAAGCGAAGTCCAGCGATGGATTTAAGCGGTCATCATTGTTATTGCTGTGATTGGGAGACATTCGCCAGATATGTTCTCTGATGCCAATAACCTGGCTATGTGATCCGGTCCCCAATATGCTCACTGTAAATTCCCTGCCCGACAAGAATGATTCTACAAGAATATCTTGGTCTGGAAATTTGGATCCCAATTCTTGTACTGCTGTTTCCAATTCCGCTAAATCATTCACTTTGTTGAGATTATCGATTCCTTTCGAGGATCCTTCGCTGACCGGCTTAATAAATAGTGGATAAGCTGGCAGCGCTGCGCAAGATTCAGAAATGTTCGCCCTCCCCTCTAGCACGGGAATTAAGGCAAAAGGCGCGTTAGGAATCTTGTAACGTTCTAAAATAGTCTGTTGTCATGTTTTGATTAGCTCCATTGAGAGAGCTGAGGTTCTGTCATGGTACCTTTGTGACAGCTTTGTTCTGGCATAATGTCATTGTCGCGGCGTCGCTGAATGTATAAGGAACTTGATACGCTTCCAATATCGCCGGGACTTGTGCCTCTCTCGCAGATCCGTGGAGGCCTTGTGCCATGTTGAAAACTAGATCCCAGCCCTTATGCTTCCCTGCCGCTAGTAGCTGGACCAGGGATTGTATGCCAGACACCAGCGTGACATGGTAGCCCAGACTCTCGAGTGTAGCCAAGACAGCCTCAATTTCACCTTCGTGTGGCAGTGCCGCGCACTGCTCTTCCGAATAACCGAGCTTTAGATAGGTCGATTTTTCTTCCGAGACCAGAGCTATGTTGAGGCAAGGGATATTTGCTTCCCCCATCATATGACTGAAAACAAACAAGGTAAGTTAATTGCTGCTGGAACAAATCGCTTTATGATTTTAAATTAGTACAGTTACTGCTGAAATCATGGTTGAAGATTGGGATCGAGTGGGTTTTATTCAGCCCATAGTCTGCTGTTTCGAATGCTCAAGACTTGCTTGGGTGGTAGTTCAGAGTAGTCCTGGAAACGTCATCACTTGGATTTCTTGTTTTATCTCACATCCCATCATTACACTGTTTTATGTCATAATGTGACGAGGTGACTTGGATACTGACTGATATGTAAATTTTGTTAGGCAAATTAACTCGATGAAAATACCGGCGTTTCATTTCCAGAATTTGACGAACAAGTACCCGTTCCCATCGACCCGGCTCTTCCGATCGAGTCGGAGTTCAATTATGGATCTTCCTGGTTTATATTCTCTCAAAAATGCTCCCGAACAAGTAAAGTTACGCAGTATAGCTTTGGGAAGTACTGCTATCAAAATGCCCCAACTCCACCTTTCATTATCGCTTTCTCTTCCCCGACGGCTCAAACAAGGTTGAGAAGTATTGATCCAAACCAGCCGTGTCTTCCATACTGCCTATCCATGCGATGTGCTGATCCGGCCGACACAGTACAAGACATCCTGTGCCCTCCTTATCAATGCCGTATCCGTTGTAAGCTTGGTCCCTATCATCAGCAAACGTTTTCCAGTAATCCCAGCCCATTATATCATCAAACGGGTGGAACAGTTCTGGAAAATCAAGCAGATTGACGGCGCTCCTAGGGCATGACTGTATGAGAAGCAATTCCACGATAGGGCAGCGCAATTCCGAACTTTGTATGCGTTGTAAGTGGCTGAGGTAAGAGTGTTTGCTGAAATAGTCCGCAAAATTGGCCAAAGCTTTCATCCTCGCTGGCTGGCTTAGATCACCCGGAAACACTAGAACTCTCCACGATCCGTCACTCGCAAGCTTCTGGGCCAGATGCAAAGGCACTCCATCGCAAATTTGAACGACGAGGAAAGACGGTAAACGCATGCCCGGCTTCATATTCCTTGCAAGATTTGAATTATCGTTTTCTTTCCCTTTGGTGATCAAGGTGCTATGACTATACGTCACGTCGACCCCGGCCATGAAACCAGCATACTTCTCGCGGACTTCGTAAATTCCGCTTGAGGTATCGTTTTCCTCTTTCTCATATGCTTGCACCAGACTTTCATCAAGATCCATAAGTTGCTTGGCAACCGGACGCCGTTCACTATCATATGTTTCTAAGATAGAAGGGTCCGCGCCATTTGTAATAACTGCCCCCAGTTTCCATATCAGGTTATATGAATCTTGAATAGAAACATTCATGCCCTGCCCTCCCTTTGGAGAGTGGGTATGTGCGGCATCGCCAGAGAGAAACACACTTGGAGGTTTATAAGTAAATTTTCTGCATCTTATGAGCCTTGCTGCTTACCGCGCATGTGGTCTGTATTGCTTTACTAGGCCTCGACCTATCTATGATTCCATTATCAGCATGGATTCTTATAAGTAGACGTGTAGCCTTACTGAATAGATTGACCACCAGTCACAACGTTTATATGCCAGTCTATACGGCTTCATTAAGCTCTCGGCTATTTCTATCATCGCTGTAGGAGAGCTGCTGGGGTGTTGCATGACTTTTTCTCTCAACTCCCCTCCAAGCTGAATATAGAATCGAACCATTCTGTTCTCTCTGGGTACGGTCATGATACTTCCATGAGGTTGAGAGTGTATCGAGCAGGATTGACGGATATCAGCTGGAATCTCTGGTAAGTTGAGGCCTCACTGGGCAGGGGGAACAACACAAACGGAAATTAGTTATGGGCACTATGTCTAGTACACCCCAAGATGAATCTTCTGACACTGAATCAGTCTGGATATCAAGCTGGTTCCTGACCCAGCTGTGCGCACCATCGCATGCGATGAGATAGCGCGCATGTATGGTTTCTTTCGACGCCAAATAACCAGATTAGCCCAGGCTTCAAATCCACTATTCTTATAGCCAAGAAGCCATGCAATGACTACATACCGTATATTCCCGCACCCCTTACTCCCACAACGACCGGAAACTGTTCCCTTTCGTCAACATCTGCAGGAGAGAGATGGAAATGTTCAGCCATTTTGTGTCTCTCAACGTGAACATTCTTGTCATCTAGAAAGTCAAGAAACACTTGTTCCACGGCCCCTTGGTTGAGCAGTATTTGTCCAAATCTTGACCTTTGCTCAGTTTCTTGTTCGTATCTCCTACGTCGCTCTATTTTGCCCGTTTCGTTGTTTGTTGACTAAACGTCAGCGGCGAACGATGAGTTCAATTGCAATTCTACTACTTACCCAGTGAGACATGTCGATATCATGAATTCCCTGCTTCAATATCGAATCGACGATACCGAAGCTCTCTAGTATCTCTAGAGACCTGCTTTGTATCCCATCGGCATGGCCAGTTTCGGTCCGACCTCCCTTTTGATCAATAATCCGGGTTGACATCTTATGTTGCGCTGCCCAGCATGCAGCTGTGAGGCCTGCTGGCCCTGCTCCAATGATTAACAGATCAACATAAGAAGTGGAAGAACACATTGTAGAACTCGATATGTAAAATTGACTCTACATCATAATGAGTTTCGAGAATTTCAGTGTTGGCCGCTCCAGATCGGCCATAAACCATTCCAGAATTTAGCAACGTCATGATGACCCAGCCTTATTAAATCCTGAGTCTGCGGGAAATCTTCATGTAATATATGCCTTGATTTTCGTGTGGAGAATCTCTGAAGTCTTCAACAATTTCTGACATCATAGTGAGCAACTATCCGATACCGAATACAGTCAGATTACAGTATGTGGCACCAAAATGGACCCATACTCTGTGGAAATGAATACATAATCTCCATTACTTGCTAGCAACCACGGCATAGTTCATAGCAATGTTCAATTTGGTATTCATTTCGTTAATCACCGCAACGATGAAGGGAGTGATCTCATCTACTTGTGCTATGCGGCGCATGCGACTTCCAAATGCGTCAAGTAAGATCAATCGGTCATTAGTTAGCCAAGTCGCGTCTTTATTAACTTATACAGGACTGGCTTCATCCTCATCGAGGCCATTCGGCAGTTCCGCCTCGCTTGGGTAATCATCCAAACTGAAAAATCCAACTTCCAGTTCACCGGAATCACAACACGTTAATGCTTCCCGCGGTCTGGAAGATCGGACTCATGACACTCCCGATACGCGATCCACGCAGTCTGCAGTATCTAAGCGCGATCCATTGAAGGACAGCGAATCACACGAGGGAGAACAACAAACGTCGACAGACGCACAGATAAAAAATGACCCTAGAAAGCCTGCGGAAGCCAAACACGGAATGTTGAGAAGGCGGGCCAGAAACGCATGGGACCTGAGGATTATCAATAGGCTGATTGATCTTTACTCTGTAGCTGTGTAATCTGTCTAAGCTAGGCCTTTTAGTCTGATTCTGAATTACAGTGACATCAATGGTGCATATTTCTATTCCAAATTCAGGAACTCTCTAACCATTTTCTTGTCCTAGCGATCCTATTTTGTATCGCGAAGATCGTAGTACGCCAACTCGGCGGTATGGATCTTCAGCCCTTTGTACGATTGAAGACAGATCTGAATTCAAGGTTACAAGGAATACATCTGAAAATAATGAGCGTGCGTTCAATGAATTTTCAAGATCGATTGATCTATAAAATCTTAAATGACACAAAAGCCTAATAATAATTTAAAACCGTCTTTAAGCTGATAAAATTATGGCGATACTAATATAAACGCCATTTTTTCAGCTCCTCAAAGCCTACTATTATGAGTTCACACCCTCTTATGTACGCTTCACATTTCATCAACTGAACACAAATGTAACAGGAAATACTGTTCTACTGAAGACAATTGTTGAGAACCCGAAGCCCTGCATCTTGTCCCATGGTTTATAGCTACTAATTCAGCGAAGTAATGGCACTTCGTAACCCTTTTTCCTTAGCTTATCTAAACAAAGGATTGTGCCTCTGTTTTGCACGTCAAAACGGATACATGCATCAGCTAAACTGTACAGATAAGGTCACCATAGTCGTATATATCATACAAACAACCCCCATGATAAATATCAGAATATCGCTTCCTTTTGCCCACCGTGACCTCGCGATACCTTTCCAATGCAGATACGCCGGATAAACAAAGATCAATGGAACACATAGAATGGATCCTACCAAAGCAACAAACTGATCTAAGTTCTTGGCGCCCAGTGCTGCAATTATACCACAGAGAAGAACAATACCGGTTCTGAAAATATTTTTCTTCCACTTCGTGTGGTGGCTTCGACGACCAGAGGCGCTGTCAAATAACCTTTCCTCCATGATCCGCAAGGCAGGAAAAAGCTGCACTGGGGTGCCCACAAGCACGGCTAGCGAGAAGGATAACCGGACAAAGTTGACTAACTTATCCGACTGCGGGAAGTTGTCCATGATATTGATCATTGTCTGACTGCCAAATGCTCCGTATGATAAAATCCCGACGGAAGCAAAAAGAAAGGTTATAAGGGCCATGACACTGTAGAGGATGCGATCAAAATGATCTGGTTGTGACATCGAAGATTGTATGGGAAGGATCAGGCCTATTCCCTCAAACATGAATATGGACGACCCAATCGTCAGGGTAAATGTCTTGGTGTCGAAAAGGGTAACTGTGGGCTCGAAACCATGGCGGGAAATCGTCGAAGTATCGTAGTTGTAAATGTATCCAATGGCGAAAAAGATGAAGACATCCGCAACTAATGCCACTAGCCCAAGTCGAGAAATTTTGCGAACTAACGCAAGAGGCACAAGGATGACTAACTGCAGGGCGATGATTGCGGTAATGGACGGCGTACTTATATTGTAGGCCGCAACGCCTTCCACAAATGAACGCAAATTTTCCGCAGTAAAAGCAATAGCAGCGCACACGAATCCAAGCTGCGTAGTTACGACCGAAACGCGAATAAGTGTGCGAAGATGCCACCCGCCAATACATTCTCCAATATCGCCGTACCCACCGCCATACCGTCGCCGGCATTCGAGCAACAAGTGGAAAGAAACGGACGCCAATATTGAGACCGTGAGAAGAGCGATGGGTGAAAAGAGTATGCCGCCGTTGCGGAACGCCTTCGGGAGGAAAACAATGCCTGTTCCTATGAAGGCTTTGAGAAGAGTGAAGAATGTTTTTAAGTCCGAGGCATCCCCTGTAGAGGTTTTAGGCCCTGCAAGCAATGGTCTTCTTTCCGGGTGTTCTTCGCGCCCCGGCGTCCCAGCACTTCCAGCATGTGTCTCCTCTTCCGACTCGTCCAGATCCTCACCAGCAAATCTGCCGTATAATTCCAAAAACTTCACGAAACTACTCGGCGTAACCCGATTCATGAAGGCACGCCTGTTTCGCCCTATGAACTGCCGGCGGAACGCTCCCGGTTTATTGCGGATAGGAATATCGACATCGTTGTCATTGTCTGTTTCCAGCCTGGGGAGGTGCGAAAATGTTGCTGCGCGCTGATCCAATCCGGCCCGCTTCGAGCGAGCTTCAATACGATAGAGGTCACGATGTACATCGCCTCCTAGCAGTTTGAGAGACGATTGTTGGTTATCATCGTGATCCGCAGTTGACCCAGCCCGCACATCAACGATGCCGTCAGGAGCCCCAGTAAATCGAGAGTCCAGATGTCTGGAGATGACTTCTGCTTCCTCCTCGTGAGGGTTGTCTAGGCCTCGTGCATCTACCATTGCGTGCTGGTATATTCACTGAACGTTTCTTTTTGGATCATGATAGGGCGTCGCTAACGAGCGTTTTTTTTTGAAGTGACAGGGGGAAACCCAGCCACCACAACCGGAATTTCAGACATGACGTCATATACACATCGCTAGAGCCTAGAATGAGTGGCGTCCCCGAACCTCTATGCGCGATTTCCAGAACCACATACGAGTATGATATCGCATTGCATCCTTGTTGGCCCACGAAGGCCACCTTTATACCCGGTTTCTGATCAATCCGACTGTGTCTTGTCTCCATGGCCCACGGTGCTCGACTCGCCCAAACAACATGCTACCCCTTTCCTCGTTGCAAGCCAACACCGGCGCTCGCAAAAGCCCCTCGAGGTAATGTCACCGCGGTCGTCCGGGGGCGCGCTGGTGACATTCCCCCCCTCCCCATTGGCCCTAAACCTCCCCAGTGCGTGCCCCCGCCCCTTATACCTCAGTAGCAAAAACATCGGACCCCGATGGAATCGGAACGCGCCCCCATTGGTCCCTCACGATACATCCTTAGTGGTGGTTTTACAGATTTAGGCAACAGAGACTCGTAGGGAGGCTTTGGGTGCGACTCAGTATTTTTCTAAGACTAATCGCTAGCCCCTGAAACTTAGGTACTAATAAGGCTTTTATGTATAGGTTTCTGTCCCTACTCAACTTACGTCGATATATACGATCTATACGTTGTAGCGAGGTAGCGGTTAAGCCTAACTAATTAGGCTAGATAGTCGTAGCATACATTATAGTATAATAGTCCTTATAATTATCCTTCCTCTCTAAAGGATCATGCCCTTATAATCCGAATGAGTACGTCCTTATAAATAGTAAACATATAGAGAGAAGTGGAAGGTACGTCGTACTAAACGTATAGAGGTAGGCGTAAATATAGAGCTAGTTTGCATACGTATGAAAGAGCTATAGTATAAAGTTAAGGGTTATACCGGTTCGAACTATTAGGGGAACAAGGAGTGAGGGTTTGAACACTGGGCGAACAGGGCTGAGATGGGCGAGGCCACCGTGAGGGTCATCGCGAACTGGGTATGTGTGGCTTTGCACACATGGAAGAACTGGCTGTGGGCTGACCCTATTGTAGCGAAACTACATCAACAAAATCCCAAATTTTACTGGTCCCGAGCTCTTGAATGGGGTTGACATCATCAAGAAGTACATGAAGCATACCGGCAGGAAGGTCAACGTTCTCGTCTTGCCCGTTGAAGAGGCCATCGCATAGCACATCAAGAATGGCAGTGTGCCACCGGAGCTAGCTAGGACTATAAGCTGACTAAGTGAGATCGTACCCGGGATCACATGACCACTATAAGGGCAGTGCTTGTAAGGGGAAGTAACGTCAATTGATTGTGTCCCTTCTAAGACTAGCTACGGAGGGTGGAAATACGTGGAAGGCGGTCAAGCCCCTTCACGTGACAGTGCTCCAACATTTCCCCCAAAGCACGTGACTCGACAGGATCCAAAAGGGGCAGACAGAGTTCAGAGAGTGGGGGGCGTTGGGGGCCGAGGGGTAATCGAGTCAGGGCAAAGGTCTTTAAATGCATTAAGATCCCTTCAACGCAATTCTGTGTAACTCTCGAACACCGAGCAAGTGCGTCCTAGGCTGAAAATTCACAACCCCTTTCCCTTTTGACGAATAGATATACCTTTGGATAGGTATGGCCTCGCGCAATAAGATTCGCGAAAACTCCAGGAGTTGCGAGAACTGCCGGGCTATGAAGCGCCGCGTGAGTCTCATTCTGTCTTCTCGCGTTTACCCGGCTAGTGCTAATTCCATCTGTATATAGTGCGATAAGAAGCTTCCCCATTGTGGACAGTGCATTCGTACGCGCGCTAAATGCCTTGGGTACCGGGATGAATGGGCACTCATCTTCCGCGACCAGACCGAACGTACCATAAAACGGGTCAAGGAGAAAAATGCGAAGAGGGCGGCCTCAACTGAGGCTGATCACTCGGCTCTATTCGCCCGCGACCGGAACGCCAGTGCCGATCAGAGTAACGTCAACAATTTCCTCAAGCGCCAATACTTCAATCGGCCACAGCCGTTAGCCCTATCGCAGACCTCCAGCCTGCTCCAGACTGTCAATTCAGGCCCAATGATGCGCGACCAGATATTTTCATTCTATTTGAGCGACTACTTTCCTCGAAAGATGGAACGGACGGGTAATATTGATATGTCGCAATTTATTATCTCAGGCATCTGCGCACTCCCTCAGAAGAGCCCGATGTTAGAGAAGGCCTGTTCCGCATTATCATGCGTTTTCCTAGGCAAGATTCATCATCATCAACAGATATTACAGCATGGGCTTCGGCTATACAACCAAGCAATTCGGCATCTGGCATATGCAATTAGCCACAATGCTTATACTGATGATATTGTGTGTACTTGCGTCATTTTCCAGCAAATTCAGGTGAGAAGTCTTTTTCTTTCTTATATTATTCGAAGGTGCTGGTTTGTAACACATTGGTCTAGATTCACCATTGTCCACATAGCACCGGTGAATGGCTCGCTCATATAGATGGACTGAGCGCAATTATGAGATACTATAGCTCGAAAACGCTTACAACTCCGCTACTGGCTGCTATCTTTGGCCAACACCAGAAATTTAAAGTGGTAAGAAATGCTTGAGTTGATTTCGCTCTCTATAATATGACTATCCCCTAATTATCGTTATAGGTGCTCACAGGTTTTATGTTTCTATCCGAGGAGACAATAGCGTGGCTCAAGGAACCCAATGAAGGTGGACTTTGGTTTGAGTACATCGGGCTTCTTACAGAGATATCGCGAATTACTGCGGCTATTAACCCTACCGGCTCAAATCGCGATACATTCCAATCTCTGTTAAACGATTGCTTGGCACTTGAAAAGAACCACATGGATTTCTGGTCGCAAATTGATCAAAATATTGACGGAGAGCCTCCGACATACGGCCGCGGTGAGTTGAAGACAGGAATAACAGCTACAGATGATTTATTCGGTCCGGCCTATCGCTTCTCCTCCATCGATGATGCCGTCCTACACACTCTCCTTTGGCTCTCGTTGTCCTTTGTCTATCCTCTAATTCGCCAATGCCAGACTCTTGCTGTGGCCGGTATGCCCAATAGTTTCCTAATTGGTGACATTGAAGACGAGGCACATCGTCTTGAGACATTATATGTCACCAAGGCCATTAGATGTCTTCCATACTGTGGGCAAGAGGGCATGAATTCATGGGGCATCTTTTATGGGGTGCTTGTTGCAACTCAGGCCTCACGGATATACACTCACTCCAAAGATTGGGAGCGGTTTCTTTGGGCCCAAGATGTTTTCATCTCTTTGGAGCGCGCAGGCTTCGACTATGCTGCTCGATTTCGTGACATCTGGTGGAACTATTGGTTTGAAAGCCACCAACATAATACCTACAGAGTTTTGGATTACAGAAAGTGGAATAATGAGCATAAAGCGTCTCTCCATGACGTGACGGAAGGCAACATGTCAAATGCTGCCATGTACCACGGCATCTAAGATCTAACCACATGAGATGGTTGATATCCAATACACCGCCTCGGATCACTTGAGAACGGAGCGAACAAGTGGATATGAAAGTAGAGGAGAATAAAGCCGCGACTTAGGCCCTTGGGGTTTGTTATTGTGGGCGTTTGTATAGTTTCAGTTTCGACAGTAACAAATATCTCTATACAAACATCCTGCATGTGTATTTCGGAGGACAGCTGGGCACCTTACACCTGATGTAAGGAGTAGCTATGCAATGAAAATTACGAGTGGGAGCCCTTGGAAGTATATGTCAAAATCTGGGCGTACGACAGTCCCACATGGACGTGTAATTCACGAAGAAATAAATCTCTGATTCAGATAAACCTGGGAATGCCCGACAATTTAGAGGGCTCACTAACTAGTAAATGACTAATACATGATAGGAAATATTGAAGAGGGGTAAAATCCCTGTATGTGATCTGTAGGAATTCCAATTCTTGACAGTAGTAACTATAACGGCTTCGAATATCGCTGTATACCCTCTAACTATAAGACAATGACATTTCACCGACTCTGTCTAGTCATCCATGAGTAACAAGGACTTGTGTCAAGTAATAAAAGCACGACAGCTAGCGAGCTTCAACATATAAAGCATTAGCAGAACTCTAACCTCGCCTCCAAAGCATTCGGTGGTGAGCGAAAGAGCGGGCATACGGTGTACTTGATCCAACACCTATGGGAATCTACCTACAGCTTGGATCTTCTGGATAGAAATCAGATGAGCGCCTGCAGATGAAGACAGCGAGTTGATGTCTAAGATTTGCTATGTCTCCAGCTTGCATTGAGTGATTTTGCATTGAGTGATTTTGCATTGAGTGTATAGGTCGCGCTCTATGAGTGCTTTTAGGAAATGATTCATGTGGTGGGCTTGACGAACATAGTGAACGCTGAGCATAAGTCTCGCAACCATTGGCCTGAAATTCGGTAAAGACCAACGAGGTCAGGATAACGATTGACGACATACTAGACCAGGGCTTCTATCATCAATGCGAGAAGGCAAGTTAAAAAGTTAGTAGTCGGGATCTACAAGAATCGCTCTATCCCTTCAATCGGCTATAGACTAGAAGCTGTCCGCCGTGCAATACGCCAGGATTCGGCTATTCTCCACCCCACGGCCCTCCCTAGCCGGAGCTGAGAAAATAATCAGAGTGCCAAGCATCCACACGAGGTAATCTAGATAGCTTTATAATCAGACATTTCGTAGCCTCCGATTCGGCATCATTGGGTGCATTCTGTAATAGTGTATACCAGGATTCGAGTCGTGGTGACACCGAGCCAATAGTACCGCTCGCTTCACCTCAATATTCTGGAAGGATGAAAATGGCGCAAAAATGGTGCGTTCGGGCTTTGGGGCACTTTGGGGCGCTTTGGAGCCTTTCGGGGCACTCTGAGATAATTCTGGATATTAGAAAATAATAGTTAGCCAGATTGTACGGAATGCATTGACTAGAAGGATTTTACCCACGGATCGTTTCTTCTATCCAAATTGTCCATATGAAGCGACATATTCGCATGACTTTCTTCAAAGCTATTTCAGCGGTCCGATGTCACCCATGGCTTTCCACGGTATTTTGTGGATCCTAACCCTAGGACTACTCAGCTTTTATTTTATTTCTTCTACTGAAGCTGCTCCCACTACCGACCTACTACCACCACGCTGGCCCAGTACCTCGCTCCATGAAATGAACAAGCGGTCTCAAAACGTGCGGAAGCGGACCTACGGAGCCTCGACTTTATATGCGGAAGCATGGAAGGATGCAACCGGCCACTATGCATTTGGTTCTAATGTGCAGGCTTCTGAAAAAGGAAGGTGGCCTACTCAACGTGGAGTACTAGTGCTACAGCAGTCGCTCTACTCAGATGGCTGCTCAACCCAAGCAGACCTATTTTCGGCGGTAACCACCTATACATATTATCAGCCAATACAAGGAAACCAAATTCCGGCGACCCTCCCTGAGAACCAGATGAGGGGGGGTCTTTTCGCGAGAGTATCAAAAGGGAGGAAAGACTTTGACCTTGTATTCAGAATGAAAAATCTGGACTTGGGCAGTTATATGCCTAAAATATATGATGCGTTTTGGGAATACGACCGGTGGTCTCCAACCCATCAAAGGTGGGGATATCAATCAATTCTTGTTATGGAAAACCTACTCGATAATGCACAGACGCTACTGAATCGATATATGGGCGACCGAGAGCAGTTCGGTTCACGGTATAAGCTATTCAATCGTCTGTTTATGATGCTGGAACTGGTCTGGGGATTAGCTCATGCCCATTCCCAGGGGCTCTTTCACGGCGATGTAGCTTTTCATAATGTGATGACGAGGTCTGAAGGATCCTATTCAGACGAATGGGACTGGGTCATTATTGACTGGGAGACGGCGACGATTACTTCTCCAGGAGACGGTATGGACAATCTGACAATAAAAGGCTACAAAAGACTTACGATTCACTCTAGGTATACGTAGATACGGTAGCGGAGATGTCCGCAACGCCGGAATTTGCCTTCTAGAGGCTGGTGTCCCTAAAATGTCTGACGAGCTGGGCCCCCAGGCCCGCCTTGGGAATTGTGATTCCATAGATGAAGTTATGGAAGTACTAGAGGAGGCGGGCCTTGACACAACACAACACACAGAGTTTTATACACTTGTGGCCAAAGCCACCTACCAAGATGGCACTGGTATAACCATGGCACAATTCTACGATTCTCTCGCGGACCTTCAGGAGAATGGAATGGAGGATCTTCCATGGATTGAATGGAAACCTTGATTGGATTGAATGGGAACCTTGATTGGATTGAATGGGGATCTCCCGTTGAATAAGCTAAGCAGGCGATTTGAACTTAGGGTGAAGCCCAGAGTGTTAGGAAGTGCTAGGGCAACGGTACAACTTCTGTATATCATGATTCGTGACTACGATTGCATGCCTCAAAATTCAGGCTTGATTGCTACTTCATAGGATCGCATAGGCCTAAGGGTCGGTAAATCAGAGTAGAATAGGTTACTACACGATCGGGGGGATTTCTCTCCCACATAAGAGTAGACGGGTAGAAGGTGAAGACAGTCAGACATCCTGCATATTGACCAGGGTGAGATTGATCATTCAATCTGTCTTTCCTCACGATTTCTACACGTTGCAAAACCATCATATACATACTGTAAGGTGAACGTTCGTATCCTGTGAGTTACATCATCTTTGTGGTAGATGTGGTGTTGGGTGTAGGAAACTTCTCAACACATCATTTGTCTTCATTTGTCTTGCCCTTTTGTAGACTTCGGCGACTCTCTCCTTCTAGAGATGTAACTATTCTCCTAAATACGTTTACTATCCGGCATATCCAAGTACAAAGGTCTTACGGACTTTAGAATCTTGCAATTCTACTAAAACTATATAACGTGAGTGAAGCTATATAGTATATTTTAGTGCTAATATTTTCAGCCTCAATGTTATGTGGCTTGGAGATTAGGAATACGAATTTTGGCCATTAGGCCCCTTCGCACCCGACTCCATAGGTTGGATAATATTGAGTGCCCCACGCGGGTGGTTTAATCCCGATTTAAGTATGGAGTACAATTTGCTTTGCTAAGACATGAAATTAAATGATTAGATTGGAGAATTCTTAGTTTATTGCAACTTCTGCCCCTAGCAAAGAAGATCCTCAATTTTGTTGAATTCACGTATTGCCCCTAAGACAGATAGTGTCCCTACTAGTAAATTTCTTCCGGAAATGCAGCTTCTTGGTAGAGCTCACAAGCCCCCATCAAGAGATAACTATCGTCAGATCAGCCCCCCAGCCCTTTAACCTGTATTGAGCTTTGACAGGTTTTATTGGGTGGAGTTAGATGTAAATAATAGTGTAATAAAGCGAGTGCATTAAAATGAGAATGAGTAAGAGAATCAAGACAATAACAAAAATGAGCCCCCTCCCGCATTCGCGCTTGAGGATGGGAAAACCCAGTGGGAAACAACCATGCCCGGAGGAACTGAAAGACGCAAGTAACAAATATACGGCGATGTTGAATCGCGCGGGTCAGCAAAGAACCCCCCTGCCTAACGGTCTTCCTTAGCCCCAAATGCCACGCAGGCTATGTGAGATCAGAAATCTGAATGACGACATTGTCCGTAAAACGCTTCATAGCCACCTCGTAGTAAGCCTTCAAAGCGTCATGGATGTCAAAAACCGCTTGATCCTCGTTGCTCAAGTTGTACTCCTTGCCGCACACTGTTCATATCGAAAGCAAAACCATCACGAAGTCCAAGATTCTCAAGTTTGACCATGACTCTTTCCTGGCGGATCGACGATAGAGTGTCAGCATAATAATGATTAACAGTCTGCAATATGCCCCCTCGTTCATCATTCAATATCTTGAGGAGCTGTTCATGCGCTTGATGGTATGCCTCCTGCTCTGTAGGAGACAGGGTTTCCCGAAGCTTCCGTCTCACATCATCGTCCGGCAGAATTTCCGCCAAAACTTGCTCGTTGTAGGAAACAACCGCAGAGGCAGTTTTCTATAGGTATTTGATCGCTATTTTCTCCCACGGGCTGAACTGCTGACGAAATATATTCTGCAGCACAATTTGATTCACGGTCCCGGGTAACTCCGAGCCTCGGGATTCAAGATAGTAACGTCGGATCCAGTCGTATATGTCGTCCGAGTCATCTGCTAGCCTAAGGAACTCAGGATCATTTTCACCTCGAATTGTACGAAACACTTTGGCATGCCCATCTATTGCCATAGACTTGGCAAAATCATCGGCATACTGCCGTAAGTGCATCCGAAGCTTGAGCGGACTTAGTGCTTCCAGGTCGGCACTATAGTTCCCATTCAATGCTTTGTCAACCTCATTCTGATAAGTGGATGAAATACGTGTCAAGGCCCGACTTTGTTGGGCTGCTAATAGGCACAGTTCCCTAGTTACATTGCTCGTCGAACTCGCGGCATTTGAGCACGCCGATCGGTTCCCAATCAGCCTTTCACATCGGAAAAGCTGTTCTTCCGCGCTGATGGGGGCCAAGAGCTCAGAACAATTAAGCCTAGAAATAGGGGCCTTATGTCACTACACAGATTCCTTGGACACGTCACCATACACGTCTGTTCAAACATCGGGTCATCCAGATGGCGGAATCCCCAAAGCTGCACTGTTGGGAGTGCCGCCGACGACGCCTTGTCTGTGATTTCCGGGCCCCCGGATGTAGGCGATGTGCAGCGACTGGAGTCTACTGCCCTGGTTATGGAGAGTTACCACCGTTGAGAGTGAAGTGGCTCCCCACCGGAAAGGTGAAGTCTCGACAGCGAAAAGCTCAGTCAAATCAAAAGGAAAAAGGCATAGTCACTTCAGAAACAGCAAACTCGAAAATATCTCTCGCACAACCGCCAAAAAGAAGCCTGAAGTGCTCAAGTGCCGATTCGATGTCGTCAGATGACATGCATGGCGAGATCATTCCCCGATTCCATTTAAAAACGGACTACCATGCCTTGATCGATTCTTCAGAATACTGTATGTCGTGATAACTACAATGCTTCCACTCCCGGAATCTCACTGTTATAATAGTTAATTCCTGCATATACCCGCAGCTGGCAAAGTCTCTGCGTTTCGGCACCAATGCCAATATATATGAGCTTTCACCTACGGTGTTTCAGCTGGGTCTCACCAGGCCTCTTCATCTTCAACTGGGCTTGATTTGCTTAACACTCAGTCATCGAATGAACCAGACGGGCCACGATCCGGATTCCAAGAAGCTGGAGAAAACCTTCTATCATTACCGAGGTCTCATGATTCGCTCCTTGAGTGACGACGTCAGTATACCAAATAAACGAGATGGAGATACCGTTCTTGCCGGTATTCTCACACTACTGATGGCAGATGTAAGTCCTTCCTGCCTCGAATAATCTTTGTGTATAGATCTAGCTAAGACCTCCTCTTGAACAGGCTCAACAAGGCATCTCGCAAGACTGGCGGTATCATATTGAAGGAGTACGAAAGCTGATAATCCTGCGCGGTGGCATGCACCGTTTGGTTATATCCCCTGGGATACTACCGATTATTCTTTCATTTGCTCAGTCAGTAGACCAATATTCTCGATTTTCAAAGTTATTTAGACTGACAGCCCCCCAGCATTGTGGTAACCGCCGATACCACATCCCCTGCATTCGATATGCTCACCGAGGGGATAGACCCCGAGGAGTTATATCAGTTGGTGAAAAGATACGGAGGCAGTGGATTTGGATTTCAAATGTGTCCCTCTCCACTTTTCGCCGAAATCGTCAAGATCAACCACATCCGGAGTCGAATTCTAAAGCTGGATTGTGCACACAAAGGCGATCTTCAAAAGAACGCATCTGAAGTTCTTCGCCGTGTCTATGACTTTTCACCGACTGTATGGACCGAGTCAAATGAATACCTCACCGAAGACAGCAAACTCATAGTGGATATTCACCAAAGTGCAGTCGCCTTGTACTGCATGTCATCTCTCCAAAGTCTCGGAGTTTTACCACCGGAGCGGTTGCTTAGGAACAACTGTGATATGGAGCGACAGATATTACACGGACTCCTCGAGAAGGCGCTGAGAGAGGGGCCCCATGGATTCACTTTCTGGCCTCTGATGGTCCTCGGCGTGCAAGCAGTGGATGGTAGTCCTACTCTGCGTGCTTTTGTTCGAGAAAACATGATTTCGCTGAGCGCCTCTTCTGGCACATATTCCCCACTCGCAGCAAAGGATATTCTAGAAAGGTTCTGGGCTTCCGGCAGAACGGTATGGGATGCCTGCTTCGATAAACCTTACATTTTTACAACGGTTCTCACGGTGAACCGGGGTCAGTTGCCAAGAAAACCATCTTAAACTTTATTATTAGAATAGGTAGTTGAGATCGAGGGGACTTTGGCTGCCATGCGCGAAAAGCTCTAGCTAGAATTTAGAAACGAGTACTACATTGACGTCACTGTTCGCTTCCAAATACAAACCGAGAGGTTCAAATCTTAAATTTGGAACTGGGGAATGGTAATGCCTCGATATAGCCAATCACATGAGTAAGGCCTTGTGATTCCACGTAGTTTCTAAGCTCCTTCGCCATTAATATTATAGCTCCTCTCATTTCTTGCAAACTCCGTTTCCTGTAATTGCAACTAGGCTGGCAGCGCAGAGTGAACACCTCATTCGAAGGAAAACAAAGTGCAACAAGACTGCCGCGTCACTTAGCTTACATCCACCACCAAGGTTCAAACCTCACCCAAATGTGACATGGCTATGGGCGATGTCGACCCCCTGTTTTCCACACTGAAAGTCTTGGCCTTGAAGATTTCCTTTTCGGGGTTGGGGACGCTGTGGATCACCCTTCTCCACTCTGGAAGTCTTGGCCTTAAAGATTTCCTTTTCGGGGTTGGGGCGCTGTCCATCACCCTTCTCCACTCTGGAAGTCTTGGCCTAGAAGAATTCCCTTTTCGGGTTTGGGGCCAAATATCAAGCTCAGCCTTGATGAGTCCGGGCGCTGCACGCTAGACGTTATAGGCAGGAAGCACGGTCAAATCGTCTTGCAATGACTTTGCCACGCGCATTTGGGTGGCCAAAGAAGCCTTTGATCGCCAATGGGAGATTCGGATTCGCCAGCTTACGGTGCCTATGTTACAGTTAGAATCTTACGCAATGAATTATCATGCTGGGTTGATTCCACAGCCGAGCGCATTATAGAGCCAATCAGTGGATCTGCGCGAACCTGTGCTGTCCTGTTAGGAACATGACGATGCTGGAATTGATTGCGCGATCCACACCCTGAGCTCCAATTTGGGGGCTATGAGCTTCTCAGCCTCGAGAATGGCTCCACTTACTACCGAGGACGAAGTTCCAAATATAATCGAATGGCTATATAAGGTGCTGCGAGCGCAGCACCAGTTTCCGAAAATCAGATTCCCCAAGCAAGATGCATTTCTCTAATCTTTTACTTCTTCTCGCGGCTCCCTCCGCCTTGGCCAAGTGCAGATGTGTAAGTAGGAGTCTGATGGATATTTACATCTGAAGGCCAATTGCTAACACCGTCAAATCATGCAGACTCCAGGCGATGATTGTTGGCCATCGGCCTTGAAGTGGAAGGCCCTCAACAGCACTGTTCAGGGACGTCTTATAGCCAACGAGCCCCTTGCGAAGCCATGCTATGCCGGTGATATAGAGCGCTGTCAAGAGATCAGCGCCAATTACTTGGACTCTTTTACGCTAGAGAAATCTCCGGTAGGATATCAGTATTCCGCCATCGACACTTGCGCTCCGTTGAACTCTTCCAAGCCACTAGCTGGAAAGCCAATGTGCGACCTGGGAAATTCACCAATCTACAGTATCAATGCGACCGGACCTGCTCACGTTGCGGCGGGCATCAAGTTTGCCAAGGAGAACAACGTGCGACTTGTGATAAAGAACACGGGCCATGATGTTCGCTGGCGGTAAGAGACCTCATACCCTAGCTTGCTGGATAGAGACTAATTGAAGCGAAGATCCTCGGGATACGGCAGCCTGTCTATTTGGATGAGAAACGTGAAACCACCACTCAAATTCCAGAAGACATATACATCACCCAACCAATCATGCGCGTGTGGTTGGACGGGAAGCGCAATCACTATCGGTGGTGGATACATTTGGAACGATGTGTATGAATTTGCCGCAAAACAGGGGGTCATTACCGTCGGTGGAGATGATAAGGTAATAATTGGAGCCCCAGGTAATTTGGACTGCACTGATAGTATTGTTATTAGTCTGTGGGTGCTGTCGGAGGCTATATCCAGGCCGCTGGCCACGGCCCTGCTGCTCATGCCTTCGGTCTAGCCACTGATCAGGTGCTTGAATATCAGGTCGTGCTTGCATCGGGCAAGCTAGTCACCGCAAACGCATGTCAAAACCAGGACCTGTTCACTGCTCTCCGCGGCGGTGGCGGTGGCACGTTTGGCGTGGTGATGTCTGCTACCATCAAGGCGCACCCGACGCGCGCGGTTCTCCAGCACTCATTGCAAATCGTCTCTGAGACCAAGAACCAAAGCCGTTTGATAGATGCAGTTGCGGAAGTTGCCTCTAAATTCCCCATTATATCGGACGAAGGCTTTGCCGGCAACGGAGAATTCGTGAAAATTGGGAATGTCTTTTCCTATACCCATAGTTTCGGGGCCTTACTCGAGAAAAACTCCTCCTCTGAGATCGAGCATGCCAAACAGACCATGAACAAGGAAGTCGTGGATACTCTGGGCAAATACAACGGGACTGGACTATACGTGAAGTCGCAGTTTCAACAATACAACACTTTCCAAGACTTCTACGACAGCGGACGCCATTATGAGAGTGCTGCCAAGGGCATTATTCTGGTTTCGCGCTTTTTCGACAAGAAGTCACTGTTGAACCAAGACAAGAACCTGACTACCATGTTTCACACTCTGTTCGGCAAACTCGATTCCGGAATTCAGCCTTCCGGAATCTCACTTACCTTGGCCCTCATCGGCGGTGGCGAAGTATTGAAGCCCCAGCCTTATACGTCCGTCAATCCTGCATGGCGCAAGACTTATATGATCGCCGAACAAGTTGAAGCGGCCCCTCCTGCGAGTGGTATGGAAGGATTGAGAGAGGTCTGGGACCGTGCCACCAACAAGAAGCTAAAGGCGATGAAGGCTATTACTCCTGGCATGGGAACTTACCTGAACGAGGCTGATCCTTATGACCCAGACTGGAAGGAGGCATGGTATGGAGATCAATGGGACGCTTTGAAAACCACCAAAGACAAGTACGACCCCGAAAATGTCTTCTGGTGCTGGCGATGCGTCGGATCTGAGGGCTGGGATGAAATCAAGGGTCCTGCCCTCTGGGGACCATTGTGTGAGACCAAATGATTCTACATATAGAGATTTTGACGGAGGTGTCCACATTATGGAACTTGATTTTGGAAGGAGCACTTATATTTGTGTTGAATTTTTGTGTGTGCATATGCTATAAATGAATGAGACTCAGCTTGGAACGATATATATCTTCAGACATCCAGAATTAAGCAAGAGAATGACCAATTTCATAAATCAAGTCTAATAGACGAACTTCATCTAAACTCAAGTTCAAAGGAAGCGCGATCCATGGTGGCGGCTCATACCAACTGAGCCTGGCCGAAGACCGTGAGCCAGCCAAAGATTCTGAAAGGAAGGTCATCAAGTCCTATGAAGGAGGTTATCCCACGAAGGCAGAAAAACTCCCGGAGGCGCCACAGCCGACAGCTTCGTGAGCGACCACTTCGCCAACAGTGGATTCGTGAAGCGGCACGTCGATTTGGTATTCCAAGAATCATCCTCAGGAACAGGCTCGCGGGCCAGACCTATCGTCCGCAAATAACACAAAATTGACCCAATTGGAAGAGGAATCGTTAAAGAAATGGCTTCTTTCTATGAACGACCGAGGAATTGCTGCCGATCACGCTCTAATACGAGAAATGGCAAATATTCTACTTGCGAAGCGCGGCGAGGACCCTTGCAGACACTTCACGATTCCGTCCAAGGGAGGGGCGCCCGCTTCGGTACGCCCTGATCCATAATGCCTCAAAGGACCGTGCCCAGGGTCCGGACTTCTCTATGCACCCATTGGTCCTAGATCCCTCCGCGCCCCACCTGTATGCCTCTTAGACGGAACCGTGACGCGACGCGTTCGTTCTTATTGTTGATCATCCAATAAATGCACCATATGGATTTGAAATAACCAAAATCGTAAGGACGCCTTTTCTTTTCTATCACTTACATCACTTCTCTATTATAGACTCTATCCCATGCCAACTAGACAGCTAGTCGACCGCCTGTCTACTAAAGCGATCATTCTTCTCCGTCCTGAAGGCTCATCTGATCAATAATAGGAGTAGGGATGGAGCGATTTTGTTACCTTCCAGAATATAAGGTGCTGATTTGCAAGCCCTGCGGGCGTGCTGTGGCACCCACCCATCTTCACACCCACCTCAAAGGTCACCGGAAGGAATGGCCGGGCTTCGACAGTCCTACCGCGGTGTCTCGGCTACACGAACAGCTAAGGGAGTTTCCTTTAGCTGATCCTTTTCAGCAACCAGTACCACTCCCACCCCCAACGTCCTCCGCCTTGCCTAGCCTACCAGTCGAAGATGGACTAGGCTGCAAGCATTGTCCCTTTGTATCTCGCTCAGAGGAGAAGATGCGGAAACACCTACGGACCCATCAGTCTATACCAGCCCGTCGTCTAGGTCGACCACGGAAAACAGCGGACAGCCTAAAACCGGGTCGATCAATCGACCAGACTCTCTGGGAAAAGGTTCATTGCCAGCGCTTCTTTGTCTCTGGCCCCCAGAGTCGATTCTTTCAGGTGGCTCCGCCTCTTGAGCCCGCAAGTAATCAGGTCGATCTTATTTGCGCCCAAGTTTATGAGCAGATCCGGCAGTATGAGGAGAAGGAGACACAGTATAACCAAATCATCACGACGGATCGTGACTATAGTGAATACAGTCCTTGGCTAGAAAAGACTCGATGGCGTGACTACCTCCACGGTTATACCTTCACGGAACTCGCTGCTCTAGCATATATGCCTGATCCTATACAGGAACCTATATTGCAGCTGTGGATGGGAAGCCTAGACACCGTTCTAGACCAGGCGCTCCAGTCAATAGCCGACCACCGGATTAATATGTTTGACCAAGCCCGGATAAATAGCTTCGTGGATGATGCCTACCGCCGACCTAGCCATCGGCCCGTCTTCTATCATCTTACACTATATACGAACCAGCGATATCGACGAATCTGGAAGCGGCTTCTCTGCTTTGTGCATCGCACCGCCCAACCGAGTCAGTCAATCCGACTGGCCCACATCTTGACTAAGGATCAGGTGGACCTTTTGCAGCAAATGGAAGAAGTGAGTCAACAGTTGTATAGACTTACAACTTCCGCCGCCGCCGCCACTCGGATCACCCACATTCCCAGGCCACTACTAGAAGATGCTATCCGAGACGCTTCAGTGGCACTAAACCGCATCTGCCTTCTCTTCTGTATCGCCCTTCTAGACCATGTCTTGCGGAGAGACACGTTTGAGAGTGTGGTCATAGGGTTCTTTGCGATCCTTGGAATCGAAGAAAAGAAGGAAGTCTTTCGAGATGCCCATTAGTATACCCCGATCCTTTCAGGATTCATCAAGGTCGCACAGCTGCTCGTGATCCAGAGAGCCGTTCTAGCCGTGGACGATGGGACAGTTGATGAACCGTCGAGTATCTTAGATGAGATGCGGCAGCGATTCCTGATCTATGGATGCGCTACCCTAGTAGGTTGGGCGCTCCGGCTACGGACCTATGGTAAGAAGATCAAAGTCCGTCAGACCCCGATCCTTCCGGGGCATGTAGACTGGTCCGATGATAATAGCACCCTTACCTATCGGGGCCAGTCCCTTCACATGGTGGATTTCCAACGCTTTGTTCACGATCAGGTTCAGAAACTACAATCGCAGTTGAACCACCTTCTTCTACAAACGATGTCCTCGTCTCCGCCCATCATCCCTAAACTCAACCTATCTGATATCCATGACGACCACGCCAATCGAGCCAGAGGGTGGAACCTCCTTCGAGACCCACGGAACCAGACGCAGCTTGCAGGATATGAGCAATGGGCCTTAGGTCATATTATCTATCACCCGCCGCTCCGACAACGCTTCATCGAGACTAACGAAGGGACTGATCGAGTCGTCTAGAAAAGACAGGAGGCCCAGGACTATCTCAATCAGCTCGATCAGTTTCTCGAACGGCTGCTGTTGGTTTGTCACCTGACCTCTGGCCATCCGGCCCGCGGCACTGAGATCCTGAGCCTTCGACATGTCAACACTGTCCACGGAGACTACCGGGGTGTCTTTGTAGAGAATGGGCTCGTGGGACTCGTGACTGCATATCATAAAGGATATCATATGATCGGTTCTACCTCTCTGATCCACCGATATCTTCCAGAGCGTGCTAGCGAGATCCTCATCTATTATCTCTGGCTGGTTCATCCCTTCCAGCGGCAGCTCCGAACTCTCGCATTTCAGGACATAGCACCAATGTCCCCTTTCCTTTGGCCAGAGGCCAGCGGCTTCACTAGTGTACGACTAAGCAAAGCACTCCGTCGGGGATTCCAGGAGTGCCTTCATATCGACATTACTCTAGCAGACTATCGCCATGTCGCGAATGCGATTTCGCGACGACACCTTCGTATGCGCGGATTCCAGAGAGAATATGAAATCCCCGTGCATCCAGCGGATCTCCAGGCTTCACACACGACCTAGACCTCTAGTATAATGTATGCTCGGCCCCAGAATGAGGCGCCAGGCCACTTAGAAGCAAGACGATGGGAATATCGGGTCGTTAGCCGTGGCTAGCACCACCTGCTCAGGTTTACTGACGGCTCGACTTCTACGAAACGGACCCCAGCCGACCTTGACGCAGATGACCTAAGGATCGATAGTATTGCTCATGAGTGGCGGAAGCACGTCCGTCTTGATAGTATTGCTAGGAAAAACTTCCGGATCTTGGAGGCCGTCTAGGGTACCCCTAAGTCATGAGTACTGTGACAGGTTAGCAAAAGTCACAAGTGGCCCCTAGTGTGATCGAGTCCTAGCGCACGCGTTTTCGGGGGATCGGTCGGGAATAGCATCGGTTCCTTAGTTTCGAAGCGCCAATAGGTAGGAAACGGCGATTCAGCTGAGGAGGCGATGTGCGCGAAGGTTCACCGCCGAAACGCGCGCGGGAGTACATAACGATCGAGATGAGTGACGACGAGGGCGCTTAGCGCATAGCGCGCCGTTTTAGAACCGGGGTTCGAAGGCTCCCCACAACTCTTGTACCCCTAGTTCTCAGATTAGGGTTCCGATAGTAGTTACCCAAGTAATAGCCTCTAGTTGTAGTCTATTATAGACCAAAGCCGGTCCTTTATACTTAGGCGTTATCTAGTAAATATACAAACAAGTACTTCAAGTCGTACGATCGTGAACATCTAGTGCGTGTGACCAGATGTCAGATCAAGAGAGAAAATCAATAAAGAATTCGATTTGAGTACTTAGTCGACAGGAGATCTGAGATGAGAAAAGGAAGAAGAGACAGAGGAAGAGTCTCTATTTATCTACAACAGTCTACGTCCTATGTCACCTGTCAAACGCAGTCTTCAAACGTAGTCTTCAATCGCAGTGATGTCAAACGCGATCTCGTCAAGCGTAGACCCGTTGAGCGCGGTCCTGTCGAGCGCGGCCCTATTAAGATTCTATCAAGTGTGGTCACAATAATAGGGCTTAGCACAAGACGTTTGTAAAATTATATATTTATAAGAACTATGTCATGTGTATCACGTCTAGGCGCTCCCCCGTTTAGAACTGAGGTTTTAACTAGGCGGGCTCTAACCCTAGTTCTAAGGTAGAGCATTCGGTGCGTCGGTGGTAGATTGAGCGCGAGCTTAGATCAACTACTAGGGAATATGCTACATAGGAAAATATCCGATTCCGCTAGCAAAGGATGCCTGACCGTGCTAGTAATACATGAGTAGACCACCGCACACACGTCCCCCAAAATACATTAGTAGACCCCCTGGCTCGTACCCACTAAGTAGTATTCTGTTCCTCTAGCTGCGAAACCCGTTCCACTAGTCTTGGCAATAGAATAATATGCCATTCGACCCCATGGCCTAGCTGCTGGGTCGGAAACCTAGCGGCATCCAACCATAGCAAACTAAGTGCAGGTCGCCACTCATCCGTCTCGTTAATACGACGGGGCGCTAGCGGCCAGGACCCCCGTGGGTCCCTACGACCGACGTCGGATCCGTATACTCGCCGTGGATAGTTGGGTGGACGAGGATAGCGGTTGCCGGCGCTGGCGGCAGGCGCACTAGGGAACGATCCCGGGGGGCATCGCTGGCGTATGACGTGCCTCAAGGGCCGTAAAGAAGCGTTCCGTTGCGTTAGGGAAATCCTGCGAGAGATGCGCTCGCCAGGCAGGATCCGTCGGGTCCTCCCCTAGCTGATAGCAAAGTTGCCAGATCAGCTCATCCGCAGGGCAGGGGCCGATCACCTCGGCCCAGAACGAGTTGTCCGTTGGGGTCGTAGTGTCATTCGGCGAACGTTGGATGCGAGCGCGAAGCGTAATAGGGGCGACCGGCTGTAGTAATGCCGGCACTTGCTCCGCAGCATATTGACCCTTCGAGGCGTCGAGCACCGCGCACCACCGTGCAGGGCCGGATGGGGTCGACATCGTTAGTCGATAGTCTCGTCTAGAGGGGATAGAAAAGTCGCAAAAGTAGAAGGGAACTCGGAGCGGCGATATGTGAGAGAGAAAGAGAGAGAGAGAAGAAGGAGTAGGTGAAAGAATAGGGGAGGTCAGGGAATAGAAGGAGGAAGGAAGAGGCTAAGGAGCAGACGGGACAGAGGCTTTTAAGCCTAGGACCACGCGGGAGTGAATGCTAGGCCGTCGTGAATAGGAGAGATGAATAGGAGAGATGAATAGGAGAGTAAATAAGAGAGATAATGAGATGTGAGACAATGAGATGTGAGATAATGAGATAGTGGGAGAGTGAATATAGGAGCTGAAGGAGAGTTGAATAAGAGTTCAATGAGAGAGATGAATAAGGGGGTAAATAGGAAAAGTGAATAAGAGAAGTGAATAAGAGAAGTGAATGAGAGAAGTGAATGAGAGAAGTGAATGAGAGAAGTGAATGAGAGAAGTGAATGAGAGAAGTGAATGAGAGAAGTGAGTGAGAGATAGTAGTGAATGTCTCTAGTATTCTTTATGTTAGAGTACTTATATCAAGAATTTCATAGGGTAGTCCGTCTGCGCACGGACTACATATACTAACCCGATTAGCATTAGTTCCCGCATTCCTAGAGATAAGGTTATATTAGTGTTATATCAAACCGACTTGAATATATTCCACGCTATTCACGTTTTCCTTCATAACTCAACAACCATAATAGCTATAGAGCCCAGATTTGGACATAGGACTCAAATTAGGACACCCTATACCCTAGAGGTAATGTCACTGCGGTCGTCGGGGGGGGCCCAGTGACATTCCCCCCGTCCCCATTGGTCCAAACCCTCCCCGGTGCGTGCCCCCCGGCCCCTAGCGTCCCGTGCCCCGAACCCGACCAACCAACGACCCACCCCTTACACTGGACTATATGCCACTATCGATGTTTCCCTTTTCCCTTTGGCTTCTTTGGCTTTTACTTGCTTTTTACTCCCTCTTCCTCCCCTCACTCGGTGCCTAGATCGATCGTGACCTTGACGCGCTCTCGACGCGTCGTAGCGTAGGAGATGACCACGATGCCGCGTCTCACGCACCACCACAACACACAACGTCGTCAATCTGTCGCCGCTACCGCATATACAGACGCGTGTCGTAGTTGGAGCAGTTGCTAGTTCCGTTCTCCTCTCTTCTTCTCTCCTCTGGTTCCTCTACCATCTACTCATCGTCCTTTTTTTTTCTTTCCCCCTCCATTCTGACCCCCCCCCCCCCCCCCCCTTTTGGCCGCTCCCTCCCTACGCCACTGGTTCACAACTATGGACCTATTCGCCTGGAATCAGACCTACCGCATCTGGGTTTGTAAGACCTGCGAGCATGGCGTTCCGCCGCGAGGGATCTCAGGCCACCTCGGCTCGAAGAACCATCGCGACCACATAACTGCGAGAACGGGCAAGCAACGAGCCGCGGCCGCCCAAGAGGCCTGGTCCGTCGACCCGTGGGACCCTCACGTCGAACCATTCCGCCCCCCGCCGCCGGACTCCCTCCCTCTCCCAGAGCTCCCTGTCTACATGGGCTGGGGCTGCCTAGAGGACGGATGCGATTCGTACGCGGTACGGACCCCACAATCGATGCGACAACATCGATATCGAGACCATGGCATCCGCTGTCGTCTAGGGCGCCCTGACCCCTCGAAACCGTCGCAGCAGCCAGCCCTACGTCCCGTCAGCTGCCAACGATTCTTCCCAACGGGCCGGGGGAGTAGCTATTTCATTGTGACGCCTACTGTGCAGGTCCAGCGGGCTCGGCACGTCCTCGAGATGAGCGAGGCGGAGTTCGTACAGACGCAGGTGGCGGACGCGCTCCAGCGCTCCGATAGGCTCACGCGGGCCGACGAGGAGGTCGCGCCTACGCATAGCGACCCGACCGAGTACTCGCCGTGGCTCGAGCTCACGCGGTGGCCGGAGTACGTTCGTGGGCACGCCTTCCGCGATCTGGCTATGCTCGCCGCCCTACCCGATCCTACGGCGGAGCCGATCCTCCAGGCCGTTGAGCAGAGCGTCCAACGGCTAGTCCAGGCGGCGTTCGACTCTATTACTAGCTACCGCATCAACGAATTCGACCAGGTAAAGATCAATAGCTTCCTCCAGCGACAGGGCGTCTGGGACCGCCCCATCCACATCCGCCTCCGTCCTAAGACGTACCGCCGGTATCAGCAGATCTGGGTACGGCTAATTAGCTTCGTCATTCGGACTAGCCGGCCTAACCAGGCTATCGATCTAAAGCACCAGCCTACTACGCGGCAGCTCGAAGCTGTCGACCGGATCGACCAGTTTGCCCAGCAGCTCTTAGGCCTAGAGATCGAGAACGGCCTAGAGTCCCTAGACGCAGTAGAGTCCCCAGCCCAGGAACTCGGCCCGTCAAGTGGGCCCAAGGGCACCCGTAAGAGCTCCCCCGCCCAGCGAGCCATGGCCCAGCTCGACCGTGCATGCCTCGATCTCTCGATCGCGCTCCTCGACCACGAGCTCCGGGGCGATCTCTTCGAAAGCCCCCTAATCGGGTTTATGGCAACGATCGGGGTCGATGTACCGAACCAGACGTACCGCGACCCATCGAGCTACACCGGGCACCTGTCTGGCTTAGTTAAGATATCGCAGATGCTTGTAGCCCAGCGGGCTGTACAGCTCGCGGACGACGGCGAGGTTGAGCATCCGGGCGACGCACTCGACCGCATGCGGGAGCGCTTCCTTATGTTCGGGGTTCACGCCCCCTTTGGGTGGATCACCCGGCTCCGGGCCTACGGCAAGAAGATCCAGAACACGACGACTAGTATAGGGTATATCAACTGGAACGACGACCACGACGCCTTAAGCTATCGGGAGCTCCACCTAACTATGGATGGCCTTCGACGATTCGTCCGCGTAGAGGTCGAGCTCGCACAGTACGACCTCGAACGACTCTTCCTCCTTAGCGAGGACGACGAGCGAGAGGGGGTAGTACCGGAGCTCCCGCTACATCGGCTCGCCGACGATCCGGTGAATAATAAGCGGGGGTGGAATTTCC